TAGCGTTGTAGTTTTAAAGCAAAGTACAGCTGTTTTATACGCATGTATAAGTATTATATTACTTTTAGTTTAGATATAGTTTTCTTATAAAGCTGCTTATAAATATTAAAAGTTTAACGCATTATTTGTAATGTGTAGCGTTGCTCCTAAATTTAAAAGAAACAATTTACTTAATAGATAGCTAGAGTAATAATCTTTGTAGACAGCAAATATGCTGCTAACTTAAGCTATTTTTCTATTTTTAAGTTAATTTTCTATTTCCTTAACTTATAGAATAGAGGTTTGTAATGTTTTAATTTAGGTGTTACCTGTAGACCTTAAGCTAGTAGATCTTTTTTATTTAGTTTCTTTTATTTTATTCTGTAGTGCAAGATCGTGTTCTATTTTAAACTAAACTAATTTTACTAGTTCTTAATTAGGTATAAACTATTTAGAAGCTTTGTTAGGGTTTGTGTAAAAGCACTCTAAGAGTTAATATCTTATATAGCAAGTAGAGCATTTACTATTGCTGCTAGTAAAAAACTTTTACTTACTTTTATACTCTTTAGCAGAAGTTTGTTTTCTTTTTATAAGCTAAGTAGGCGTGCTTCTACTAGTGTTTTTTTAAAGCGCTAGAGTCTTATTAGTATAAAAGGCGTCCTCTTTAGTTTAATTTAAGACTTCTACTACAAATACAAACTTAGTATATATTGCTAGATAGTTACACTTTATATAAGTTTAGAACAGCTTTATAGCTGCCTGCTAAGTTATTGTTAAAGTTTATAATACTTTTATTTTAAATACTAAATTAAAATTAGTATTAAAGGGTTTAATTGCCTGCGTAAATTAATCTAATATAGTATTTATGTTAAGAACTTCTACGCATCCTACTTTCTTAGCTTTTATTATAACTTTATTATAATCTAAGAGCTAGGTGTCTTATTAGGTATTTTTTTTAACTCTATTAAGTATTTGTTTATATTTTTTTATGCGCGTAGAATAGCTTTTTAATTATTAATGCTAACCTGCAGAGAGATTTTAAAAATCTATTTACTATAAACATTATTAAAGCAGCATAAGCTGTATATAAATTAATCTACTAAGTTTTATATGTAAGAGACTATTGCTTAAATTATAGTACTTTCTTTTTAGTATTTGTTATTATCTACTTTTTAATCTTTAAAGTCTTATCTTTGTTAGTTAGTTATTAGAGCCTAGGCAGCTCTCTGCGTAGCTAAAAGATAGGTAATTAATATAGAAACGTTTCCTTAGGCGTCTTTAAACACATCTAATAAGTTTAGAAGCAGTTTAGCTAGTTCTACTCTTAGTAAAGTTATAGTAGCTAAATTAAATATATGCTATACTACTTTTAATATTGCATAAATTTATATAGCTTTAAACTAGTCTTAATAGTTGTCTAGGTTCTTTAGGGTAACTCTAGAAACGTCTAAATTAGCAGGCATTTTTAGTTAATTTATAATAGTAAGGTTGCTTTATTTATAAAGGCAGTAAAACTCTTAATTATTAAATATTATAGTAATTTATAGTAATAACTATTATAATAGAAATTAATAATTAATTCTTTGTCTCTTTAAACCTTATAACTTTGCTATACCTTCTTTTACTCTAAGTAAAAAGCTAGTATATATAGGTGCACACCTATTTATTATATAGCTATATTTTTACTTATAAATTGCACTACTTATTTTAATATAATCTAGTTAGATTAGCAGAGTTTCTTTAGCCTAATTAAGCCTTATTGTAACTCTACTGTAGTTTATAGTAATTTGTTGCTTTTTATTTAACAACTACTAGAAAAAAATAAGTAATAATATAAAAAACTATATATATAACTATAAATACTACTAGTAAGTAGTACTTGCATGTCTTTTTGGTTATCGCCTGTTATTTTGGTCTATTTATTGTTGTCACTTATCGCTGTGTGTAGGATCACCTTAACTCCAACTCAAAAAAATAAAATAAAAAATAAAGTAAGTAGTACTAAAAAAGCACTAACTATATAAACTACTATAGCTTCTACTAGTATTGAAAGGCTTATAAAAAAATATTACTATAGATTTTATTACTAATCTGCTGCTAAGTAAATAGTAAAAAAAAAATATAATATAATACTAGTATACGTGTATAAGTTAACTAAAATATTTTATTATACTTTAATAAAAATAAACTAAAATAAAAAAAACTTTATAAAGTTCTACTTTTATAAAGTAGTTTAACTATATAAAATAGCACGCATAATTCTTTTTAATTAAAAGCTATTAATAAGTGCTAAATACTAAGCCTTATTTTATTACTATTTAAACTTTAAATAAGTGTTAACCTTTGCGTTTTATTTTCAAATAAATAAGTAAACTAAGTAGTAAAATTAAATATTAAAATAATACTTAAAAATACTTTATAACACTAGGTAAAATAACTAAATAATTTAAATTAATATAGCAAAATTTATGTATAATAATAGTATCTATGCAACTATAAAGATAATGCTATTTTTTACTAATACTAAATACTACTTATAAAGCTAAATATAGCTTAATATAGTATAAATAAAAAAAAATGCTCTTACTAGCGCATAAATAGCTAAATATATATATAAAGTATAATAATAGTGTAGAGCTTACATTACAGTAGTAAATTAGTATTAAAAGTTATATATCAATAAAAAATAACTTAACTTAAAGCTTAATATAAAAAGTTAAGTATAAGTAAATACTAAGTATATAAAGTTTTTCTAACTTAGTAAGAAACTAAATTAAAAATACGTAGGTTTAAGTTATATTATTAAAAACGTAAACTTAGTAGCTTATTAAGTAAAGTTTTATAAGGCGTAGTTATAAGTAATAGTACTTGCTTTATACTACTAGTAATAGTAAAAAATATTTACTTTTAAAGAATACTTTTTTTTAATTATTTAAAATAATATTTATTTCTTTTTAGTGCTTTAAGTGCGCTTTTTATATACTTTTACTAAACTACTTATACTAACTAGTAGCGCTTTAGTAATATTAATTTTTTTTAATACTAACTTATATATAGTAATATTATAACTTTTAAGCTTTAAAACAAGTCTACTTAGTGTTTTATATTTTGTTATTAGAACTATATTAAATAAAAGAAACTATTATTAGCTAAAAACTACTTATAAATAACACTTTATGCTAAGTCAAAGATAATATTTATAAAGTAAACTATATTATTAATAAAAGAAAAGGCAAGAATAAAAAATAAAACTATTTTATTAAATAGAAAAAGTACAGCAACTAGAAGAATGTAATAATTTACTTTATTATTATATAAGTAGCTTTACTAATTTAGGTAAAACTTTAAAGTTTATTTTAGCTACAGCTATCTTTTATTAGCTATATTTACTAAGCTACTTATAATAAGCTTATTATACGCCTTAGCTACTATTTAAAAGTAATTTATTATTTTTTTAATAAAAAGTACTTTTAAGTTGCTCTTTTTAGCATTATGTATATAAAATTAATTTATTTCTAATTTTTATCTATCTTAATAAAGATACTTTTAATAATTTATAATAATTAATTTTAAAAGTATGCTAGCAATGCTACTTATATTAACTATAAATAGCTTTTTATAAATTAATAGTTTTAATTATTCTTATGTATAAAACTTATAAAAATTTAGTTTAGTTTTTTTTAGTACTTTTTAGTACTTTTTATCTTATGTAATTTATTATTTAAAGTAATACGTAGCTACACTAAAGGCGTACTAAGCTTATATTATTACACTTTTTAAAAAAATTAAAAAAGCTTTTTTATAATTTTACTAGAAAGCTATACTAAAGTAGTAAAAAAAAGTAGTTTTTATTAAGTTTTATTATTTTTATTTTTATTTTTACTTTTTAAAATAATATAAACTAGTTTTAAAGTAGGCTACTTTTTTAAAATAAATTACTTTACTTTAATAACTTTTATTTATTTATTATTAATTAAAAAACTTATATTATAATATTACTATATAAAAGTTAGTATTAAAAAAAATTAATATTACTAAAGTGCTACTAGTTAGTATAAGTAGCTTAGTAAAAGTATATAAAAGGCGCACCTAAACCACTAAAAAAAATAAGTATTATTTTAAATTATTAAAAAGAAGTACTTTTTAAGAGTAGCTATTTTTTACTATTACTAGTAGTATAAAGCAAGCACTATTGCCTATAACTATACCTTATACATAAATTACTTTTTTTTTTTAACTTTATACTAGTTTATAAGTTTTATAAGTAGTAAGTATAAATAAATTTTATAAATAAATTTAACTTACTTACTTCTATAATATTTATATAGGTATATACTATAAATAGTAATTTTATTAAAGTTAAGTAAAAAAGCTACTTTTTTATATAGTAATTTTTATAAGTAGTATTAATAAGCTTTTTTAATAGTTTTTTAAAGTTATTATTAAAGTATTTTTAGAATTTAAACTAAGCTTTTTAATATTAATACTAAAAAGTTTATAATAATATATATATTTTAAAGTAAGTGCTAAAATAAGTAGTATTATAAGTAAGTAAAAGTTAATAAATATAAAAAGCTATATATAAACTTTACTATAGCTTTTTTTATTTTAAAAAGTAATAAGTATATTATAGTTTATAACTTTAACTTTACTAAATATTAAAAATTTATATATTTTTACTAAATTATTAAAATATTATATATATTACTACGTTAAATGCGCTTAATCTAATAAAGGTAATAATAAGTAAGTTAAGTTTAGTTACATTTGTGTTAAAGTAATATACTAATACCTATAAAGTATACAAGTATAAGTAAATTATAGCTTAGAAGGTTAGCTGTTTTACTAAATGTTAACTAATTAATATTAATAGTAGAGACAGACTGCACATGTAATAAGTTAAGAAATAGAGTTAAGGCAGACCTCCTGGTATGTAACCTCCTGATGCTCGTATACCTAGTAGCACAACGTTTCACCTAACACGTGCTGAGTAATAACTTGCTCATTCCATTTATACCTAAGTACATATATGTACATATGTCCTCCTGCACGGCAAATATCCACACACATGCAGTCAGTTGAAAAACGCCGTGACAATTAATCTGCATTTTGAGCAGATTCCGCGCCACAGATTTGCGCCTCGGCCCTTGGCCTCCTGTTCTCGTTCATTTGTCTTTCGCTCGGTGGCCATTTAAAAAAACATAAGTAAGAATAGCGCAGACTCTAACCGCTACACCATCCTCTTCACCACCCTCACAAGATGAGGCTCTCTACATTCTCCGCTTTATTCGCTAGCGTACCTCTGGCCGCCGGCGCTTTTATGGGCATGGGGGGCGAAGACCAGAGCCCTTACTGCGCCCGGGCCTGTCGCAGCGTCCTGGGAACAGCGAACTTGACCTGCTCACATATGATGGACATGGGAGACCATGCGATGATGATGACGATGCCTAAATGCCGTGCAGACGACGACGCCTGGCTGACGTCTCTGGCCTATTGCTTCGACAACAAATGCGCCGGCAGAGTTCCACTCTGGCAGCTCGAACAGGTGTGGACCGAGACAGCAACGGGTGCCCCGGGTGTTTCCGCAAAGTGGAGTTACCAAGAAGCCCGCAGCCAGGTCGACGGAGTGCCGCATATGGCGTGGAGGGCTGGCCTTACGCTAAATCATACTATGGCCGTCCCGGAGGCTCTGTGGACCACGTGGAACCACTTCATGCCTGTTATGGATCAAAATAGCGTCCACATGTTCAGATACTCGTAAGAATTAGGACCCTCTCCCCGCAGTATATGTACAATATACTAATTGGTCTACTCGCAGCGTGGTGCTGCTCATCGTCGGCTTTGCTACCCCCATCGCAATGACGGTGCTCCCCAAGCTGCCCATCCTCTCTTCGCTCGCGGCCAGACTCAGGCCCTATGCTGTATGGCCTTCCATGATCGGCAGGATCCACAGCCAGTCCCTGCCATGGCAGTTAGGTAACCCGCCTACGATCGGACAAGGCCTGTACATTGCCGGCTTCGTGATACTCAACATCATCCTTTCGTGCGTGAACTACTCAACACAGTGGCCACTTATCCATCCTTGGGCCTACAATAAGCGGGGAGAGATACTGGCCTACGCTGGTTATCGAACGGGAGAGTTTGCCTTTGCGCTCCTGCCGTTGACTATCCTTTTCGCTGGTCGGAACAATATCCTGTTGTGGCTTACCAATTGGCCCCACTCGACCTACCTTCTTCTGCACCGTTGGGTAGCCCGTCTTTTCGCTCTGCATACTATCTTGCACTCTATCTTCCTTCTCGCAGCTCGAATCCAGACTGGCACGTACGCAAAAGACTTGACGCTACCGTATTGGCAATGGGGAATAGTAGGCACAGTCTTTGTCTCCGTCATGCTCATTTGGAGCATTCTCTGGATGCGTAGCTTTTCGTATGAAGTCTTTCTCATCGGTCATATCATCATGGCCGTCTTCACCATTGTTGGAAGCTGGTATCATCTTGTCTTGCGCTTCGGATACGGCGGCGATCACGAGTACTGGCTGTATGCGGCTGTCGCCGTGTGGGCGTCTGACCGCATCCTTCGCGTTGTCCGAATGGCCAGGAATGGAGTACGTCACGCGACTGTGACAGACATTGGCGCTAATCACGTTAGGATCGAAATATCTGGCATTCGTTTCGGAGGCAAACCAGGCTACCATGGATATGTTTATTTTCCTACACTTAGCCCGATGAAGCCTTGGGAGAATCATCCTTTCTCAATCAATTCGACGGCCTTGCTTCGTACCCTCCAAAGCCGGCAAACCAATCGAGGAAACTCCTTGGCAGAGGAGGACTCAAGTATGGACAAATCTAAAGCTACAGTGAAAACTTCCCATGCTTACAACGACATTGCAAACACTGCTGGTCTCACATTGTACGTCCGTAAATCAACTGGTATGACGCGACTTTTGCAACAACATGCAAGCCTGCTTAGTCTTCTCGATGGGCCGTACCCGAACAATCCTCCTGCTGCCGTTCTCAACGTCGACAGGCTTCTTCTCATTGGTGGCGGCATCGGTATTACTGGCCTGCTAGCATTCATCAACGCGCACGTTAATGTCAAGATTGCGTGGAGCGTGAAGCAAGCCGATCAAGCTCTAGCCACCGAGTTGGACGGCGTTGTGCGTAGCGCCGTAGATCACGAAGTGCGCATCGGCGAACGTTTCGACTTACCCGCTCTCCTAAAGCAAGAGATCGTATCCGGATATAAAAAGATCGGTGTGGTTGTCTGCGGACCGCCAGCCTTGTGCGACGATGTACGCGCTCTCGTGTCCAGCTTGGGCCGCCATGAGAAAGTCGAGTTCGAGTTAGAGGTGGATGCTTTTGCTTGGTAAAAAAGGAGGAAAGGAAAGAAAAACGGAGGAGGAGGGGGTTATTCCCAGAGAAATTTTTTGTTCCAGGGCATCGAAACGGCTCAAAACATTGTTGTCCCCACCCCGACCGTTTGGTTCTACGATGTCCGCAGGTGAAGATAACGCCCTGAATTCTTCCCCGTTTTGGGGTTTATTAGCGTAGTATGATATTGTTCGCTCGTTTGGTTGTGTAATTGTATCTTAATTATATTCTTCTAGCACTCACATGTCTGCTGGACAATGACAATCGTCGCCATGATAGTAAGCTAAGTTGAGTTGCAGTCAGTTCCATGTGTTTCTCTATACTTTCGCTGTGAAGCTTCTTAGGTTTTGCTAATGTAGCTTTGATTTGACATTAGGAAAATACATGAAACTGCATTACAGATTTACATTTTCTGGTCGTGAGACCATTTTCCCCACAAGCTGTCGTATCCTTGCCAGAAGTTTTCCTTTTTGACTCCGAGGTGGGAGTCAAATATGCGAGTCGAGTAGTACATAGTCATGTATACGCCAGTTTCAGCGGAGTATGAGAAGGACACAAAGGTATATGTACCGCGCGGTCCATTCAAGTCATGATGTGGACTGCCATCTCGGTCAGATTCAATCAGGGGGGTCTATGCTGTTGACATACAATGCTCTGGCCAGGTTGGTTTGTATCCCTGCCCCGAAAGTTCCATGACCACGTTTTTGGAACCATGTAGACAAAAGATGGCAGAGGTCGGCATCGGTTCCTTCCATGTTCCGTACGGGTAGATGTAATTTCGTCTCAGGCAAATCCTGGTCTGCCTTCAGCTCAACTGCCAAACCACAGTACACTCCCGAAGAAAACACGGTTGAATCCCCATCGTTCGTTTTATCCGGCCCAAAAATAATGGACCACAGTTCACCCAACGCCTCGAGGCCCTTTTGAACAGTCTCTCCAGAACGTTTTCCGTTGAGCGTAAGTACGCGTTTCGCGCTGTTGAAGGTATTGGCACTTGTCTGGACATACACTTTAATGCGAGAATCTGGTGAATCTACACAGTCCAAAGCTGCCATAATCACTGGCTCCGTAGGATACGCGGTAAGGTAGGTATCAAGTACACCTATTGCGGTGTCGTAGTTTCCGTGTCGTCCATTGCATCTTCTAGCTGTTTCGAAGACAAGACGATAGTTTGGTATGCCAGAGACCATACTTGAAAGAGATGGCATGAAGTATACTTTTGCCATGGGTTCGTGGCTATGAGGAAAATCGAAAGCTACCCAGATTTGTGATAGTGGCAAACCAGACGGGAGCTTTGGTAGAAGGACTGGAGCAGTCTGGGCATCGATGAAGAATCTATTTTTCCAAATATCAAACTGACCCAGGTCGAGATTTGGCATCTTTCCAAAGCGTTGGAGTTTAGAGAGTAACGTCACGGCTTCGTCCTGATTGAATGGATCGAGAGTCGTTCCAGCGCTGCGGCCGGTCGCTTCTATTGTGAATCGTACAAGCCTTTTCGACGATTTTTCCTTCCAGTTCAGGCTATGTTCCACTGATGAGCCATCTGGAACAGGGCACGGCTGGAAAAGGGGTTTCACGCCCTGAATTGGGCGTGGACCTAGCGCTGGGATAATGAACGCTGCATACCAGCGGAGCAATGAACGACACTGTTCACTCTCGTATCCATTTTGCACGATGAGCTGGTAGAAGGGATATGCGGTCGCATGCCACCAAAACGTATCGTCTTCACTAGTTAACACTAAAGTTTTCGTCAGAGCTTCGAAATCTGGGAGATCATCTGTACTGGAGTGAAGCAAATTGCTATTTAAAATTTCTGATTGCGCAACACCATTCGCTGGTTTTGGAAAATCGGGTGCTGGTTTCTCGAGTATAGTCTGATGGTAGTCGGCGTCGCTAAAACTCCAATGGTCGTCAATCCCCATTTTGGCGCATGGATGTTGTTCTCCCTCCAGGTCATTGGAGTGCGCAAAAAAATTTGTGAAATGTCAGAAACAAAGCGTCAAACGCCAATGGATGTTGGTGAAGGACAGTACCAACAACATGCCACTTTCACGTGATATGAAACGACGACTTGAAGTCTACCCCGTGTAAACTTCTCGTAAAGCTATCGAATGAGATGAACCCTACCCCCAGTATTTCCCTGTATATGAACTTTGCTGTGCAACATCCCACGGAATATGCTCAATAAATCTCACAAGGGCGTGGATTAGTGATAGGTAAGCACGCGCAGATAAATCAGCATTCCCGATCATTCACCCCACCTGTCAATTTCACCCTGCATGTCATGGCTTGGCTACCTCAGGCTAGTGATGAACTTGGGTTTTTCGAAATTTGTGGGATCAGTCCCACTAGAACTACATTCCAGGACATTACAACAGACGCAGAAAAGCATTCGATCATAACGAAAGAGTTGTTTAAGACATCTCAATCCATAAGCTTCACTTTTGAAATTGAAAGTATTGTGCGGCTACATCCTCAAACATGGCACCTGTCACTCACCCGTACGGCCTACCCCCCTCCAATAACTTCATCACCGCAAACTCCGACTCAGATGGCCTATCCAAATTCACCAAAAGTTCTGATTCCCCCACCGTAGCATGGAAAACAATTCCAGGGCACCAAGTCGCCTTCGCAGATCTACACAAGGTTACCAGCAACCCAGCCTCGTTTTCCAACGACCTCGCCGAGACGGAAAGCCAAGTTCTTGACAATTTCAAAGTGGGCAGTGTCCCCTACGTTGGTGCGCTGTTTCAGCGCATAGATGTACCGCCTGGAAGCGTTACACCCATGCATAGGATGTTGACGCTTGGATACGGTGTGATTGCTTCTGGAGAGGCTGAGTTAGTTCTTGACAGCGGGGATATTCGGGTTGTGAAGCAGGGAGATACGGTGGTGGAAAGGGCTTCCATGCACCAGTGGAAAAATTTATCCCGGACTGAATGGTTGAGGGTCATTTGGGTGTTGATACCCATCCTACCCGTGGAGGTTGGGGGGAAGAAGTTGGAGGAGGAGTTCAAGGGGTAAGAATTGTGAGAATGAATGTTTTATTAGGTGATACAGCGTTCGTTTCCAGATAAATGACAATCATCCAATTCGCTGGTGTAGTGGATGTTCAAGGTGGAAGGCAGATATTCTCAGTGTTTTCTCCTCTAAGTGTTAGGCCGTATCCTAGAAAGGTTGCGAAGACGAAATCAATAAGTTCAAAACGGAATGCAGATTGACGGGATGCGCATTTGAACTTATACAATAATCAACTATTTGCACTGCACTATACCGTGCCGAGTGACTGGAAATGACAAAAATTGATCAATTGCAGTGTGTCGCACTCTCCCCCATGACATGTTGACCTAGCCAATGGTTCGACGGCGTAGAAATCTCTTATAATAGTTTTTTACACCCTGAAAACAAATGACCGGATTTCTTCAAGACTGGCTAAGAAAAGCTCCGGTATGTGGTGACGAAAAACCATCTCACCATCATGTATCATACCCAAATTCATGCGGCCTACAGCATTGACACCAGCCTCAACTAGCTTCCGATAGTAAGCATTCCCTTCGTCTCTCCAAGGATCTAATTCGTCAGTGATGATATAGTGTGGGGGTAATCCCTCAAGATCCTTTTTCTCAGCCCAATACGGCCAAGCAAGCGGATTCCGAGCGTTGTGCTCCGAGGGATCATACAGTTTTGAAGATAGTGCACTTGTTCGCATATTCTCAAGATATCCGTCACACTCGACTAGGCTGGGGAGATTTTCGAGCTTCCACTCCTCCGGTAAATGATATGTGCCGCTAATATACGGAGCTGTGACGAACACGCCATCAATTGCGGATACCCAGCCCTCCTTCTTCGCTTTGAGTGCTGTTGCGAGCGCGAGATTCGCCCCGCCACTGTTTCCTTGCAAGACAATTTTGCTGATATTCAACTCAGCCTTGTTGTTATGAATCCACTGCACCGCTTGCGTGCAATCGTTCAGTCCAGCCGGGAACGGATGCGCACCTGAACGCGTGACGGCGTTGCGAAAGTCAACGATGATGGAAACTAACCCCAAGCGCGCTGTAGCCTCAGCCCAGGTAATGTGCATCGGGTTTTCGGTGCTGAGTATGACCATACCACCGCCATGAAAATACACAACTCCAGGTGGTGGTGTTCCCGAGAGAGATGCGGAGGGGCGATAAAAAATGAGTCTTATCTCATTCCCATCCGATCCAACAACAATCTTTGTCGACCTCACAATCTCAGTCGCACTTCTACTGATCTTTGGCACGCTGAGATCCATATTTTGGTGGATATCCTCGAGTATGTCATTCACATCGAGGACATATGAGATAATGTCTTGGAGGGGCGACTCTCGTGTCAGATTCGTCCCTACATGAGAATCGCCATCGAGATGCAAAGATTGCAAGACTTCAAGTAGCTTGGGATGCGTGCGTGGGTCGGTACCCAGGGTTTTTGCGCGGTCCCCGAGGCGACCCAAGTGCTTAGCTGGAATCATTGTGCGAAGAAGGTCGATTCCCGATGGCGATGGGTGAGTATGGAACAGTGTTGTTGCAGCAGGACAGGAACAAGCACTATCCGAATAAGATTATGTATATTTAACGTTCTATTTACGCCCTAAATTTCTTACAGTATATTTCGAAACGATGGTTATACGGGATATTCCCCACGTTCACGGTCATTAAAGAGCTTTGATGGGCAAGACGCGATTGGCTGGAAACTTGCTCATCACACGGGCCGTGGCATACATGGGGAAGCAAAACGGCAAGCCACACTTGTATACTGCGCCGACCCACAACAGTGGTAACTGAGGAAAATTCCGTCCGCCTCCTGTGATTTGAGCAAAGGCTTTGCTGACTGCATGTGGGACGCATCAGTAGATGCTCAGCAGGCTCAATGACGCAGATGCGGGGGAAGAGGATCTGTCTCTATATTGCTCTTTATCACTCTCCGGAATAGTGATATGCACTCACCTCGGCTTGTCATCTCGGCTTCGCATGTCGAAGTGCACGGCTGTCTCTCGCAGAAGTTTGGCCAGAATCTGCTGTTAGGTGAAAGGCCATCTACATCAAGAGCGAGAACTTGATACAACGAGGCCGGCACATAGAACACGCTACACATTTTCCAGAAATACCGGTCTCAAAAGATGACTGGGTCGAACTCTGGCTTTCGCATGGTTGGAGAAACCCTGTGGTCAAATATACCGACAATCATTATTGTTCTCCCATTCCTACTCTATCTCCTGTATTGGGCAGCACTGCCAAAACCAATCCCCGGAATCCCATACAACAAGAATTCTGCAAAGAGACTACTAGGAGATGTGCCTGAGTTCGTCAAGGAGAAGGATGGGCTTCGGTTTTGGATGCGCGACCAATTCACTGTGCACAATTCGCCCGTCGTCCAAATCTTCACGGCGCCCTTCAAAAGACCATGGGTACTTGTTTCAGACTTTCGAGAATCGCAGGACATGACCGTGCGACGCGGGTCTGAGTTTGATAGAAGTGGGTTGACATATGATAGCTTCGGGGCGCTGGCCCCCAACAGTTACATTTGCAAAAGAACCGATGAACCGATGTACAAGCATAACAGATCACTACTCAAAGATCTTATGACGGCACCCTTTCTCAATCAGGTATCTACAGATTTCGTCAACAAGAAGACGGGCTTTGGGCTAACCATCCCCAGATTTCAGCGCCTGAGATCTACGAGAAATCGTGCGCACTTCTCGATTTATGGTGCGTGAAGACAAATAAAGCAGAAGGTCGACCATTCCAAGCAGACAATGACGTTCATCTTGCAGCGTTAGACGTGATGATGGCCGTGACATTTGACTTCCCACAGTCTGACACAATGGTTCTGAAACAGATTAACCAAATCAAAGATCAAATCCAACCCCTAAAATTATCCGACGGATCGGTCGAGTTTCCGCACGTGGATCTAGATCCGGAATTATATGCATGGTTGTATCTTACGCGAAGCATTGGTGTGGGATTCCAATCGCCTGTTCCAGCGTTTGCGCACTGGTGGTACCTCCAGAGTAGGAAGAGCCGAAACATGATCAGACTCAAGGATGGTATGTGTCACCGAAACATCAAAGCGTCAGTGGAGAGAATGTCCGACACGCGAGCGGACAAGAAGAACATGCGGTGTGCTGTTGATCAGATCCTCCTTCAAGAAAAATCCCAGGCAGAGAAACGTGGAGTGGAACCGAGTTACAACAAAAAGGCCATCTATGACGAGGTGAGTCGCGTGTCTGCTATACCTGCGCTTGACTAAACGGGTACAGCTTTTCATTTATATTGTGGGAGGGTATGATACAACTTCGATAACCTTGACATGGTTTACCAAATACATCGCCGTCCACCAAGACTACCAAACGAGACTCCGCAATGAAATCCGATCTTTCCACACCACGGCACTCGCCGAAGACCGTTTACCATCTGTCAAAGAAATAGTAAACTCCCACATTCCATACCTGGAAGCTTTTATCGAAGAGACCATGCGTTGCAGTCACATCGTTCCCGCGGTGATACGCGAAACAGTCGCCGATTCCCCAGTTCTCGGTCACATGGTCCCGAAAGGTACGCACCTCTGGTTATTCTCCAGCGGACCGAGCTTCATGAAACCGGCGTTCGACATTAACGAAGACGTTCGTTCTGAAACCTCACGACAAAATAAAGACCGAGTGGGGACGTGGAGCCCTGAAGATATCTACAAATTTATGCCCCAGCGATGGCTGAAGAAAAAGGTAGATGATGATGGAGAACATGAAGTGTTTGACTTTAATGCTGGTCCACATATGGCATTTGGTCATGGGCCGAGATCATGCTTTGGTCGGAGGCTTGCGTATTTAGAAACTCGTATTGTGGTGACGCTGCTGGTTTGGAAGTTCCAGTTCTTGCAGGCTGGTGATGCTTTGGATGACTTGACTCCGATAGATACGTTCATGGTACGACCCAGGAAGTCTTATGTGCGACTCAAGGAGGTAGTGCCATAGTGGAAAAGAAAATATAGGATTCTGTGTACTTTAAAAGACGCGTGTTTTCAATACCCAGTGTTTGTGCCGCATGGAAATGCGATGAATTATTATTACGCTTAGTACTTTAAAAGACGCGCGGGACAAGATTGCGTTACTGATGATAGAGTTGCGATACCTTGATCAATTAGTTCTGGTGCGACACTGAAAGGGGAAAAAAAAAAAAAAAAAAAAAAACGCGACCCACTCGGAGACCAGGACAACAATGTAAGTTTGCCTTACATGAGATGATACTCTTTCCTGGAGTGAGTTCAACCAATCCCCGATACAGTTTTTCTCCGATACATTTTTTCTAGCTCCCTGTGAGCAGTTATGTGTGTATTGATCAAAAATACTCCACAAGTACCAGCCTCCAGCTTCTTTTTTATTCTCTCGACGCTGATATTTTCATGTAATCGAGTCGATCTTGGGGTTGAGTTGTGGACGTCTGGATGTTAAGAGCTTGAGCCCAATCCCCGCTCGGCCTTTCCAATAATGACTCATCTCAGTCACGTGATTTCACGTGGCATTGAGCGCATTTGACGTAGTGACGTATACGACGTTCCAACGATCTAGTGGAGATGTACGGATTAGTAATGTTAAGGTTAAAAACTATAGTACGCTTGTTGCCTTTTAATATAAAAAAAAGCTACAGCAAAGTTCTTATAAAGCTTTCTACTTCTATTAACCCTGTCCTACTTACCTGACCCTACCTACCTCGCTATGGCACCCACTCTGACACCCACGCCGCGCGACGAACCCTTCAGAATCAACGCCAATACTTCACGTGGCATGTGTGCTGCCTAGAGCTTTATGGCGGATTTTTCAGTGTATTTACTCTTTGGTGTTGAGCCGTATCAAAAAAAAAAGGGTGCGTGAAATTGATATAATGTTATGCTGTCATTCACCCACGCCAAAGTCCGCTTTCGTGATACCACTCTGATCGCACATTCCCCTAAAAGCCCCACCTAACTCGAAAAGCGCCTTCGGCTTACCAATTTCCACAACTCCCCCACGCTCCACAACCGCAATGCGATCATACGTAAGCACCGTATTCAGCCTATGCGCTATACACAGCAATGTTTTCCCTGCAAAGCCTTTCAGCATAGCTTCCTGAATCTGTTGGTCTGTCTGTCCATCCACACTCGACGTAGCCTCATCACAAACAATGATCCGACTCTGGCGTAGTAACGCCCGCGCCAACGTCAACAATTGACGCTGTCCGAGCGAGAAATTAAGGCCTTCCCCGTCGACGATGCTATCGGGCGTTATGCGATTGGCATTGCTGTTTGAAGGGTTGGAGGTAACGCTGACTTGGCGGAGGACGTTCCAGAGCTCGTGGTCGGAATGTTGGTTGAATGGATCGAGATTGCTTCGGATTGTTCCACGGAAGAGCACTGGATCTTGGGGGATTATGGAGATTCGGGAACGAAGTGTTTTGAGACTTATATCGGTGATGTCGATGCCGTCAACGGATATTGTGCCGCTGGATAGGTTTACCATGCGGAAGAGGGCATTTAAGACACTGGATTTCCCTGCGCCTGTTCGTCCGATTATGCCGATCCGTTCACCCCCCATTATATGAAGATTGAAGTCTTTGAGGACTAGGGGAAGGCCTTCACGATAGCGCATGTGAATGTCGCGGAAGATAATTTCACCTTTATCTGGCCAGGTTTCGGAGACGACGTGGGGAGGCGGTTCTTTTGGTTCCTCCTGTTCCAGCTGGGTGACATAGTAGTGCACTCGCTCAGTAGCATTCATATTATTTTCCACTTCCGTCATTTGCCGGGCACCAAATTGAAGAAGTTGCACAGCGGCGAGAAGATGTGAAAGTACAAGCCCAACGAAAGATGGGTTGACGACGGACCGATGGAGGATGATGAGGAGGCCGACGATTAAAATGATAGCATTGCCCACAGCATCCAGACGGATCCCTAGCCACCTTTGACTCGCGAGTGCCGGGAAATTGATACTGTTCATGTCGTCTATTCTGCAATATAGTGATCTCAGGAAGTGACTTTCAACGCCATAGGCCCGAATAGTTGCTGCTCCGTTAACGACTTCGCCAAAACTTGTAAACACGAAGCTTCTCTGGATAGCTTCGAGGCGTTTCAGATCTCGGGCTACATTTCGATAGTATGCTATGGTGCAGTAACAGACCAAAAGGAGCGGAACAGTGGGTATTGCGAAATAGGGAAAGTACGCTGTGATAAGAACCAAGGTACCCACGACGATCCCAACCGTAGTAAATAAGGCACGAAGTGACTCAGTCAAGTTGTTATCCATGATATCTATGTCTTTGCAGAGCCGGTTGGTGATTCGACCAGTGGGGGTTGTATCGAAGAATGTCATGGGTGCATGGAGTACCCTATCCAGACTACTGTGAAGCATATTCCTGCTGGCTCGAGTTCCGAAGGTGGAAATGCCAAACGCGAACAGAAATACAGTCAGGATCTGCAAGATTCCAAGACTTAGATACACTGCAGCCTGGGAATTCTCAGTATCTTCCGTACTTAATGGGATTCATATTTAGTTGCTTACTCGTATACCGAGAGGGAAGCTCCATCTCTGTGCTGTCCAAAATGCCAACCATAACGTTGTAGCAATCGCTGATGCTTGTGACAAAACTAAAAGCACAAACAAGAACAGTACTCTTGTATAGCCTCCCGCCGCTTTGGCATACGAGTCATATACATTCCAGGATACTGGTTTGACCACGCGCTCTTCGTTAGCCATCAAAGTCTTCGATTTCTCCTTTGTCTTCTTTCTTTCGCCTGTTTGGACTCCGGCATCAACGTTTTTGATTTCCTCAGTGGGCATTGACCGATTATCAACGGTCGTGGAATTCGTCGTGAGAAGTTTTGCAAAAGCCTCATTGGACTGGATAAGATTGGGGAACGTGTCATTCGCCACCAGTCGACCATCTTCGATCCACAGAATGCGATCACATCGATGAAGAATATCGAGTTGATGAGTCGCAACTATTCGTGTCTTATCCTTCAATAACGGGCCGCAAATAGCATTTTCAAGAATATGATGTCGAACATGAGCATCGACCGCAGAGAAAGGACTGTCAAAAAGAAGGAGATCAGCATTGGAATACATCGCGCGCGCAATGCTAACCCGTTGTTTTTGACCCCCTGAAAGCGTGATTCCTCGCTCGCCAATCTCTGTCAAGTCGCCGTTCACGAGAAGATTTATGTCCTCCCGAAGGGCACATGCATCAATGATGTTCTCATACAACGCAGCGTCCCACTGCCTCCCAAATAAGACATTGGCTCGCAATGTTGCATTCTGGATCCACGGTTGTTCTGGACAGATAGCGCGGCGTGTAGAACCGATTGTGATGGATCCAGCGGTTTTTCTCATCTCACCAGCTAAAGCTGATAGAAGAGAGCTTTTGCCGGCCCCTACGGTGCCAATGACGGCCACGAGCTCGGCCCGTAGAATGGTGAGATTGACATCTGCTACTCTGAACGGCTCTTGGAATGCGGTCGGACTGCCATTGGCCGGCGTTTTGGTGCCTTTGGCGTTACCGGTGTCTCCACATTGACTTTGCTCCCACGTGAAGTTGCCGCACTGGACCTCGATCGCATGATTTGCGGTGGCATCCCAGATAGAACCCTGAGAAATCTCCTCGGCACCGAGATATTCACTTATCCTTTCGATTGAGCTGATCGCGTCAATGACTTGGCTCATTACAGTTGGAAGAATATTCAGAGGCAACCGCAGTCCATTGAAGAGGGCCACCGAAGAAAACACGGATGCAGGCTCTAGAATATTATTTTTCGAGTATGCTACAAAGCACAGAATACATGAGAAAACCGGTACAGAAGCAGACGTGGCATTAACGAAGTTTTTGATAGCCATGAGTAATTGGAGGGAAGCAATCTCCTGCTGTCGAATGACGTTGATGCGGTCGAGGAAGGGCGTTTCCCAAGAATAGTACTTGATCAAACGCACAGCCTGAACTATCTCGTATGTGAGACTGACCCTCTGGTCGGTGATTTTGTTGATTGCTACTCGACGCTTCATGAAGCTCTGCGCGGTGCGTGTCAAAACGACGGCGAGGATCAAGAGGAGGCTAAACCCAGCCAACGCGTAGTAGCTAAGATTGATGATCAGTAGTACAAGTGTGAGAAGGATGCTGAACAGGGAACCCCATAGCATATGGAACAATGCGAGTCCCTGGTCGATGCGATAAGTATCTGTTGACATGAGGTTAATGATTGCACCATTAGGGTATTCTCGAGAAACTGTTGCTAGTTTGCTCATTTCCTTCGAAAGACCAAGAACCCTCCATTTCGGCCCGAATTTCGGCTTTTTGGCGTCCGTTGTCGATGGTGGAGTGGTCGCTAGTTTGACTTCTGCTGCCTCACCACCTGCACGCGCCCGTCCAGACAGCTTCAATGTCTTATTGTAGATGGCACCGATAAGCGCAGTCCTCGACTGCGCTCCTACAAGAGCCCCATAATGTTGGAAATGATTGCTGCACACAGACCGAGCTATACCCAATGCGAAAAGCCCGATAAGAATGCCAATCCCTTGACCAACGGGCGGCGGAGCTTCCCCTGGAGTCTGATGCGCTCTCCATGTCTTCTGCGCAAACAAAATCAGGTATCTCATGAGGAAAGGAGACATGACGTTAGAGATCGATTGCGCCAGATGATAGAAGCCCCCTAGAAGAAATTGCCACTTGAAGATGTCGTAGAGCGCCCATAGCAGAGGTCGTCTAGTACCGCTTTTGCGACGGCGCAGGAGTGACGCGTCGAGTTCTTTTACGAGAACCTCGCAGCTTTGCTCTTCGTCAACTAGCCAGACGTCGTTGAAATTCACTGGTCGTTTGAACCCCGTCTAAAGATGAGGATTAAATTTTGTTCAAGACTTGTACCAAACGAGCACTGACCGTTATGATCGGCTGTATCCATTGGAAAACAAGCCTGTTGAGCCAGCCAATGTCCTGCTTTGGAAATGGATTTTGGTATTTTGGTACGGGAGGTGGGCATCTCTTGAAGGGATTCAAAACTTTTTCGCGTAGATTACGATCTTTGTTTCCATTCTCGTTTTTCCGAGTGTTCGAATTGACCTCATCCATGGTTTGGAGTCGTTATTTGGATCGGCTATGGAACCACGGTCGGTAGATGTAGACCCTGGGTTTGCAAACAAACACGCACGGTAAAAGTAAGGGAAGGACGCCCTTTTAACATTGAAATTTTCTGAAAAATGCACGTGATGGGTTTCGTCGCTAGAAAAAAAGTGCGCGCATTAATATGATGCGACACACTCAACTTGGGAAAGTCACTACGCATCAAGTTATTGGCGCTGGTTCGCCAACCCAATGCCGTTTGTTATCTACTTTCCCGCCGCTATCTCGTGTTCCTAACCCGCAAATACAAATATATGTTTCCCAAGGAAGAACGACACAACCTTCCAATTTCGACTGCAATTTAGCTGCTAGTTGAAACTAGTCCAACATTCACACCAATCTCCCATCCTTCTCTCGCTCAGCCAGGTACTTCTCGACCTCATCTTCTGCTTTCCAATCATCGCCTTTCCACATCAAACCCAGCACCAAATACCCAACCCACCTATATCTCACACACATGTATATGAATAAATACCAAAGATACTCCAGTGCCACGGACCTAATGGGTTTCTTGGTAAGATACATGCGCCTAGCTCGATCCCTGATCGCAGCCGTCCTAGGACTCCGAATCTCAAACAACGCTTTCGAAGTGGCATCAACAGCCTCCGCAACAGACATCTTGCCCTTTTCTGCTCTCCCCAGATAATGGCGCAGTAATTGGCATAGAGTTACTGTATCTTCTAATGCTTGCCCTGCTCCCTGTCCACTCATAGCACGAAGCGTATGCGCCGCATCACCAACCAGCAGCGCACCCTTCGCGCCCCAGAACGGTAAATCTGGCGTCGTCCAGACGGGGTAAATACGATCCGTGGACATTTTATCAATGATACGCTGGATTACAGGGTCATTCCAGGTTCCGTGTCGTTTGCGGAGTTCGCGTCGCACATCTTCGACGTTCATGACGTTGCTGGAGGGGAAGTCGGATATGCCCCAGTTTGACCACCATGATAGGACTCTTTGGTTCACAGGGGCGGCGGAGCAGTATCCGAAGGAACCCGTAGGGCCGAATGTGAAAACCATGGTTTTGTCTTTTGTGATGGACTCGGGAATGTCCTCGTCCAGGAAGGAGCCTACGCCGGCGAACCCTCTACATGATTGGGACTGTGGTTAGCACTTGCGTTTGTCAATCTCAAAAAGCTTTGGATTGTTCTTCCTGCTTATTGTGGGGACCTCTTCGACTCACTCAAACTCAGTAGCATACTTTCCCTCCGCATCGTCTCCAAACAGCGCGACACGTACCACGCTCCGAGCACCATCGGCTCCAACCACAAGGTCCGCATCCTCGGACTCCCCATTCGCAAGTGTAACCCTCGGTTTCCCTCCGCTCAAGTCCACACCAATAACTCTCTTATACTCAATATTATTCTCGCCTACAACCTCGTGCAGAAGCTTCCAAAAGCTATACCTTGGAAGACACACCGTATACTCGGGTGGATCCTGGAAATCTACAACAGGCACCACGCCAATCGTATGCCCTCGTGCAGTCTTGAAAGTATAGTTCTCGTTACAGTATCCTCGCGTTTTGAACAAGTCATAAAGCTTTTGATCGATTTGCTTGATCAGACGCACGCTATCCGCAGTAATACTGATGATATTGCCAATGACGGGCGCCGAGTCGGTTAATGAGCCTAGCATTGAGGGGAATGGGTTCGCGGCGCCCGTGGGCAGTTCGTCGTGAGGATTGTGAGACTCATAGACGTGGATGCTATGGGATTCAGGAGATGGCAACGTCTTGCGAAGATACAACCATGTTGTGAGTCCAGAAAGACCTCCGCCGACGATGATAATTTTCATGGCAGATTCTTGGGTTTGGGGAAGAAGCAGCGGGCCAAGAGGTGTTGCATAGCTGCCTCGCAGAAAGCGAGCTGGGCGGGAAGGCTTGACTTGTGGGTCGGCCAGTGTGTCTTCTCTTCAAAATCGGATTGTGTTCTTTCTCCCTCACTTGGGATCTGCAAGATAATCGGAGAGGTAAATTGAGCTGGTTTCTGCAATGTAGTCGTTGCAGTCTGCAGGTTGCATGTGGCATGCTGCCAAGAACGCCTTTCACTATCGTGCTACTTTAGCCCGACTAATAGGGTGAAAATGATTGAGGTACTATCACAACCACGTGTTTGTTCATCAGCTGGCTATGTAAGACGAGTAATGGGGTAAAATTAGGTGTACATGGTATTTTCATGACGTCTAGGAAGAGACATGTCAAGGTAACGATTATATCAAGCCCCTCCAATTCACGATCGATGGAGACAAGTCCGACTGTTACGTGATTTCACGTGATATGTGCTGCTTGGATCTTGAGATGAATCTTTGTTGTTTTCTCTCCGAGTGTTGTACGAGATCTCATTGATTAAGGTCTCGCATCATCACATCATCCCATCATCTAGGAGACAAATTCAAGAGGTCTTTTGGGTTGCACCGACTTGCACATGGTCTTATCTATCGGTATGCTTCATGTTCCACAAATCTTGTTACGGGGTTGAGAAATTTAGATAGATCTGTAGAAAAGATAGATATGAGATTGAATCGCACAGCTACATGTCTGTCTCCATTTCCTCCACCGACTTCACAGATCCCTACGATCCTTTCCTCTCGTCTCTTCAATTGCCCGCTGTCTCAGCTGTCTGCGAAGCAACTTCCCCAAAACGCTCTTCGGAAGCTCCTCAACAAACACTATGCCTCCGCGAAGCTGCTTATAAGCAGCTAACTCATCTTTCACAAAACCCTTCACCATTTCGGCATTCAACTCATATCCCCGAGCAGCGACCACATACGCCCTCGGGATCTCAGAATACGCAGTCCCGTCACTGGATTCACTCGCAAGAGCATCGGGAATTCCCACAACGGCAGCTTCAAGTATCTCCGGGTGCGCAGTTAGTGTGCTCTCAATCTCCGCTGGGGCGATCTGGAGGCCCTTGAATTTAATCACATCCTTGATGCGATCAACAATATACAGCTTTCCATTTCTTTCGACAGCTACATCACCAGAGCAGTACCACCCTTCATGAAACGCACTATCTGTCAATTCTGGGTTACGAAAGTAACCTCTCGTATGACAAGGCCCACGACTGATGATCTGACCAGGCGTCCCAACACTGACATCGTTGAATTCTCCATCGACGAGGCGCAATTCCGAATTTGGCACCACCACGCCGATACTACCAGTCGAATCTGGCTGGGGCGCCGAGAAATTGGGAACAGTGAGCGCGCCCGTATTCTCGCTGGACCCATAGACCTGCATAGCGAACATGTCCGCGCGGCCCATTTTTTGGTTCACTGCTTTTTGGAGTTTCCCATCAAACGGCGCTGCGCCACCCGATACGAGTCTGAGGGATTTGAAGTGGTCTGTTACCTGCGGATCTTTGATGATGCGGAGCCAAATGCTTGGAACCGTGGCCATGAAGGTTGGTTCGAGGATGCGGCTGTAGCGCAGGAAATCAATCCATTCGTATTTTCTCATCCAGAAGATGAGACCCCTTCTACGGACGGGATTGAGCATATAAAGATTTACGGCTGTGATGTGTGCAGGCTCGAGATGGGCCAAGGTTCGGATGGGGAATCTCTCGGCGACTTTGGTGGTTAGGGGATCGGCAATAATGGCTTGGGCTACGAGGTTGGTGTGTGAGAGCATGACGCCTGCATATGAAGAACCATTAGTGTGGGCTGTAATGTGCGATATAGGTGAATTGATCATCGGGGATCATACCTTTTGGCTCACCGGTGGTCCCTGCGGAGTACAGCAACGCAACTAGACTTTTATCCAATTCATCTCTGTCAGTGATCCGAGACCACGACAATCTGTGCTCCACTGCAATCGATCTCAATCGCGCATCTCCATCTTTCCCATCGACGTGTAAATTAAAGTCAGGATCGGATTCCAAAACAAGAATTGTGACCTTTCTGTCGGTGATGGAAGCAACGGCCTCGCGCGCAACGTGCAAGACGTCGCGACTAGCGATCAAGACCTTAGCATTGCTTTGATTGATTTGGCGCGCAAGTTCAGAATGCTTGTAGCTCGAGGAGGCAAGCGATGCCACACCGCCAGCGGCGATGACAGAGAAGAGTGCGGCAGGATAAGCAACTTGGCCTGTGGAGAAGATGACCACGACATCTTGGTAAGGTCCCTGGGCGCCAACACCCACCTCGTTGCACAGGCCGTACGCGAACTCTTCGATCAGCCGCTGTAGACCAGCTTTGTTGAGATGGATGCTGGGCCTCTCGGCGTCAGCATAGACGATGTCGGCCGGGGATGTGTACGAGTATTCAGAGTCTACCACAAGTAAGCGCTGTTACGTTCCTTGGACGGGTGAGTTGCGTACCAAATAGGAAAGTCAGGAGATCTAGGGGCGGAATGTGCCTAGGTGTCGGATTGCGATAGACTCCATCATGTGACCTCATGTTTCCGATGTGACCAAGGTATATCTGAGACTCGAGCCCTCTAATTATCAATGCGAGGGTCGGAACCCAGGCGGGTAAGATAACCTTGCGGCTTGATATACCTCAATCTGTCGGGGATCAACAAAGTCTAATGAACGATCATGCAGCTGAGCGCATTTGAGACTATTGCGTTCGTGTGCGCCCCCAGATTGACTGGTATGATTGATTGGATTGCAGGGCGATCAGATGTTTTTCAGTCAAGATTGACGCGTGAACAGGGTTGTTGGCCAACGTTCACACATCACACGTGATATGAACCATTCGCTACGTGGAGGGAAACAATTATATCGGGAATTAAAAACACTAATGTAAGCCCACTTGATTACACGACGGAAAAATAAACGATACGCCATCATGCACCGCAACCTGTGAGCCCAAAAATTACAATGTGAACGACTCAGACACAAACTGGACGCGTCTGGTACGACCCAGTCTGCTTGCAATCCTTCGCACTTCCTCCTCCATGCCCGATGGACCTGATACAACTACCGCAAAGTCACCGTTGACACCCCCTAATATGCCCTCAAGATCGAGGCGTTGAGCAACAGCCACTTCGTGGTGAAATGGTTGTATCAAGGGTTTTATAGAGTCAGCCAGGGCCTGGGTACGTACACCCCAATACAAAGATGCACTCCCAGGGTGTGCATTCAGGTAGGGCAGGCAACCCGTGATACCCACGCCGCCGGCAATGCAGATGAGCGTCGGAAACTCTGAAAGATCGTGAAGTCTACCGTAAGGGCCCTCGATCAAGACCTTGACCTGCGATCTGCGGAGAAGAGCTTTGGTAGCCCCATCAAGTACGCGCAGATAAAAGACCATGCCAGGCTCCGTAGTAGAGTGGTTGTGTGCTGTGTACATCTTCATTTGCTTGGATTCGGCAGCACGAGTCTCTTCGTGGTCATTGACAGCAGTGGGCGATTCAGTCCGGTCAGAGTAGGCCTGTTCATTGGGCTGAGTGTGAATGGTAGAGCTTGCTACGCTAAAAGGATGATTTTCCCAAAAGCGTGAGTGGAGAAAATAGAGATATACATGGCCAGTTGCCACGACACCTTTCACGTTGATCCGGATGTATTCGTCGTCCACCTCTGTGACGTGAGCGGTACGTACACCGTAGCGGAGCATGCGAAGCAGCCGCCCCAATCGATCAAACCCCCAAAGGGCGAAGGCGATATACAACCAAGTCTCGTAGCCAGAATTGTGCTGATACTTGAAATAGATGTGATACCACGATCCAAGAAGTGTCAAGATTGACAAAAATACATGACTGACGAGGAATAGCTCGTACACACGTTTGCGTAGAACAGGTATGGACAAGGGAAGCATTAGAGAAGATGCGATAGTTCCAATGCAACCCCACCACCAGTAAGGTAGAGTCTGGTCCGTTTTCAGTAGACCCGAGATGAGCCAGCCATTAAGGAAGACGATGGAGTGTAGAATGGTTTGCAGAATCGCGATGCGGCCGACCCAGCGATGCAAAAGAACAAATGTCGATGGTTCCCAGTTCGTTATCCACAGCAATACATTGTTGCGGGAGGAGAAAAGGATTAGAACAACATAGTTTGCAAATGCCAATAGTCCCATGCGATTTGCTAAAAGGCCTTTAATCATGTCCGGACCATTCTTCCAGAAAAACGGGTAGCTATCAGGAGCAGACTTCAGGCCTACAGCAGACAGGACGACGTTGATGACGATGAGATAGGCGATGAACAGAGCTTGGCCTCGGGTTGGTGGATCTCCAACCACGGTAGCGATTGGGGAGTTGGACCAAGAATTGGGCAGACTAGGATACACAAAACGGGCACTGAGGGCACTCGCTACACGATTGGAGGGGAATGGAAGGAAGCGTAGCAAAGAGAGAGCGACGGGGAGCCCGACGCTGGTGAGAAAGACAACCATGGCCAGGTTCTGATGAAGAATTTCGGCTTCTTGGTTGACGTCGATTGAGATGAAGCGGGATTTGTAAACCTTCTCATCCGGCAGACAGGTCTGGTTCATGACGGCGGCCTTTGCGCACGAGTAGGTCGGCGGCTTGGAGACCAGGGCAAGGGCAGCGCCATAGGATAGAGAAGGGCGGGGATCGGAGGCCAGATTGCCTACAACATAATTCCACCACCATTTTTCGAGCTTCCAGTCAGGCCACACGGCACATTTCTGGTGGAGGCACCAAGCCTGTGAGGTGAGGAAGTCGCGATTCTGGGACAAACACAAGGGACTAGGCGTCAGGGTGTAGTTGTTGGGGATGTCGGTACTGCCGGTGTGAGTGGAGCCGCCCCCATGACCGGTGGAAGAGCCTTTGAAGGATGCTTTGTCGGTGCAGTACATGGGTGATTTGCGGAAGACGCCTTGGCACGCACCAGCGCAGACTGGATCGTACAGGTAGAAGCTAAAGCCGACGAAGCCCTGGCGCGAGCGACCAGCCTGCCAGGCGCTGGCTGTTCCCGAAAGGAACAGAAGAAGCGGAAGTATTTGTGTGAGCATCATCTTGGTTGAGTTCTGGTGATGAATCAATCAATGGATTAATGCGAACGACAGACAGCATGGATGAGCGATTCAAAGCCGCATGTGCTGCCCTCGTCTGCGCTGCCAGGGAACTAAATACTTACTCAGATACATCGAGTGCACAGACACGAGTTCAGAGACGAGCCCTTGAAGGCGTGTCGGAAGCTGAAGACGGTTCGTATCGGCAGCATGGTTGGCTGGCTGGTTGATTGGCATGGTGAAGGCTTAGGAGGCGGTCGTGATGCGGCGCAGGCGACTACCCAGATGGGAAGACGAGCTAGTTATTAGTCAGACGTTACGCTGTACCACATGGTATCGTAACATACGCGCCCGTATTCTTTCTGGCCCGCCCAGACCTGATAGGTCGGAGCTATGTACAGTCCTCAAGCCTTTTACCACCCACTAAGCCAGGGCATGGGAGCTTGTATGAACCTCAAGCCTCGCAGTCATGTTCCCTGGCCGCATGGTGCAGCTGAATCCACCTCCTCATCCTGTGCCAATCAAGCAACATACATACAAGCCAACATGCTCAAAAATGCTCCATTGTTGGGCAACACTCTGCCCGGTCCATCTGATCTATCCGGTTTCATCAATAAAAGCAGTGCAACGTGTACAGCATCAATTGATATGTAGTTGAATGTGACCTGAAGACCCAAACATCTATACACACCGTCTTTTCAACCCACCCTCAAACAAAATAAAAAATCCGCAGCCAATTCGCTATCCCCCCTCCATCTTCCAGTATTCAAGTCATGTCGGACGACTCACAGGTCTTCTGGGTCCTGACTACCGTAGACATTAATCCCAACAAAATCCCAGAGGTGAGTGGCGCCCGTACCGCCTCCGAGCCCACGAGTCAATGTGCTGACCGACCGGCAAGGCTCTCGAGTGTTTCAACGAAGTGATTCAGAGCACCAAGGAAAACGAGCCCGATTGCCTCATTTATAGATATTACAGGTCCGAAGTGGGCGAGGGCAACACTTTCTATTGGATCGGCAAGTGAGTGAATCCCCTTTCCGGAATTGCCTCGTGCGGCGTCGGGCACGAGGATGAACAGATGAAATGAGGTGGGGAAAATAAGACTCCTTGCACTCACTCTCTGACACCACTCTAATCTCACCGTTGTAAGATACAAAAACCGCGCCGCTTACCTTCACCATCGAGAATTGCCGCATCTTCTTGCTTGGGTAAAGAAGTGGCCCAATAGAGAAGAGCGACACTCTGACATCTTCACCTCGCGATGGGTTTTCCATAACATGAGCCCCGAACTTGGCGCCATCGGCTGGGAGCGTTAAAATGGTTTTTGAGGACACATGTATGATAATGCCGCATAGCTTTACACTTTTCAGGTCAGTCCTAGATAGATACGTATTCACATGTGCCTGGCCTCGGCCCTCGGGTGCCTACATACAGATACCTAGGTATGTATGCACTTGCTCTCAGCTACAGCGAGATCTCAATGCAGTAGGAAGAAACCAAACTACTATAGTTTTTACAAAGTTTTTTTTTTTTTTTTTTTTTTTTTTTTCTTTTTTCAAAGATCCTGCTTTACTACCATCGACCTATTTGACCGATGATTCTGAAAATGGCATCCGAACATACATATGTGGGGCAGCACGTGCTCTACCCCGTTGCAATTCAGAGCACCAAATGCATGTTTCTTGTTGCATCTCCAATCGGTGCTATCTCTAGTCATAGCCAGAGCGCTTTTGCGAGCAAAACTTCAAGCCCATCGAAACTTCTAGACCCACCTTGGAATTCCTGCTCAAATCTTCTCACCCCCCTACCTATCCCGCCGTGATGTGAATGCGGCATATGCATTGGGTGGGGCAAATAAATGGTTCACGGTTGGCAAACTTCTCTGGATGCCAAACTTCTTGACAGAAATGCTTCTTGCATTGCCGATCTCCCCTCGTCCAATCCAAACAACCTCATAATAATTCACTCACCAGTGCCAAAATAGACGGTTCAGCCTTCTTCGTGTCCAGAAGCTGCCTGAATGCCCATTCCGAAGCTGATCGGTCGCACCGTCTCCGACTCAGACCGCTGATTATCCCGCGTTTCCTCACTACGCCGTCAAACTTTGACAATGGACAAAGCGCAAGATGAGCTACATACCGGCCTTCCCGAGCTACGCACCGACTGGATCGGCAGTACCACCCTCGTTGAGGTCCCGCTCCCCGCGAAACGTATCCTCGAGGACTACGCCGGGGTGCCCGGCGAAAACATCATGGCACACCTTGATCAAGTCGTGCGTCCGGTCCCATTCCCAACGTGCAATACAGTCACGTAAACAAGCAAACTCTGACGCGAATTCTCAATTGCAGAGAGCAAAAGCTTTGGAAACTGTATGTTCGCTGTCTAGAATACATACCTAGACTATGATAACGTTCATTATTCATGACGCCCGCGACTCACTTCTCATACAAAGTATCATTACCCGTGCATCGGGGAGTATCGCTTTCTCGACCTCCAGATTACCAAGTCGCCGGCGTACCCGCAGATTCTTTCGCGCCTCCGACAGGGCGCGCGGCTACTCGATGTTGGGTGCTGCATCGGACAGGAACTAAGACAGCTGGCAGGTTGAATTCAAGCGATGCTGAGGAGACAGAAAGATGTGGATCACTAACAAACTTATAGACATACGATGGCGTCGAATCCTCGAACCTTTATGGGATAGACTTATTTGGGGACTTTTTCCAAGTAGGGTACGATTTATTCCGCGACCGAGACAGCTTTCGAGCGACGATGTTGGCAGCAGATCTGTTTGCAACAAACAACACTGATCTGTCTCGACTACTTGGCACGATGGATGTAGTATGGTCTGGGAACCTATTGCATCTGTTTCTGTGGGAGAGGCAGCGTCAAGCGCTGTTATTTATGCGGATGATGCTGGTCGATTCACCAACGACTACGATTGCTGGGAGGTTTATGGGCAATGCGAATCCTGGCGAACACCATTATGGCTTCCGCGGGAGGACAGATTCCATGTATCGGCACGATCAACAGTCTTTCAAGACCTTGTGTCAGGAGGTTTTTGATGGGACGGGAGAACGTTGGAGTATAGACGTGCAGGCGTTTGACTGGGTCGAGACACTGAGCCTGCGTACAGTGGGGCAAAAGGATGATACTTGGACGCTTGAGATTAGATTTGTGATTACTCGATTAAGTTGAATAGGTAGATGTTCATAGCCTTGGTAGGTCACATACCTCGTTCTGAACAATATCAATTGCCTTCCGCAGCTTTGTAAGTGATCCCTTGTGGACATGGCTAATTCCCCTGCAACTATTTCACGGTCCAAAATAGTCGTTTCCAATCTCTTGTGCTTGATGAGAAAGCCCGCGATACCTAACTCTCTTGAATAAGCCAATCTATCTCTTTTCCTCCACAAAGCCTGGTTCACGCCGACACTTATCCTCCCCAACCCTCCCAAACAAAACAATTCACAGATCCTTATGTTCTAAGAACGCACTCGGCGGTTTCCTCGCCGGAAAACTAGCCTCATGTGCACTCATAAGCTTAATCAGCGTGACCTCGGACCTCGCTATCGCCGTTAATCCAACCGGTCTTCCCCTGAAATCAATATATCCTATCGGCAACGAGCAATTAGGAAACCCTGTATACACATATCAGTATTTCGGAAACTCTTGGATCCCCCGATGTATAGCGCTCTAACCTGTGGCGGCAGAATACTTTGTAAACCAACTATCACCAGGTCCGATGATAACATCGATGCTGTATTTTTCCAATGTGTCGGGAAAACTCTGTCCGACTTCCTTTATGTGCTTCAGAAGCTTTTCGCGGCGATCGGTGGAGCGTGGGAAAGAAAGAGCTTCTTCGAGGGATTCTTGGCCGGGGTTCTCTATCTTCACCATTAGTTATCGACGAGAGGTGATCCACATTCATCTCCTGCAAGAATATTGGGTAATCTACCCACCCGCAGGAAGTGCTATATGCTCATTTGCGTAGTTCCATTGCAAAAGCTCTTTGACTGATTGTACTTTGGTGTTGATCGTATCCTCCAAGTATCTGTCGAAATCACGCTCGAAATCGGCGACTGCATGGGTTGTCAGAACCAGAAAGACTCATACCAATGGATAGCATACTCATTATTTCGACAATCCCATTCCCTCCTTCGTAGTTGAAATCCCGGTCATGACGTAGAGAAACATCGAAATGGTACGATTTGGCGAGACATCGAATTCGATCGTACGCCTCAAGTGTAATACGCTTCTGGTGGCACAATTAGCACGATTTCTACCTTTGCGACTCGAAGCAGCGATGAGCAGTTACAATATCCTGAATGGCGCTCGGGTTTTCAGTCTGAATACTACCATCGTATCTCCATTTTTCCGGATCCAAAACCCCGACACTCAATTCCTCCCATCCATCAGCACCACGCATGGCAGTCAAATAACCACCTGAAGGCACATCCGGTCTGTTCGAACCTACCAAAACCGTGAGCAGATTGGCGATATCTTCAGTGGTTGTGCCTATAGGTCCAGCGACATCCAGATAAGAACTTATCGGTACAATCAACTCGTTGCTGACGGAGCCTCGAGAAGGTTTGATGGAATATAGGGAGTTTCGTGTCGCGGGGCAGTTTATGGAACCTTCAGTATCGGTGCCTATAGAGATTGGAGCGAGGCCTGCGGCTACAGCGATGCAGCTTCCGGAGGAGGAGCCGCCGGGACCCTGTCAGCAGTTATTTTAGCGATTGACTTTAAATGTGTAATCAAATCGTGCTGAATGGTGATGCATTGACATCGCCATCAATAAGATCCGGCACCACACTGACTTATTGTGATGATGCGAGACCTTGATTATCAGGGTCTTGTACAACACCCAAGTGATTTGTGCTGCCTGGAGCATGGCTGATTTTCTCCGTATTCTCTCTTCCAAGTGTTGAGCCGTATCCTAGGAAGGATTCGAAGATCACATCAAGAAGTACAACACCCAGAGAAAAAATAAACACACACACACACACACACACACAATAACTCGCATCAGAAGGCCCAGGCAAATCGGTCTTGACGTACGCTGTGTCCACTGATGCCATCAGATCGGTCGTATCCACCCATCACGTATGGATTTTGACCTTGACCACATAGAGATGACCATCCGGAGCTGACCTTGTGACCTCTGATCGTATTAGATTGGCCGGTGCTGAGGTGGGGTGGATGCGGATGTATACTTGAACCAATTCAATTCCTGGAAACAAGAGATTAGGGACTTCCCACGAGCTGGCTAAGCGCAATACTAACTGAAAGCGTAGCTTTACCCAAAATGATTGCTCCCGCATCTACGAGCTACTCTACGGTCAGTGTTTTTCCCCAAAGATATGCACTTCGTGGGCGAAAGCAGTATGTATGAGTGTATAATAAAAAAATGGCAATGTGGAATGCTCACCTGATCAACAATTGGCGAATTCCTCCTCGGGATAGATGCAACAAGCGCAGGCGATCCAGCTGTAGTATCCATCTCAAAACTACCATCTGTCCCAATATTATCCTTCAACAAAACCGGAATGCCATGCAGCGGACCGAGAACAAAGCCTTCCCGTCTCAGTTGATCCAAGTGCTCCGCGCGCGCCATCGCACCGGGCGCTAATTGGTGAATCGCTCGGAGGTATCCATTGAAGGAAAGAATTTGACGGTAATATTCGCGCAGGATCTGGACGCTCGTGAGCTCGCCGGAATGTAACCGGAATTGGAGTGCACCTGCTGAACTCGTGAGTGAATCGAATAACGGCGCAGTGTCTTTGGGGAGGGTTGGGATCCAGCCGGTCAATTGGGCCCTGCCTTTGGCAACTGCCAGTGAAGAGGTCATCGTGTCACAAACAGCTGCTGTGCATTATGATGTGGTATGGTGGGGAGGGGGGGGGATGTGTGCGGTTGTTGCGAATTATACTAGTGCAGATCTCGCGCGGTCTACATGTTGAACTGATCTCTGGACTTCTGCAAATAATATGCAAAAGCCTCAAAACCCCGCACGCTGATAAGACACATCAAGTAAACAATCGCATCATTGCAGCGGAGACCGAAACGCTTATTTATGCTGCAGCGTACACGCGAACTGAGCAAGGAAGGTCAGAGTATGAGACCCTAATCCCCTTTCGTATACCCAGTTCTGGGTACCCTTGACATTTTCTTTCCACATCTTGGAATTGGCATTTAATTGGCTCAATCACCATTCAGATCATATCATTGTTAGAAAGTAACCCGCCTTTTTTGTCGCCATCAATAAGATGAGGGTTCATCCGCGCCTTGCAGTCTGAAAATTGTCCTTTCTTTATCCCGTTTGAACTATAACAGAGCGGCAAATGAACCAGGAACACCTGGTTGGCATGCCTGAAAAAGTATGACATTGACTTTGTTGAATTTTTTTTAACTTCCTTGAGCATTGTTATGTGAGGAGGAGTTGCAAGGGGGAGTGGTGAGGATTAAGAAGCCCAAGAAAAATCGTTCGCTGGAATTCACCCAGTATTCTCGTTAACAAGCTCACAGGGGGAATTTATACCAAGGCCGTGGTGTACCTACCCTGATACCCGTCAACGATTGCTAACCATAAGTGCGTTTGCCCGATTAATTGGCCGCCACCGGAAGAAGAGTTAGACTGGCAATAAACTGCCGCAAAACAAACACCTGTGAAAGAAAACGAGAGTGTAAAAAAAAGTCACCAGCTATAAGCCTCAATCTCAAGCTCAAACTCGGTGTTGGAGCTCTTAGCAGCGCGAATAACGGTCGCACGAACTTCATCACACATGGCGGCAGGCCCGCAGACCACAACACCTACTCTCTCCCACCCCGAACCAGCTTCGTCGGCGATAAGTTTATCAATGTCAAGCCTATGTCCAATTCGAATGTCCTTGTCGGTGAGGCTATGGAGCGAAGGTTCCATGTCATCATAAAGACACTTTGCGGATTCTTTCAACCCCCATGCAAGTTTCACGTTCCAGTGAGCGTGCGCGAATGGGAGGAGACCTGTGATGCCTATGCCGCCGCAGACCAACAATACCCTGTCGCATCGGAGGATTGCGGTGCTCGAATTGTTCATGTACGGGCCTTCGACAAAGGTGAGGAGACTGCTGTTTGCCTCGAGATGATTCGTCATGCCGCCAGCCTTTCGCACATAAAGTGTCAGACCGGCCCCGGGGTGTTGTTGCATGCCTCCATCAGGGGGTTGCCGAGCTGGCCCTACACTTCTAGATCGATCCTGTTTCTCTTCACGGTCGTGCTGAGAGATTCCCGTGCTATTAGTTGGTCCTACAAGGTACTTCTGACCCAGCAGATGCGTCGGAAGCACCGAGAATGGATGATTTTCCCAAAATCGCATGGGGCGAAGTGTGGGGAAATATATGTAGACGTGTTTCCCAGGATCGGCGCCCCAGCGGACGGCAGGGATATCAATGCGCACATAGTCCCCCCCCAGCCCGGTAACTTTGGCACGGCGAGGGCCCATCCCAACCAAACGCGCAATTCGACCCACTCGGTCCAAGAACCACACAGCAGATGCGGCACAGAGGAAGTAGAAGACACCCCCAAGAAATTGGTAGAGCGTGTAGGCATGGTACCAGCAGCCCAGGATCAAGACGATGGAGAGGAGGATGTGGACTAGCAGCCAGACCTCATAGGACGATTTGCGGAAAGGCAAACCACTAAAGAAAGCAAGAATTACTGTCACTACCGTGGCGGCTATTCCCCATTTCCAGTAGACCATGCTAGCGTCCATAGCGTACCTGCCATTCTTCTTGTACAGTATGAGGGCGAGTATAGAATGTAAAATCGCTAAAAAGGCGTAGACTCGGGCAACCCATCGGTGAAGAACCAGATATGTTGAGTGCGACCAGTCAGTTAACCACTGCAGGATACTGTTGCGTGAAGCAAAGAGGAAGATCAGTGGGGAGATGATGTACGCAATCTCACCAGTGCGATACATGACGTAAGCGAAAATCTCATAGTAAGAGCTCAAGTACCACGCGCTGGGCTGAAATGCTTTATAGTTAACGCAGCACAGAACAAATGTGAGGGTGGAAAAGGTGACAATGTAGAGAGCTTGACCGGTAGTCGGCGCATTCCCGAGGAGGAATGGTAGAGACTGAACCGAGTAGGAACCAATGGTACTCGGCCAGATGATGTATGGCTTAGATTTTCGGATCAATCTACCGATGAAGGGGAGTAGCTGGAGCCACGTGAGCAATATCGGAACTGCAAAACCGAAACAAAGAATGATGACTCTGTTGGAGGAAACGCAATGTTAGCAACCCCTCAAGGAGATTGTGGTCAGGGGTCAATACTTGCCCCGACAAGTTTTCAAACGATGTTTCGCGCTGCACGCCGTACAGGACATTGTATTGCGAAGTATAAGTCGAGGGGTTGACTAGAGAGGTCTGGTTCAAAACAGTCGCGTCGGAAGATAGCGTGAAGGTGGGTTTGGAGGATGCGTGGGCGAGGGCTTGAGCGAAGGACCATTTGGCGGGAACAGACTGAACGCCGGCGTTGGTTTGCCCAGTGGCCTGGAGTTCCCAGAAACTTTCCAACTTTGAATCTGAGAATTCTGAGGCTGGGCAGTGAGAGCGCATGCAATATGCCAAGCTCGTGAGATAGTCGTCATTGGTCGCCCAACATCCCGGTGAAGTGGTGAGTTCGGTCATGCCAAGGGAGCCTCCACCCGTAGAACACGACAAGGTAAGCGTATACAGAGACCGCACGCAGGCCATTGCGCAGACTGGGTCATATGTCTTAGTTGGGAGGCCTGTAAGTCCATTTTGGGCGTTGGTCAATGGGAAAAAGAGACACGTAACGAGTAAGCGGCTGGGCAAAAGTTTCATTGTGGAGTTGAAATGATGTTCATCGGCGTCAGTGGAGGAGACACGGATAAATCTATTAAAGCACAGAGATCCGTGCTACATAAGAATTTAACGGAGCTGGACAGTTGCTTTGATGCGGTGTAGAGAGGTGTGCACACATAAGTGAGCAGGTTTGAGCAGGTAAAGAACAGTTATTGCACCTGCAATAGAACAGGCTCGGCTGCATGCCCTCCGCTTGCATACCTGTCCATGTCATCTAATCGTTAACATGCAGGCGCTTATTCGACTCGCAGGGTGATAGATTAGATGATCACATGGTTTCTTGATTTCTTCCCAGTCAAATCTCAGATTCTTCAAGCTTCGCATTCTGAATTCCAAATTTAAGATTTAATCTTTGACATAAAAGGGTGCCTATAGAACACAAATATAAGAACTATTGTCAAAAAAGCTTTCACAGTGTTCTTTTGGCACGTTAAGGTGGATTGCATGGGCAAGAGAGAACCCTACAAGCTTGATTTTGCGGTAGACGAAGCTAGACTGTTGCTGTTCCTCTCCAGAGCGACATGTTGAACGGTGTACCAACTGCATCATGAGCATATGTCTTAGTCTCAGGGCATTTCCTCTCAAAATTACATTATCAATTAGCATTACCTCGACTACTTTCGACTCCTGCTGTGTAAATAAAGAACACTCCTACAACAGAAACCCACCCGCAGTCATCTGTTAGCATCAATAATACCAACAGCTTTCCCCACCCACTGACTATCCCGGCGCACAAGATCCTCAGCAATGAAATCCGCAGCCTGTTCAAGCGTCGTCGCGTACCGCTGGGCGTTCATCGCACACACAATCGACTTGCCGATGAACGGGATATAGCGAATCCACGAATCCCGCCAGTTCGGCGGCGTCGTTGCACTCGCAGTCAACTTAGCCTCAGGGGACTTGGTAGGCACCGTAAAGTCCTGGGGTTTCGTCGCCGGCGTCATCATATTGGGACATAGCACGGACCAATGCAGCGCGTCCGCGGGGAGCGCTTGGAGTAGGCGGAAGTTTTGGCGGTGCTCTAGGTAGATGGGCATGCTATATTACATTATTTCCTCTCGGTCAGTACTATTCATACACCCAGGCGATCATGAATCGACGTCCGTAGTTTATAGGGAACCGTTGTCGCACAAACAAACGAAGTAATTGTGCGGAGAAGGAGGCACTCACTAACTCGAAAGCATCGTCTCTGTCCCAGGATACACCAACACCCCCTGGCCCGCTAGAAACCACACCCTCAACGCAGTCTTCCTCTCTTCAGAAGCTGACCTTACGCCTTCCAGCACCGCCTTGAAGATCGCGGGGAGTTCGCTTTTCCCCCAGGGCGGGAGGGCGGCTACACCCGCTGTGTTAACCACAGCGTCGCATTGCGCGTTTAGTATGACGTTTCTGATCGATTTCGAGTCTGTGGCAGACCCTTCTACCACCACTATCCTCTTATAGATGTCCGCTGGGAGGAGGTCTTTTAGTTTTTTCGCCGATCGCACGAATGCGACGACGGAGTGGTTGTGGGTGAGGAGCGCAGGGACTAAGCGGATCCCCACGTTGCCGGTTGCACCGATGAGGAGGACCTTCATTGGGAATTTATTATGATCGACTGAGTTAATCTTAGAATATAGCGTTTTTGTGTGGGGAAAATGTAAGCTAGAGGGAATGTTTATTCTGAGGGGAAAAACACAAATTGGGTTTTGGTGAACGAACGGGATAGTACGAATACACCGCGAACACACAACGCGCCGTTCTCGCATCTTTAAATGTCAAATTCGCTTTTCTTTGTTTTGGTTGCCTGATACTTATGGTCCGTGTACAAGGATTTAGCTATAGGGGCTGCCTGTTGTACGAAAGAGAGAGCAAAAAGAGTTGTAGGGCTGAGGCACAGCGTCTAGGCGGGATCCGTAAGCTGAGAAATGGTATTAGTAACAGTTGCGCGGCGCAACGTTGAATCCGTGCTCGGCGAGTTATGTTCCTCCGCTTATCGGTGTAACTCCCCAGCTAACTCACCCGCGGAGAGGATGATACGATTTACTGGTCTCTCCCGCTATCTTGGGGCGAAAATAAGCGTGAGGATGCCTCTGCAGCTTGTCAGCCATTGGCGCGTTGTTACTTAATGACGGGCTGATTGCAGAGTACGCAAACCGGTACGGAACGGGGTTTTCTCAATCTCAAATTATTAATGCTTCGGTGCTCGCGATGAAGGGTGATATATAATATCCTCTTAAGTTTCGATTGGGAGCGCGAAGCACGAGGATCGTTTACAGCGAGTTAGTCCGAGTCCGCGCAATGTCTTCTCCATGGGCGGACCAGCCATATTCTTTGATCTCTACTGTTGAATTTTCGAAGAATGTACGTCTTTGCTTGAACGGATTAGTATGGTACGCTATCAATTAATACATCATCACAGACCTCTCATTCAGCATACTATGTCGCCACAGAAATGGCCTTAGCCCACAACGGCATGATTCGCGGCCTCAACTCAATCTACATCCAAGCATCCAACCTCCCGCGCAACAATCCAAAAATAGTCCAAGACTTTCTGACCTACTGCCAATGTTGGAGCGAATCCATGCATCACCACCACGACATGGAAGAAGACAGCTTCTTCCCAGCCATCGAGAAGCTAACGGGCGTTCAAGGACTCATGGAGCGCAACGTAGAGCAACACCGTGCTTTTACGCCTGGCTTCGAGCGCTTCCAGCAATACGCTAATACGTGCGCTCCGAAGGATTACGACGCAGCGGAGCTCAAGAGCTTGGTTGAGGGGTTTGCGGAACCCTTGACGCGTCACTTACAGGATGAGATTGAGACTTTACGCGGACTACATGAGTACGATAGCGAGCGTTTGAAAGCAGCTTATAAGGAGTTTGAAAAACTTTTGATGGATACAGATAACGTGAGCAAATCTCTCAAATGGAAAGGGTTGATTGTACTGATGTTCAGGGATTAGCAACGTATTGCTCCGCTTGTGTTCGGCACAGCTGATCGGGGTTATGAGGGCGGCATCCATGATTTCCCGTCTGTGCCTTTCTTCGTGCCGTATATCATTCATTATCTGTTTGGGATGAAGTATCGTGGTGCTTGGCGGTTTAATCCGTGTACGATTTGGAGGGATCGCAGGGAGTTGGCCTTTCCCGGCACAGGTGCAGCTGCGTGATCAATTCCGACTTTTCAACTAATTTTCATTGTTTGTAATCATTGGAAGCTTGTTACAGCGCTGGACTCTCACGATAGACATGATCGATTAATCGGACCTCATGCTGCCTTCGCTAGAGCAAACATCATTTTCCCCCCTGGTACCAAGTGCGCGGAACTACAAAGTCACCATCGCAGGATACTCACAACTCGTCTTTCGCCTCTTTCCACCCATCCCCTGCACCCAACATCCAATTCACTCCCACGAGCACCAACCCATGTTTTTCCGCCCACTCTTTCGCCCCAAAACTCCTCCTCTGCACGAATTCCTCGCCACCAACATCTTCCTTCGTCAACTCTTTCGCATCCTCCGACTCGCGATACAGCAAAAACAAATAACGATGAGGCTTCGAATCATCTTTAGGTCCAGGACCGAGATACTCTGTCAAAACTTTTCCACTCTTCGCCACATCGTCTCCATTACTCGGAATCGATCCAATGACCCAATGGCGCCAGTACGCGAACTTGGGGTCATCCGGGGTTGGCGCATCGGGATCTATCAAGATGAATGTGTACTTTGTGCTAGGGTTCACACCGTGCTGAAGAATCGATTAGAAAAATCTGCAAAGTCAAATGCCTGAGACCCAACTACCTCAGGTGTGAAAGTGACAGTCGGCGCAGTCTTGCACGCGCTGGCGCGGAAAAGGTTACCAGCTGCAACCGGAGTCTCATTGAACGAGACGGAAAGCTGCACTGTGGGTTGGAAAGTAGAAGGTATGACGGGAGATGGGAGGAGGGATGCTGCTGAGAGGGTGGAAAGGAGGGCTGCTGAGTCGATGGCTGCCATGATTGCTGGGGATGTATTGGATTTGAGAATCAGGATTTAAAAGTCACGATGGGGGAGGTTGGAGTATACGTTGATCTACTAATAGTGGAGACGGTATGAGGGGACTCTATGGGCTGATTTGATTGGTGGAAATAGTTTCGCCGATAGTACCTCGTCGCGAGTCAACCCGAACATCATTCAATAATCGATGCAGGATGGAGAGGTGGATGGCGATTTTTTAACACTGCTCCACATCTAGGGATATCAACATTATATGATAGGAGCTTGAATGTAGACCATATGAATACTCCTGATCAACCATATACCTTTTTTTCAGTATTAGAAGAAGAGTATAAATGCTAATATCCCAAAACAGGACGAATGGTATACAATTGCCTTGTCTGTGCCATGGTGATCTTTTCTACACCTTCATACACTGAGAATAATTTCGAATTCATGTAGCTTAGTACTCCTCTCGAGAATTTTACACGCTGATTTCAGATGTGTATTATAGGAAGACTCTCAATCCACTTTATGTAAACCACGAAGCCTCTGTGAAGGAAGGGAAATTTGTATTCCACTGAGAAATAATCGAAGAGTCCTCAGATACATTAAACAGACTTCACATTATCAGAGAAACAGTGCAGCAAAGAATCCGTATGAGATTCTGAAAACTACGCCAAAGAACATACATAGGATTGAATTGTATTGAGTTTATGCTCGAACACTTTTAATATACAGGAAAAGTTCTCTGCTGGAACCTATCGCGATGTCCCAGACCAACTTATCAGTTGTTCAGGTTGAGTCTCCTGAATTGCTCCCAGTTGATTTCAGTGGCCTTTGCGTAAGTGTTCTCACGCCTCTTTGCGTGCTCCCTGTCCCGCTCAACGCCCTCCTCCCTCTCCCTCTTCGCCTTTTCCTCCTCTTGCTTCGCCATGTAGGCTACTTTCCTCAATTCGTGGTAGGCTTGCATTTCGTGGAGCTCGTCTAGGTTCATATGCTTAGGCTGCACAATCCGTTCAATCTGGATTTTCCAGCCGGCATCAAGCTCCCTCCTGATCCTGAAGAAGAAGTCCGCTGGGATGACGGCGAAGAATCCGCTACGACGGGCCGGAGCCTGCCTGCCGTCTCCAGCGTTCATAACGTCCCACGAGAGCGTCTTGTAATGGCAGTCGTAAAGCTTCTTGAACAGCTCTTCCTGCTGCGGGGTGACCCAGCGCACATCTCCCTGCGTCGTGTATGGTTGTGCTTCCCAGAAGACCATTAGATCAACGCAATTCATTTCCGCAAGATCATGCGCATGTTGTCTGCTGTATCGAGTGATCTTATCATTCAACATTTGGATCAAGTCCTGGCTCAAATCATAGTTGTAGATGGGCTTGATCCAGTCGCTGGATATATAATCATCAGTGATTTTTGCTGGTATCGAATGGATCGCGGCGTGAAACTTACGCTGCCGGAAGGAGTTTCCGATCCTCTTCGCCCTCCGGGGAGGCAAGGTCCTCGAATATAAGAGGCACAATGTTACCAGCATAGGCATTGATACGCTCAACAAGACCGTGAATTTGTTCGCGGAGTTGATTGTTGCCTTGGATTGTGCCAAGCGGAAGAGATCGGTCTGTTGGAGCGCCCTCGCGGCTCGTTGGGTAAAAGTGTCGTCTATAAAGTTAAGCATCTCTATTGACCATGAGAGTGCGGTACTTACCTAATCTGCCGATCATATGTTCGGCCATTATAGCCCAGCGCGGTCCAGTCGAAGTGCCTACATGGTCAGGGTGAATGTTTTGTTGCAGCAATGGTATAGTATGCATACTTCGCAGAGATTGCGAGAAGTGTGGCACTTGTGGACGCAGCACAGGAGCGCCAGTGCTCAAATGCAGCGTCCGAAATAAAAACATGCAACGAATGCTTGCAATTCAAGGTTGAACAGGTAGGCTGGCAAGACCTTCTGAACAATCAGTACTTACGGTGTATTGTAGACAGGGTTCTTGGTGTTCTCGTCTTCCTTGGCCCTGCCCTGTCCCTTGTCCTGATATTTGGGCGTCTCGTCCTCCTTGGCCTTGCCCTTTCCCTTGCCCCGGTATTTGGGCTCGGGGGTGGGAGGTCGATACAAGTCGTCATCATCATCGGAGGTCATTGACATTGACCACATGGTGTGATAAAGATCTCTTGAAAGCTTGAGAAAGGATACAGGTGTAATGCCTCTGCGGTTGGGATTCGGAGCGACTTGACGGTCTGGTCGATAGACACGTCCTGGGCAACAGTGCTTGTGGATGAGGACGAAGAAGAGGTTTGGAAAGCTGTTCAAACGAATTCAGGTGGAGGAAACGCACTAGGTCAAAGCGAGCTGCCAAAGTCAGAGTGACGCTGGCAAATGAGCGGGTTGTCGAGGTGAAGGCGACTACGGGCGCGTCGAGTTATTTGGGAGCACGTCCCCACAGCGCAAACGGCAGCTGCGACGTTTGTTTGTCTCCCAAACAAGCGCTCAGAAACTTCTAGCTGTTTGTGTCAAGGCACGGTAGTACCCCGCGGACGGGCTCCAGGGCGCTCCCCTAAGAGCGTGAAAAGCGCCTGGACACGCCACCGCATTGATTATGAATTCACGATTGAACGAACACATAAGCTAGACTGATGTATACAATTCACTCATCCTTTCCATGGATCAATAAACGTAGATGCAGATCAGCACAGATTTTGAATGGAAAGTCACGTGTGCCTTATTCACTGTGGGTACGCAGGTATATATATACAACATTTATTTCAATTAGCAAAAGTTGAATGCAGGGATCCAAGCTCGACTTAATCGTCTTTTTTCTGCGGTTTCTATTGAAAGAGATGGAAGTATGCTACATATATGGGTATTACGAAATGTGGTACTTCTACCGTGCGTGTAATAGTCAAAGCACTATGCTGCATATAAACATATTCATTGATATCATGGAGAGTTTCCCCTCTAGTTCAAGATCGAGTACGGCGATCGAGGTATCTGTAACTACTTGGCCAAAATCTCATAAGAACTTGGGACTGCAGCCAGATGATGCCAAATGGCATGGTCCCAAAGTTCCATGATTGACTGTAGAAGCGGTGAGCATGCTATCATTGACTACTGCTAAATGTCTTCTCGTAGGGCCTAAGACACCGCCCCGCCACCCGTCTTGTGTCCTCAAAAACCGTCAATTGATATTTGTGTGTTTTTACCACTACGATTTTCCGACTCATTGAGAGACAAGGACATTAAGATCAAGAGAAGAGATTAGTTGCGAACGGGTAGTCAGTATCATGTTGAGAATTGGGCCGAACACGTCGCTGATGACTACTACGCGCACACAGGATTCCCTACGCGTTAAATTATGGTACCTGGCAAATAAACTTATACGATCACGTGATGGTAGCTTCGCAGGTGCCTTCGCTCAAGACTTGACAGCGCGTCACCTCGTCAACAACCCACACTCACACACTAGCACTGCCAGCTGCCACAACGTCAACGCACTCTTTGCAATTCTCCTCAACAACCACTTCCTTCCAACGAGAAGACACAAGTTGACAAGATGAGCGCTATGTCCTTGGATGGCGCCAGCGACGACCCCGATAGGCATCTATGGCTGGACGGGACTCCACGAGAGGAAGATGACTATCTGTATAGCCGGGCTCCTCGTTCAAACCTGCCACCGCCCCCAGCCTATATGCCGGCTCAATCTCAAGCTATTCTCAATGACCTACCTCCTCCACCGCCTCGAAACTCTTATCTCGGGCACTCTGCTTTCGGCAATCAGTCAGTTCCGCATGCTGGGCCATCGGGATCGTCTGGCTCGCTATGGCCATCGTCAGCTCAGTTCAATGCCGCATCTACTTTTCCGGCGCCTCCTAGGATTTCATCAACCACTAACCAGTACGGATCGGGTCCAACTCTGCACTCGACAATGCCGCCTGCGTATCCGATTGCGTATGATAGCAGTGGACAAACGCATCATCAACAATCCACGATGCACGTGCCACAGCAACCGCAGCCATTTAATCCGCCGTCACAGTCAGTGCCGGGCTCATGGCCTGAGTCTCCAGTTCCAGGCTACACTTCGCTATCAAACGTCGCTGACAGCAGCCCTTGGGGTAATCCTGCAGCAGCTTGGGAGAGCAGCACTTCTACAAGCGGTCATTATGGAGATGCCGTGTGGGGACAACTCGAAGAGAGGCCTAGCACTTCAACAACATCAAGGAGCCGTGACTCGCGTTCGTCTTCGTCTGTAATTTCTACCTCGGAGGCCGACCTCAGTGATACGTGGGATGTCGACAGTCATCGACGCGGACGCACGCGTGGCCGCAGCAGCAGGAATGCACGCAACCGTACGCCTGTCGACAGGCACTCATGGAGTCGCACACACAGCAGCAGGCATTCCCGAGCACCATCCTCATCGAGGGATTTTGTAAGCGAAGCCAATATCAACCCACCATGGTCACTGGCATCGTTGTCCTCAGTATCGACAGTGCGTCCGGCTACCGTGGCAGACGATAGGTCCAGCTCGTCGAGCGCCGCAAGTGATGCTACATGGACGCAGAATACCAGGCCCGATATATCGCGACCCAGGAGACCATCACCTTCGATGGAAGACCTTGTCAATGCAACTATTGCTCCCTTCCTTGATGTCGATGATGATCCTGTGCCACCCCGTCGCGCGGAACCTGAGCGACAAGGTTTCTCAGAGAACATGATCAGGGAAGCAAATGTTATCAACCGCAGAGCAGAAGATGAACAGGAGCGCTCGAGCCAGTGGCCGGCATCTTCAGCTTCGACACAGTCTATTCGAGATTACCAACATTCTACCACCACTCGATCGAGACATGGTCATCCACCCCCTTCCACCGTCTACTACAGCAGCGAGAGAAGCCGGCGTTCTACCCGTGCACCGCCTACTCCACTTACTTCCAATGCTCTGGAGAACGTGCGAAGAATTTACAAAACCAAACAACCCTTCTATCCTTCTGAGAATGAACCCTCAATCTTCGATGTCATGCGAGGCGACGTTAACCCTTCCACCATCGCCCCATCGACGGCACAAAGCTCCAATCGTCCCCCTTCGCACTCTCAGCGTCACCGCCACCGTGATCGTAGCAGAGAACGCCGTTCCGACCGCCACACCACCATCTCCAACCCTCCCTTCGACGATCAATTCCAGCCTGATTCAACACCAAACCGCAGGCAAGGAACTTCCCGATCATCCTACGTCGAGTCCAGCTACGGAGCCTCCAGCTTCACGCGCCCACGCTCCCCCTCTCGTTCACCCTCCCGATCCAGAAGTGACGCATTTCCACCGTCTTCCTGGCACTCTCGCCCTCGTTCGCGCTCCCGATCAACACGAGACGTACTCCCATCGTCGTCCTGGCGCTCTCGCTCGCGTTCGCGCTCACAGTCCCGCTCGCGACGCCACCATACTAACCGCAGCGCATCTAACACTGCTGAATTTCCTGCCACCGCATCTACATACTCCTCCAGGAACACAGCTAACAACTCTCGTAGTCGCCCCTACGAAGACGAACAAGAAGAAGATGAACACCCTTCACGCCACCGTCACCATCGGCGCTCACGGCCCCGCAACAACGACTACGATTGGGAGGAACAGCACATAAGCCTCTCGGGAAACAGCGTATGTTCCCCACATCCCCCATATTGAAGCTGCTTGGTGTAATGGTATTTGTGCTAATGCGTATGTGTGCGTGGTATAGCGCGAGAGATTATCTTTCTGGACTCTGCCCGTCTCAGAGACGAATCCTACGCGTCTCTACACCAGGATGCGTAGGACCCGCATCCCGACGCCAGATTCGGAGCGGCGTTCGAGGGCGCGAGAGAGGCGTCGGGGTGGGGAGGAGCGCGAGGAGCGCAGCCGCCGACGTGGTCGTCGCGGAAATCAAATTCGTGGTTGGGAGGAGGAGGGGTCCTGGGGTGAGAGGACGGAGAGGAGAGTTGGGGGGTGGTGAAGGGGGCGAGAGGGGTGAGAGGAGGGGGGGAGGGGAGAGGGAGAGGACGGAGGAGTGGGTGAGGGGGTTGATGTGAGGGGATGGAGTGGGGGACTGGGGTTTCTGGAGAATGAATTTCGGTGTATTATACCTACATGACAATGAACTGAGTTCTGTGCGAGTTTCTTTATTAAAAATTCATCGAATTTAGAGAATAGTCATTACGTAAGCAGATATGTGGAAGACAGTGAAAAGAGATGAGTGATATATCTAGGAATAACAACAGTGCTTTATCTGGATAAACATCGAAACTTTTACACCATTACGCTCCAACGCTGGTTCCCCAAACTCCATTATGATATAATCTCATTGCATCTGTGCATACCATAAGATAAAGCGCTATTTCTCAGCATAATCACACCAAAACGACAACATAAAAGCTTCAAAATAGTCTGAGATGCTATATAAAACGCAACATGTTTCGTTATCATTGCGATATATTGCATGAGACGATACGAGGTACTAAGCAGTGAAAGATGCAAATGCGGTCCGTATACATGCAGTACGTTCTGTAATAAGACAAGAGATCAAGAATAATGAAAGTGAGCAAGCAGTGAAAATAAGGAGACAAAACGCATTCTTATGCAGAGCGGGAGATGACAAAGAATGGAATCAACATGTGAGAGAGAAAACGCCAGGAGACTGAAATGCCGCTGAAGAAAGGACAGTAACAAGGATCATGACATGGCCGTGACATTATCTCCAACGACGATTTGCTCTCCTTTTCGCACGCAATAAATGCAAATTAATCGAAACAACAACGACAACGACAACAACAAAAACAACAACAAAATCAACCAACAAAATCAACCAACAAAATAAAAAGCAGAAAAGAGATGCACAACTCATAGGACAATCTGGAAACACATACCGCAACCACACCACACCCATATATCCATCAACCCTTGGTAACAACCGAATTCTCGCCATTGACTTCCACACTGGTCAAGCTCTGATGAGAATTCGTATCCCAAGTGCCAGCCTCACTAACCCCCTCACTCCTCCCCTTCTTCCTCTCCTTCTCCTTGTCCCTCTCCCCTCCCGCAGCAGCAGAAGCACCAACACCCCCACCCCCTCCACCCGCAGAATGCCTAAACGAGCCCGCGCGGCTCAAATTCGGACTCGCCCCCGCCAACGGGCTGTTGGGATACAAGCCCTTGACAGCCGCGCTGCGGCTCTCGCAGATGTACTTACTGCCGGACGAGCGCTCGGTGCGGTCTGTGCGGTCCGTTTTATCGGAGCGCAGACTGGCGTTGTCGGAGGAGCGGTGGGAGAGGGTGTACGACGGGGTGGGGCGACGCAGGGATTCTGGGGCTGTTGCGGCGCGGGGCTGGGGGTCTAGGTCTTCGTCTGGGGTTGGGGGCGCGGTGGGGCGGGAGGAGCGTCGGGAGCGGTGGGAGCGGGGGGTGGAGGGGTTGCGGGAGCGGTGGGTGTCTAGGGCGTCGATTTCGTCGATGGCGGCGAAGAGGGGGGAGATGGGGCGGTCGAGGGGGGCTGGGTCTGCGGAGGGGTTTGGAGGCGGGGATGGAGCTGCGCGGGTTGGTTCGGGGGGGATTGTTGGAGGTGGGAGGATGGCGGATTCGTTGGGGGTTGGGGCTGGTGTGGGTTTTGGCTTGGAGTTTAGGAGTTCGTGGGCGAGGAGGCCGTGGGTGGAGGGTGCGATGCTTTCCGTGGGCGCGGGGAGAGGGAGTGAGGATATGACGGATGCGGTGGCTGGGTCGCCGTGGGAGGTTGCGATGCTCTCTGTTGGCGCTGGGAGGGACGGGTCTTTGGGGGTGTTGTAGTCGACTGGTCCGGGTGGTGGACGGGTGTACGTCGCTGAGGATCGTTTGGATCGCGAGGATCTTGGTGCCGATTGCGCTGCTGAGAGCTCTGTGGGAGTTGGCAGAGGCGGTGGGATGGATGAGATAGCAGACACCTTTTCAGAAGCTTCAACGACGGGTGGCGATTTGGACCGAACAGAGGATTTGGAGCGAACAGATGCTTTAGGCGCTGATTGCGCTTCCGATACTTCTGTCGGTACAGGAAGAGGTGGAATGGATGAGTGTTCGGATCTCTTATCCGTAGCTTCTGACTTTTGAGTACTGGCTACTGTAGATGCCTTGTCGGTCGATTTACCCGATGTAGACTTTGACTTGCTAGAAGCCTTGCTAGAAGGAGCTTTGCTAGAAGGAGCTTTGCTAGAAGGAGCCTTGCTGGGGACCTCTGACTCTGGAGATTTCACTCCCTCACTTGTTTTCTCTGTAGCTGGTGGTGAAGGTAAGGGTTCTCTAGGCGCGGGCACCAACGGCGGTGGAAAATCAGCGGCAGTCGGAGAAGCAGTGGTGGTAGGTGGCAAACCTGCTGCTCTGAGCTCCTCCGCTCTCTGGACTACTGGCTCTGCGTCGTCGTATAAAGCGACCCCATGATGGTAAATACATCCTTCATCTGGCTGTTCATCCCCAGGCTCCCTGAAGTTCTCGTGCTGTGGTTCGCGATAGATGACTGGGAACAGTCGCAACAGAAGTCTGGGCCGCTCGTCAGATGGCGGGGCGGTGCCAGCCAACGAGGCAATCGGTGTCGAGTCGGATTTGTGTGGAGGCCAAAATTCGGGGCCGGTGAACTCATGTTCTTCGTCTTCGATGGCAGGCATAGTAGCTGAAATTAGTTCACGCTCAAGTCTGGCAAATCGCCAAGTCTCTGCTGCAAGCTTCACGATTCGTTTCACGGCGATCTTGATGGCTTCCTCCTCTTTCGGGGCTGTGAAATTCTTGACGGCGTTGACAATCTCTTCCACAACCGTACCAGCAGCTGTGTTAATGCGTTGCTTTGCACCGCTACTAGTGAATGCGGCAAGAAGTGTCTGTTGCCGCCAGATAGTTTCTTTTCGGGTACTTTTCTCGCGAATGTGATTGCTCATCGAGGAGAAAAGCGAGTCTGCTTTATCATAGCGCCGGCCAAGGCTGAACAAGAATGGGCCAAAAACGCGGTAGGTCACCAATTTCGAGATGGTGTGAGCGACATAGGCTGAACGTACTTGTCTAGATCAATCGTTAGAATATGGGGATTGATTGGTAACCGATACTTGCCTGGAGGCAGGTGTTTCGCCGAGGAACGAGGGCAGCGAAGAAGGTACCAAAGCCAGATCTTCTGGCGGCGGAGCCACTGGAAGGTGTACAAAGTGCGTAGCTGCAAGATCCATGATTTGTTTTTGGAGCTGCATAAACGATACCAAGCTATACCAAAATTGTTAGCAAAAGAACACAGCAAAACTACAGAAGCAAGAGCGCCAAAGTCAAGAAAAACAAATTGCATTAAGGGACTAACGACGCTCGACAAACCCCGGGCCCACCACCCACAGTTCATCTAACAACCATCCCAGGCAACTTACTAATATGTGTCGCCTTTGCTCTTGATCTCGGCAATATCTCCATAACACTCCATCAACTTTTCCAATCTAGTCTTTTCCGATTCAAGATTGTTCGCCACACTCTTGATGATGTCCCTCTCCTTGCCACTCTCCGACTTGAGCTCGTTGTACTGTTTCTGTAGTTCCTCCTTCTCTTTCACGAGCTGATCTACGAGCGTTTGGCGCTCGTCAGCCTTGCGATTGGCTTCAGTGTGCAAGTCAATCCATGCTTTGTCAGACTCATCTTTGATCTTTCTGTGCTGACCCTCTAGGAGAGCACGTTGCTCGTCCCAGGTCTTTCGCATGCTCTCGATATCTTCGCGATGTGATTGAACGAGTGTGCTTCTTTCTTTGGCCCAGACTTCCATGCCATCACGTTCACGTCTGAGGGCCTGCTCACAATCGAGCTGTGTAGCGCCCAATTTAGTTTCCAGCTCCTTGCGAAGGTTGTCGAAGTTGGCTTCACGTTCGTCTTGCTGCTTCTGGTGGTCGGATTGCAGATCTTCCTTTTCCTTTGCAAAAGCAGCAGCAGCTTCCTCGCGTAGCTTTTCAGCCAAAACATCGGCCTCTTTCAATTTCTTGTCGAACTGGATGGCAAGCGCAATTTTCTCTGCATCATGTTTGGTCGTCGCGGTGGACTTCCACTCGTCAAATTCCTGGCGGGATTTGGCGGATTCTTCGGCAGAAGTTCGTTGTAGGGTAGAGTGCGCATCTTCCAGGTCTTTGTGCCTTGACTCCCAGTATTTTGTTGCCGTGTCAAGCGTGACTTTCAAATGCTCGGCGTCCTGTTTGAATTTGCTGGTCTCTGCCAGCTGTTCCTTTAGATCCTTGACCTGCTCTTCCATGTTTCCGATCTCGAGTCTCATTCTGCTTGCCTCGGATGCGTGTCTGGCCTCCGAACGTGCTAGTCTGTCTCTCAATGAATGGATCTCCTGCTCTTTCTGGTGAAGCCGTTCTTGTTGTTCAGCGTCTGCTCTACGAAGCAATTCTTCTCGTACTCCAAGCTGCCCGTGAGTCTCTTTGTACTTGGCTAGTAATTCGTGAAGATCGGGGATCGCTTGAGAAATGCGAGAGAAGACGTCGCCCTCATCAGCAATTGCAGATCCGTTTTCAAGAGCGGGTACTCTTCTATAATCCCTTGGTCCCAAGGAATCGTATCTTTCATGCGGGTTTCGACTGCTGTATGGGCCGTAATTAGGTGGGCCGTGGTTCCACGACTCACGATATGGCGAGGATGAATGGGAAGTGTGTGAAGAATGTCCGTACGATGGGTGATTGGAGTATGCAGATTGGCTCATAGGATCCGGGCCATGATAGTATGACGGAGCAGCGGGGGGGTAATATTGAGGATGGTGATAACCGGGTGGTGGCTGGTGGGGAGGTGGTGGATGTTGTGAATTAGAGTGATGTTCAACGGGCACTCTTGATGCGAATACCGAACGAGAATGTGGAGGGCCAGGCGGAGGATAAGCTTCCTCTCGAGAAGAGTCGCGAGACAGAGCTTCTCCTCTATATCTTGGGCGTACGAGAGCAGTATCTTCTTCGTCGTCCTCGTCGTCGTCGTCAAACGCAGACGTGTGTCGGGGACGAACTCTGGAAACGGGTGGTGACGGAGCAGCTGGAGGTCTGCTTTCCTCGATGATCTGGTTGACTGCTGCCGGCTTTGGCACCGGAGGTCGCTCAGTAGCAATGGGCCGTGGAGGATTCGGTTTCGGCTCAGTTGCTACTGGTGCTGGTTTCGGAGACGTCGATTTTGGTATTGTTTGGCTTCTCGCTGATGGCGTTGGGCTTTTCGCGACCAACGAAGGCGCTGGCTCCGATGCGGCTGGTGCTGGAGCTGGCGATGCTGTTCTTGGTACGGGTTGACTTTTCACCGACGGTATTGGGCTTTTTGTAGCTGGTGGAGGTACTGGCTCCGCAGAGACTGGCGCTGGAAGTGGTGACGCCGATGTTGAGACTGTCGGGCTCTGTACTGAAGGAGAAACGCTGCTGATTGTAGGTGATGGACTTTTGGTGGATGTTGGTATCTTTACTTCTTCTTTTGCCTGAACGGACGGCAGACTCTCTTCGGTGGGTGGTGGGCCCTTTACTTCTGCTTCTTCTAAGACTTTCTCTGGTGACAGTTCCGGTAGCTTGGTCTCTTCGGGAATCTCTTTCTCTTGAATCGACGGTGTCGGTAGTTCTGGCTCCGGCGTGTGTACCGACTCGGCAGTAGTAAAAGTAGGGGTGGTAGACTCGGTCTCAGTTACAGACGATTCGCCGTTGACTACTTCCGGTGCAAAAGGTTCCTTGTCTTCTGCTGTAACAGGCTTGAAATCGCCGCTCGACTTGACGGACTCCGATGCCTTTTCTTCTACTGGCGGTTGAAACTTCTCTTCCACGGGTTTCGAGAAGCTGGGTTCAAAAGCCGGGGCCTGGGTTTCAAGAGGCGGCTGAGATAAAATGGGCTCTGGTTTGGGGGATGGAGCGCGATTCTTGCCCTTCTTTTTCTTCTTAGAAGTCTTGGGCAGAAAAGAGCCCCAGTCGTCCTCCTCAGGCGGTGCTGCAAACGATGGTGGATCTGGGGCCTTGGGCAAAACCGGTAGTTCTGTCGCCTCGTGCGGTGGCGGTTCTGGGGCTTCTGGAACAGCCGGTGGGGCTTCGATCTTATCTTGATCCCAATCGCTGGAGGTTTCCTCTGTCGGTGCAGAGACGACAGCCTCGTCTGCCGGTTGGATGATGTCCTCCTCTTTCAATTCCTCACTCTGGGCGGGAAGTGAAGAGTCAGCTGCGGGCTCTTGAGTGGGAGGATCCTGTATTATATCCTGATGTGTATCTGGTTGAGTCGGTGTGGAGACTGTATGTATGGGTGGCTCGACCAATTTTTGGTCGATCTTTGCCGCGTCTGTCGTGTCCAATGAGGACTCGGGAACGTCCTGCAACGATTCGGTGAGGGCTGGCTTGGTCGTTTCCGGAGACAGTGACAGCGAGGCTGGTGCAGGTACTGCAGAGACAGCATCCTCGGTTGGCGCTGGTTTGGGGCTGGGGGGTGGAGATTTCGACTCCACCTGCTTCTGTGTCTTTTTGTTCTTCTTCTTCGCCATCTTTGACGGGCGAATGTGGGCGGCACTCCCTGCTTATATGTATCTGTACTTTATAGCGGTGAACAGCAGCAGCGTGATGCTAATTATGTGGGCTGCTTGTCTCACACAACCGTTGGGGGGATGCGCAAGAGGTGAGGCAGATTGCTTGCTTGCGTGGCACAACAATTAGAAATCAATTGGGAATGCATGCACAAAAGAACAAAAGACAGCGCAATTGGGGGCTATATACGCTGATACAGGCAGCTACTCATGGAGGTGCGCAGAAGGATTTCTCACGAGCCGTGCATAAAACGGACACGAACTGGAGAATGAACTGTGTCCAATGGAGAAGCGCCAGCAGGCGAGTCGATGCATATCAACGTTAGCATGGTCATGTCGATGCCCCGGTCGACAGCATGCAGCTGTCAAATTACATGATTTATGCAACTTGGGACTACAGGCAGGAGGGCACGTGGAACCGAGATAGGGTCCTTCGCATTCTTCATATACATGTCATCGTACCTCTGCAGGATGCTTCATTCCTCGAGTCTCAATTGATGCTTCCACGTTGCTTGCTTCGAGGCAGGGTGGCGGTGATTGATTGATCAAACGGATAAACAGGGCAATCAACGCGAAGCCTTTGCACTCGTACATGGTTGGGCAGAAAGCGAGCGACGGCTGCCAGCACTGAGCATCAGGCTCCAATGCATGTCGCAACTGGTGTGTGCGCGTGGAGTCGTTCGGTTGGCCGCACGTAGATGGGACGAAGAATCCCCGGTGACGGCACATTGGCCGTAACGGACATGCCTAGCATGCTCTCGGACAGGGAAACAGCAGCCGAAATGAAATGGGATAAAATAAGATGGCTGGTGTTTCTCGATTCACGAAGGGCATCGCATCGCATTGCATCAGGCTGGGACAAGACGAAATTCGGCAGAGGATGCGGTGTGGAAGGCTGGTCAACGGTGGGGTCCGGTCGATGATGTGTTGTCAAAAATAGTGGGTCGCGGATAAACTAGTCGCCGCGCCGAGTCACATGCTCACGCATCATCGAGGTCCAAGGCTGATCCGCGTCGTTGGACATGAGACCGACAACCGGGTATCCGCATCCGTATGTACCTACACGCTCAACCTTGTAGTCTGCATACATACATACATTCACACTCGCACCCATAGCTCGCTTGGTTGAGCATGAGCGTTCCATGCATGGTCAACATCAGCTACAACCAGAGTCTGAGGCGGCATGGCCCAGTTGCGGGCGTCGCGAAAGAAAAAACCCCTTGTCGAGTCCTCTGATTCCGATCAAGATGGCTCCCGCTCACCGCCACCCAAGCGTGCAAAGAGGGGATCCACATCATTAACGACGAGCTCATCGGGGGCTCGTAAAGCTACTAAACCAGCTACTTCGCCCCAGCCATCGTCCAAGAAAGCCGTTGCTAAACCACCCGCCAAACCAAAACCGGCATTCAAACCAATCACTGCTTTCTTTGGCAAGGCTACTAATTCACGACCTCAATCTGCCCATCCCACCCCAAGCCCCGACAAGTCTACCGTGAGCACTCCGCTCGCCGAAGTCGACGACATCCTAGATTCTGAAGATGATGATGCCTCTCTCCAGCCTGCCGCACGACAGGCGGCCCTGCCGCTGCGCAAGGGCAAAATCGCTGTCACTGCTAACACAGATGCTCCGCCAAAGGGCAGCCAGGTTTACAAGCGTGCTCAATCTATCAATCAAACTCGACCAACGCCTGCGGCTATCAATGCTGTAGATCGCCGGCCATGGAACGAAAAGTACGGTCCTATATCTTTGAGTGAACTGGCCGTGCACAAGAAAAAGGTCGAAACGGTTCGTGAATGGCTCACGGGTGTCTTGAGCGGCAGGGACCGAAAGAGACTATTGCTTTTGAAAGGTCCAGCTGGGAGCGGTAAAACCACTACGGTATCCATCCTCGCCAAAGAGTTAGGTGTTCACGTCCATGAATGGAGGAACCCTTCGAGCTCCTTGCCTTCTTCAGAGGGCTTCAGCTCCGCCACTGCCCAATTTGAAGAGTTTGTCGGTAGGACTGGTGCATTTGGCAGTCTTTCTTTCAAAGAGAGTGCGCAATCTCCTCAGCATGTGACACCTCCTGCTCTGACCCGTAGACAGAAGCAGCTGGTTTTGGTAGAAGAATTTCCAAACACATTTACGCGTGGTTCATCCATTATACAATCGTTTCGATCTTCTGTTCTCAACTACCTTGCTGCCGCTACTCCATCAGCCACATCCTTCTTTTCGGGCAATTCCAACTCTGATCAGCCTATAACACCCATTGTAATGATCATCTCAGAAACTCTGCTCTCCACCAACACCGCATCAGCCGACAGCTTCACGGCTCACCGACTGTTAGGGTCCGAAATTCTTACTCACCCGGGCGTCACCGTACTCGAATTCAATCCAATCGCACCCACATTCATGACCAAAGCTCTTGACCTTACAATTGTCAAGGAAGCCCGCAAGACAGGCCGCCGGAAAACGGTAGGCCCGCAAGTCATACAACACCTGACCGAACTGGGCGACATACGCAGTGCCATCTCTTCACTCGAATTCCTTTGTCTACGTGGAGATGAGCCAGAAGGGGATGAAGGTTTGGGATCCAAGGTCGAATTCACAAAAACAAAGAAACAAAAAGATCGACCCATGACTAAAATGGAGCAAAACTCTTTGGAAATAATAACTCAGCGTGAGAGTACGCTGGGCATCTTCCACGCTGTCGGTCGCGTAGTTTACAACAAGCGGCTACCGGACAATCCAACTGTCGACGTGCCACAACCGCCCACATACTTCCCCGAACGGCGCAGACCAAAGGTTCCTGAGGCTAATGTTGACGAGCTGATCAATGAACTCGGCACAGACACAGACACATTCGTCGCAGCGCTTCACGAAAACTATGTCCTCTCTACGGACGCGGGCGACAGCGAAGAAACCCTTGACTGTATCAACGGCTGCGTCGACGCCCTCTCTGATGCCGACCTCCTCTCGCCCGACCGCTTCGGCAGATCAGGCCGCAATATCCAAGGCTCAGGCGCAGACAACCTCCGCCAAGACGAAATGAGCTTCCAGACCAGCGTCCGGGGCCTCCTTTACCACCTCCCCAACCCCGTCAAACGCATCGCTCCTCCCCCAGGCGTCATGGGCCAAAAAGCAAAAAGCGTACCGGGAGGCGGAAACAACTACAGCAGTGCCCCATCCAAAGGCAGTGCCTTCGCCATGTACTACCCTTCCTCTCTCCGCCTCTGGCGCCAGCAAGAAGAAACGAGCGGGCTCCTCGAACTCTGGATCGCCCGCGCCCAGCGAGGCAACCTCCTCGTCCCATCATCCACCACCTCCTCTACATCCACATCCACAACCCCCGGGGGCGTAGCTACGTGGCGCAAAACCAGCACCCCGTTCGCCAAACCCTCTTCCTCGCCATCCTCGGCACCATCCACACAACCCCACCATACGCAACAGAAAACAGATCCCCGACACCCCGATCCGCCAAATACCCTTCTCGGAAGCGGCGCCTCAGCCCGCACGGAAATGCTGCTCGAGCGCCTCCCTTATGTAGCGCGTATCCTCTCCCACCCGCAATCTCCAGCCAACAACAACCCCGCTACCCGCCGCTTCCTCTCCTCCTCGTCATCCTCGTCGCCAAACGCATCTGCTATCCGCGAGATCCGCAGAATCACCGCGTTCAACGGTGCTGCCGGTACTAGTACCAGTATCACCCCCGAGGACCCGGACGATGCAATCGCTACAGGCAACGACGTCGACGCCGTCGTCGGCGAAGACGAAATGTGGGCGACTGACAAACCGGGGTACGATGATCCTCGTCTCTCGCACTCGAAGATGAAGAAGAGCAATGGCGTTGTGTGGGATGTTGGAGGGATGAGCAAGAGCGGTGGTGTGGGGGACAAAGGGGATCTGTTGGAGGCTGAGGGTATTGGTGGCGGGGATGGGGGAGTGCTCAGTGATGATGATATTGAGGATTAGAAGGGACGTGTTGTCTTTTTTCATTGTTATCTTCCTCGCGGTTCTTTTTTTGGAGATATGTGTTTTTTTTTCCTTTTTTTTGTTCTCTTGTCTTGTTATTAGAGATTTTTTTTTTTGGTTGGGCGGTGTGTGCGAGTAGCTGTGTATGGTTTTTGTAGGCTCGGATCCGAGGATAAATAGATGGATCGGATATGAGAGAACGAAAGGTGTCATGCAAGTGCAGTTACTTACGTATCTCCCCACTTTTACTCGAGCGGAATTCAAAACTGAAGAAGAAGAAGAAGAAGAAGAAGAAGAAGAAGAAGCTGCGCTTTTTTTCGCTTTTGGCGTGTAAAAATAGTAGAGATTCTATTCGTCTCTCTCCTATATATATATCAATGTCATGTACTCCTCGCTGTTCCGCTTCGTCTTTCTTTTTGTGTGTGTGTGTGTGTGTGTGTTACGAGATATTCCGAAAGCAGATGAATGGATTGACATCCTCATACCGCACGCTAAAGGGGGAAGTTGGAGAATAATCACATGCATGCACGCACGCGAACACTTGAATGTTGTAAAAGTAAACCGACATAAGAGCACACCGAGTCACATAAACAGAAGCAACCAATGGATGAAAGACTGGCAATTATTCCGTCTCTTCTAAGCATGACTCGAAGTAGTGTGTGTGTAATATACATACAATGCATAAAAAAAGGGGGGGAATGGAGGGGCTCAAGGAGAGACAGAGACGAAGAATCAGGGTATCAAGTTTTTATCTGACGATGAACGGAGAAAAAGCATACAAACGAGCAAGAAGAAGAAATGATACAGCACACCAAAGAACAAAGAGCCTACATGACATCCTCCATCTCGTCCTCCTCGTCATCGCCGGTATTGTCATCAATGTTCTCCGCATCTGGAGGCTTCTCATCGTTCAGACTAGCCCTGGTATCGTTGAACTGCGAGTGGCGAGTCCAGCAGCTGGCAAACGGACCACTGCGGACAAGTTGCGCGATATCGCCAAGGACTTCCTTGAGGTAGACTTCTGGCTGGTTGGTGGTGGCCTTGATCGCCTTCATAGGCCAGTACTTGTACCTGTCGAACAGACCATGCAAGATATCGACCAGCTCGTTGCGGGGTATACGGGCGGCCTTGTTGAGCTGGTTGGACTTCTTGGCCACGGGGGCCTTGATGAATTTTCCGAATTTCTCCTGCGTCTTCTCATTGGCCGTCATCTCGTTGAGGTTACGGAAGTTCTCGACAATGTTTGTGTTCATGTTGTTGCCCAGCACGGCCTGGCTGTGGCGCTGGGCATCGAAGGCGATGTATTCTTGCGTGTTCAAGGGTTGGGCGAAGTACTGGAGGGCAGGGCTGCCTACCAAGGCGGTATGCTTGGGGACCGCTTTTCTGTACTTGCCGCGTTTGAAGATGCGGGCTTTGGGATCTTGCACGGCGCCAAAACCTCCGGGGGCTGCGCCTTTTGCGCTGGGTTTGTATCCAGGCAGGTTCTTCTCGGAAAAGACGTACGTGTTCTGGAGCACCTCGCGGTTGGTGTGTAGCGGTTCGAGCTCAAAAGCACCAGGCAGTTGCGCTTTCTGCTTCCAGTGATCGCCCATGAACAGGCGCATCGGCTGCGACTTGCTGATGCCGTCTTTCTCTAACGGGTCGGGGAAAGCGATGATTTCTCCTAATTGAATCTGCTCATTGGGATCACCACCAGCCAAGTCGCCCCATTCCGAGATCTTTGCCCATAGCCAGTCCGGCACGCGCGTCAGCCACAGGTCTGGGTCCGCACCCTTGGGCATTTGAAGCTCGCCGGTATCCTCATAGAAGTCATCGTCCATGTAACCGCTCCCGGAGAGCATCTGGTCGTCGTACTCGCTCTTAACGTCGGGGTCGGGTTTGATGCCGTTCATAGTTGCAAGCAAGCACGCACGCACGCAAGTGGGTTGAAAGGCGTTTTTGGTCTGACTGGGTAGGAGGGATGACCGCGGTTTGTGGCGGATTGATTATGCAGAAACCTAGAGGCGTCTCTGGAGTCGATCTATACCGGAAGGTGGATGACGAGCAGCTGGGCGGGTGGAATGGATGGGGGTTTGGGGTCAAAGAAGCGGCATTGTCTTAAGGTTTGGGGGTCGTCACCAAGTAGCTGCGCTAGGTAGCGTGCCAAGGCCGCATGCTTGCTTGTTATCGATTGCATGCAGCGATCAAGGCAACCACCAACGAGCAAACGACATAGCTATCCTTTTCTACACTTCTTTCTCTCACCTTACATTCCAGACGTGTAATCTATCCCGCTTGAACAAAAGTCTCCAATTACTCGCTTTCCCCCCGATTCGACCGGAAAAAACAGACTAACAGTGAATACATTCCACCCCACTTCACCTCCGTCTCCAGCTCCCCCGCTTTCCTCCGCCTATTCGCAGCCATATACAAACACTTGAATAGCGCCCGCCATGTCCTCGGCAGAGGTCACCAACGCTCTACAGTCGATTGGCGCAGCTCCTGTCGGCGAGAAACCCGCACTTTACACCTCCCTTCTCCAGCAAATCATCAGTGGATCACAAAACCTCACCGCAGACCTCAATGCCTATACACAAACATTGCTCGACGACTCCCTCGGAATAGTGGTGCTGCGGCCACTTCTCGCCAACTTTGTGGAGCACTTTCGAACCATCAAGGATCCCGATGTCAAGATTGAAGTAGGAGAGAAAGCGATAGAGTTGCTGCAGTCCAAGGGCGCAGGCCAGTATGAAGAGCAGGACACACAGATCAAGGAACTCCTAGCCGATGCCTTTGAGGAGAATGAAGATTACCGGAAATCTGCACAGACATTGGGAACCATCAACCTCGAGTCCACCCAGAAGTCGCGGTCGGCCGACGACAAGGCCCGGGTCTGGATCCGCATTGTGCGGTGCTATCTTGAGGAAGATGACCCTACAAGTGCATTCCTTCACCTGAACAAAGTCAAGAATGTCATATACGACGTCCAGGATCAGCAGACGCGGTTGATGTTTCAGCTCAGCCAGGCCCGTATCCACGACTCGCAGCGCAAATACCTCGACGCTGCCCAAGCCTACTACACAATGAGTCTAGAATCCATCGTTGACGAAGATGAGCGCTTGCAAGCTCTCGGCGCGGCCATCCTATGCGCTGTCCTCGCCCCCGCCGGTCCCTTGCGGTCTAATATGCTAGCCAAGTTGTACAAAGACGACCGCGCGAACTCTGTCGAAGACTTCCCCATTCTCGAGAAGATGTTTTTGGACCGCCTTCTTTCACCCGCGGAAATCAAAGCTTTCGCCAGCAAGTTACAACCACACCATCTCGCCAAAACCGCCGATGGTTCCACAGTTTTGGACCGCGCTGTGCTCGAGCATAACCTTGTCGGCGCTTCTAAACTCTACAACAACATTGGCTTTGACCAACTAGGAGCGCTACTCGGTATCGATGCGGAGAAGGCAGAGCACTACGCCGCAAAGATGTTGGAACAGGGTCGGCTGGGCGGGTACATTGATCAGATTGACCGGCTCATTTTCTTCGAGGGCGAGGGCAGCGGGGAGCGTAAGAAGGAGCATGCAGAGCGGGTAGTGGGCAAGGAGCTTCGCAAGTGGGATGCGAATGTGCAAGGATTGGCTGAGGAAGTTGAGAAGGCGGCAACGATGATCCAGAGCCAGTATCCCGTGGGTCTTTCCCGTTCCTCGTCTGCCTTTTTAGACCATAGCACAAAACTTTATACTGACTTGATTTCAGGAATTCTACGCATCGCAAATGGTGCATTGATCAGTCGTCTTGCATCGCCTTTCCACAAATTACGCCACACCACCCTAATACCACAAGCATCTGCTTTTGCACGGTCAGTCTTCATATGACAATTGGTGGGATGAGATGTCACCAGCTAGTTGGTCTAAATGGATCTCATTCAACAAACCTTACTTAGACATGCAAATAATGTCTCGGCGACAAAACGCCTGATCTGGGAGCGTTTGCACACCCTGCCCGGCGAAAGACAGGATACATAGATACCTTGACTAGATGATAACGTCTTAGAGCAGAGCATGTGAATCTTTACAACATCCACACGGACACCCTGTTTCTCTCTCGGCGTTCCTTTCTACTCCTGGTGATATGAGGGCGTCGCGATCAAAACTTCTTAGTTTTTGCGTTTTCTAATGATCTACACCGGCCTACAGCACCGACCTACCAGCCTTCCTCCCGTCCTCCAACAACCCCTCAACAACATCCCTCCACCTCTCCGCCATCTCCTCCCCAATCCCACTCCAATCATAACTAACCCCAAACTCAACCCTTCCCTGATCATTTGTCGTACAGCCAATCAGAAACTCCCCCTCCCTAGCACGAACACCCTGTTTAATATTCCGAAAATCCGCCGCGAAGTTGACGCCCCTCAATGGGTGCTCGAGCGAGTAATCCCCACGACGAAGCCATTGGGATGTCGAACCTATAGAACTCACACCGCACGTCGCTCGTGCAGGCGGCGGGGCTTCCTCGCCATTCACGCTAGATTGCGGGAGTGCAGGTGCAGACGGCGGCGTGGGAAAAACGCTGCCCTGCGGGGACGAAGCCGGGAAAAGCAAAGCCATGCGTTCCAGACGCCCGATATATCCCGTCGCGAGGAGACGAGTTGGATCGTGCGGGTCGAGTATCGTTCCCGCGGTACCGCTGCCCTGACTGTGACCCGCGGGGCGGCGCTTCTGGTATGTCTTCAGCTCTGCGTTTGCGCACTTCGCGACGGCTTTGAAACGCGTTTCGATGGGGAGGGCGGAGGAGGAGGAGGAGGGGAGGTACGGCATCACGATGCCTTCTGAGAAGGCGAGCATGCACGAGTCGGGCACGACGGGGGTCGCGAGCCCGTAGAAGGGACGTGGGTTTAGCGGGAACGAGGCCGTGAAGGGTAGGGTGGAAGAATCGTCGACTTGTTGGGGTTGTTGGGCGCCGTCGGCCGCGGCGAGCTGCTTCTCGTGCTGCATCTCCATCATCGCGAGTCCTGCTAATGCGAAGCAGCCTGCGCCTATGCTCACCCCGATACTGCGACACAGCTGGATCATGCGCGCGGATGCGGCATGGGAGAGACGTGCGGAGATGTGACCAGAGTTCATTGGCGGCGCAGACGTCGGGGAGTAATCGAAAACTTGCGGGTACCGCTTTGGCAGGGACATGGGCGTTGTGAGTCGTTCACGACGAAGCAGCGGATTCGAGAACGTCTTTGGAAGCGGACGCCGGAGGGAGCGGAGCACGATGATGACGGCCCAGTACCAGCGAAGTCGCGCTCGAGAAGGAGGGCCTTTGCCCGATGAAGCGACTGGTATCGGGTATAGATCTTCCTGCGCTGGCGGGAGCCTTGATTCAATACCATCGACGGTGAGGAGGGTCTCCAGGGAAGCTTTGAGCTCGGTCTCGGGGGTGTTCAGCAGACGCATGAAATCGCTCCACCAGGTATACGCAGCAAGCGCATCTGAAGTCTGATGCGCCACCACAATCACCAAGCTGATCTCGAATCTCTCCAACCCACCACCACCACCTTCTTCGTTTGCTGAACGGCGAACCCGACGTGCCGGCAGGACATGCAACTTTGAACAGTTTCTCGAAACATCAACTACTCTTCCTACATTCAAGCAGTGCTTATAGAATTCTTCCTCGTCTACCTCGCCCGCTCCGTACCATTCGTCCACCCACACAATTTCCTCTCCTACTTTTTCCACCACACCTTCTACGCCAGCGTTCGTCTCAGGCACGTCAACCACAAACTCGCGTCTCCCATTCTCCCCGTCTCTGACCCGCGACATCAACAACACATGTCTAGCTCTTAAACACGTCCAGGCAAGCGCTATACGCTCTCGCAATGCGGCCCTGGATGGCAAGGATGTGGCAATCTCGAGTGAGAGCGAGATGTTCATGTCTGCGCGTCCTCCGAATTGCGTCCCGTCGAAATCGAATGAGAGCTCAACGAGCCCTAGCGGCCGAGAGAAGAAGCTCGCCTGGCCCTGGGGAGAGCGTGTCAGAGTCCATTTATGGTAATTGGTTGCGTAGCGGGATAGCCAGTGCTCTTTTGCTTCATGTGGATCTGTTGTTGTCATGACGGGCACGAGATAAGTAGGCACCTTCCATGAGTTTTGAATGCGAAAGCTACAGATATCTTCAACAACTGCACAAATCTTCGTTCTAGATGACGTTGTCGTTGGTTTGTAGGCTAGGCAATAACCGGGATAGCTGCATGTGCCATTGTGGGTATGGATTGTCGTCGCATACTTACATACTTCAAGAAAGACCAAACAGTATTTCAAAACAGCACAGTTGAAGGTTGTAGCATAATGAATGACATTGTAGATACTTGTTAGCCTGATTTTGCCACAGTTCTGTCCCAATTTTATCCGCCTCAACGCCCCCGAAACCCTCAACGCCGTTAATGCAGGTTGTTCTGGATAACTAACCTAAACCAGCAGAACAGCATTGAGACAGCCATCATTCGCTGGATTATTAGTCACCTGCGAATTGTAAGTAAGTTGAATACACATTATAAAATAGAGAAACCAAAAGCAGGCGATGACTCAAAGACATACCTGAGCATACCTCCCCCACACCACCTTGCCGCCGGCTGTAACAAGCCCTAGGTCTGAGCAGTTGACCTCTATGATGGTACCTTTAGTGAGTACACCAAGTTGGGTAAAGAGGGGATTGTTAGGATCTAGAAAGGATTAATAGCTGACAACATAGATACGGTGACTGATAACTTGCTCTTCTTGACTGATATGATGGGCAATTGCACAGTGACTCCCAGTTCTGGGTGAGTGACGTTGGCTTTCTTGTACCTCAACCCCATCGGCCTTATGAAGCGCTCGTATTTGACCGGACGACGAGTGAATCCTATGCCGCTAAGTTAGTTAAATTCTTATACATTGCCTTCAGGACCAAACGCCCTGGCCAGCGCAATAGTGCGAATGTTGCTTGCAAAACGGCATTGAGTGTAGCGCAAACGCCTACAGCGAATGAGCTTACAATCAATCGATGGTATAAAGCACCTGAGCAGGTGATGAAATCAACCATCAAGTACTCAGGTGTTTACCCATCCTCTTCGGCCGATGAAGTGGCCGATGACTTGGTGTTGTTGGCACCTCGCTTATTTGGCCACCTTCATCGGCTGAGAGCCCATTGCTGGCTGGCCAGGGTATTTCGGACTAGTCCGATTTAGGGCAAGTCCGTAGTGGTGTGTCTTTGAGATTCACTTCACAACTTCTCGAAATCGCATCTCAAGATGCCACCCAACATGTTATATGCAGATTTAACGTACCCGGACCCACGAAGGTTGGCTGCGTAACGACTCGTTTCCATCCCTTCTTCTTGGTTTTGGAACCAGTCTTAAGCACGCTGAACATTTCCTCTGAGAATCATTAGTTAATGCTCAGAACTGGGACCAAGGTACTCGCCCTCTGAGATCCCCTTCACTTTAGGGATGGGAACCGAGAATCTGGCCGCTTTCTCATTGCGCTTTTGCTTGATAGCACTGCTCAACTGCTTTGCGTTCTTCTCGGAGGATCGATCTAGTAGATAGGCCGGTACAGCGTCTGTAGCTGGCTCCGCGGGCTCCTTGGATTTGACATTCCGTGTCTCGTGCGCTTTTATCTTCTGCTTCATTTGGATCTTCTCCTTTCGTCGTTTCTCCGCATATAATTTGGCCCTCAGCCCTCGAAGATTTCTAGTGGCGATTAGTATAACTTCTGATTTGAAGTACAAGGTTGTACGTACTGGGCGCGATCAGACGCGGCATGGCCTTCACGAGCGGCGCGCTTTCGTGCACGTTCATCGTGATCAAATCTAGTATGATCAGCAATAGCCAGAGGTTGTAATGTACGGCAGTGTGAGATGGATGGATTCGAGATAGATTAGGGCGTGAGTCCGTGAGGGATCGGGACATGATTGTGTGAGAAATCGGAATACGTGGCGAAGAATTGGGTTATAGTGTTGAAAGATATCCAGACAAGAGATTGGGTTAGGAAAGGAATTGCGAACCGTTTGCCATGCTGCTTGCGCCAGCGTTCCACTATTAAGAGGTTAGTATATAAATCTTCGTTTTGTCCTGGCTTCGCTTACTATATTCGCCTTGAGGCATGATGGGCAGTTGTAGTTCGTAGAATCCTCGAACTGGGAATGTGTTATGGTGGGAAGTCGGGATATAAAGTGGTGGTGAACTGAGCTTTCCCGCGGTTCAAAAAAGTCGGGCGGCGATTTCCAGTCGCCAAGATTTCGGAGTCCGTGCGCAATCAGCTTAGTCACCTGTAATCCCTGTCAGCACTTCCTCCAGCCAGAGCTACTCCAGAAAAAAGTATACGATTACGGGGGACGAGAGAGACGATACGCCATTGCACCATCCACAATGGCTCTCTTTGCCCGCTCCATGCGGCGCTCGCTGCTCGACACGCCCTCTACAGTATCCCGCCTCTCCTTCCGCGCCCCCATCACCACCGTATCGCACACTCTCGAGACAGGCAACGTGCCGGACCCGCTCATCCAATCCGGACAGCACGTCTCGCAAGCATTGAAAGACAAGGTCGCCGCCGCACCCTCAATCACAGAAGCGACTCCAGCTCCCTCCTCTGCAGCCTTCAAACCCACCCCCAACTCGCGAGAAGATATCGTCTCGAAACACCTCACGCCATCTATAAAACAGCTCCTCCCACTTCTACACTCGCAACCATCCCATTATGCTTCTATCCACATTCATGGACACCCATATCTTCTCACCGCTGGCGATACGCTGCGTCTCCCTTTCCTCATGCCCGATGTCAAGCCGGGCGACATCCTGCGGTTGAATCGCGCCACACACATCGGATCCCGCGACTACACTCTCAAAGCGCCGGAACTCATCAAAGGCAACGCGGACCACGGGAAGAAGATGTTTTATCTGGACGAGAGGTTGTTCACGTGCAGGGCGCGCGTTGTGGGTGTCGAGAGCGAGCCGCTGCGAATTGAAGAGAAGACCAAGAGGAGGCAGCGCCATGTCAAGCATGTACGGAGCAAGCACAAGTACACGGTGCTCAAGATTAGCGAGCTAGAAGTGACGAGCTTACCGGAATATGAGAAGCTGGTGAATAGGGCCGCCCGATCAGGAAGCGCGGAGTAAATTTGGGGCGGATGCAGAAGAGCGCAGGTAGAGGCTGAGTCAAAGTATCAGGCTTTGCCTGCATGTGTACAAGTATATCCTGGGGTGTATCATATTTTGTAAAACGGTATCTGGATGTCGCATAGCATGGTACTGATAGAGCAATTTTCATGAAGAATTCAGAACATTCAAACACTTTTCCGGACCGCGCGTCCAATTTACCATCGCCAGATGAATTCCCAACACCCCTTGAGACGAGAGTTGGACTTGGGGCACGAAACACCGGCATACACATGAGATGGCAATTTCGCCTACCCAACTCTACAAATACTGCCCTTCAAAATGCATACGAAGACTCGTCCACAAATTATCGTGTATTTATTTCTACAAGCACATGGACAGGTATGCTAGCACTCAAGTGCTTGAGACCAACCGCACATGACCTCGCTGCACACGTCCCCACCATCTGACTCTCCCCATCAACACTGAAATCAACATCACATCCCTCATCATACCTCCATCACTACCACGACCCCTTCCATCCCCATATCCACTACACCATACGTCACACGGCAGAATGCACTATCGCAAATACAGCAACACCTGAAATTCATCGCCCGCGCGACCAAGTTTAATTAGCTGGCTGACTTGGTTCAGCCTGAACGCCACAGGCATACCCCACCTTTTGTTCAGCTGCCTTTACAGGGGAATACTACAGAGCGTGCGACTTCTTTTGCTAGATATGCTGGATGATGGGATATGAGAAGATGAGGAAGGTGGAAAGGTGGTGTTTTGGTTGGGGGCGATGAGTGGCGGTACCGTGTGCTCTGCCTTTCCTTCACTGCCTGGTTATCCATGTACATGCATGTATATGTACCTCTTGATTGCAATTCCGGTCAAGCGAGTCCATGTGAATCTACACATCTACATCCCTTCATTTCAATAGGAATGCAGTACCCCATTCATTCCACAGTCCCCACGCAATATGCATCCCCCGCAAAACATAAAAAGGCACAACCACACTTCCCCCCAGAAAAGCAACCAAGATCACACCAAAGCATCACACGGCGCGCGGAACGGGCCACAAGCGCGCAGCCAATACAGTAAGACAAGTGCACGCGCGTGCGCGCACCTAGAAAAGCTTGATGTGACGGGTACGAGAGAAAGCGAGGCACACGAGCAAACGGGGCTTGATTCGGTCTTGCAACATAAGATCCCCCTCGCCCGTGTCTTCTGGCATTATCCGGCATCTCTCTAGCCCAACCATTCTTTGTACTTCAGACTTACACGAGATAAGCCTTTTGGCTGCTTTTTGCTCTCGCCACAACACGGTGTTGGTGAATACGTGTGTTATCGGAGTGGAATCAGGAAGGAGGGCTGTGAAGAAGCTATAGTAAGCATATAAAGTGTGTAGCTTGCTTTACTTGGGAGTACAGCGTTCTGCTAGGTCGAAGGAGCTCTACTGTAGGTGATTGGTTTGTACGTGGGTATTCTGTTCCTTGTGTGCTTCGCTGTGTTTTCGCTCTTCCTCTCCAAGATCTAGTCGGCCTGGAGGATGATTTCATGTCTCGGGAAAAAGAAAAAAAAAGAACCCGCACGAACCAAAAGGAAATATACTAGAGAAAGGAGAAGAGAAACGACGAACAGCAGGATCTGAGGCAAAGCCGAAGTGAAACATCACTTCCCTCCAGACACTGCTAACAAGATCTCAGATCGCTCCCCTCAAATTACAGTATTACACAGACCGAGTACACGATACACAACATACAAGCCCATCACGTCTCACACCATTACTATCGTGTCCATAAACCCCGATCTAGAAGTCCCAGCCGCAACTGTACCAGCGTGGCACTCAATTCTAATAGTCAGTGTTCCCTCCTCTCCTCCTCTCATTGCAAAAAGATGGACAACCGCGAAGAACGCCACAAGTACACACGTACATACACAGTATGATTGAGCAACGTCCTACACAGGGGCGAAAAGAGAGCTTCCGGAAGGAGCGAGGGGAAAAGGAAACGGATTGCATATGAAGATGAACGCCAACGGAGAAAGGGAAAGAGAGAGGACATGTGAAGAATGAGTGGTTGTTCAAATACACGAGGATGTCGATATAATCAGCTACTCTTTTTTTGACCTCTTTACAAGAACCTCGAAATCGAAGGAAGAGAGAGCGAAGTGGTACGAATTCTCCTCTGACTAACGGTGGAAAGTATATAGAAGAAGATAAACAACCGAAACCTCGAACAACAAGAAATCTTCTAAAATCTTTGATTGTCTGCCTGCAACGGAAACAATCGACCATCGTAAGTCTTTATCCCGTCCCTATCCATCCATCCGTTTCTCCAATTAACACGACATCAGCAAATCACCAACCTTGATCCCCAAAAACATCACATCACACCACAACACCAACCCCTCCCAAGAGAAGAAAAAAAAACACAAGATGCCTCAAACAACCCCCCTTCCAACAACCCTCCTCCCACCCCAACAACCCCTCCGCCCAACCTCCACAACAGACGCAAAACCCCTCCCCTACACGGGCTCCCCAATGCTCCTCTTCCTCTCCGACGTGCGCCTCCTCTTCCGCAACGCGTCCTCGCTCCCAGGGATAATGCTCCCGATAATCGCGTCCCCGCCCTCCCCACTGGACGAGCTCTTCCCTTCCCCAGGAAACATGCTGTGTCTCGCGCTCCACAGTTTCCTGATCGTGGTTGAGTTTGGGTTTCTGCTGAGTTTGCCGGCGTTGGTGTTTGTGCCGCTCTGGGCGGGCATGTTGTGGGTTGTGGGTGTGTTTGGGGTTGTTGGAGGGGTGAGCTGGGTGTTGAATGGGGAGGGGGAGGTTAGGAGTCGGAGTGGGGTTTTGAATGCCGCGGAGATGAGGGAGAGGGAGAAGGAGTGTTGGGTGTTCTTGAATGGGGTTAGTGTTGGGTATGTTAGCTCTTCTCTTTCTTTTTTTTTTCAACTCCTTTTTCTCGGTCGGGGATTCTTTTTTGGCGTCTTTGATGATGCTTGTCGACTACGATGAGCTCCGTCGGTCCTCCTATTCGAATCATCCTTTTTTCTCAAGATGTTGGGAAAGAGAAGATGGATGGTATGAGAAAGGGACGTAGCCGTGTTCAGAAAGGGGGGGGGACTTCAAAGGATCGAACTGACCAACACCCCTTTCAAACAGACACCACTGGCTCCAAAACAACGTGGACAGGATCGCGCAAACTTTCCGGCGCCCAATTCTCGGCGTACACAACAGAACGTACGGTATAATCTTCGACCTCATCCAGTGCCTGATTGAGCGTAACTTCTGCTACGCCACGGACGACATTCGCCGTTCGTACGCCATCATCCGTGAGAAGCTGCTGAACCCAGACTATACAAAGGTCGTCTTGATCCTACACAGCCAAGGAGGCATCGAGGGGAGCTTGATATTGGATTGGTTGCTGGGGGAATGTGAGTTTGTCTACTTCTCCCATGTCGTTTTGAGGTTCCTTGACGAGTACCGGACTTATGTGTTTGACAGTGTCTCATGACATCATCCACAAACTCGAGATCTACACCTTCGGATCAGCTGCAAATCACTTCAATAACCCGCTGCGTCATGTGAATAGTGAGTCTTCCAAGAACGAACACGTTCATGCCAATGCCGTGCGCCATATCGAGCACTACACCAACAACGGCGAATTCGTCGCAAGGTGGGGTGCCATCACATTTGCGCACACAGAGAACAGGTATATGGGTCGCATGTTCATCCGGCCAGGATCGGGTCATCTCTTGAATCAGCATTATCTGAAGAGCATGTTTCCGCTAGGTAAAGATGGGCGCGTCATGGAGCGCAATGCATTCATGGACATGGATGTCGAGCTCCCCGGACATCATAGTGGTGATCACAATACCAGAGAATATGTGGAGACGGTATTGAATGAGGGCGACCCTGTGGGTGGGGAACATGAGCAACCAAGACCAGTCAGAACGGCCAAAGTAAAGGATTTTTCGAGGTTGTGGGGTTATCGAAACGGAATGAACCCTCCCGAGTAATATAGCCCGATGAATCTTGTAATTGTTACGATGAGGTGTATAGCAAATATTAGTTAGAAAGACATGGATGGGTACGAAGTAATCGAGAATACAATAACTCTGATTGATAGATCACAGTGATGACATTCATCTTGCTTGGGATTGAATTCATTGATGATTGACTTTTTTAATTCAAGAATGAAATTGACTCTGGGGTAATCTATCCGCCTAGATTGACTATTGCACAAGTGTATGTAACATGGGGTTGACTTGTTATTGTGAAAGGAAAAGGGTGTATAGTGGTCGCTTATGCCTTCTGTGATACAATCCCTGGAAAACATTAGCATGGCATTGGCGATTCGGCAAACAGGGAACATACTCTCAACGTCAGCGACGCTCTGGTCGAGAATCTGCTTGAGGACCTTGGGGTTGTCGAGCTCCTTCTCGATCTTGGCGATGATGCTCTCTGCAAGCTCACGCTGCTGCCTCTGCTTGACCTGACCCTCGTAGCGGACCCAAGAGTCAAGAACGGACCTGGCCTCTTGGGCGATGGCCGTCTTCTGCTCGAGCTCGTAGGCCTGGGCCTCAAGCTGGGCGGTTTCCTGTAGAGTGTCAGTTCCGATCACAGACAGTCCATCAACTCCCCATTTTCATCCCATCCGACACCCGGTCCATCTATCAACGGAATTGTTTATGTACCTTGGAAACCTCGAAGAGGGTCTTGGTGACGTCTACGACACCGCCGAGATCCTGGACGCTGGTGATGCGCTCCTTGACAGCGGAAGTGTGGTCGGCGCGAGCAGCGTTGAGGATGCCGGTGATCTTGTCGACCTGCTGCTGTGCGTAGCTGGACCAGGCGGGACCGGCGTAGTGAGCGACGGCCCAGAAGATGGTCAACAAGCTGAGGGCGACAATGGACTCCTCGTTGACAACGTAGAGCTCGTTGCTGATGGCAGCAATGCTGAGACCGGTACCAGCGGAGAGAACAGCGGCCTTGGTGATGGGGCTGTTTCCGGGGATGGGGATGGCATCAAGCAGCGATTGAGCCTTCTTCTTGGGGTCTTCCTGGGGCACATTGGAGTTGTAGCGGGCCGGGGTGATCTGGGCTGCGATGGAAGGAAATGCGCGAAGAGGGAGGGTTGGGCGGAGGCGGGCGGCGCCTGGGGTGTACCGTCAGTATCGGAGCCAATGGCATCAAAAATGCATCCAAGAGATTGTACGTACCGACCGCGCTCCTTGCGAGACGAGAGGCCATGGCTGTCGATGAAGAGTGGGGAGGATGAGGTGCCGTGAGGTGTTGGAGAGCTCTTTCTGGTGTTGAAGGGTGCAGAACCAATTGGCGCCGCCTGTGCACGCCCGTTTACCCGAAGTGTGGCCGGCCGAGCGTAACTTTTTTTTATTGATGAGAGCTGCCGGATGCTTGCGCCAAATCCTTTTTCTCCAACCAGCAAACTAGCAATTGCCTGTTCTTTCGAAAATATGCCCGGCGCAACTTCTCCCCCCGTCGCCGGTGTGAAGAGAAAGAGGGTTGTGGACAAATCAGATCGCCGTTCATCCAAGTCCAAATCCAAATCTCGACGGCAACCTTCCAGCGGTGGCGGCGAAAGCGACGATGATGGCAGCGATGATCCCCAAACTGAAGTCCTACGCCTCGAAGCCGAAGTCCTCGAGTCCCGCAAAAACTACAACAACATCGCGAAGTTGCTCCAGTTAGCAAAAGACGATGATTCCGAAGACGAAATCGCAATCCTCGCCGCGGTCGCTCTGTGCCGCATCTTTACCCGTCTAGTGGTCAGTGGTGATATGAACAAGAGCAAGGGAATGGCACAGCCCGAGGTTTTGGTCGTGAGCTGGCTCAGGGAGAGATACCGCGAATACAAGGATGGCTTGATAGCCCACTTCTTGAACTGCAAAAACGTTCGCAAGCAGGCCACGGGCCTTACTCTTCTGATGCGCTCAGTCAAGGAAGAGTCGAAGCAGAGTAATTACAGCTGGAAACATACCGTTCTCAAGCAGATAATAGAAGCTGTGCTTGTCAGTAAGGAAGAGGGCTTGCGTGATGAGTTTGCCGAAAAGTACTTTGGCAAGTTCGACGACATCAGATACTACACTTTCAAAACTATTCAGTGAGATAATCTATCACTCCCACCAAGCATCTATGCTGACCCACGCAGGAACCTCCTCGCCTCAGATGTCGCCCCTACAGAAAAGCAACGAGCTGCATCACACTCGTTTGCTTTACTCCTTAGCCTGGAAACCGTCCCAACATCAAAAAACGACATTCAAAATTACTACACAGAATCAGAGGGCAAACCTCCAGTTCCATCTTTGAGTGTCTACAAATCCCAAGCCCAAGAATCCTGGCTGTCAACGCTCCGAGCAGGCATCACTAAAGAGCAGCGAAAGACTATGCTTGGCGTACTCTCGCACCAGATTGCACCTTGGTTCCCACAGCCAGAGATGCTTATGGATTTTCTCACTGATTCGTACAACGTTGGGGGAGCTACCTCTCTGCTTGCACTCTCTGGCCTCTACTATTTGATGGCGGAAAAGAACCTCGATTATCCTTCCTTCTATCAGAAGTTGTACTCGCTACTGGACGAAAGCATCTTGTACTCGAAACATAGATCAAGATTCTTCCGACTCCTCGATACCTTCATGTCTTCAACACATTTGCCCGCGACTCTGGTTGCCAGTTTTATCAAGCGTCTTTCGCGTTTAGCACTATACGCCCCGCCTGCTGGTGTGGTTGTCGTGATTCCATGGGTGTACAACATGTTCCAACGACATCCCGCATGTACCTTTATGATGCATCGTGAGGTGCGAGATCCTGAATGGAAGCAGGAGCTGGAAGAGGAAGGCATGGATGATCCTTTCGACATGGATGAAAAAGACCCTCTTCTTACGAATGCGATTGAGAGCAGCGTGTGGGAGCTCGAGACACTGCAACACCACTATCATCCTAACGTGGCGACGCTTGCCAAGATCATCGCCGAGCAATTTACCAAGCGCTCATATAGTTTGGAAGACTTTTTGGATCACTCTTACACAGCGGTACGTGTTTTTTCTTTGCTCTATCGTCTAGCTTTGACTAATAATGGTGTAGCTACTCGATATCGAATTAGACCGAGATCTCAAGAAGGACCCAGAAGTAGAGTTCGAGATACCCAAACGCATATTCACGGCAGAGGACGGGCTGAATCCATTAGGTCAGCTCTTCAATCAGGTAGTGGAGGCAAGATAGATGTTCCCACAGCTAATGAAATGCAACGTATTGGCATGGTGATATTCGATGGTATCGTGTGGATTGGTTGCATCTTGAAATTAGTCGATACCCCGCGTTATGATGGTGTAGCATTTCTTCTGAGAGTGACGCTTCCATCTTATCTAAGAAATGGGTGAATAATCAGATTCACATTTGAGTAGGTTATCCTTGAATTGTCGTATTCACATTCACGTCGCTCCAGAACCATTTGAGCAATTGGACAACCGCATTGATCATATTTCACATGTGGAGAATATGGGGAATCGAGAGATTATCTCTGTACCTAATCTTCAATGACATTCACTAGTGAAGTATCTAGGTAGATAGCAAGCGCCCTAGCATCGCCGCTTCCCGCTGCGCACAGACCCTCGACATTTTATCATCAACCCTCACACAACGACGACCATTGTCTCACTGACACCACAATTCAACTATTCACAATGTCTCGCCCGCCAGGACCGCCACCGTATACCGCTGAAATGATAGCTAAACTATCCACACCGCGAGCACGTTTCATCGCCGAGGCCGAGCTAAGAAGTGAGCGCGCAGGGATTCCTGTGCGCGGAAGCAAGAGTTGACAACGGTTGGTTAGGCTATATCGCTGGACATCGACTCGCCGACGAGCGCGAAAGAAATTCCCGGGGATCATATCGGTCTTCTTCCTACGGTTCTTCGTCGGGCACTTTTGAACTTGACGCAGATGAAGACACTGGAGATTCAGGCCGACACGAGAACGTACTTGGAGATATCAATCGCGGCTCGGGATCAAAACGGAAAGCTCGTATACGCGGACGCCGTGGGCCCTATCCACATATTTCGGAGGCCCGCAATAGGATCGCCGACCGCCGTGAACATTCGTCTCAGCAATCCACAGTACGTTATCGGAATGCAAAGTATATGAAAAAACCACGTTGGGGGTGTTTTGTGGAACTGCACATACTGGAATATCCTTGCTTGAACATCACTAACCTGATACTCCTTCTCTCAGAACAACAGGCCGGCAACTTTGGGTCCACGATTCCCCGCTACAGGTATCATGCAGATCGCATATCCAGTCCCTTCCTTTCGTCCCTCCCAAACCATCTGACGCATCTCCAGACAAGGCTCTTTGCAAGCACTGGCTGTATAAGAAGGAGTGTAGTAATGGCGATCATTGTGACCTCTCTCATATACCTTCTTTCTACAACACTCCGCATTGCCTGTTCAATCTTCAAGGCCGGTGCAATAAGTCACCTTGCGCCTTTGCGCATGTGGACATCGATGCAGCCGCGCCGGTCTGCGAATCCTTTAGTCGTCTTGGGTACTGCAACCGGGGAGCGGACTGTACCATGCTTCACGTCTACGAGTGCCCTGAATTCGCTAACTACGGCACATGTTCCGCTGGCAACAAGTGCATATCCAAGCATAAGCAGCGCAATCTTCACCGGAGAAGCCGCCGCAGTTCATCTGTCATGAGTTCTCCGGAGAACAGCGGATACATGGGTGATGCTGAGAATGTCGAGGAAGTCGACTCCTCGGATGAGCCTCACGCAATCACCCAGCAACATGACTACGTACCATTTGGACGTGGAGACTGACCAACCATTCTTATCCGTTTTTTTGCTTGAGGGGCAGTACATGTCGCTCGGGCACCGCTGATAGTTGTTCCTGCAATTGCAGCTGGTATCTGTTCATGATCAGATATATCGTGTTTATATGTTATCCCCAGCCTTAGGTAAGGAATGGCGAAGCTGTCGAGGGTAGCTCATGATGTCGGCCAGGCTGCAGACGTCGGTGACAGGTGCATCTGAGCAATGATGGTGCCCTTTTGCACTATGATGTCCAGGTTAATCAATGGTCGGACTTGAGCATGTTGAAACTCGTTCTCTGCTGTTAATATAACATGATATGCATTTCAATGTGTAATGTCTAGGGGTTACCATGTCAGCACAGAAGTGACTGCACAAAGGGAAATATGGAAAATACAATGGAATGCGTACGTATTCGTACGCATCATTTGATATTCACATAGCCATGATTCTGCGATTTCTGGCACCGGATTCGAAGGGGACCAGCTACGTCCATATACCGGATTGGGGGCGGTACTATTGATAGAGCAAGAATGGGGCCGAGGGCGCAGCAGCGCTGGGGCGGAGCTTGGCCGGCCTGGCCTGACATCAACGCCCGGCGTCCCATTCGACGGCGCACATTGGCTTTCAGCTCCATGCGATGCGCTCCATCAATGCTTCGACAGGCCGTCTCCGACGATATAAGACGACCCTGATGATCCAGTGACGCGGTAGCAATTCAATTGGGGCCATCGCTCACACACATGTCCAGCCGTGCCACCTATACGCATGCAGCAGGCAGCAGGCGCATACATACCTACTGATTACATACATACATACATACATACATACCTCACAGCAGCAGACGCGTAGCTCTACCTCGTAACTCTAGATTCCTGCCACATTACCACTTGATCTCCAATATGCAGTTTAAGGATATGCTGAAGAAGAAGGAGAAAGAGAAGGCCAAAGAAGAAGAAGGCGCCACGAGTCCGACCACCACCCTCTCCCCAGACGTCCCTCAATTCAGCTTTGTGCGCACCACGACCACGACCCGGGAAGACATCGAGCCCCCCTCGTTCCCCGGCGACCCCAAACCGTACAGCGCGCCGCTCCTTTCCCCCGACCAGCCATCGCGAGGCATAGCAGGGCGGTTCAGGAGACACAGCAACGCGGCTTCGACGGCCCCGCCGAGCGCAAACAACCGGCTGTCGCAGCGCATCAACTTTGGCCGGAGCAGATCGAGCAGCTCGGCCAACATACCGGAGAACTTGCCCGAAGTAGGGGGCGACGGCGTCGCACGCAATGAGGAAGACGAGGCAAAGTGGGAGAGGAGAGCTACCGTGATGGTGACGGCTAATATGGCCATCAAGAGCCCGCCTGCGACACCCAGCATCGAGGTCACAAGTGAGGATCCATTCGACTCGCCGCGGCGGCAGCAACCTCAACCGCAGGAGCAACAGCGAAGGAATAGAAGCCCGAGTGTGAACAATGCTCCGGATGATGTGTGTCACTCCGGTTTGCTTGGAGCGAGGCAAAAGTCAGAGTCTGCTAACCATTGGGTACACAGACGAACATTCAGGAGGCGATTCGGTTGCACGAGAATGGAGGTGAGTGACGGTGGCATCTGGGAAAAGCGGGAAAAGCGCAAAGCACAAGGACGCTAATTGCAGGCGAATGTCCCCAGATCTCGAAGCGTCGACCAAGATGTTTGGGGATCTGGCTGACCCCAATACCCACAACAACGCCCTCAGTCAGGTTCTCTACGGGCTCGCACTACGGTAAGGAAGAGTCACAACGTCACCTACCCGTCGGATATATGTAACCCCCTTTTTTTCTGTGTCGTGGAAACCACCCGGAACCCCTCTATTCACCCACCTTTCCCACGCTTGTGCAAAGCTTGATCGTTGCTCACGAGTTGCTCCAACTAGGCACGGATGGGGCTGCGAACCGAACCAAGAGCAAGCCGTCCACTATCTCTCCATGGCCGCGTCCAACAGCGCCGAAATCGAGAAGCTGGCGTTGGGTGCGGGAATGAAGAAAGGCGGGGCGGCAAAGGGAGAGCTTGTGCTCGCCATCTTCGAGCTGGCGAACTGTTTCCGCCAGGGCTGGGGCATCAAGAAAGACCCGGCGGCCGCGAAGCAGTACTACGAAACGGCTGCCAACTTGGGCGACACGGATGCAATGAACGAGGTCGCTTGGTGCTATCTAGAAGGCTTTGGGACTAAGAAGGATAAGGTTAGTAGAACCGTCATTTCATTCTCCCTTGTTGTTTCGTCGTTTTCACACGTCGAGTTCGCTCATCTCCGTGGATGCGCGTGTGTGTGAGGATGATGATTATGATGCTGTCCATGAGACAAGTCTTGGGATTCACGCGCGCTGCTTCACCGGTCGGGGTTTATCTATGGGCCAGACGGCAGGAGCGGGCGGGGAAGGGAGAGATATTGGATCGAGGTCTCTGATTACTCCGTCGTCGACTACCGCCCATGACGCGGAGCCCGCATCGAATCCCCCCCTGAGACAGCAACGAAAGCTCGTTGCTCCGCTGTCCTCCCCACCCCCTCCCCGTCCGCCTCATTTGTTGGGCAGCAGCAGCGAGAATGGTGAAAGCAGGAGGGCACAGTGCGGCTGACGGTTTTGTGTGCTGTGTTGCTAACCGCGCCTCATGCAGTTCAAGGCGGCTCAGTTTCTTCGCCTCGCCGAATCCAAGGGAAGTAAGACATTGGGCAACACATGGTACGTTGATGTTTCCTTGCTCGGCGGTGCTTTGACGATTCCTCTCTATTTTGTCTCGTTTTGTCTATTCTCCGAAGTCTTGTTATCGATTTCTTTTGGTATCATGGGATGAGTGGTCTGTATTGGACCCCTCTCTCATGGTATCGCACGCCATGACACCCTCAGCCAGGCCGCAGGGAAGCCACATGCCACACCAAGTATACATGGACACTGCAGCACTCAGTCGGGCGTGCATCTCGATGCAGGCGTCAGCACCTGTCGAGATTTGTGGAGAAGCGAAAGGCACGAAAGCGACGCACGCACATGCGCCACAGCGAGGAATGCTTGTCACGTTGTAGCATTCTACAACTCCAACCACACCGTTGACCAACAAGGCGAGCATCGGATATCCAACATGGTCGCCGTGAGCAACGACGAGGTTTGGCCTGGAGGCCAGAATACGATCCAAATACAATCATCATACGCTATTGGAATGCGCACGCGGGGTTTCGGCGCGCAGGTGCCAAGTCGCATCGATTGGCTGCCGTTGCATGTTTCTCCCACCACACGGCCACACCACTCACCAACGACCCTCACCATCTCTCTGACGCTCCCACACACACACGCACACGCACACGCACCCTTTTGCTTGTCGCTTACCTATTAGCCGGGCCAGGATGGAGGGGGAATGGGGAGATTCTGACAGCGGGAAGCGGGCGCACAAGACCGATGCTGCCGATACCGCAATCCCATGCATCCCATCCATTCACTCAGCAGCCGCCCAGGACATTGTCAACAACAGCACACAGCGCCCAATGCCCTCGCCCCCAGCTCGCCGGACCGACGACAATGCGCTGTTGAGCAAGCAAGCAAGTCAAGCAAGCAAGCATCCAAAATGGTATCCATGACTGCTCGTCTGCTCAAGGCTAGCGCGGGTGTGCCTATGTGTGTGGGTGGGCAGTGTCACCCGCACCCTCCCGTTCCGCTGCCCTGGGTCCGCTTCGCTCCACCGGCTATCTTGTATTGTTTTGTTTACTCTACTCTACTCTACTACTCTGCTCTGCTCTGCTCTACCGCGGTATCATCCCCATTCCGAGCAATAAGACATGGGGCGGGGGTCGTGGGGGAAACTTGACCCGAAACAAGACGAAGCTTGCTGCCTTGCTACCTCCTCTTCCTCCTCTCCCCATACCATCCATATGTGTGTGGGTAGGTGGGTGTGCAAAACGACGAAGAGTGTGTATGGATGAACTCTTTTCTTGCAAGGGCACCAAGAGCAGAATCCTCCCCCCCCCCAAAAAAAAGAAAAAAACACGCAAGGGCAAAGGCAGAAAACGTCAAGCAAGAAAGCAAGCAATACCAGCTTTACCTGTTTTCCGAAAGAGGGGGGGGGGACACACCCGTCGTACACGTGGCGCCGTTTGGCTGGCTCTCCTCGTATCATCCATCCATTCCATCCATCATCCCATGTTGCGCGCGTCATCCATACACACACACACACCCTCACGCACACGCACACGCACACGCAACACTTTTGTCTTTCCGTCTTCAAATCCCACGCCCAAAAAAACTCGATATCAGGGATTCGTTTGGAGCAATACGCGAGAGGGTATTAAACGAGTCGATGATGATGATGATGACGGTGCTTTGTGATCTTTTCTGTTTTTTTTTTTCTGAGGAAGAAAGCATGGCAGAGCAAGGCTTAGCTAGCTAGTCTAGCTATCCAGCTCAGCCCAGCCCAGCCCAGCCACAAACTCCGCGAAATTCCCCTCCCCAAGATCCAGAACCAGAACCCAAGATTTCTGTTACTTTGTTCCAACTTCTCTTTTTTTATGGATGAATTGAACAAGAATTTTTTTGACGCGGGCAAAAGAGATAAGAATCGTCAAATATCCCCGTTTTGCATAGAGTCGTTTGACTTGCACTTGCACACTTTCCCAATTCTGAATCCTCTTGTTCTACGGTTGTTCAAACCCCGGCTTTTTTTTTCTTTTTTTTTTTTGTCGTCGTTTCTGCTATTCTTGGAATATTAGCTAAAGCTCTCAAAAAACTAACATTGCGAAAATTTTAAAAATACAGGATCTGGAAAGATAAATATAATCCCCCTTCTACATCACCGACATCGCCATCGTCTACGGAAAAATCGAGTTTTGCGGGGTTAGGATCAATGAGGAGGAAGAAAAGGAACTAAATAAACATAAAGTCCAAAAGTAATAGGAGTATCAAAGTTAGGTAAGTTAGAGGGGGAAGGATAGCAGTAGTAGTACGAAGATGTGGTAGTTAGTTGGAGAGAGCCAAAGCTTTTCGTGTTTTTGTTAATGATCCATTTCAATTGAATCCCGTCAACCATTTCTTTTTTTTTTTTTTTTTTTGGTTCGTTTCATGTTTATTTTGTGAAAATCCTAGGGAATTTTTGAAAGAGGCGACAAGCAATCACTTCACCATGTCATTCAATCAATCAGTCAATCAAGAATATATATATCGTCGACATCAAGATCCCCCGTCCGAGGGGGAATCAACTTCTTCATAATGAATAAAATAGGGGGGGGGGCTATGTAATAATAATAATAATCAAAAAGAAAGAAAAAACACATTCGACATGATAATCATATATATTCCGCCCATCCGCTACCACACTCACACACAATAGACAAAGACTTCTGGGCATTCCCGTCTCGACTAAAAACAAACACAAGAAAACAGAAAAACAAACATGTGTATTCATCATCGTCATTCTCTCGTTGTTCATGGGTTTCATCAAATTCGGGGCAGAGAAAAAACAAAAAACGCAGTACAACGGTAAAATAAAGCAGGTAATCAGCAAAAAAAGAATCAAAACATACCCGTCGGCAGATCCGTAGACTGAGCACAGGGTTGGATATCAAAGCTCTCGTGTCGTTTCGCTCGTCATGTCACTCGCGTTGAGAAACAAAAATAGCAAGGTAAAACCAAGGCAGGTCAGACAAGGCAGACGCTCAAGCGATCGTCTCCAAGCGACAAGAATAGAAGCAAAGGGAAATACACAAAAAATCGCTAGAAACAAACTCGCTCGCTGGGAAAATGACGACAGAAAATGCTAGCGCTGACGATGGTAGTCGAAGACGCAGCGGCAAGAAAAAAAAAGACGACAAGAAACAGGGGGAAATCCAGAAACAAATTGGGTAGGTGTGCGAAACCATGGATCCCCAGGATTGTATAAAAGAGATTTTCTGCAGGCGTGCAGCGGCACCCAAACTGCGTGCACGATGCTGGCGCGTCGCAAGAGATCGAATGGTAAGACGAAAAACACCAATGTAAGACGAGGGTCGCATCGCCGCATCGGTACCGTGGTTGTGTGGACAAGGGGTCCGCAAGCAACTCGGGTAAGACACGGAGAAACAGCCGCGGGGAAAACAAATGTGGTATATCACGGATATCCAGCCCAGATGCAAAGTGGTTCCTGTCCCTATGTGGTGCCGCCCCGAAGGTGAGCGGGGCGGGGAAACCGGAAGAAGTCCAAAACGCTATGCTGATGGAAAAGCAGACAGGCTATGCATTATGACAGATGGGAAGGAAGGAGATGTGACGCGTCAACACAAGGAGAGGTCAACATAGGGAAGGCGGTTGCGTTGTGAGCCAACGAGGGAATGGCCCGGGCAAGCATGCTTCAACCCAGGGTTTCGACTTTGGTCAACGAGGGCCCATCAGCAGTGCTGGGGCGCGACGACGAGACAGCCGACTCCTCGACCATGCGCTTGAACTCAATGACGACTTCGGGGGCGATCTTGTCCCAAAGGAGACTGCGCGTGTAGACTTCGGCGGCGGACTCGCCTTTGCTTTGCTCGCGCATGGCGGCTAGCGTTTCGGCGAGATTGCGTCGGTGCGAGGATGGCTGAGACGAAGGAGACAGGGGATCGCTGTAATCGTCGCTAGACATGCTATACCGCGTGCGCGTGAAGTCAAGAGAGGTCATGCTGTTGTACTGTGCCGGGGTGATGGAGAAGAGCTGCTCGTGCTCCTGGTCTTTGGTGGTGGTAGTAAGCTGCGAGTGGAGACGATCAAGCGTCGAGCCGCCGATGCCAGGAATGTCAGCGCCAGGCACAGACTTGGCCCAGTCGATGCCCGCCGAAGGAGCGGGTTCGGCCATCTGGACGCTGTTGGCAATGATGCCCTGCTCGGTGACGGTAGGAGCCACGCCGGCATCTTTGAAGATGCTGTCGAGGACACTGGCGGAGGCGGCGCGGACATCGTCGGGCATGCGAGGAATGGGCGGAGCGTTGGCACCGGCGGATTTGCTGGCGACAAACGCGCCGCAGAGCAGCAGCATAAGCAGAAGGCCAGAAGCGACGGGCTTCTCTTCGTCTTTGGCACGGGGAACCAAGGCGAGGGACTGTTCCTGCGGCTGCTGGGCACCGGGAGTTTGTTCATCAGAGACGAAGTCGTTGACGAAGATGTAGTTGTCCCACTCGCTGTTACCCATGTGGAGGTTGTCCATGTCCGAGGTGAAGTCGGTGAAGGTGCTGGGAGCAGCAGTGTTGGTGGTGGCACACTCGAGCCTCTCGGTGAGAACGGAAACCTTCTTGCGGAGATCACCCGTCTCGAGAGTGTGGGAGCGCACCAACTCCTCCTTGTCGAACTGCAGCTGGCTGACGAGATGGGAGAGTTCCATCTGATCACGTTGCATGCTCTCCTTCTCGGCCAACATGTTCTCGTACTCTGCGCGAAGGCTGTTGAAGTCGTCCTGTATGGCGCAGTACTTTTCGGTCCAGATCTTCTTCTCCTCTTCCAACTCCTCAGTGTGCTTCTTTTTGCGTTGGCGGGAGTCGAGACTGTCATCATGTTAGCGTTGAACAAGGGGGAAGGGGGTACATGGGAGGGGAGGACCCATCAGCAGATGAGCAGGGCGTGGCAAGCAATGACCAAAAACAAGACGGATGATGTACAAAAACAACGCCAAAAAGGGAACCAAAAAATAGTACGTACGCGGCCTGTCTGTTCCGGAGAAGTCGCTTCTGCTGCTTGAGCTCCTTGAGGTCGTCCTCGTTCTGGCAGTTCTGGATGAGGTGGTCGATGTTGAGCAGGTTCCTCTCGGCGGGAATGTCGAACCGGGCGTTCTTCTTCCGGATGCCGCCGTCACGACGGGGCGTAAAGGGCCTGGAGGGCGAGCTGGGCCTCATTCGCTTGGGACCGGGCCTGGCATCCATCTCTTGCTGGTTGAAGGCCATCCACTCCGAGTTGGTGTGGGGAGACAAGGGCCGTTCGGGACCTTGAGGAAAGACGGAGCTGGGCCTCACGTTGGACTGGACGGGCAGACCTTGGAAGGGCATCTGCGAAGGTTCGGGCACGAAGGAGGAAGCAGCGGCACCAAAATCGCCGGGACCAAAAGGGTTGTTCATGGGCTTGGAAGCCGTGGGGGTCCGCGTTCCGGAGTTGTCGACAACGGGCCACGAATTCTGCTGGCCGTAGTTGGCGATCTGGTTCTCGGGCAGGCGGGCAAATGGGTTATTGCTTTGCTGCTGCTGGTGGTGATGTTGTTGCTGTTGTTGTTGCTGCTGCTGCTGGTTGAAGAAGGGGTTGTTGGCGTTTGTGTTGACGACGGAACTTGTGGCGGTGCGGTCGATGAACTGACCCTGCTGGGAGAAGTCTTCCCAGATGGAAGAGGCACCGGGGGAGAACATGCCCTGGGTGCTGGCGGTGGGGGACATGAGGACTGGGGTGTCCAAGATGTGGGCGTCGAGGGTGTTTGCGTCGTCAAAAGCAAAAGCAGAGGGTTTCCGGTCCTGGAGGCTGGAGAAGTCCATGACGGGCAGAGAGGAAGTGAAAGATGTGAAGAGGTAGTGGTGGTGGAAGGATGGTGGCTAAGTAATGATGGGAGGGAAAGTACCGGTGTGGAGGTGGGACTGGCGGTGTGGATTGCTGTTTCGGGCAATCGGGTAGGCTGGCACTAAGGGCAGAACTGGGCTGGCCTGGCTGGCTGGGTTGGCGGCGGCGGGCGGGAACGTCACTAGCTAGCGAGCGATGGCCGCCGATGAGCGATGAGCGATGGAATAGCCGGGGGGGACGAGAAGAGCAGAGCAGAGCAGAGTAGAGCAGAGCTTTTGAGAAGCAGTGCGGCTTCACGGCCGGTAGTGGTGGTAGTAGTGGTGGTGGTGGTGGATGGATTGCAGGACCGCGGACGCACACACACACACAGAGATGAACCTTTTTTTTTCTTCTGCTTCTTCTTCGTCCTTTTTCCCGTTGCTTTTTTTTTCTTTCTTCTTCTTCCTTTTTTTTTTTCCTTTCTCGCCGGTACTAGGCGTGACGGGAGGCGGAGGGGGTGGTGGTAGTGAGAGGAATGGAGTGCAGAGTGGTCTGCACTTTGGGTGGGAAGCAGTCCAAGTCAAGTAAGCAAGGAAGGTGGGGAGAAGAGGGGAGGGGAGGGGCGATGGGTAGTGGCCAGTAGTTATGCTGTGGAAGCCATCACACACAGACGGCAGTACAGTACAGTACAGGCAGTACGGTACTCTGCACGACGCAGTAGAGAGGGAAACACGGGTAATGTAACCGTATCATTCATTCATTCATTCATTCATTCATTCATCGAAGCAATCAATGGATTATCGAGTGATTGATTGAATCCCATCGGCGGATGATGAACAGCCGGGGGGGCAGACAGTGCCTGCTGATAAGTGGGAAAAGAAGAAGCGGACTAGCGCCATTCTTCGCTCCCCCTCTAATGCCACCACCATCCATCCATCCATCCATACATCCTTCACTCTAACCCATCCACCACCCATCCACCACCCCCCATCAATCGATACATACTTGCCTATAGCTGGATCAATCGACCAGAACCCCCGCGTCGTCAAACACACACACACGAGTGACGGACCGACCGCTGACTGAATGACGGCTGCGGGTAGCAATCGGATACCCACCATATGCCTGCCGCTCGCTATACATGATCTGCTGTACCATACCGCCCGCCGGCTAACCCCCCGTATTCGCCCGCCATTCGACGCCTCAATCTGTGCCCTCCGGCGGAGTCGGGTAGGCCTGCATCCTGCCCTTCACAAGAGCAAAAGGCCTTGGTCGTATCCACTAGCCCTCAGCGCTGCACAGGCAATCATTCACCATCCTTCGCACGGGGAACCTGGCACTGTCCGTGACTGGTCGCCTATTTTTTCTGCCCACGGATGCTTCCCCGAATGCACTCGCGCTCAACTCACTCACACATGATCCCACCTCACTTCACGCCTGTAGCGTTGCCAGTGACAATTCCTTCACGCTTGTTCCACCTGCCGCCCTTTCTATTCGCCGCGCTCCCATCTTTTTCCCTTGCATTTTTTTCCACATCATCGTTAGCGGGGATATTCTTGTCATCCAGTCATTCCATCCGTCATTCAAAGCCTGTCCGTTACCGCTTTTGGCGGCTTTGGTTTGTGGCCTCATCATCCACCAAGCACTCCATCAAGCAATCCCCCAAACGCCCTCCTCCCCCATTCCCAGCGCTTCCCTCATTCCCCTTTGCCCACGCTTCACCATTTCCCATCCATTCATTCACCAACCCCCCCAGGATCCCGTAACTCCCGATTAACCCGCCAACAGCAATTCTAACAAGACCATGGCCAACTGCCGTACCACCCACATGCTCAGAATAGACGGCCAATCAACAGCCATACCTCGTTCCATTTGACCCCCAAAGCAATCGTTATTCTAGACCTTCAACTCGGATGCTGAGCAACATCACTCGCCACAGCCTACGCTGATCGCTCATCTTGCAGCTAGCTCCGTTTGAGGATATGCATCTGCCCGGCGGTATGTCTGCCACTACCCACGCGCCCCAACGCCAATCCTTCATGCCCTGCTTTTCTTTCCTTTCCCTTTTCTGCCTGCTTGCTTGCTTGCTCGCTCTTCACGTACTAGTCCAATAGGGACCGGGAGAGTGTGTAGGCGCTACATCATAGTCTCATGATATCTATGGTCTTTTTCGCTGGTCTGGCGATTTCTTGTTTGAATCCGTGACAAATCATTGTGAATTGTGATATGAAGGAATCAATGAATCAATGCGATTATTCACTGAAATGAGTGATTGTCCTCCACCTTCCATCTAGCCAACGGACAAAGACAAAAACATCGTCATAGCATGAGCAAGACCATGAGGCAAGCGAAAACCGGGATCCGGGGACAAATGTACACGTGGGTTTGACTCGTGTACATGTTTTTTTTTTTCGCGCCCATCCATTCCTTCACGTAGTTCTGACTCACCACCTCTCTCCCCATGCCCCGTGCCATCAATCTCACGAACATAATTGAACAAGGTAAAAAAATAAAAAACCATTTCACTTTTCTCGCGCAAAGAAAAAAGTGCGTTTGAAATTATTATCTATCTTTTTAAATTTAAGAACTATAATTATAACTATGGAATGTGTGGTCTACTTGTTAGTCGCAGTCGTATCGACGTTTGTATCTGCACCTCAAAGGTCTGGTACGCTACTCTCCCTAGGTACATACCATCATGTACCTACTTACCCGCAATTGCATATGTACTCTAGCTTTAGGGTACCCGTGTACCCGTCTCCCAAACTCTTTTCTAGCTCTTCTGCGCGTGGGAAAGGCGCGCGCGCGCGTTGGGTTAGATGGACAATTGTTTGTTTGTTTGTTTACCTTGTTTTTTATCTTTGTTTACATATCATTGACGCCCAACAAATGAGGCGTGCGTGCATATGTACATACATTGTTGTAGCGCTGCGCCAAGAACCATGTAAAAACTATGGAACCCACCCGACTCTCCCGGGGGGGAATAAGGGAAAGAAGGGAACGTGCGTGTATGTGGCTTTGCAGTTTGAAATATCCCCCCCTCCCTCTTAAAAAAAAATTCGTGAGGCGGTGAGGGGAAATGTAAAGATATAAGTTATTGAGTCAGGGGAGCACTTTTGATATTTGGGATAGGAGTTGATTGGGAGAAAAGAGAGAAGAAGAAGAAAAAAAAAGAGAGAGAATAAACGCTGTTTGTTTAGATGGATGGCTTAGCATGTGTGTGTGTGCGTGTGTGTGTGGATAACGTGGATATAGTAGTATGCCCCTAAGGATAGATAGGATGGGATGGGATGTTGCTAAAATAGAGTCTAGGAATAGAATGGAATAAGATAGGGCAAAAAAAAAAAGGTATACGTTGTGTATGTATGTATGTGTATGTATGTATTAGAATGATAAGGATGAGGCAGAGACAAGAGGATTGTCTAAGAAAGCAGATAACAACAATACAATAATAAGATTTTATATTAGGGTTGGAATAGGGAGAGTGGATGGTAGGAGGATGGGAAGAAGATGGGAAAGAGGAGCAGGGAGGATTATATGCTATTGCATTTATATAGCTCTACTGCTGCTGCTGCTGCTGCTGCTATAATAATTTTTTCTTCTAACTGGTACTTGTTACTTACTTACTTCTTTACTTGTTTATGTTTTTACCTGCGATGATTTAGCGAGAAGAAGAAGAAGAAGAAGAAGAAGAAGAAGAAAAATTCTTAAACACTAAAATATACAAGTATGAGATATATTTGCCATGTAATGTTATAGCAGTTAATTTGTTAGTTGTAAGGTAAGCTAGCAAATTCCTACTTGTCGCTGCACCCACCTTTGACGTTGTTATTAACAAAGAGAGAGATATATATGTATTAATTAATAAGTAATTGCGTGGATTATAAACACCTGTGTAAATTCTGTCGTTTAACTTATCTCTGCTATTTTCCACGTTGTTGTTGTTGTTGTTGTTGTTGTTGTTGTTGTTGTTGTTGTTGATGAAGGAAATAGATTCTTCGTAGAAGATATGTACATATACATAGATACATAAGAATTACTTTTAATTTATGAGTACTGAGATGGGAGGAGACGAAAAGGACATGGCGGTAGTTTTTCATGTCTGGGGAAAGAAAAAGAAGGAGGAGGAGAAGAGTAGTACACAGTCTCAAGATACAAAAGAGGTCAAATAATTGTTGTCATATTCCTCAGTTCTGTTTCCATCTACCAAACTCATGCTAGCGAGCACATCCACACACACACACGCAATTTCCCTCTTTCTCTCTCTCTCTCTCTCTCGGGGCAGTTATTCCATGGATAGCAGTCAGAGTAAACAGTATGTCGTCGTCGTCGTCGTCGTCGTCGTCGTCGTCAGCCTTTCTCAAGCAAAGCACGACCCGCTACTCTAGCTAGCCAGCCCAACCCTGCTCTCCCATCAAGCAGCATCCCCCCCCGTTTTCCAACCGCCCTGCGCAATCTCGGCCTGATTTTTGACAAGCAACGCACGTGGGGCAGATCATCGATCTGATCCGACGAAAAAGAAGAAAAAAAAAGATTGTAGCTCGAGGAGAAAACTCGGGTATGCCATTGAGCTCGAGCAGACGCAAACAGGGATGATGCTAGGTCCAGGAACCTTATAGATAGTATACATGAAACCGCGAATTTTTTAGGCGGCAACGGAAGGGTGAGAAGAGGGGGGATTCTATATTCCTTGCTGATCGTCCCTGGCCCAAAGCTTGACGGTGCGGTCTTTGCCGCCGCTGACAATGTACCTCGCATCGGAGGTGACATCGGTGCTGTGAACGGCCTGCGAGTGACCCTGCAGCGTTGCGGTGTGGGCCCAGTCATCCGCCGAGAAGACTTGGATATTTTTATCGAAGCCAGAGGAGATGACAAAGGTAGATGCCTTTTTGGGGACGACCTCGCCGTCCGGAGTGGATTGGAGAGGGATGCCGCTGGCGGGACCGTCGGTGCCTCTGAACCAGCGCAAATCTGTGACGCCGCCCGTGTTGGCTGCGATGGAGTTGGATTCCCGCATGGCGCGTACGTCCCAGCATTTCATGAAGCCGTCGCCGGAGCCGGTGAGGAGGCGGTGGCCGTCTGTACTCCAGTCGATGCCGTAGATGGGCTTGATGTGGCTTTCGAGCAGGAAGATGACGCGCCCACTGCGTATGTCCCAGACGCGACCGACGCTGTCTAATCCTCCGCTTGCTAGTAAGGAGCCATCTGCGTTGAAGTTGACTGCAAAAACTTCCTTTGAATGACCCTCTTGCGCGAGCAGTTCCTGACCGGTGTTGACGTCCCATAGGCGCCACGTGGTGTCATCAGAAGCGGAGGCGAGGTATCGACCGGATGGGTGAAAGGCGACCCTACATACGCGTTCGGTGTGACCTTCCAGTGTCTGTAACGGCTTATCGTGTTCCAGAGACCATAGTTGCACCTTTCCTCCTGCACCACCAGATGCGAGATTGACGCTCTCTGGAGAGACAGTCGTGCCCGGAAGCGTGGCGCCCGGCACCCAGTCAATACCCGTCGCGCGCTCTGTGTGTCCGCCCCGATATGCCTTCTTCTGTTCCAAACTGGGGACTTCGAGCAGCCGGATGTGACCACCCCAGTGTCCGTACGCGACATACTGGCCACTGGGCGAGAATCGTACGATGCTAACAGGGCGGTCGGAAGTCTGTGATCCATAGAGCTCGAAACCTTTTAACCGGTCCTTGATCTTGTTGCGGAATTCGATATGTGTTTTGAGGGGTATGGTAGCTTCGCGCCTTTGGAAAGCGACGCGGTCCTTTGCGCGCGGCAGCGAGTATCTTGCAATGTCCTTGCGGGCTTCCAACAGATGGTCGGTTCCTGCCGTGAAAAACTCTTCCTCAGCTTCCCCAGTAGGCTCGCCAGACTCCTGCATGACAACGTCGACATCGTCATCACCGGCTTCCTGCTGATCGAACAAGAGTGCGCGCAATCGATCTCGCCGTTCCGAAGGGCCTTCTCCGAAAAGGGTGATGGGTTCGCCGCGTGCGCGCAATTGAGCTTTGATGTCGCGTTCAGCGGTGGGGACGAGGATTTGGGCGGCGCGGCGCTTCTTGTCAAACTGCGAGAGAACTTCGGAAGCCTTTTCGTTGCCCTGACCGGGGACGCTGGAGGGCATCGTGTAATCGCGGTCGAGAGGCACGTTGGCATAATCAATGCCGTCCATGGAGACATCGTTTGTGTCTTCTTCCACATAGGCCTGGCGCGAAGGATGGACCGACATGGTGAAGGACGGGTTATGTGTATAGTTTGCTGAGTGCTGCTTGTGAAGGCGGGGTGCACGAGGTTTTTATGGAGGGAATGTTCATATAGGCATGATCTGGGGTCCTGGCAGTGCTTACCACGGTGAATATCAGAGGATATGTCTGGCCGGCTGTATGGGGTTGGTTTGTTTTGGCGGTGCAAGCAGAGAGCTGCAAGCAAAGTGGTGGAGGTGGATACTGACGAGGTGTAACGATAATTCCGCGCGGGCTGCCGAGGTTCCGCCGATAGGGCTGCATCTCTCGACATATGCATCTCCACGAAACGGCTGCGGGTTTGATGTCTTCAATCGTTCTTCCATTCAGTGTCCGGCGGGTGATGTGGTATCAATCGCTTTTCGGTTTGCTCCCTTCTGCCCGTGACCTCAGCATGTCTGGCATGATCCTGCTGCTACTGGTAAGTGGTTAGAGACATTTGAAGGTGGCCGATCCTAGCGTTGCTCTGAAGACCACACTGGCTCGTTATCTTTCGGCATGACGCCAGATTTCCGTCCTTCCCCAATCTTATCCCATCCCATCCCTACCTATGCCATCCCTGGCTGGCTCCAAGAGAAAAAAAGCCAATTCACCCTTAACCACCACGCCTGCTTGGCTCTCCCCAATCAACATTCCGACCCTCCTCTTTTCTCTTTGACGACCGCGCAGTCAATTCGTGCTCCAACGCTTGCTGATCCTCATCCTCTCTACTCCTAGACCTGGGCTTCGGCCATGTCTTCTGCCATTGCGCGCTCAGCTCCTCGCGCCGCCATCCCCACAACTCCTACCCGCCTGTTCCTCCTCTGTCTCTCCACCACATCGCTCCTCGCCCCCGCACATGCTCAACGCGCGACAGCACGCTCCCATCATCCATCGCGGCGGTCCTCTTCGCTGTACTCCCCCAGGACCTGCCCTCTCAACCGTGACACCAGCCCGGCTTCCATCGGCCTGCGCTCTTTCCACACATCCTCGCATACCTGGAGCGCCTCTCCGCAATTCTCGTACCATGTCGCCTCATCCTATGCTGCAAAGCAAGACAGGTTCGATGCGCGGCGCAATCTGTACACCAATCCCGTCTTCGATCCCACCGAGAGCAAGGCGGGTTTGACCGAGTGTAAAACCTCAAAGGATAGACGGCTCAGGGCCAAGAGCGGACAAGATGCTTTTTTCTACAGCCAGGTGGGCACAACAAAATCCTCTACTTTCGGTGTAGCGGATGGCGTGGGAGGATGGGTCGAATCCGGCATTGATCCCGCCGATTTCTCACACGGCCTCTGCGAGTACATGGCTTGCGCTGCGAGGTCGTGGCCGCGCCATTCCAACAAAACCTCCTCATTGCACCCCAAGGATCTGCTGCAAGTGGCATACGACGAGGTCATAGAGGACAAGGGCATCGTCGGTGGAGGCAGCACGGCATGTCTCGCTGTCGCGGAACCAAGTGGCAATGTCGAGGTTGCTAATCTGGGAGATTCGGGTTTCATGCATCTGGGCTTGAACGCCGTACGACACTTTACCCATCCGCAGACGCACGCCTTCAATACCCCCTTTCAGCTGTCCAAAACCCCCCAACGCATGTTGGTTCAAATGGCCGTGTTTGGTGGGCCGAGTACCTTGTCAGACCTTCCCAAGGTGTCAAGTGTAACGCATCACCAAGTGCGCCACGGCGATGTTCTCGTGTTCGCCACAGATGGTGTATGGGACAACCTGAGCCCGCAGGACGTGCTCGGAATTGTGAGCAGACACATGGTTGAGATCGGCGCATGGGTCGAGAACGATGGCGGTATGAGGGTTGGACCGGAGCTTCGCAAGTTGGCGCAAGCAGATGGCTCGGAAAAGGCAGACGGGTCTTCACTCCAGGCGCGTCTCGCCGTCGCTATTGCGAAGAAAGCCAAGGAGACTGGTTTGGACACTCGCCGGGATGGCCCGTTCGCCAAAGAGGTGCAGAAGTTTTACCCCGGAGAAGACTGGCATGGCGGAAAACCCGACGATATTGCTGCCTTGATCGCCGTTGTGGTGGAAGAGCCTTCGGCATAAAGAGCGCTGCTGGTAGAGTTCTGGGCATCTGGTTGCATTGGCCGGCGTTGGTGGACAGTCATGGTTCGTGGCGATTTTCAACAGCCACATAGGTGTACATGGGATGGATGTGGTTCATGTCGAGCTCGCATGCAGCTTTCGACTCATCATTGGGCGGGAATCATTGTTGATGGTAGTGTGTATCTATCGGATTGCATCGTGTCATATTATGTCGTTTTGCATTGCCTCACATGTACTGTTGTGATGATGTTTCATTCACGTATATGCATGTGGGCTTTTTTCACCTGGAGTATGATAAATCCGACAATTACATGTACCATTACTTGAGATGGAAACACAATCTCACATCACCCCTCTGCGATGTTTGCAAGAGTGAGATGACGTTGGCGGAGACTTGCAGAAAGGCAGTCTGTTTGTTTACGGCGGTTGCCCCTCGCAACGGCTGGGGATCTCGGCGAACGGCGTCCGCACGCGCCATGACCTCGCCCACCATGGATTGAATCATCCACACCTCAAGTCTCTCACGGTCGCATCTCTACAGCGAACAACCGCCGGATTGGATTTTCACCGCGCCTTATGTATGCATGTACCACTAACAATACAGTCGACATTCGCTATCCGCCCTCCTCCATCAGCACCCGCAAATCATAGATAGAACAGAGATCTGCACCCCAGCGACGCGCTGCCGCAATTCGCCTATCACACCTACAACACCACCACCGCAGCATATTATACAAACATCGCCATGTCGACTGCATCCCCCACCCCGCTGGGCTCCTACAGCAGCCTAGGCCGTATGCGCTCGCATTCTTCGATTCGTCCCAGGAGGGACTCGCCATTGAGCGTCCTCGGCCAGAGCCAGGGCTTTTCGGCCGATGCGCCCATGATGCAGAATATAAACATTGGCGACAGTTCCGACGACGAATTGCCCCAACCCATGAAACTCAGCGCTCTCACCACTGCGCTGCTCGCCCGGGACGAACTCAAGTCCCCCGAAAAAGTCACACGCCAGCCCAAGTTGCGCATTTCGAGAAGTCCGCGGTCGGGCTCGGAAACCCCAATGCACGATTCCGTCACCCCAGCCCCGAGCATGCAACGAGGATTGAAGAGAGTACCGCTGGCAGGACGACCTATGAGGAGATTCCGAAGGACTCCCCAGAGCGAAGAGGAAAACAACAATCCGCCTTCGCAGGACCAAGAAAACCTGCCCATGTCTGTCGCCAAAGTCACTTCAAGCCAGGACGCAGGTTCCGTCATGAAACCCCAACAGGTCCACGCCCCCGATTCCGTCATGAAAGCAACAGATCACGATAGAAGACCTGCTCCAGTACCGCAATCGCCTATCCAAAGACAAGAAAAGCCCGTGCCCCTTCAATCGATAAGCGCCAACACTCCTCGCAGGCCGGCGCCTCCACCCCCGCCCAAGATGTCTGCCTTGGAAACCGCTACAGCTGCTGCAGGCGCTGCCACGACCAAGACGCGCAAGAAGAGAAGCACGCTGGCTGTCAATGGCAAGCACTATCGACAAATGGACCGCGTAGGCAAAGGTGGCAGTTCGGCCGTGTATCGTGTAATGGCAGAAAACTTCAAACTTCTTGCTCTAAAGAGAGTGAATCTTGAGGGTGCAGACGAAGCCGCTATCCGCGGGTTCAAGGGAGAAATCGACCTGCTCAAAAAGCTCGAGAATGTAGAGCGAGTGGTGAGGTTATACGACTGGGAAGTGGATGAAAGTCGGCAAATTCTGAGCGTGGTATGTATATATAGATCCCATCACGGATTAGTGTGGAATCTGTTTTGTTAACTCTCCGCAGCTCATGGAACTGGGTGAATCCGACCTTGCGCGCATCATCCGCATGAAGCTCGATCCTGCCGAGGCTGAGCTTGACCTGAGCTTCACACGATTTTACTGGAAAGAAATGCTCGAATGCGTTGGCACAGTCCACGATCATGACATCGTACATTCAGACCTGAAACCCGCCAACTTCGTCCTCGTCCAAGGCCGCCTCAAACTCATCGACTTCGGCATCGCCAACGCCATCGAAACCGACCACACCGTCAACGTCCACCGCGATTCGCATATCGGCACCCCCAACTACATGTCCCCAGAAAGTCTCGAAGACTGCGCCGGCGGCGGCTCTCGCGGGCAACTCTCCAACGGCCACGCCACAAAGGACATGAAACTCGGCAAAGCCTCCGACGTCTGGTCCCTCGGCTGCATCCTCTACCAAATGGTCTACGGCCGCCCCCCCTTCGGCCACATCGCAAACCAAATGTCCCGCGTCCTCGCCATCATCAACCGCGACTACCAAATCGCCTTTGACGACACGGGAATCGGCGGTGTCCCCGTCCCCCGCGGTCTCGTCAAAACCATGCGCGCCTGCCTCAACCGCGACGCCTCTCTCCGTCCCACCATCCCCGAACTCCTGGGCCCTTCGGACCCCTTCATCTACCCCGATGCACCAGAGGGCGACCTCCCGATTTCGCTGGCTCTGCTCGACCAGATTATTCACAGGGTTGCCGATCGCTTCAGAGACCCTAGCAAACCCGAGCCTACCGAAGACGAGATTCGAGGGTACGGTCCGAGCTTCTATCAGAAAATTGCTAGTCTGTTGGAGGGCAAGTAGAATCTCAAAAGTTTGTTTTAATTTTGGATCCGGCGCGGGGCGAAGAGAGATTGAGGAGAGAGAGAGAGAGTAGAGGACCCTGTGTGTGAGAGATTTTTTTTTCTTCTTTTCTCTTGACCAATTCTTATATAAGTGTTTGGGATGGCGCCGTAAAAGGAGTCTGGGTGGTTTTTGGTTGGCGTCTGTTTTGATTCTTGTTGTCATCTTTTTTGCCTGATGATCTTGGCTCCCTCTCTGGATTTTACTACTTATTCTGTTGTTCCGTTTTTTTCTCTCGCGTTCAGAAAGGAGTCCTCATCCTCGTATTATACCACCTCCTTTATTGTTTTTTCTTTTCTCTTCTTGCACTTGCTGGAAAAACGGGTGTTGTTCTTGCTTTTTAGTCTGCTCTTCTAGCTTTAATAGAAGTTAGTGTTTTCTTAATTTTTTAAGTATAGCATGCATATATTCTTAAAGGTTATTTTGTTATAAACAGCTGTCTATCTGTCTATCTTTTCTTTTCTTGTGTCTTATGCTTTATGCGTATTTAAGACTTTATATATATATACTAGCTATGCAACACTATAGCAATATAAGAAGTTTAAAATTCTACAAGTATTTATGTTTAATTTTAATCTATAATTAAAAGCTACTGTGTTTCCTACACCTTAAAAAGGCTGATAAAAAGTGTTTATCCCCCCAATCCCTACTTTTGGGTGAAGGCAAAAATCGTCTAGTCTTTTTAGTTATCGCTTGTTTTTTTAGTTTCTTTCTTGTTGTAACCTATCGCTGTGTGTAGGATTACCTTAACTCTATCTTAAAAATAAATAAAAATAAAGTGTTTACAAAGAGTAGACGGGCATAAAAAGGTTTACAATAGGAGTTTGCTTTTAGCACTAAGCCTTAACATTTGTAAGTTTCTAGTAGTAATTTTAATAGACGTTAATTCTTTTTACGAAAGGAGATATAGTAAGGCGTAGGTAGGAGTTAGGATAGAACTAATTATATTGTTTGACTACCTTGGTTATACTTCTTTTGCTATGTCAAGACTAATAACAGAGTAGGTTGTATCCTGCGCGCGTTATTTCATGTAAACCTGAACCGCCATAACAGTTGAATCGAGCGCGAGCGTGGAGACACTGTAAAATGTTAGACGTTGAATTGTTGTGGGCTGTTTGAAGTGGTTAAGACACTATACCATGCCGTTTAGTAGAAGTCAACACGCAGTTTAATTTGAGGGGTCTTCTTCTATAATGCAGCTGTAACATCTTGCGTGACTACAGCTGGAGCAGTCTGGAGTCCATAGTGATACAGGGCCTTGACCGCAACAGCACTGAAATGATCAGTAGACTTCATTCCGAGTGCGATACTGTAGTACTGACACAATGCCAAATGAACGTTCCCATCTCTAGTGAAAATTCGCTTCCCCAGGCCGGATAGAATAGTTCTGGTGAAATTTGATAGAAGGAACTATAAGGATCGAAATATATGTGTATAAATGCGTATTTCGAAGTTGAGGGGCAGTCAAGGAACAAAGTTCTAAATCTGCATTGCCAGCATTGGTGTACGGTACGGCACGGTATATGTATGTCATCCAGGGCGGGGCATTGAGCGGGGCAAGGCTAAATTCACATTTAACCTAGAATCCGCAGACTGTAGATATATATCGCCCGACAAGATGAGAATGCGAACATTCATTGAAAAGTGTCTGGTGTCGAAGTTGCTCTCGAAGCGGTGACCGCAACTACTTTTTTCCCCCGAGTACTTGCCTACGCTCTTCCGAATGAATAGGCGATAGCGAGGTTTGTCCATGATGTTGAAAACGCCCCCTCGGAGGTGACGAGAATGCGACAAACCGTGTTACAGCTTCATCATAGTTTGGAATACCTTTCTTCTCGGGTTCCATCAGTGGGTGATGATGAGCTTCTACCACCCAAACTGCGAGAGCTGCTGGACTCCGCTTTCCGAAATACGGATGAAATTTTAGTTGAGCTGCGACGAAAATGCCTCAAGGTAGACTTGGGGGGGTCATCTGAATTGCGCAGCAGGCTGAAGTTCGCTTGGAAAGGACATGATCGCTTAAAGTTGCTGCTGGTTCGACTTCATGAGGCTGAGAGCGGTTTGCTGCTTGCCACAGAGCTTTTGAACATGCGAGTAGCCTCACTATCTCTATGATATGCCTACTAACCTATGCCAACATCAGGCATGTCTCCTTATCGATCTTCTCGAACATAAGCGAGATACAAGCAAATATGCGCAAGATATCTCATTCTGGAAGTCAAGTAGCAACTACCGGAAGCTCTTTGGCACTGTATCGACCTCCTAGGTCTCATGGAGTTACGTTAGCCACGCCTCCCGAAGTATATGCGATTGACCCGTGGCTGCGCTGGCTCGGATTTTACGGTGTTTTCAGTTGGTTTACTGATCGGCAAAGACATAGATACCTGCAGATGTTTATAGGGTACAAGTTACCCGTGTTCGGCAAATGCTTGTCCTTGTACACCCAGCTTTCTTGGTCGACAAGTCACGTTTCAATACAGCCTTGCCATATACGTCTCCAGAACAGGATCCCTATCGATTCTCCGTTTCTCACCGCGTGTCGGAAAGGCGATGCTCGCATGATCAAACAGTTGGTGGACGCCGATGGTTGGCTGGTCAATACTAGATCATCATGTAAAGGAGTCACTCCCCTTTTGGTAAAGGTCCAAAGCTGTCCGTTTTTTTTTATAGTAGACCGCTCACTGATAATGCAGCTCGCAATCGATTCACAAGATTTGGACGCCATCCGCGTCCTTTTGAACGCAGGCGCAGACGCTAACATAGGAGACGATGAGCGCACGTAAGTTATATGCCACCTCTCAACTTTCAAGTAAGATGAAGCTGAATCGAACCTGTCAGTCTACCGATTTTCAAGGCGACTGGATACAAAGACAAGAGACTGGAGAAGAACTCTAACCGCCGCTACGTACAATTGCCACCGCCAACAACCAAGTGGCTAGACATACTTGATCTGCTTATCCAAAACCACGCTTCCGTACATGAAGTGGTGGGAGAAAAGACAATGACCACAATGAAGATCGTCGGCGCAAATTACCAGCCGGAAACCACAATTCGATTCTTTCGTATGCTAGCAGAAGAGAAGTATACGGATTTCGACCTGCTAGACCATAGTGGATTGTCAGCTGTAGTGACTGCGCTTAGCAGTCGCGACTTATCGATCAGAGCCATCGACATGCTCGTGGCTAAGGGTATCAACATCAAACGTATATACGAAGATGGAAGAACAGCTCTACATTACGCTGCAATGAATTCGTCGAATGTGGACGTTCTCAAGCATCTGCACGAAATACACGGGCTAACAGAGATAGATCGACAAGACCACTATGGATGGACGCCACTGCATTACGCCATAGGTTCTCCATACTACATGGACAGAAATTACCAGTGCGGGTTGGTGGTTTATCTGCTTAAGATGGGAGCGGACCCTTATATCAAAGGCCAGGGGGTATTGCCGCGTATGCACCCTCAATTTCGCCCCCCGAGCTTGGATGACCATATCTCGCCGTTTGAATGGGCTGCTGAAAGTGGATGCCATGTGGCTCTTCAGTTCCGCCGGGATATGATTGATGCTGGTTTGGATCCTCCTCATGATGAAGACTTGGAAGATGTTTTTCATGACGCGGTAGAGACTGTTGTTGCGAGCACTTGAGTGTGTGGGTATGCACGTGACACATCACAACAAACACCAATTGATTGCCTAAGAACTTAGGCAAATGCGCATGCTACATGAAAATACATGACTGGTCATGAAAGAAAATGAATTAGGATCTTTCGTATCACAACAAAACATATGTATGCATGAACCCTAGACAAGGCCATCACCAACTTTGAAGGTGGCAGGTTGGGGACCGCGAATTCACAATTGACTGTCTAGTCTGTGGAGATTCATAGCGGCAAAAAGTCATGCACTAGATTTCCAGAGACATGGCCTAGATACAGGGCCTTTGATTCCTATCCTGAGCGGGGTACGTGCTTGGCAGAGATGATTGAGCTCAGCTGGACGCGTTGAGATATGCAGGTATGCATATCGATGCGTTAGGCTATCTCGTATTCGATAGACTTCAAAGAATGATTTTGCAGTCGAGGCTGAGAAGGATACATTCATATAACTCACACTACTATGTAGTTGAACAGATGCTATCTGTGTCGATTGCGATTTAAGAAAGCTAGTGGACAGGTAAGCTATGACTATTATTGCCTCCAACTACTACTATTTGATGCACGATGCATCTATTGACTGCGCATTTGACGTAGTGACGTATACGACGTCCCAACGATCCAGTGGAGATGTATGGAACGATGCAGCTATATTTTGCACGGACCCTAGCAAGAGTATACAGTCCTCGAACAGCATGCCGTGGGGTCATTATGACGATCTTGGAAGACCTATAGGAACTTTGCATCTCGTTCCTTTCAACGCTACCATCAACCCAGAGCCCAATTCATACAGGTTTGCAGCATGTCTGGATTAATTCCACCCATTGAAGAAACTATATTTGCAAAATTTGGTAGACGTGAGCCATCAGATACCCCAAGATAGAATCATGGCTGTCCAATACAATTTTGCAAAGGTCGATCTAGTCGCTTCGTGGAGTACCTTATTAGAGCATTTCGCTTCTGTGGTGTTTATCAACCGGCGCGGGGGATCGAGATTTTGTATAAGATAATTCTCAGGGCAAACTCAGAGGGACAAACGAAGCTTCGACAAAATTTTAGTCTTTTCGCGGTGGAATTGGGTCTTTGTAGCGTGGACGTGTTGGCAAAGAAACCTCAACTTGCCAAATAGCTCGTTCAAAGTATCCGGTCTCAATAAAGCCCGTGCGCCCACCATGCAACTCGAATTCTTCACTACTATAAGCAAATGAGGCTAATTTACAGCTTTATTATGATTCTTTAGTTTTTTATTCTATGTTAATACTACCTGTAATACAAAACTACTAGTTTTGAGCGTATTTCTGGTGTTTTTGTATTAAGCGTGGTCGGCGCCTATTATCTAACTTTCACGTTAGACTGAAATAATCAGACCGTATATCAGATACGCTTCTCGGTATTACGATTTCTTCTCTGAAGGGAGGTCCAATAGCCACCTTGAAATTAGAGGGTGTAATTCCGATTGTTGCGGGAATGCCCCCATGTCAAAACAGAAACGACATGCACTCCTGCGAGTGACGGGAGCAATGAGCGCGTGACTATATCATCGGGAGTCGCCCGGATGATGCATTGGGTCTATCGCGAGCAGAAGAAGTAGCAAACACTTACGGAATCTCATATATAAGACGTAGCATAACGTATCCATGTAGGTTATAGTAGGTACGCTTACACCCATGTCTGATATCTCACCAAGATATGACACCTCTTGGAAGGAAAGAGTAGACTTCACCACTCATTTTAAGTACGATATTCTCCTTATATGTCACTCTGGCCACGAATACAGATTTCCGATCTTCGTAAGCTGTGGAGGCCCGTATGGAACCTGGAATAATCCGCCCAAATCCATTGCGTATGAATCCCTCGATGAGGATGGCAAAGTCGATGATGAGGCGACTAGCGATATTGTAGGAAAAGAAAAATCGCCACTTTTGCGTCTACCTACTGAGCTTCGATTAATGGTGTATGAGTACGTGTTTGGCGGCTTCATAGTTGGTACTGCAAACTTGCGCTCGCGTTGTGTTCCTCACCATCCGCCGAACTTGTTGCCCCAACCACCGTGGCTGGAATTCAATCATAGTATCAAGACGAACTATAAGGGTGGTTCAAACTCCGGCTTCAAGCTCTTTGGCCTGCTCCGCACATGCAAAAAGGTCTATAAAGAGGCTGCTTACCTTTTCTACAGCATCAACTATTTCTCAGGGTTTAGTCCCCGGTCATTCAGTCACTTCCTGAGCATTCTTACACAAGCGCAGCAACATTCAATACATACTGTTAGTAGCTTGGTGACAGTGGGTCATCCCCAGTTGGAAAGTGATCTACAATGCCTTCGTGGGCTAAAGAAACTTCGATTTCGGCGGCATATTTATGACGTTCATCTATCGATAAGTCACAAAGATTACTACGAGAAGCTCTTTAAATCACTGGGGAGTCAAAATTCAGATAGAAACATCGTTTTCAAATTGAAGGCCACATTTCGTAATGGAGGTAAATTGTTGGCCGAGGGAGTTACGGGCAAAGACTCTTCATTGAGGTGGATGGCTTCAACCGATTAAGGTAGATATAGATTTGTTCATGAGTCTCTGGAAGTCTTTTTTGGATTAATCATCGTAAATCAAGATGTGTAAAAAAGTACGTGCCGCATTCCAGACGTCCCAAATGGTATTGATCATGCTACTAATCATTGTTCTTGAAACTCGCTAATATATGTGGGAAGCATCGATTGACGACGTGAAAAGTACATCAGTCGATGAATAAAAAGGTGCTGATTTGCGGAAACGCCAATTCTTTATATCTTAGACAATATGCATAACTAATTGTGCTATACAGTCCAAGGATCGAATTTGTCGTGCGACACGAGGAGTCTATTAATAGTAGCAGCCTATCAAATCTTTCGATGCTGCACAGCCACACATGACTAAGTACTGCGCTACTGATTGCTAACTCCGCATTACCTCTGTCCTCCCATTGATAAATCAGATTGAGTCCTACATCTGACATTATTGTTCTTCGTAAATCTGTTTCCAAACTAAATAGAAACCAACGCATTAAGTAAGCATCATCATTTTCTCAATGGGATACTATGAAAATCAATCACACTGACTTGTTCTAAGATCACGTACTACTTACATACAAACCAATTTCGACAAATCGTGGAAAATGGGAAGTGAAAATGGAAAGTCTCGCAAAGCTATCAGAGAGCTTGAGAAGGACAAGAACGAAAATACCGCCCTCATTGCAAAGCAGAAGTTCATACGTAACCAGGAGACGTCGCCATTGCTTCGACTACCAGGGGAAGTGCGAAACAAGATATACAGCTACTGTGCGGAGTACTGTAGAGTTGGGATTCAGTTGAACAAAGCGTCTTCCTCCATGGTCATTGATTACTCAATGCATTGGGTCTTCAGCCACACAAATTCTCTGGTGAAAACTAGCCGTCAACTATATAACGAATACTCGCCCATCCTCCTCGGTCTCTGCGCTTTCCATCTTCACATCGAGCTTCGAGAAACTCGAAACGGATTCACACGCTTGTACAATGAGATTGATCATATCTTCCTGGCTACTGTTCGAGTGCTGAGTCTCCACGATCGCCACCGCAAATTCATGAAGGAGGCTGCCGAGGTGGACATTGGCCAAAAGTTGCCGAATCTCAGAACGTTCATCTTTCTTATTCGTATGCGGAGAATCGACCGAGCCATACCGCCAGAGATTGAGGAAATGTGCCAGGAGTTTGCAGATTTCTTCAAGAAACCTGCCCTCGAGGTTTGGATACGTGGCTCCGGAGGTATCATATTTCGCCGAACTCCCGACGGGAAGGTTGAAGCGCCCGAAGTGTTGAAGGAGGTGGAGAAGTTTCTGTGTGACTCAAAAAGTCTCTAGTAAGATCTAGTTTCTCAAACACGTGTAGTTTTTCATTTTTCGATTTAACACAATAAATTGTTCCACAGGTAATCTCTGATGCTTGCTTGCAGGTGCAGACTTAAGCAAGTACGTGGTATTCTGTCATACGTGCAATCGATGGTTACAACAATCGATAGACAACAATCGAAGTATCATATGATTCAAGCGCGTGACTATCCACAGAAACTCAGGCAATGGCAAGTATATGAGCTATAAGAGCACCCCGTAGCCATTTTCCTGAAGATTTCCGATCGTCATCAACGCATGCTGCTATCGCCGGTAAGATATCTAGCTTTGTAAATAATCACTCATTCAACCCCGCTATCCAAGTTTTGCTTGCATTATGAACAGCTACACAAAAGAGCATTTGAAGCAATTCCGAGGGACTCTGCTTGATGCTAGCCATAAATCAGTCAACGACCAGATCAGCTCGCTTTTTTTTCAATTGCCAGGGGAACTACGTAACCAGGTCTACAGAGAAGTCCTCGAAATATATCAATTTTCGCCTTTCCGAGACCGCGTGCGCTATACTTGCCATTGGTACGCAAGACCCCTGGCCTGTAGACATACTAATCTTCACGTGATATCTCTGCTCCAGAGCTGCCGGAAGGCCTATAGCGAGTTTTACCCTTTGATGTATCAAGTCTCTGTACTCTATTTCGATCGTCCACTATTTGACGAAGGTAATTCCGACCCGAAAGTGCAGAAGAGGCTCAACGACAAAGTTTTACTCGCTACTGTCGAGAAGATCAGTGTCATGGAATGGAGATGGGGTGTGCCCCCTAATGGTCTGGGAGCGCCAGCGGTAAAAAGAATACCAGACTTGTTCCTGGGTCTTCTAAACATCGGGGCTCTGTCTAAGCTCAAAAAGCTGATATATTATACCCGGTTAGAGGAACGTGGACGACCAAAAGCCAAAGACTTTTGGGATTTTCATAGGAGGTGTGCAGGGAATATCGAATGTAAAGGCTTGGATATATCAGCCTTGGAGTTGCTATTCAAATTACCAGACGGTCTCATTCACGCCCGCCGGACTGTCGATGGGGTCTTTCGAATGTTTAATCCACCAAAAGACCTGAAAACAGTTTTGTTATCAAACTGAGGGACCACTTTCTGGAACCATGAGTCGGAACAAGATAGTCACAATAATACACTCTGGCGCATTGGAGGAAACATCGCGAATTTTCGGTAGATAGCAGAGACAAGAAACTCCATAGATTGCCCAACTCATCATTCCTCATCAGCGAACCCATCCAAAGTCCTCAAACCTTTACAATATTTCTCCCTCTCCGCAAACTCATCAATATCCTCCCTTAACCTCTCCAAATTTATCTCTCCGAATCCCAACAAAGCACGCAGTTCCTGCGCCAAAGTCGGCACATGCGCATCTTTCTCCTTCCAGTCTTCCTGGTTGTTGTCAGGAGAACGAGTCGCTTCGTCAGAAGCATTTCTCCGCGATCTCGACTTTAAAGAGCCATTGACGGACCACTTCGACCTCTTACTCCGACTCGGGAGTGGATCCGAGAGCAACCTCGCATCTTCGTGGCGGTAGAACGAGAAATACGACCGCAGACTCGCGAACGAGTTTCTTCGCCTCGGACCCCCTTTGTCGCGACCAAAACAGCCTTCGGACTTTGCGCTTTCGGCACTTCCCTTCAGGTCATCTTCGCACTTGCTGCTCGACCTCGTTTTCATCCCCTCAATAAGCGTATCATCTGAGTCTGGAGGACGCTGGTTTTCGCATCTTTCGGCTGCTTCAGCTATTCCTTGGACTATGCTTACGTCGCGCTTCCAGATTACGCGGAAAGCTTTTCTGGTCGCTTCGATTAGTTCCCATAGGGTGTCGTTTTCTTCTTGTAGGAAGAGTGCTTGTTTTTCTATCGCATGGATCACTTCATCGAAATCCTGGTCTTGAGTAGTGGTTTCGATATTTGCTGGTGGACACTGTTGGAATGTGGAGCTGGTTTTGTTGCCAATCGTTTGTCTGGAAGTTGAGTTATCGGGATTGGTGTTAGACTCGATATTGTGAAAAAGTGGATGAGCGGCATGTGCTGACTTATCGAGTTCATTGGGGTCATCGTGTATACGATATTCGTCGCGGAAAGGGTCCACATCTTTAGAAATTCCATTCCCACCATCCCCATTATCTTCAGTTCTTTGATGCACCATCCATGACGTGCTAGGTCTCTCTCGTACCTCAGTCGGCTGATAACTGTGTGGAAAACACAGCAGATCCTTTTCTTCACTATCTTTTCCCCTCTTCAAATCTCGGATATACAGACCCTCACCATTATCCGTTCCTTCACTCTCGCTACCATCGCCATTCCCATTCTCTGCGAACCAATATTTACTCTTCTCCTCATTCCCGAATTCACGGAACGCAGCAAGATTGTCTTCGCCAACTCCACCGTTGGGGTCTGGTGACGACGCGATCGAAGGGCCATCTTGGGCATTGGCCACGAGAAGTTGGGAGTGACACCTACGTGGCGCATATCCACTTGCCCCGCATTGTTATGTGTTTCTAAAATTGGGAGAGAGGCAGAGTGTGTAGCAACGGCATCATTCACGATTGTAGCCATGCGCGCGCGGGAGTGAATATCGTGGACGAGATTAGCATCAATGAACCCGCTCTCGAGTATCGCATTGAGTGTCGCATTCCACGTCGTGATATCTTCTTCCCGCTCCTCGTATTCTCTGTTTACTCGCTCACCGCTCTCTCTCTGCCTCTCGTGCTGATCGTGAACCGAGATAGCAGCGCTAGACCTTCGCGAGCTTGTGAACGAGGCTGAAGGCGTGGGGAAGCGGATGATATGAGGTGAGAGAGGGGGCGGGGTGTACTTCCTAATCAACATACGGCGTCTATGGCCTGGGGAGCCGTATATAAGGATCGGCGCGTCAGTAGGAATGAGGGCGGATGTGGAGGAGAAGGGGATGCTTGCTGTTGGGGTACTGGGTCGCGGATGGGAAGGATTTGGGTGAGGGACAGGGCTTGGATGGGAGTAGAGGTCTAGGTTTGAGAGTGGCCTTGGCTCTTCCGTGGGCGAGCTGGGAGGGGCTGTTGGGGGTGGCTTCGTATCCATGTTCTTTCGAGATTCCTGGGTGGTGTGCGAAGTGATAGGCAGATTATTTGAGTTTGTGGACTGATGATGGTGAGATGTGGTTATGACTGCTTTGCCCCTGTCTTGACTGCTGCTACGGTTGATGCGTTTTACAATGCCGCGATAAGATTTTGGTAGGCAATTATTGCTCTTGTGGCCGTATTGTGAGTTGTCTCTTTCTGAAAGCACGCTGTTCCAGTATGCATTGTGATTTCGAGCGGCTAGTGGGTGCGGTACCCCTTGGTCAGTGATCAAAGGTGATGACGGATTCAGACGCGGTCGCCTGTCTTGTTGAGGAAGTGGACGTGAAGTATTCCCCTCTTGCTCCTTGTCTTGGCCCATGAAGTCATCGTTGGCATTGATCTGCTCTGCCGCGCGGTTGTTGCGGCGGTGTGTTGTGGTATCGAAAGGATCCTTCAAAATCTTAAAGAAATGAGACATGGTTGCTAAGGACGAAGGTGTCAACTAGGATGAGGATGCATGCGTGGGAACAAAGAGAAGAATATAAGGCGGGCTTCTTTGTTATAGCGTGAACCTACATGATTGATAGGTGCAGACTAATTGAATTTATGTTTGCTATACGCTGTCAATAGCGATTTGCTGGTGTTGTTCTAACCTCACACGCTACCAACAAGCGGAAGGTGTGAATTGTTTGTTGCGTTGCATGTGAGTTGTAACAGGCAAGACTTTAAGTCACTGTTCGGTGTCCAAATAGCACAGGGCACGTCGATATCAACTTCGTAACGTGATGCAGTATAGTCAATACCAACTGTGAATAAAATCTAGCAATAATCCTCCACGCTCTGGTACGCCCACAAGGAACTTACAAAGATGCCATTATATATTGATGTACCTCTTCGAACTCCAGCCCTCCCAAAAACAGTAAAACCAACCCAAGATGCTACCATAGCACCAGACCGAATGCAGTGTAAAAAGGTTAACGCCCACCGATGAGGTATGCCTTTTAAAATAATCCAAACTCCTCACCATCATTAGCAGCTGCCACGAAGATCAACTCGCAAACCGTGACAGCCCAGACGGCTTTAATATTTCCGTTTGGACGCGTTGCTAGATGCGAGAGCTGCTAGTTTGCGTTTCCGCTCATCCTTTTGACGTGCCAACTCCTTCAAACGCTTCTCTTCCTCTGCATCTTCACGCCTGGCGGCCTTGAGCGCCTCTGATTCTTCTTCCTCAACATCCCACATACCGCCTTCCATGTCAGATGAGACATCTGAGGCGTAATCCTCCTCTTCCTCTTCGTCCTCCATTTCGAGTTCGTCATCTGACCAAGACACGTACTCGTTGCGTCCTCGAGCAGGCTTGGGTTTGGGTTTAGCGCCTGCGGCACCGGGTCTTCCATTGGGCGCTGCAGCGGATGAGGGTCTTGCAGTTCCCCTGTAGCCAGTCTCGACAGGCTTCTTAACAGGTGCGCTAGGCCGAGCTGTTCCTTGATATCCAACCGCGGCAGGTTTTCGCTTCTCCTTATCAGCCACCTGTTTCGCATCTACTCCTTTCGCAGGTGGTCCAACTGTAGGCTTCTTTCCTTTGCTAGCTTGCCTGGCTTCCATGCGCATCTTTTCCCGATCCTTTTTCGACAAAATCTTGGTGGTATCGTGTTTAATCGGCGGCGCGGCAGGCTTCGTCTGGTCTTTCTCCTTCGCTTTCGCCAACAAAGCCATGTATCCTCCAACTTTCTTGGGTGGGCCATTAGCTGAAGCACCTGGACTGGCTGTTGCGGATTTGGGATCCGCAGATTTCGGTGTAAGCGCTGACGGTCTGGAGGCTGCTGTTCCCGTCCCAACTTGTAAAGTAGGTTTCTTCAGTGGCGCGGCTGGAGATTTGGAGGCAGCCAACGCGGCGGTCCCACGGTATGGGGCGGTTCCACGATACGGAATTGATGTTGTTGAGTCCGTTGAGTTTGGGTTCGCCACAGCCGGTGTTGAGGTACTCCGAACAGCACCATTGGTTGGCCTGGAAGCGGGTAAAGCATCCTTGCGCTGCGCTTTAACCTGCGTATTCTCTATCGTCCCAGAAGCTTTGCGTTTGAGAGCGGTGTTGTCAGCTGCACCAGTGACTGGCGTAGCTGGGCGAGAAGTAGGCTTTTTGAGAGGCTGCTTGGGCGCAGGCTTAGGAGGTGCCACAGCCGATCGTTGAACCGGAGAAGGCGCTGAAGGCGGAGGAGCACTCGAAGGATCGATTTGTGAGATGAGGTCTTTGAAAAGCTGGGAAGAAGTTAGCCGGGGCGCCGCCTCGCGCCTCTGCAGCGGTATACTCACACTCATGAGGGGCAACAGATAACGATTGACTCAGGGCTAATGGTCTCGTGGCTCGTTGAAATCGTGGCGCATGCCTCAGGTTGAGGAATCTGGGGGCGTCGAGGGCGGTTGAAAGAGAGTATATACAAAGGCCGGTGCAAGAGGAGGCAGCGACGGCCTTTATATAGAGAGGACACGCAGGCAGGCAGCAAGAACTGTGAAGTGGTGGCGGTCGCTTTTATGGGCCAGGTTTCGACATCACGTGAAGCCGAGATTTGCTTCCGATCCGAACGCTAGCCCACTCTCGGCTAGCCTGCAGAACAACCCACACAACATCGCGCGCTTGGGGTCGAACTTTTACTTTCTTCGATACGCAACCACGACGAGAACTTGAAGTCTACAGTCTCCGTTCAAACGGTATGTCAACTCCCTCTGCGCGCCATTGTCTGGGCTTCCTCTTACTGACACATTCAGGTTAAATCGATTGTACTCCTGTTCCTACCCACACATCTCGACAAAACACAATCACAATGAAGCACCTCGCAGCTTACCTCCTTCTCGGCCTCGGTGGCAACACCTCCCCCTCCGCCAAGGACATCAAGGTACGGATCGCGAGGGAATGCGCATTCGAAGGAGACTGACACTGCGACTAGGCCGTTCTTGAGTCTGTCGGTGTCGACGCTGACGATGAGCGTCTCGAGAAGCTCCTCTCCGAGCTCGAGGGCAAGGACATCAGCGAGGTACGATTTCGCTAAGCGATCCCAACGAAAACGTCACATTCGAAACTAACAATATGTTCGCAGTTGATCTCTGAGGGTTCTTCCAAGCTCGCCTCCGTTCCCTCTGGTGGTGCCGGTGCCGCTGCTGGCGGTGCTGCCCCCGCTGCCGGTGGTGCTGCTGAGGAGACCAAGGCTGAGGAGAAGGAAGAGGAGAAGGAGGAGTCCGATGACGACATGGGCTTCGGTCTTTTCGACTAAGCGCATCGCCAAATCCTGTCCGTCAATGAAAATGATCACGCCAATTCTGTCTTCATGAGATCCACGTGGAATGGGAACGAGCATTTGGGTAGTGTTGAGCGCGCTATTAAAAGACTCAACGAGGCTGCTAGGTATCTGCTTGCGCCCGCTATCATATAGACCTTGAATCAAAGTCATGCACTCCCAATTTCTGTCCATTCATATTGCGACAAATGCGCGCACATTCGGTGAACTGTTGGTGACCATTGTTCCCAGACAGGAGTCCATTATTCGATGTGTGCAAAATGTGACCGTCCATAATCTTTGTCTTGTCCATTCTGGTTTTCGGTGCCTTGGTAATTTAGCAGTAGTCATCATTTTCGAGCGAGAGGAGTCGTGCTGTCTAGATGCCAAGGCCGCTACGCACCCCTGTAGAGTTTAGCGCCCACCTCGATTTTGCAAGCGAGACCTGCCCACACATACATCGACGACGTCTCTTCTACCTCTTCGACGAACAACCACCCCGCGACTTCGAAGTTTTCCGACCAGCTACTTCGACAAACCGCAATCATGGCCGACGAGAACTACGTATGTTACTCCTACTGAGAAATTCAATGTGCGCCTGCTGACATCGTTACAGAACGCCGAGGAGGCTGCCGGTACGCTTTCACCACTACTCTCATTTCTCCTGCACACCTTTTCCAATCCTTCAACTTTCGACACTCATCGCATCCGATAAACGAGCTATTGCAAAATCTTCTTGGGCGCTCGATGTCGACTTGGTGGCAGAAAGAACCTAGGATCATGACGGATGGCTGACATTAGCACGCAGAGCTCAAGAAGAAGAGGGCCTTCCGCAAGTTTTCTTACCGTGGAGTCGATCTTGACCAGTACGTTCACCTCGCTCGCGCTGCGATACCATCTCGTTATACGCGCGACGCGTAGATGTTCAATATTCTAATTGAATCAGGCTCCTCGACCTCTCCTCGGAAGAGCTCCGTGACCTCGTCCACGCTCGTGCCCGCCGTAGGTTCAACCGTGGCTTGAAGCGCAAGCCCATGGGCCTCATCAAGAAGCTCCGCAAGGCCAAGCAGGAGGCCAAGCCTAACGAGAAGCCCGACCTCGTCAAGACGCACCTCCGTGACATGATTGTCGTTCCCGAGATGATTGGCAGCGTTGTCGGCATCTACTCCGGAAAGGAGTTCAACCAGGTTGAAATCAAGCCCGAAATGGTCGGCCACTACCTTGCCGAATTCTCCATCTCATAGTACGTTGGCATTCTTCCACGACTTGATTCTGTGGATGCGAAATACCTCTTCTGGAAAGACGCTAATTAGTCAATAGCAAGCCCGTCAAGCACGGAAGGCCGGGTATCGGTGCCACCCACTCTTCCCGTTTCATTCCTCTCAAATAATTGGTCTGGGTCCTCGGTTGCATGGGTTCTTTCGTGGGGGTGGAGAAATTACACAAAAATGTACTTCACGACCTACAACGAATAAAGGTGTTTGGTGCATGAACATCCATGAATGCGCTGTTTTTTCGCGTGATGCAACACACGCACGGCTATCACGGCGGACGTTTCGGGGGGATTCCGATGTAGCAAAACCTCTACATCCATGGATACGATTCACTCTGGCCACGTGAAGTCACCAATAGAATCTTACGTCCAAGTATGCTCTTGCCTTTGCTGTGATCTTTCCTTATCCGATGCTGGACGCCGGTGGCATTCACAACATCACACACCCGTCCCGAACAGCCCAAACTGCTTAGTGCTCATTGCCGATATCATTCACAGTCCCTAAAATGGCATTTTGACAGTATCAATCTTGTATAGGAAAGACCGCTACTCGCCGCGCAGTATATGCCGCTCTCCTCCTACGCCCTTATCTTCTGTCAGTGGTCTGCGAATTGACAATCATTACCAGGTGTTTGCATACCAAAAGAAGCACATCAGGTTACCCTAATCGGACACAAAAGAGAGAGGGCCTCGGTGGTTTGCACAAAGCGAAGCAGGCTGTGTATATCTGGTTGGAGAAAGTAGTGAAAGGCTTTGGTAGGGTGGTCAAACGAACATGCATCGGGGTTCACTCCCAATACGAGTTTCTCTGGCAGCCCATTGGTCAATATAGCAGACCAATACACCCACCCTATATAATTGGGGGCCGTTTGCCGTAATGGGATACCTCAGCTGCATATACTGGTCACGTTTAGCCATCTGACTTAAGCAAGCTGACCCGATAGTTCCGTGCTTTGCCTGATCCTAAACTTTTAGAATCGTATTTTTTAACTTCCTGTCCTTCCATACTGCGGGGATACGTCGTCATTGGGCCTTTACTACCGCCACCATTCACACACAACCTTCTGCATATCTCCATCTCGCACATCACCCCCTTTCCCTCACTCAAAACAAGGTGTTCTACTTATGAAGATTGTTTAAGACCCAAATCGCCAAGTCTACTCAGCTCTGCCTTCATTTCAGTGGTCTGCAATGGCCCCGAACTACGGCGATCCAGACAACTTCAGACGTGCAAATATCATTCTCCAATCCACTATCACTTCATGTACAACTGTTGCACTTGGCATTCGTCTATATACGCGGGTTATCATCAAGAATCATTTCGGAATAGATGATGGTAAGTCATGTGACAAGGCCCCAATGATGTTATTAATGCGCCTTCTCACCGTACGACAGCCTTGGCCGTTCTCTCTTGGGTACGCAAACGCACATCTTCACCGATGGCAGTTTTTCTTGGCATTAATATATTATCTAAGGCACTTGTCATGGAACTCTCACTGGTTCTCGCCGTTGGTAACTAGATCCACAATGCTATAGTAATTTCCTCGCAGCTAAAACGTCTCAGCTATTCGCTGGGGTTTTGGCACGCACATCTACGACATACCCGCTGCAGACCTTCGTAAGGCAGTTAAGGTACGATGAGGTTCTGTTACCTTGGCATTGCTACCCATTCACTCCTCAAGCCATTACTAACAGACCAAAAACAATGGACAAGCAGCTCCTCGAAGTTGCGCGAAAATCCTACTTCCCCGTCGTCCTTACCGTCAAGGTTTGCATCCTCACCGGATATCTTCGCATCTTCAACATCGACCGGACCACAAAGTGGGCATTATGGGCAGGCTTATGCCTCATCACGCTCTTCTACATTGCCGCTTTCTTTGTTGACATTACTCATTGTAAAGTCCCGGTCGGCTGCGAGCCATTTCTCATGGGAACCGGCATATTCAACGTCATAAGTGATTTCTATATACTGTTGTTGCCGATGCCTTTGATATTTCGCATGCGTATGCCTATTACGAGACGACTGCGAATCGTTTCAGTATTCGCTCTTGGGTCGATGTAAGTTCAGATCACATCAGTGAGCACGAATTTGACGTTCTGTTTTAACCTGGCCTATTGCAGCACTTGCGTGGCGAGCATCATGCGGTTGACATCAATTCGCTACGCCGCTGACCCCGATCAAACATATGTAGCTGCCAAAGTCATGCATTGGAAGTAAGTACCTTGGATGCCCCTATGACTATCGTTGTTTCCCGTTGGCTGATTCGCATTGTAGCGTTGTCGAAACAAATATTGGACTTATCTGCGCGTGCGCCAGCGCGTTTCCAGCTTTCTTCGATCCGAGCGCACCACGATCCTTGGGGTTCTTCGTGCGTAGATTGTTTAGTAGGAAGAACAAGTCGCACGATAAACCCGGAGCTAGGAACAATGACGTTAGCGACGAAGTTTCTAATACCAAATGGATAGTTCTGCCTGAGGTAAGCAGGGAAAGATTACATAACCAGGACATAGATGAGATATGAGAACATCTAGCTTCTCTCAATTCTACTGTCTACGAGCGCTAGAGTACTTGGGTAGTTGAATGTGTTTATATTCTTCCAAATCCACGCTCACGCTGAAGACTAAGCGTAATGATGATTCATCGCATTTCCATGCGGCACAAACACTGGGTATTGAAAATCACACGATAAATCTGCCTTTGAGTTCCAGGCAGGACACAGGTTCCGTGGTTCACGAAAATCATGCTAATTCGCCCCCCGTCAATTGGCTTAGCCAAAATACCGATAATCGCACTCCAACTAAACTTACCACTGCCTCTCTCTATTCTACTGCCTACGAGCGCCAGAGAACCTGGGTAGTTGATTGTGTTTCTATTCTCAAATCTGCGCTCACGCTGAAGACATCATGCTAATTCGCCCCACGTCAATCGGCTTAGCCAAAATACCGATAATTGTACTCCAACTAAACCTCCCACTTCTTTTAACACACCTACCATTGATGACGACATGTCCCAAAACTTCACATACGATCCCCTCTTTCCTCAATATCGCCTCCACAAAAACATCTGCCTCCTTTTCCGTCTTCACGATGCGATGTAACACAGGACGATCCCTCATGATGACCGACGAGATCCACATCGCCGTCACTCTTCCAAAGATCGCGGCACACAGCACAAGTGCCATCACGAGAATGGCAGGTTGGAGGTGCAGAAGCGTCGAACTGGCGAAGAGCGCGGTTGACATAATATACGCAGTCACCGATACCAACTTCGAAAAGAGACGAAGTAGGGTACGTCCTTTCCGTACGCCCTCTCGGCTGATGATGACGTAAAATGCGTCTTTCGAAGCGGAATAAGGCATGTTGCGATCCATGATCACTTTCCCCTCTGTGTTGAATCCTTTCTTTAGACTGTATATAACAGAGCGTTTAAGAGAGGGATCGGCTAACAACGAGATGGCTACATGTGGTTTGCCTTTGTCTGTCCCGCTGGATGGCTCAGAGGTTGACTCGGGTTCGGATTGTAGGTCCGGCGTAATGACCCATGGTGCGTCTGATGCGATGCGAAGTTGAGGAGCGCGAGAGATACGCATGACCCATTCCTTAGCGAAAGGTCTATGAATAGTAGAGCAATAATGGTGTGTATTGTTCTACGTACGGGCAGCGTCCTAATATATAGGCGCTGACTAAGCTACGCTAGTAATATGTGAATGATAGTACGCTAGTAATATGTGAATAATAGTTACGTAATAAGGGCTCCCCTAACCAACAGCCCCCCAAGGCCTTAGCCGTAATACTATAAGAGAGCAAAGAACACCAAACTAGTGTAGCCTTCTCATCCCTTAGTCGCCTTAACGTTCATTAATGCCTTCATCTTTTGAAAAATTAGTAAAGTTAGGGGTTTCGTGAAGATGTCAGCCGGGTTTTCCTTGCCGCTAATCCATTGGACACTTAGTTCGCCGTCGTTGATCTGGTCACGTAGCCAGTGGTGGCGAATATCGATGTGTTTAGACCTAGATCCAATGGCGTCGTTGTTAAGGAGCTTAATTGTAGCTTCGTTATCAATGTAGAAGGGCACAGTAGGGATCTCTAGGTGAGCATTGTCACCCTGAATCTTTATGCGCATGTCATTGATGAAACGTTTCGCCCACAAGGCTTCCTTGCCTGCCTCTGCTGCGGCCATGTACTCAGCTTCACATGTAGATAGGGCTGTAACTTTCTGACGTTAAGAGCACCATGACACTGGATTGTGTCCTAGGGTAAGAATAAAACCTGTTGTAGATCGCCAAGTGTCAGGGCAGTTGTTGTAGTTAGCATTAGTGTACATGCGGAGTTGGGTATTGCCATAATTTAAATAGACAAGACCATCATCCATTGTTCCTCGCAGATAAGACATGATGTGGTAGATTCCATCCAGGTTGTCCTGGGAGGGTTTTGCGTTGAAACGTCCATGGAGAGCAACAGCATAGGCTAGCTCAGGTCGTGTCCAGACTAGAAGCTAATTAAAGGAGCTGAACTTTTCTTAATATGTTTTAATAAATTAGGAAGTAGGTTCTAGTCCAACTGTTGCCTTAGGATGTCTTCCAGCTTGACAGGGCAGTAGTGTAATTAGGCCCTAGCTTTTGTCAAAGCGTTGCAGGATCTCTCGCACGTACTTTCCTTGATCTAGAGTAATAGTGCCATTGTCATGCTTTTGGATGTTAACCCCCAAGTATAGCCCGGAAGCATCAGTAAGTTGAAAAGCTTTGCGTAGATCCGTTTTAAACTTTTGTATCATTTCCTTGTCAGGGGCAAAGATACTAACGTCGTCAACGTGCACGGCGAGAAAGATTTGTTTGTCGTAGTGAATAAAGACACACGGGTCAAAGTTGCTGACCCTAAAACCCATGTTGATAAGCTGCTCGCGGAGCATAAGATACCATAGACGTGGCGATTGTTTTAATCCATAGAGGGCTTTCTTGAGTCGCCACACGTATCTAGGTGGCAAACGAAAGGGAAAGGGCGGACAAACGTAGGTAGGCTTGGTGATGATGGCGTTAAGAAACGCAACAATGAAATCCACAACCTCCCAGTCCCATTGAAAGATAGTAGCTAGGGCAAACAGAATTCGGATAGAGGCTGTCTTGACTGTTGGGGACCATGAGTCGTCAAAATCAATGCCTTGACGTTGAAGAAAACCTCGAGCGACAACACGTGATTTGAGTTTTGTAACCACATTGTTGTTGTCGCTCTTAATCTTGTAGACGAGCTTCGTTGTAATAACTCGGGCGCCCTTGGGTAAAAGGACAATCTTAAACACTTCCTTGTCTTTTAGGGCATTAAATTCCTTCTAGGTGGATTCTTCCCACTCCTTAGCCTCAGGCAATGTCATGGCGTGGGCGTAGAAAGTAGGAGTGATGAGATCCTTTGCATACTGAGGCACAGTGACAATAACAAAGGTTGTTTTCTAGCCGTCTTCAAGGTCGTTAGTATTATCTAGGGCCAGTAGATCCTGCAGATTAGAGTCAAGAGTATTATCTACTGTACCTATAGCAGCATCTGTTGTCGTCATCATTGCGATGTTAGTAAGAGCTTCTGTCCAGTCTATATCATTAGGAAACTCGTCATTCGAATGGGATGTTGGGAAATCGAACAGTCGAGGGTCAATAGGCAATTCCTAGGAAGCGTTGGGTTCGTCTTGAGATAGCTGAGTTTCCGGAACGATTTCTGCGTCATGGGTTCCATTATTCTGTGCTAAGGTGACGTCCCTAGCTTGCCCTTAAACGCAAGAATAATAGTCGTGTGAAAACATTGTTTGTAAGCTGTAACAACCGCCATCCTGCTCATCAGAGGCAGGAAAGGTTAAGAACCTTATTTGTGGAGGTTGAACATTGTATGTCAGGCTATTAGCGCGAATTATTTCATAGGCTGTAGGACTGTCTGATCCGTTGGTGGTAAGGGGTGCCTTTTTCTAAGCTTGAGGTAATTTGCTAATAGCGTAAAAAGGTGTAACTGCAACTGTGCACTATACGTACTTCTTTGCTATACTATAGTTGTTTTGTAGGCAAATGCCACATAGAGGTGGGTTACATTCTACTCCTAAGAATTCACATAAGTAGCAGATGTTAAGGTTTGTAAATGGTGTGTTTAGTGCAGCGTAGCTGTGACATGTGGTTCTGTTGTCTTTAACGTACTGACATATAGCTCTATAAAGAACACATTAGGCGCAAGGAGATCCTTTAAGACATCTCAAGTTCATGCTTTTGCACCAGACACACCAGTCACGTGCCTTTTCTTCCTCTAGGACTAACATAACTAGTTCTGCTAATAGGCAGTCGGATCCTTTAACTGTGCAAACGTTGCATGGGGTTTCACCATTGCAGTCCCTAAACGTAAGTTTTTGTTCTCTGGTTGGTATGTAGCGGTTTAACCATTGACACGTGCCGCATCGTTTGTGAGAGGGAAGAGTCGACCGTGTCCATCCTTTCTTATCCTTACATGTAAGGTGTGTCTGACAGTTAGTGCATTGTTGGCATGGTTGGCCTCTAGAGCAAATCCGCCAATTCTTACCACAGTTGTTGCATTAATTTGCCAGCATTATCTGCTGTTCTGGGGTTGGTGGTTGACAGTTCTTTTTCTTTGCTTGACAGTACTGGCATTGGGGACTATCTGTAGGGACGCAGTTTTGAGAATTTAGTTAACAGATATAGCAGCGATCTTGGTGAACTAAGACGGGGTTGGCGGAATCTGTGGATATTAAGTCTTAGACAGGAGAGACGTCTTCTTCTGCTAAGACGTAGTCGTCTAAGTCTGTGGAGCCTGAGGAAATGCTAATAATGTCGTCGTTTTCTTGTCGTTGTTCTGGCTGCAGCCACCTGCCTTCTTCAAAAAATCTGGTAAGGACATGTGTTTGCTTATGTTAGAGAAGCTGTTGGCCAGGACAGACACAGATGACTTTGTCAAAGTAGCAGTTTGAACATACGTTATATTTATCACACTAGTAGCCTTTATCTTTGCAGTGTTGGCAGGAGGTTTAAGCAACAGCCTCATTAGTAAGAGTAGGCGCTTCGCATACATGTTTTTCTTTTAATTGTTAACATCGTTTGCACCTGCTACCTAGGCCTGTAGCCTTACACTCCACACAATTAAGTAGGCAACACTAACATAGACTGTCCTTACTAGGGCTGTTCTAGGCATTAGCCCAGGCTATATCGTCTGCGTCTAGTTCCGCAAGGCGGGAACTGCGGCGAGGAGAAGGTGGTGGCTGTTTTAAAATGTAGACATTGTCCTTGTCTAGGAGCTCTATGCTGCGGACTTTAAGGGCTTGTGTAGGAGTTGGCCCCCCATTAGAGGATAGATTAATCTTAATGTTTTGCCTTACAGTTTGGGCTGGTAGCCCCCCATTACCTTAGTATGCGTACTAATGGAGTTAGTTAAACACGGGATGATGTTTGATAGCAAGATTATTGACTTTAGGGGTTTTCTGTTTGCGCTTGCGTTTAGAAGCCATGAAGCTAAAATCTCTGCTTAAGGGGTTGTGATTGTTGCTATCTTCAACGCTAGAGGATGGTTGAGATATCGGAGGATTGTTTGGCAATCAATGGATTTAACTATTGGGGATGTCGTCCTTAAAACCTAAGGTGGAATCCATTCGGGCGGTGCTTACGCGACAAGCCGTGCTCTTGTTAGAGTTCTACATCTAGAAGATAGTCTTGCTTTTAGAGCATAGAAAATACCTAAACGTGGCTTGTAGTGCGTGAAGTTTAGGACCCTGCACCTTAGGAGGGACTGTAGCGTATACGTGAGCGCTATAGGCTATGTCCTTAGAGTAATCTGGTGCAACACTATAGATGAGCTTGTAGAGCGTCTTTCTAAGTTCTTTAAGGGCCTTGTATAGAGACCTGTTCTTTATCCACACTGCCTGGCGCATGGCAAAGGGCTATAACGCATGTGGTAACGTGCTATTTTGTAAGAACTTCTTAGTTCTGTAAACAATGCAACGAACCTAGGGTTGCAGTGTGTTATTGTTCTAGATTTGCGCTGCTGTTCGTTCTTGTACTGTATAGTAAATTTGTTTAACCTAGCTATTTTGCTAGTGGGCGTAGGGCGCAGATGGTTCTAGGGTGGTCCTATTGTTATTTGCCTATTTTGTGAATCGGATGGTTGTATAAGCATTATCCACCTGTACAGTTTAAACCTTGACATTGTGCTGAGTTTGAAAACAATAGATTATATTAATAATAAGTTGATTAGCATCTTTAAGACTGTTTGTTAGCTGAATAGCTGTGCTGCGGGACGCGGAGTCGGACTAGATTATGGCGTAGCGCTCGCCCTGTATGCCTTTTATGCTATAAGGGCCCCATGCGTTAAATAACATTAGAGATCCTAGATTTGTATGGGGGCGACTGAATGGGTCTTAGAGGATATGTCGTAAAGCGCGAGTGGTGTTGCAGATGGGGCACGTTTCTTAAAGACAGGCGACAATCTGTTTATTAGTAAGGGGAATACCTGTGCCTTGCTTAAGAGCTTTGCGCATGTTATCTAGACCTATATATCTAAGTTAACAGTGCTAGTCCCACACTAGATTGTTAAAATCCGCTACAACTATTGCAACAGAGACAGTAAATAACAATAGAGAATTGTTCTGCAGGACTAGAATTTCTACTTTTTAAAAATACAGCTTTCTCTGTTTTAGAGCAAAAGCAATTTTGGTGCCTTGTTAGTAGAGGCAATGTCTGTCTTTATTATATAATGCGGTTACACTAGGCATAGAGACTAGATTACCTAGTGCAAGGAGGTTGCATGCTGCTATAGAAACGTAGAGAGCGCGGTTAAGATGCAAGATAGTTAGACAACTAGACAAGGATTAGACCTAAATTGAGATTGTGCTGTGTCCTTCGGCCGTTATTATAGCTTAATTTGCCAGATTAATAGCATTTTTCTTATTGTGAAACACTGTAAACCATGATTTGCTAGTTATAATATAAGAAGAAGTGCCCGTGTCTATTATCTAGTTATTCTTGCTAAAACCTAATGCAGTAGCATTCACAACGTAACCCGCAACTATTTAATTATTGCCTCTATTGTCCTTGATTATACTAGTAGTAGCCCCCTATTTCCCCATGCGTTCCCTACACTCAGTCTAAGTTAGGTTAGCATGTGCAGAAATGAGTTGGGGTTAAGGCATACCTAGGTTGAGTTAAGAGTAGTTAAGGACAAGTGGAGTGAAATTAGAATTGCTAGCAGACGATGGGTTGTTAAAATTAGGGAAGTTAGAGTAAGCTATGTTGGCAGTATTAACTTAGGTCTTGTTGTCCTTCTAGATGTACTTCTCGCGTACTATTCCTTTGTTGACGTCCTAGGCACAGCGGCGGCACTTAGAGGCAACGTGTAAATTCTTAATACCGCAGTATTTACAGATCTTGTTAGTAGAGTTGGCAGAGGAGGGCGCAGTGGAGTTAGCTTGTCTCTAGCTCTAGTTGTTCTTAGAGCGGCAGTTACGCAAAATGTAGCCCATTTTGTTGCAGTTGTAGCATCGACGCTAGTTGTTTTTGTTGCGCCCTAGCAGCTAAGAGGAGTAGTTATTGTTGTTAGACTTAGTCCACTTATAATAATAATTCTTCTTATAGTTAATAAGTTTGGTAGCAAAGTCCTTAAAGCTGGCCTTATTAAAGTTAGCAACCTTGTTGATTAGATAGACGTCTTTAACGAAACTATAGCAGTTGTCAAGACCGCTAACTACCTTAGCAGCTAGAAGTCTGTAGGTGTAATAAGATGCAACGTCGCAGGCGTCGCTATAGGCTTCGCGCATAGCAACAAGATAGGCTGTAGTGTTCTTAAACTTGGAGATAGTAAGAGTAGATAGAACCTAGTTAGACTTAGTGACAACTTTAGCAGGACTAGGCTTATACTAGTCTATAATAGACTTCCACATACTAGCAGGGTTGTTAATGTTTCTTAGCTTTAATATAAGGGTGCGCTATAAGTTAGTGTTTACAATCTGTTAGAGTACGTTTATAGCAAGAGCTTGCGTCTTTTAAAGACAAAGGTATTAGCTGTAGTGATCTTTCTAAGTTTGTTTAGCAATTTCCATACGTGTAGGCTAATTAAGGGTTGTAAGATTCTACCTCAGGCGCCTTAATAGTAGATTAGGGGAGTCCTAGGGTCCTCTACTTACGTTAGAGGTAGAGCTAGCAGCTAAGGACTTAGGTGGTGTAAGAAGCTAATTTAGGGCGTTCTTAGAAGGGTTAGCTGTCTAGATAGCATTATAGATGTACTCGTTAAGTCTAGGTTCTCTAGAAACTAGAGTGCGTCCCTCCTATATAGCTGTAACTCCGTAGCGTAGGCCAGCAGGGATAGCAGTCTCTCAATGCTAGCAGGTGTAGCCCCCCTTGTCTCTAAGGACAAACTTAGGGTTGACAGTCAGATAGACAGCGTCCGCCATACTAATAGAGAAACGGGTAGGATAGTTGTTTAATAGAGATAGATAGCAGGGTTACCTAGGTGCGCGCAGCTCAGGCGGCGCCTGCAAGACTTGCGGCGGGCGAGTTGCACTATTAATAAGATGTCACACAGACAGTAGCAATAGATAGGTTAAAGGATTTAGATCAAGCGCAGTAAGAGCGCAGAGGGCATTATAACCTCTATAAATAGTAGAGCAATAATAGTGTGTATTGTTCTACGTACAGGCAGCGTCCTAATATATAGGCGCTGACTAAGCTACGCTAGTAATATGTGAATGATAGTACGCTAGTAATATGTGAATGATAGTCACGTGATAAGGGCTCCCCTAACCAACAAAAGGCGCATTGGCGTAGCTCTCCAGAATGGACGCGAAGATGGTGATGCTGTACCATGTGAAGGCCCAATTGTCCGCCTATTGTTCAAGTGTCAATCAGCCATACCCACATCTGACACCGTTCCAACTTACCCTACACCACCACACCACAATACTCCCACGCGAAAGGATAGCGCACGCGCAGCAAATCAACAATATACAAGCCACCATCCCCACCATCCCCAACGCAACCTTCCACGTCTTACTCGACCCCCTCGAATCCATCGCCCTGGCATACACCTGATCTGCGAAATGCGCCGCAACCACCTGAGGATCAACAATCGCCTGCTCAGTCCACATCTTCCCACTCGGCCTCCGCTTCATCATCCCATCAACCGCATTCGCACTTGGCATCCCACTATACGAAAAGTCCTCTAGACTAGCATACTCGCTGACCTGCTGCGGAACAATACTTCCACCCAGCGCAAGCACGCTCGAAAAGAACCCCGCCAGCGGAACCAATTTATACAGCACCCAGAGCTCTTTCGCCGGCGGACCTACCAGCGCGCCAACAGTAGGGAGAAGAGTTAACAGCGTTGTCGAGCCGCTCGAACTCGCTTGATATGCTGCTCCGACGCCCTCCAATGCTAGCGAGAGGTTGCCCATGCAGTATGCGTGGCTGCTCGTATGGCGAATTTTATCCGCGCGGGATGCCCATTGCACGAATTCCATATTACCTGCTCGGAAGTAGAGCGAGTCTGCGAGTACTGTGGCGTTATCTGATTGTTCTAGAGCGAAGTCGTGGTAGTCTGGGTTTGGGGAGTCGAGATTGGGGTACCCTGGTGTAGGGACTCCCACGACGACTGGAAGAGACGCCATGGCTCCGACGATTATGTATCCGCGGTTTTGAGCGTCCAAGATTATTTTGGTGATTGCTTTCGCGAGAAAAGATTGAAGTTGCGCCATCTTTGAGAGGGATGAGATTTGAAGTTGAAGTTGGGGCGATACTGTACTCGTGAGCAAGGCATTGTGGGATCTGACCCTTATCTATAGGCTCTGAGCCAGTTATTTGAGCCTCATAAATAGATAATTCAATAAAAAACAACGTATCCATCAAGAACAGCGGGCCAATGAGTATGATTTGAGGCGGTGCGGTAAATGCCCGTTTCCAATACGGGAACCAAGAGATACCGTTGGGGGCCAGCCTTGCCGCAGGAACTTTGAGACTCAAGATCGGCGAGAGCTGGGAAAACTGTCCCTAGCACGATTAGTATTTGAGATGCAACGATGGTAGCTACAAGTTTGATGCATATTGCGATAGCACTGACTGGCAACTCTTTCCTGCCCACGTCTACTGTATGATAAACCACAATTTGCCTTGACACGAAAATACCGAGAAATGTTGCATTTCGTACGACCCACGCTCAGTGAATTATGGGATGTGTTTGGCGACAATATGTAAGAAGAGAGAGTAGCAACCGGAAACTTCCCAGCCAGACTCCCTCATTCTCATCGCTGCGAGGCGTGGCAGCTTGAATAGCTATCATTGATACACTTGTCCCGCTTCGCTTGGAGTCTTCCTCTCAGCTGTGAGACTCGAACAGTTCGATACGATGTGACCAACATTGTCAACGTGCATACGAGCGGGGTACCTGGTATTCTCAGTGCCGCCTCGCATGTTCGATGTACTCCAAAGTCAAAATCGATGATACCATACACTTTCGCGCCTTTCATACAGGAAATTTGTGGTCTGGAATTTAATCCCTCGTTCGAATCGAGCATAATTCGTCTCGATTCTGGCGACAATCTCAGCCCGCTGTCGTATTCAGACGCACGCCAACCTATTACAGCCACGCATGTAAGTATTTCAACCGCAAGGCTGAGGTCTCGCGTTTTTCAGGCCCAGAACTGCAAGTTTAGGTACTAGATCTCAGTTCCTCATTCGTTCTCGTGCTAAATACCGAATTCGGACGACCGCTGCGATGGGTGTGGGAGGCAGATTATCTTTCTCTACGAACGTGGAGTATCAGCTTACTTCTATCCAAACGAGAGAACTATAATTCTAGAATCATAAGCCGTGATCATTAGTAGATGCATCATCGCCAGCAATTGTATCATGATTGTGATAGATGTGCGGTTAGATCTAAGTTGTTGGCGTGTTCGTCATTGCCTCGGATGATAGATTTCGGTTTAGTCTCACCCTAAGGTAAGCATGCATCATAATAGTGGGGGAAGCCAGACTTTATTCCGACATCAATTCATCTACCGGTAGAGACAGAACACCGGATATCCCACCTCAATACCATTCTCTCTCCCATATCATGTATAGTTGAATATACATTGTGTGTAGCGGTCGGCCCGCGTTCCATGCGTCTCATCGTCCCACATCTCTGTCTTCATCTCAATATCCCATGTATCCTTCACACGCGATCAATCTTCCGATCTATCGCGTGGAGATTGCCAGCTTATTCTTAACGCAGCAAAAAGTTTTCGAGTTTCTTCGCCGGTTCGTAGAATTCAAGGACTCCGTCCACAGTTCGTCGAGCAATGACGTCTCCTCCAACACTCAGCTGCAATATCACTTCGATTTTTAGCCCCGAAAAGACTCCCTTGACCTGCCTAATCATCATCAAAGTCATCGATCGACTTGGTTTGTAATCGGAGCTCATTAAACAGATCACCTGTTCAAGATTGGGCAGCTGGCATAAGCGTTTTGCGGTCTGTTCGCGAAGAAATCTGAAATCGCCAGGAGTTTCATGGTACCAATCGCTGAAATAATCATCGATAGCATGTTCCGGGAGCCGTAAAATTTTAATCGTAGCCAGGAAGCTGATCGGCGTTCGACACAGGAATGACAGAATTCCTTCTCCTCCGGTCAGATAGGGACTCTCATCGGCGCGGATCTCGACCATACGTCGATCGTATAAGAACGAGCAGTATTCCTTGTGCAGTTGACGATTCACCTGATGGATAGTGAAAATACGTAGGTTTTCATTGCAGATGCCATACATATTCCATCTCTGGTAGGTGATGATGACTTCATATGTCTCGACCAATTCTCGATAAATGAGGTTGCGTATTTCACCGGGAAGTCGGAGCAGTGTTGGTAACTCTTGGGTCGGAGGAGCTTTCTCGGGAAGGGAACCAATCTCAGTGGTATCCATATTGTATGTGCGAGCTTCGTGTTTGAGCTGTGCAATGAAATATGAGGTCAAGTCCAAGATGTGGTTGATGTTAAAGGTATGGTCAAGGTAAAGGAGAGAAAAGCTGTTCGCAACATATTTATATTAGTGTGAATGATTGGCACTAAATTGGGAAGAGTTAGTCTGTGTAACCTTCGTGTGACTGACCAGCGTCGTCGAGTGGTATGAATTGGCGAACTTTGAGAGGCCCGTGCATTGGCCTTCGAGGTCTCTAACGTGCTATGCTATGATTTCACTTTCTTGTCTTGACCGGGTTTCGACGGGAGATCTTTTGAGGATATATGAACTTCATACCGCATGGAGTCTTCGTTGTACGCCAGTTTTTACTTACTTGAACGAGCCTGCGGAACTGGATATCTGCATCATCTATAGTATATATCATTTGCAATCAAGTGTGACTTGGTATTGCATGCATATCGCAAACACGAAATGCATTAATATACAAGTATCAGAGCTCTTGGGGTACTCTGACTCTGTCAGATGTGATGAGTGAGAATATTGGTAGACGATAGGTAAGCTTCAAGCTTTGTACGTCGATGCCCCGCCTTCATGTGCACGAGAATCTAGACCTACCCGTCTTTGATATCTGTGAAGAAGTTCACAGAATATGCTTATTGCATGATCATGTGTGATTATGTAATTACAAGCACATGCATCCCTCGAAGTATCCGCTGGAAACATCACGATGCGAAGTGAATATGTGATGTGATGAGAACACGAAACTTTACTTCATGAGCATGAGCGGGATACAGCTGTTTTTAGAATAAATGTTGTCCCACAATTCTTGCGCATAACGTACACACGAAAAAACCCCTAGTTTGATCACACAAAACTCGCATGCAAAGTAAGATACAGAATTTAGTTTATTGAAAGAGTGCATTCCCGAACATCAATAGAAGGATATGAGTACTATCGACCTCGACTTCTATGCTTCTACTTAGTTCAAGAGTGCTTTGAATATGTAGGAAGATTATACAGGTTGTATGTCGTACTGCAACTATGGCCACCACATATGCTAAGTACGATCATCTCCAAATTAGTTCTCGAAACCCGTGACACTCCAGATTATTCGCCGTTCTGTACTTCCCGGTAAGATCTTCTTCCGTAAACTGAACATGCAGAAATGACAAAATCGCTTTGACTATTTGTCTCCAATCAGCGTCTTGGATCCTACCTCTACCGCACCATATACCAACCCTCGTGAGCCCGAGAAATGGTTGAGGGGAAACGTGAGGTGTATCATGAAAAGAACCGGCTGAAACCACCATCGCGTGAACTAATTTCCCGTTAAAATTGCACTTTCTGATCTTTGCAATTCTTTCGCCCATATCCAATTCATGTAATAAGTTCTTGAGATTGCCGACGATGTCGCACTGTTTGACTGTACTGACAAACTCAAAATTGCTCAGTTGGAAAGGCATCAATCGAGTCTCACAATGAATTCGATGGCATACTTGCGTTAATGCGAACGGATGCGGAATTTGTTCTGGTATACCCTTCCACAGTTTTGGATGACCGAGGAGCCTATCGGTCATCGAAAACTCTTTGAGGTTTGCAGCCTTACCCAGATATGAGCGCGGACTCAATGATCCAACCTGACGCCCACCTTCGTCGAGTAATACGATTATTATGCCGTACCCGCCTAACGCCTCTTCATAGATCATATCACGAATTTCTCTTGGTAGCTTGAAAAAGATAGACTCAACGAGGTTGCGCCGCTTGAGCCCAGTGTAGAATGCGGGGAAGTCTTTCATTCGTAACCGAGTCGCCGGTGCGCTTGATTGCTGTGTAGCATAGAGATTTGTGATCTTTCCTAGCATCATGCTTTTAACTGAGAATTAAATTCTGGAGACACGAAAGGGTGCGTATATATGTTAATGGGAGGTTTGATGAGACTCCGCATGATTTTTGCTTGTGTAGAGTCCCACAGCGTCTTCCACTAAATCGCAAATAAACTGATCAGACCACGAGCTTCACACTTTCTGAGACACTTGAATATGTCATTTGTACCGGATATAATCTATCTCGATGGTCCAAATCACCTGAAGGGTTGTAATCGTGAACATGCCACAGCATATCAAGAAGTAAGAAAAACAACTAGGATTTTCTACGGATCCTCAGCTGTGCACGTGTTATAAATCTGGCACACACATACTTGAGCAAACAACATCCCTTGTGACAGCATCACTGTTACCATTCTTTCTCTGCGTCCTATCATCACGTTCACCTGGACAAAGGCTCTACCAGAGCAAATAGTCGTCTGACAATAGTCCCCGCAGAGGAAAAAAAAATCTCAATCCTCTTGTCATTGAACCTCAACACACAATTGATCCCTATCAAACTTCAGGATCGCTCGCCATAATGCATAACTTAGGCCAGCCGCCCGCCTACGCCATCTCTAGGATTCTTGGATCCGCTCCCACCATTTTATTGTACTGTCTCGAGTTCCCATAACAAACAATCCCTGCATCCTTAGATCCACTCCCACCATTTCATTCTACCAATTCGAGTTCCCGTTACAGGTAATTCCTGCATCGTTCTATTTAACCCCAATAGTTAAGACGCGGAACTCACTCACCCTACCCAATCCTTCGACCTATACACCACTCCACCCAACCCCACAAATCCCCAACCCCCACCACACCATCCTTCCCTCCTCCTTCCCAAAACGATCCAAACCCCAAACCGCACAAACTCAAAATCTCAGCGACATCACCTTCCCCTTCTCCACTCCATTGTGAACAGCATTCCCTGAACATAATCAAATCTAATCTATGCATTCCCCAACCTAAATACTCTGATAAACCTAGAATAGGTATACATTAACCCCCGCGTTCCATTTTGTCTCATCCTGATACGATACTCTTCGTCTTGGGTCCAACCACATAACTGCAGCCACCATTCTCAGTGTGTTTTAAAGAGCAGGTTAAGAAAAAAACACCACATGTGCATGCACAGGAACGAAAGCAGAGAACGGATATATACGAGACGGGCCATGGCGAGCGGAAGAAAAAAAATTGAATTACTCGAGGAAAGACCGGTGGATACTAATGACCAGCCTCTGTCCACTTTCCAGCTTCTTTTCCGTACAGCCCATCCAACTCAACGTATGATGATGCAAGTAGCTATGTACAGAACAATGCAAACAAGAATAGAAACAGGGTTGGCGGGTATAGACATCAACCCAAGACCCACTCTTCTACAAACAGCCAATGGTAAAGCTTGAGAAGGCGTGGAGGAATCTAGCGACCGATGCGAAACTCTGCTTTTCCGAATTTCTTGAGAGCTTGGAGAAAGACTTGATAGTTGACGCCTTTGTTGTCCGGGAGGTGACTGTTTCTTTGTTAGCATACATCAGATGTCACAGCGCGGCACTCGATCGAGTAACAAAGGGAAACTCACAAGATCTCGGTCAACCTTAGTTGCCACGGCGGATATCCCTTCAATACGACTGTGGGGCTAAACAGAATGAGCAGATCCGGCTCGGTGCTAACGTGGTCGTTGAGCTCGGCGTCGATGAGGTTGGCGTCGATCTGGTCGATGCGTACATCGCCCTTTTGCGCCATTTGTGCGAGCGTCACGGTCAAATCGACAATGGTATCGCGACCATCCAGCTCGGAGAGCAGGAGAACGGTCAAGTGGGGGCGCGAAGTGGTGGAGCCATTTTCTGTGGGATCGGAGGAAGGTGTGCCGGGGGGCGAGTACGAAGTCATGTGAGGCGCTTTCACAGTGAGGGTTGGACGACGGCGGGAGCCGAAGTAGGTTTCGAGAGTTTGTTGGATAGCGGCATAGGTTTGGGTATGGTAGTTTTTGAGGACGCCTGTGGGTTCGTAGACGCTCAGAAACGGGATGCCGGCGGCGGCAGTCCAGGCAGCGATCTCGCACACGTCGTTTACGAGGCCTTCCAAACCAGCGGTACCCTGATCCTGATCATCCTCGTGATAGTCGAGCACGACACTAAGGTGCTTGGGGATCTGTTCGAGGTTCTTTACGTCGCTAACGATCCACTCGGGGGAGCGGTGGTGGTGGCCCATGACCGAGCGGAACTTGTACCAGAACAGTCGCCATGAGCGTCGGAAGCGGAAGAAGATTGAGAAGATGAGGGCGATAATCTGGTATACGATAAAGTAGACGAAAGACCGAACGGGACCAGCTTTTGGCTTGTTGGATCGGCTACGGGAGCGCTTCGATCGGGACGGGGAGGAGGGAGCTGGTGAAGGCGAGGATGAGTGGGAGACGTTGATGGGTTCGGGCGGAAGATGGGAGCGGATGAGGGCCTCGCGATCTTGTGCGGACAACTGCTTATTGTTGAGAGTGTTATGACGGAAGGCCAGCTCCTCTTTCTGTGTGATACCCGTGGCAGAAGCCATGGTGCTGTGAGTGAGGCGTGGTGAAGTTGGCGGGAGACGGGATGGATAAATCAGTACGAGTGGTTGCGATGTATTCGATGGTGGTGTGTCTGCGGAGGAGATTGGAAGAGGGGGATATTATAGAGTACGTGAGAGTGAAGAAGGAAAGGACAGTCGGGTAGACGCCGGGCAAGGGCCAATGGCGGCGCAAAAGATGAGGAAGTTGGGATGGAGACGAGAATTAGTTGATATCGACGGTGTGGCTGAGTGTTGGGGTTACGTCGCAAGTGTGGCGCGTTCCTGCCGATAGACGCGCGGAGGCGCGGCAGGTGCAGCCAAGACCCATGTGAGCCTCAACCTCCACTCCAACCTCGCCATGACTTGGCTCTGACTAGAGACGCGTGTGAATCAAACAGATGTCTTATTCTCCGGGCAAAGAGATAGATAATAAAAAGTACATATACGTGAAATAGCGACATGAGGCCCTTGTACCTGTTGATGGGTATATATTGATCTTCATGCGGGGAAGACACCAGCCACAGCTTCAACTCGACCCTCCCTTGCATATTCCCACGTACATCACCTCTTCCTCTTCTCTCCTGACGAATCCTCCGCAACGCCAGAGCTTCCTACAATAACAATCAGTCCGGAAGTCACCAAATAGATTGAGCTCCTCATGCTGCTCCCCCGGTAGCCTCCGCCCGCCGCCGTCATGTCTCGTCCCAGCGCGGACTCGTCCTCGCTGCTCTCCACCCAGTCGGCGCGCACCGTCTCCACCCGCAACTTCGCTTTTACCCTCGACGATTTTTCCAACAAGGGCTTCATTGTCAAGGACTTTATAGAAACCCTCTCCGATACCGCTATCCCCACCAGCAACCGCAAATCCGGTCTCTCCTCCGCCCAGACCCAATTCGATCCCAAGCCGCTGATCCGCTCCTTCGAACACGCCCTGACCCGCCTCAATATCCTCTCCGAAGAGCTCGAGGAGCGCGAAAATGAGCTTTCCGCTACCGTGCGCCGCGCTGAGGCCCAACACAATCAGAATGTCGACTCACTGGGGAGGAAGCTTAATCAGGCTATTGACCGATTTAAGAGGCTGGACAGTTCCCTGAACGGTGGTGGAGGCGGTGTCGACGAGGGAGGCGTGGATGGCGGTGGTAATGTTGCGGTGCGCATTGGAGAGCGCTTGGAAGAGCTGGATCGACAGGTACAAAGAGCGTCGGATGCCAAATTCCTCATTGTGTGTTGGCAGGAGGTCAGTCAAAGAGGCACCTTGGATACACTCGAAGACCGCAAGCGCCGCGGCAAGATTGTTGAATGTGCATCCATTGCCCGCCAGCTTCTCAAAATTAGCAACCGTCTCAACCCCGACGTCAACGGAAACGCCCCCAATGGCACCACAGCGAAGCGCCGCCCCAACGTCTCCAAATTCCCCACCAAGGAGATCATCGAGAAGTTTCTCGAAAATCTGGAACAGGATCTACTTGCCAAGTTTGATGAATATTATCGGAGACCCAACTACGACGGAATGCGCGATTGCGCCGTCACATTGAAGGACTTCAGCGACGGCGCCAGCGTCATCGCCACCTATGTCAACCAGCATTCGTTCTTCATCGAGCGCATCAACCTCGTAACCGATGAGCTGACCGTAGATGCCGAGTCATGGGAACGCCTGCAAGACCCCGATGCGGAGCCGCCAGGCGTAGAGCCAAGTCTCCAAAGTCTGGTGGACGAGGTCAAGATTGTCATCCAGGACGAGTCAGCCATCATCAAGCGAGCGTTTCCTTACTATGAGGAGGTTCTTGTAAAGTTCCTTCAAAGACTGTTCCAGCAATCCATTCAACAGCGCCTAGAAATGGTGCTAGAAAAGGCCAACGAGCTTTCCTCTCTCGCTTTTCTTCGCGCTTTACAAGCCTCCAGAGGATACATCACTGCTCTAGTAGACGACCTCAAATCCCATGGTCTGACAGAAGCACCAGAGCCCGTCACATCGCAGATCGCAGCTGTGCTGGACCAACAGCTCGAAGATCTTTTTGTGCCATATTTTGTCGGGTCCTCATATATTGAGCGAGAGAAGAAAAACCTGGAAGAGCTTTATTCGTCTCTACTCCTCAAATTCACAGCATACCACGAGCGACGTCGGAAGATGCCCACGAGCTATTTCGGATCGCTAGCCCAGCGTGGTAAAGAACTCGCCGCTTCCACACGTGATGCATACATGGAACGTCTCGACAGCACCGATCTGCCACCCACCCAGAAAGCTATGTTGATGAAGATCGCCGGTGTCAAAGAAGAGCAGATGGACAAAAAGGACATTGAAACTACAGAAGAAGACGGGAGGCTATCGTTAGCCGTTGCTAAGCGTATGCTCAAATGGTTGGCCGAAGGCGTTGGGAGAGGGCTGGAGCTCTCACCCTCAAACGAAACGCCAAAGGACGTGCAGAATCTGCTCAACCTTCTTCTCACCCACATGGGCGAGATGTATCTGGAGACGGCTCTCGATGCGTAAGTTCAAGTCCCCGTCACTCTGCTCTACATGAACCCCACATACTGATAGCAAGAACAGCGCTTCTGAACACGCCGCATCACAAGAAAACTCCAAAACCCCACCAGACCTCACCCACCTCCCGGCCCTCTCCACTATAACCACAATTCTGCACCTTCTCCAAACCACCACCTCCACCATCCTCGTCCCCCTTGCAACCCCCAACCTGACCATCCGCCGCGAAATCGAAAAACAAATTTCCTCTACCCTCTCGACCCTCGAATCAAAACTCTCCTCCGTCCTAAACACCACCCTAACCGCGGCTCTCAACCACGTCACCACCCTCCTCAAACAACAAAAGAAAACAGACTACCGCCCCAAAGAAGACAACATGGACGAAGTCCTCATGATGTCTTCCTCAGACCCCTGCCAATCCGTCTGCAGTTTCCTCACCCGCGTCGCGACCCAAGCCTCAGCCGCCCTAACAGGCCGCAACCTCGCCCTCTTCCTCGCCGAGCTCGCGCGCGGGCTCCGCGGTCTGATCCTCGCGCATCTCCTGCGCTTCACGTTCTCCATCATCGGCGGCATCACCGTTTCCAAAGATATGAACCGCTATGTTGAGCTAGTCAGGGGCTGGCCTACGGGGGATGAGCTCGAGCAAGGGAGCATGGACGTTCTTGTTGATGTTAGTCAGCTTTTTATGCTGCAAGGCCAGCATTTGAGGGAGAAGTTGAGTGGGAGGGTTGGCGGCGAGTTGGTCGAGTTGAAGGGGTTTGTCGCTAGAAGAGAGGATGTCGGGAGTGTTGAGGTTCAGGCTGCGCTTATGGCTGTTTGAATCCAGTATTCTCACCTCTTCTGGCTTTTCTATTCTTGTGATGTAGATGATGAAAGTTATTGGTTCTTCTTTTCTTCTTCTTGCTCTCATTCTCCTCGACCTTTGTTTGTTTGCTGGATGGACTCTGCGTTTTGCGTCGCACTGTGTGTGTGTGTGTGTGTGTGTGTGATGGTCGTGATTTTGCTTCTTGCTGATGATTTTGCGGTTCCCTTCATCCATATGCCGTGTCTGTAGCCCTGTCACAAAGTACTACCTTTCCCCCCCTCCTTTTCCAATTCACTAGAGAAAAGAAATCAATGACCATTGAGTATCAACCATCCGGAAAACCTCGAAGAAATGTTATACAGCGAACTAGTAACCGCACAATCAAAAATCATGGTAGGTAAGGCACCCAGAGCAGCAGGACGTTCGATCTAGTATCGCCGAAAAAGGGCCTTTTACGGCCCGCTCCATTAGTTAGCTTGATATGTACTTGCGACTACGGGATCGACATCCTAGTTTCTGGTGCTATTATGCTGTCGGAGATGGGTTTCATCGTATTTTTGACACTTGGAGGTTCGTGCGGTGTTGGTTTATATCAGATCTGATGGCGCGTAGTTTTTTTGTGTTTGTCTTCGACTCATTTCGTATGTGTGCGGATATAAATTTGCTTATCTGAGAATCTGGAGTGGCTGGATTTGCTACATTATTTTGCAGTCTTGTCATGAGCTTGTTAATTCAACATACACAGTCGAACATGGAGGTCTCATGTAGCCAACCAACAAATCTACACACCATATCCCCCTCGCACGAAAGCGATCACCCGCGCAGTCGAACACAGAACTCGTACGTACAAGATATCCCTCACTTTGGCGGCTCGACCTCTATCTAACCCTCCAACAGAACCCCCACCACCGCCCAACCCCCATTCTCCCTCCTCCTCTCCCTCCCCCCCGAACTCCGCAACAAAATTTACACCCACATCCTCTCTACAGTCGAATTCCGCATCACCATCGAGTCCCGCACAGGCACCCCAATCCTCCGCATCGGCCGCCCAACACCTAAAAAATGGCGCTCCGTAACCCGCCTCTCAGCCTTTACCCTCACGTGCCGGCAAATCTACTCCGAAACGCGATTTCTCCCATTCGCGGCAACGACGTGGGTCACGCCTCGGCACTCGATCTTTGAGTATAAAGACGGTGTAGGCGTGCAGATGGGAGCGAAAGCGTTCTGGAGTGTGCTTAGAGGATTCGATAAAACGCAGGTCAGCAAGATCGAGAGAGTGAGGGTGAGGGTGTTGTTTTATGATTATAGCGATGAGTGTATGGATGGGTTTTTGAGGAACGAGGAGGTTTATGATGTTGTGTTGAAGAAGCTTGTTGATGAAAGTGAAGAGGGGGGTGTTCCTAGGGAGATGGTGGAGAGGTTTAGAGAGTTTGTGCCGGTGTTGAGCGGGGTAAGGAGTGTGAGGTTTGTGTTTACGGGTATTGCTGGGGAGCGGGTGGAGAGGTTGTGGGGGACTGTTGTTATGGGGTTTTTGGGGGTTGCTGGGGTTTTGAGGGAAAAGGGTGGTGGTGGTGGTGGTGGGAGATATGGGTTTGGGATGGCGAAGCAGGTATGCGGTGACACTTGGGATTTGTCCCTATGAAGGTTTGGTGGATTTTTGTCTATTCGGCTGGAATTCACACTTGCGTATAAGATCCTGGGATCAGCTCATACGTAGCCTGGACCGGCGCTACGACATCCGAAAAGAATAGATCCCGGAACGAGCGATTCTCAAACGTGTTTGTGTCTGCCGATCCCGGGAAGATGAATCGTAAACAGCGATCAGTTGCGTGACTATAAGCTATTCCCGGATCCAGTTCAAGTTCTCGTATATGAAACCGCGCGACTTCGAAATCGTCGAGGAGATTTGGTGTGGTTTTTGCACGCTCGCCTGTGATGCTTTGGTATTCTTGTCGGAGTTGTGCTAAGGATTTGTCGCGGCCGAGTTCGATGAGGCGGATAGCTAGGGTGTAGAGGGTTAAATTTTGGATTTGCTTGCCATAGGACTGGTTTTCAGGAGTAGGATTGCTACTTTCATCATCCGCGGGTAAGCTTGAAGGGGGAAAGATATTGGCAAGGTATGGGTGATCGGAGAGTTGAGCTGGACTAGTGCTCTCTTCTTGTTCGAGGAAGAATCGTATGTTGTCGCTGGCCAGTATCTTGTCCAACCATGGTGAGTCGCCTAGATGTATAACTGCCCAGGTTAGAGCTGACGCTACGGCGAACCGCCGCTTTCGATTGAGACGCAATCGCTGTTTGGTGATATCGTCTCGTTGTCTTGTCAAGAGTGCGTCGAGATTTATCGGACGTCTCGCTGGTGCAGTGATTGACTGTGGCGGATGGTCCATGGAGATGATGCGCAACTGCTCTGTCGTATTTGCGTCTAGGATAGGGATGAGTGTAATAGTAGACTGGAACGTCGAAGCTTTTCCCAGCATACTGCAGAGCTTGATTGCAGGGGCAGGTGAAGTACCGCGTGAGGATGGTGAAGTATCAACGCTTCCGGTATTACTATTCGTACCCAGGGAGCTCTGAGACATCGTTGGGGTGGAGGTGATATGGTGGTTGGAGTCTGCGATTGTCTGTTAGACAGATAGCGTCAACACGTAGATATAAGAGATTGCACCTTTTGAGGATGAAGTGGACCGCGATCGAAATCGGCCTGATAACCTTTTCGATCTTTCTCTCGTGATGTGTACTCCTAGAAACCGTACGCCTTTCTTCTTTGGCGGCTCCAATGGTACCGTAGGTGTTGGTTCGTTGTCATTGCTAGTTTGGGTCGTTGAATTCGAAAGATCGGGGATGCTGACTTGTATATCCGACGATTTCTGATGTTCGAGTACTGCATGTTCGATGTTGATTGCTACAGCCTGCCACATGATTTCTGGTTGTTGCTGACTTCTCGATGAAAGTATCATGTGAAACTTCTCGGCGTCAACCGGAGTGTTGCTGTGCCACTGCAGCTGCATGCAACCCTCATGAGGCGCATTGCATTTGCAATCGAAGCTGGAAGAGATGGCCTTGTGCACCAGTCGCGCGTTCTTCCTCGTATACAAGGTTTTGCTTTCGTCGAAGCGAGTGCGGACCTGATTAACGATCCGGTTCTCAGTATCCAGCAGCGCTTCACGCTTCTCAAGTTTACAGTCCTGGAGCGCTGAATTATAGTACCGCAGGGTCTTGAAGACTTCTTTTCGGCGGGAGGTACCGAAACTTCTCTTTACTCTTCTCCATTCCCAATTGGCCCGCTCGGACTTTGCGTCTTCCCAGCTTGGCTAATACACCCGGTAAGCGAAATCGAAGCTTCGGTGTTTAGGCAAGATAACTCACTGGGCCTTTTACATCAGGATAAAGATCTTTTGCAACGCGATGTAGAAGGTCATCCATTTGGCGAATAATTATCATGAAATCCCTCCAGTTGCTGGGCTGGTTGATCTGCAGCGCTCTCTCCACTTCAGTCAAAGTCGTAGTTTCCGCAACCTGAATGCCGAGCGAGGCCAGTGTAATGTACAGTTTTTGCCTTTCGAGGATGAGTTGGAGTCGCGTCGTCTCAATCGTTTCTTTCCATCTGACTATGCCCTTCAACGGGTCCCAAGCCTTGCTGTAATTGTCCAGTGCATACAAGATAATGGGAATTGCGCCCAAGACTACGCCGGCGACCTCCATGCTGATTTACGTGGATGCCGAAAACAGGGAATAGGCGGGTATATTGGAGCTTTTGGCGTCGCGGGAGATCATGGGCTACGAGGCACGGGATGCTGTGACGAGTATGATCCATGGATGACAGAGAAAACCACGGGAAGTGCGTGATATAACCTTCGCTTAATAATCTTCAGCAGAGATATATTTGGAAATTCGTGCAGTGGGGGTTGCGGGGTTGCTGAAATCTGATCCTCAGCCTTGCGTCTCCCTTCTGCAGTACTTCCCCGCTTGGTTTGAATAGATGCGCCATTATTGCACTCTACACAGCATGTTTGCAGATGGCTGCTTCATCGTCATCGATGACTTCGCTTTCGTTCCTTCCTTTAGACATCACAGGGTCGTATCTGGAATGCGTACATTTATATAAACGTCTTTTCGGCCACTTGACTCGCTCTCCAAACTCTGGCGTACTATCGAGCAACCTCAACGTAGAAAAAGCGCTCGATCAGTACGTGAGATTGCGCTCGTGGGGAGAAGAAAGTCGTGCAATATTGCCAGCCGATTCCCGTGGTTCTCTGGACGATGTCCTGAGAGACAATTCAACTTTGAAGCCAATCGTCAGCGATGTTCTCCGCAAGATCAAACGCCAGATAGACCATGGTAAGAATATCGTGAAACTATCTGAAACCGTACTGAAAAAACGCAGTCTTGAAAATGATACAGATCAACGATAGCCCAGCGGAAAGACATGGACTCGTCGGATTCTCGCAAACTGATGATTCCGATCGCAGTGACACGAGTTCTGAAGATGAAAGTTTTGGCACAGAATCACATATGCTTCTCACCAAACGCAGCTCCACGAGAATCTTCGCTAATATCGGAGAAGATATCGATTCACTTTACCAGGTCTTGCTAATGATAGACAGGCCGGGTTACAGTCGACATTATATTCACTCAACGAAAAATGACGGGTCAGACTATGGATCATCTAGTTATGCGTATTACGACCTGCGTCACATCGAAGATAAGATTCATAGTTGGACCCAGAACTTTTTGGCTATAGGTGCTGGGAATGTTGGGAGCGCGGTAGGAAATGAGATTCCTGTTACTTCAAGTCTGGATCCGATGAAGTCAAAGATCCTCATCTTGCGACTTGCAAGAGCCAATACCAAGCGTCGGCAACAGCTCGAACACTGGCAAGATAACCCTGATAAAGCATTTGATTTGAACACTAGTGCCGCAGACGACGCAACGGAACAGTCGATGCCAGCCGAACCACAAGTTGAGAACACAAGAGAAATCTCAACCGCAAAGTCTGTCATATCGAAAGAGACTTTTTCCAAGGTTGCTGTCTCCGATCTTTTCGACAAGAAAACAGTAGTTGGACCACCGAGGACCATATACACAAATTCAACGGGATTCCAGAGTTCAAATCGAGTGCCCAAAGTTCCCTCCACAGCATTCCTGCAGAAAGAATTTGAATGCCCGTACTGTCGGCTTCATCTAGATTCAGAAAGAATGCAAAACCGGCAAGAGTGGAAGTAGGTTCTGGCGTGCTTTGAGAAAACCAAAATGAGACTGACTTTACCAAGACGCCATATGTTCCGAGACCTTCGTCCATATTCGTGCACGTTTTCCGAATGTCAGAATCCAGAAAAGCTGTATGCAACACGTCGGGACTGGATATATCATGAGATGCAGATGCATTGGCGACAATGGGTTTGCGAAGAACACGGTGGAATATTTCACTCAAGAGAAGATGCCTTGAAGCACATAGCCGTTGCACATAATGGTCTATCGCAACACCAAACTGCAATGCTGATCGAGATGTGGGAAAGGCAATTAGACAACATGGAACTTGTATCTTGTCCGCTATGTCCAAGTCAGCGGCGACTGCAGATCATGCATTCTCACATTGCCCAGCATCTGGAGTCCATTGCTCTGTTCGTCATACCTGGTGACGACAATGAAGAAGAAGAGGAAGAGACCGATGAATCCGATGAAGCTGACTTGAAAGATGCTACTGCTGCAGTACTGATGAGTACTCGAATTGTATCGGAACACGAGGAATTACCAAAAGACCTACAGAAAGAGACTATCAAACATGAAGAGAATGGGGAAGAAAGTCAAAGTCTTTGGTACAGATTTGAAGACATCGTTGCACAGATTGGAGCTATACCCCATACGTCCACCAAAGCCAGGGAGAGATATGAGGAAGAAAAGAGGATCATAATGGGGAGTTACTTCTCTCAGGCAAACAAAGCAGGTCAGTATATACACATTGGAATCTGTCATAGACTGCGTAGACAGCTTCGGTTCAAGCTGATTAAAAATAGCAAACGGCCCATATGTATTCCATGTCAATGTTGTCGAGTACATCAATAGTAGGACAACACCCCCTCCCGCATCTGGCGATAGATCCTCAGCTCAAAGAACGTTGATAATCGCTGTTGATATCCCCGAATCAAAAGCATTCCTACACAAGTGTCGGAAGAATTCTAAGGGCAGATTCGTCATGATCTCGTCGTGGGATTTGCTGAATCTAACGGAGATCGATAACTTTGTCCACAAACAGCCCCAGAGTGAGCAAGAGACCAAAGAAATTATTTTGGCTGGAAACACTGGCTTCTTATTGCGATTACCAAAGACGTACTACTGGGAAGCCTCGGAAGAGAGCATGAAGCAATTCTTTCTCGAAACTCTAGTCAAACTCTACCACAGATACACACAGAACAATGAATTTGACGAAGGGACATATCCGATCCTAGAAGGATTCAGTGCTGAAGAGCTGGACAAATTGACGGATGGAAGACCATACGCTGCAACAGAGGAAGGACGTGCAGCCTGGAAAGAGCGGAATCAGGACCCGGGGGCATACAGATCTCGATTGGCTCTGTCGGGGACTGGTTCCAATAATTTTGTCCTAGACTTGAGCAAACTGAGCAATGAGGGTCCTGCCGTCAAGTTCAAGGGTGTCGCTTGCACCTTTCCAGGCTGCGACAAGGCATTCGACCGAGTGGATGATTTCAGGTGAGATTCTATTGTGAACATGTGATTAAACATGCGAATAGTACTTTATGCTAAATTCGAAACAGGAGCCACCAGAAAACTCACATGTATCATCCCCAACGGCCTCATGTGTGTTCTGTTTGCCAAGAGGGCTATTTGACTCCCAAGGATCTTGAGCGTCACCAGTTTATTATGAAACACTACGAACGAGATCGATAATTGAAATAAACATTGTTTAGATATTCAGTATGTATACTGTCAAGTAGTGAAAGTTGCCGAACACACATTGTGTACGGACCGAGCCACTTAGTGCATATTCTTGTGGATGAATTTCACAATGTCAAGTTGTTTGGTTTGAGGTGTTTGTATAGAATGAAGCTGGGCAAAAAGCTGAGGGTTTATATAAAGCCTTCACTCGACTTGGGCTTTCGAGATATCTTCTCGCTTCCACTGGTTCTTGCACTCAACCACTGAATACATAAAATTCAATCAACTACCGTGTGAACTCTGGTAATCAACACCTCCCCTATCACCATACTTTACAACAATATCGAACTTCACAAACGACCCTTCAACTCTAGCTCCAAGCATCTCACACAAGAAAAAATGACTCATCAGCCATCGAAAGAGTCTACCGATTGGCCCCAAAACGATACTCAAATGGAAAAGCAATCCGCCTCTGAAATTTCTGTGTATCCCGCGCAGGATGGACTCGTGGATGTTGCACCCCGGGGCCACCATATCGAAATCGCAGAACGAAACCGCAAGACATCCCCACTGCTTGCTCTTCCGCGCGAAATCCGCGATCAGATCTGGGAGGAAGTGCTGGGGAACCAGACCTTCTACCCGCGTATCTCGGATGGACGCGACATCTTCATCTGTGATGAGCCTGAGGCAGACGACCCGCTGTCAGTTCTGCGAGTCTGCCGACAAGTCTACGTCGAGACATCTCCTATCCTCTATCAGGATAGTGAGTTCCGCTTAAGCTACGACTTCCTGTTCGACTCCTTCTTCGAGGCTCTCAACCAGATCAAGCTTCCGTTCCGAAATCAGATCAAGAAGCTCGAGATCGACATCGGATCAATTGCGATGGGAGCGACGGTGTGGATGGACATGGACTGGCTCGAGCAACTCCCGGGCCTTTCCCAGGTCAAGTTAACGATCCGAAATCGCTATCTATGCCCAAGTGAGCTGGGTGGATGGCCCGAGGAGATGACCGAGTTTGCGGTCAACAGTGTCACGGAAACCCTACGTGAGCACGGGATCACAGACGTCGAATTCCGGAGCAACTGGGACGACGAGGAGAATGGGTCAGCTGCTGGGGCAGAAATCGAGAATCAAGATGAAACTCTGAGCACGTCTTGATCTTGGACACTCCTCTGATGGAATGATCAACTGGTCCTTTTTCGCAGCAGGAAAACTGTTCGCATCTGTGATGTTTGGATACTTGTTGCTTTGCAAGCTGGATGCATTTTCTCAAGAATGCTGAAACAATAAATGGCATACTATAGGAGTAATTGGAAATGATATGGAAAACAGATAATACATGTACTGAATGAGCTTTTATTCGTTCTCGATGTGCAAATTGGTACAGTCGATTTCACACTCAGTGAGTAGTGACCGCAGAAATTATTTATGGAATGTGATGATTGGTAACTAGAATTGATCGGTCAGGAGATATATACGCGCATTTATTCCGTACATCTCCACTAGTTCGTCGGCACCTAATGCGCAGTCAATCTACAGTAGTGTTGCGGTGTATTTGCATGACGCTGAGCTTATTAGGAACTAGCCACACAATGCAAAATTGGTCGCTGGATGATGTAAGTCATCCGAGAATGTGGGAATGATCAACAAGTACATATGGTCCCTGAGACCTGTGTCCAGGAATTTGAACTGAGATGGGCTATATTGCTCATACCAGCTCTATTAGTTCACATCTTGACTATGCCGGCTGCACTTAAATTGTACTCCTGAATTCCAAATCTAATCATACTGAACAACCACTTCCAAGCCCCCAACACTCTTGTGAATACGTGGGAAATGTATTCTAGACTTATAATGTAGAAAAGAAGATTTATATGTATAAGTACCTATCCAGGTACATACCTGGGCAGGCAGGTATAGATACGCAAGGCACGTGCATTCGCATTCACAACATTGAATCAATGGTACCTGTTAGCGCCGATCTTAGCGCCTCGGCACTCACCACACATCTGCGTTGAACACTCAGGCTACTTGTTTCTACCCACCAATCACTGCCCCACCACGCAACAATTTGGATGGATCCTAACCCCCGGGCGATAATACCCTGAGGCACATCTACATCCCACGATAGCTCACAGCAGCTTCGATATTCTGGCATACAATCGCCCCCCAGGATTCGTCTCTCAAGACGGAGTCGCGCAAGAGAAAAGTACGTGTATTCTGGATACGGTATGTCCAACGCCACATTACTACGTAGTGCAGCGATTTGACACATTGAAATTCCACTCAAACATGCTTGCATGCAGAATACTGACCTTAAATCCACGCTTGTAGGCACCTATTGACTCAGGTCACGATGCAGAAGAAACTAGTCGCGCCAAACGGGCTGCCCGCGGCTACCACGAATTCGAATCCGGCTTGCTCAATGTGCAGCCCATAACATCAGATGAAATCAGGAGGTGAGTGTGTATTTGGCTATGATATCATTTCTAGCCATTTCTAACATAATCAACTTATGACTTATCGAACTTAAACTAAAAAAGAGATTCAGAGCCGAGAGAAACAGCCGCGAATCACCACTTCTGCGTTTGCCCTCAGAGCTGCGGAATCAAATATGGGACGAAGTATTCCGCGACGAGACTTTCTGCGCGTTTCCCCCTGGCGCAGGACTGCATCAAGCCCGTTTCATACCAGTGATGTCCCAGAGCAGTGGGCTACCCCTCCTCCAAACTTGCCGACAAATATACTCAGAGGCCGTTCTTCGGCCTTATCAAGAAAGCATATTCGAGAATATTCACGGTTTCAAATACATGAGCGACGTTATAGAGAAGATGAAACCCGCTCTCAGGCAGCATGTTAGGACGGTTCAGATCCACACTGGCTTTTTATTGGGGCGAATGTTTGATATTTCCCTGAAAAACCTTCTTTCACTACTTCCGGGACTGGAATTTGTTGTATTTCTGAGCTGGGAATATATCTGGGGACAAGACCTGGAATTTGATCCCGAGTCACCCGGAATGATAATGACTGAGACATGGAAGGAGCGTCGAGCGGGCATTATTGCGGCAGCCTATCCTAGGATCAAGTTTACATTCTATAATACGGATTTGGAGCTATGACTTGGGACAAGACAAATTGGAAGCCAGAGAAGGTTACCCGGGGTAGGCACTACAACCAGCTACGATAATTTTGGGAAGATTAGTGTCTGGGAATACTCACAGGGACTTCATGAAGGTTAATGCATGACTGAGTTCGAGAAAGGCCGATCTTTTCGCTGTTGATCGTACAGATCTCTGATGATCGTGGTGGAAACTCAAAGAGACAGCATCTTGAAGACTTGAACGCGGGGGACAAAGCAATTGTTCGATGAGCGGAAGAGCTATGGTCCCTACTATCTCTGCATCTTAGTCGGGTTGATCGGAAGATGTGATAGGCAGACCGTAGAATTCTCATGGAAGAATTTGTGATAAGCGATGGTTTGATTTGCGGCTCACATGATTGGACACCGGTTCTAATGCATTGAACCTTGTTACAACTAGATAAAAGATTGCTATCTCCAAACTCTTTGTTCACACCATGTGATACGACTCTCTGAATTGGCGTGATACAACTTTAGATCTTGAACCACTTCCTAATCTTTATTTGGTGCTTGTCTCCGTGCCAGCTGCGTGCGTTGGTTGCTGGTTTTCCATATATCATTGTGTGTTATGCTTGTGTTTGTGTTAGATCTTATCAAGCGCAACGCCTTCACAACTACAAGTATAAGTTAGCTTGTGCTCAGATACCATCCAATTCACCGCAGACGCATCCGCAGCAGTATTTCAATTATCCGAATTCCTAATTCTACATCCTAGCACTAATGCATTCTGGTTCAACGGCGCAGTACTACTTCCCAGTGGCATTTGCATCTGGAAAAGGGGCATTTGGGGTTCAAAAGCGCCTAGCAACGATCATGGTTCGTGTAACCACTATACGGAGAGAGAACAATGTGTTTTGATCCAATCACTCTACCAACCTCGCACGCATTTCTTTCACCCTAAAATACCTTAGCTTCGTTCTTAACCGTGCGTGAGTGAAAGACGAGCCAAACAAAGTACTTATATATCTATCTCAGACATAAAAGCTCATAGTTATCTACAGCTGCTACCACCAACATTACCTACCAGCTCAACCGCATCACCTAACAGAAACACTCCAATATACAACAACTCCCACAAAACCCAGTGTTCTCGCCGAGGTATCCACGCAAAAGTTTGAAGCATTACACTCTCAATCCATACCAAACAAAGTACGACTACAAATATCACCCGTTTTCGAAACCAGTCGGCACAATACGATGGCACCTCGGGGTACTAAGCGCAAGGCACACAATTCAGAAGGCATCGACCTCAATGGCCGTAACGTGAAGCGCCCTGCACGTGTGTACAGGATGTATAAAAGCGGCCTACTAAACGTAGAACCTCTGGGGGACGACAAAAAGATGTAAGTGTCTTGTTATTGTAGGGTTTGAAACTCGCTAATAAAAACATCTTCAGCGCCCAGGAGAACAGTCAGACCGGCCTCCTACGTCTACCTCGAGAAATCCGAGATATGATATGGGAAAACGTCTTTGACGACATGACCTTCGAGATGGTCACCAAAGGAGAGAAGCGGGCATTCGTCCCCGAGCGGATTGGCAATGCCTCTCGAATTTCCCTCCTTGGAACCTGCCGCCAGATCTATTCCGAGACGGCACTGTTGCCCTACCAGAAGGCAACTCTACGAGCAGGAATGCGAGACCAAAGCCGGCCCAATAATCGCATATCCACGATTCGTGATATGAGATACCAAAGCAGGCCCAATCATCTAGTATCCGCGCTTCGTGAAATGAAGCCAACCTTTCGAGAGCTCGTCAGCAAGCTTGAACTGGATATCAAGCTGGTGACCTACCCGCTGACTTGGGAAAATGCTCGCGGTTATGCCGATCTACCCGAGTTGATTCCGAACGTCAAGGAAATCTCGATATTTACCAACCAGCTGAATGGGAGATGTCCTTATTCCCCATATTTTGGTGGTTTATATGCTCCTGATTGTGAACGAGCTGTAGCACACGTGAGGAACTGCTTCCATGCTTTGTGCAGGGTAGAAAAGCACTTGGCTAGGAATCTTGCCAACTTGAAAGAGCACTTCCCTAGCATTCAAGTGAGGCTATTGGACGGGTGGATACCACCGGTAGCTAGGCAGATCATGGAGGAATATGGGAGATCCAACACCTCCTAGGCATTTGGTTCTGAACTCGTCAGCTATTAGAAGAGCTTGATTGGCAGAAGACAGGACTGTTCATTAGGCTGTATGTAGTAGCATGACTACTTATCGCATGATTAAACTCATCAACTCATTGAACGATTTCTATGCGTGATATGGAATCCATAGTCTTTGGATCCTGCTATAACCGTGATTCCAACTTGTACATGAGTCTTTCTAGACTAATATCAGTTACACTTTCATGAATTTGTCGTTTACGAATCCGCTCATACCATACTTCCATGGTATGAAGAGCCCACTAGTCTCGAATGTTGTACGTATCAAGCCTTGGAAATTACCTATGCTATGTCTTTCACTCACTAAAGGGAACCTAGAGCTTTTGAATTGACGTCATCATGGTGAGTTGCCCCGCTGCCACGCGCCTGCAGAGTGTTCGCACCTGTGTGTAAGAAAAGCTGTGCACGTGACTCTTGGCGCTACATTCACCCTATAAACTTTCTGCACAAGCTGCCGCTCTCACCTAGACTCCTCTGACTAGTTTTGTGCAGTGCACCCCAAGAAACTACTCTAACAACAAAGAAAGTGAGGCTTACCCAGAGTTTCACTTAAACTCGACGAGAGTAATATTGATCTATTACCTTAGATTCAACAATGGCGAAGCCCGATGCAGCTGGGAACAGGGCTGACAGACGCCCCCATCTTGGCAGCTATCGTCTTTACAAGAACGGCATGTTGAATGTCACGCCTCTAGGCCAGGAAAAGATCATGTAGGTGCATGACGTATGCTCAAGTTAGAATGTCTAATCAAGAAATGTAGAGCAAAGCGAAATTACGAGCTTTCCCCGCTATTGCGCCTACCTCGAGAGATCAAAGACATTATCTGGAAGTATGTCTTTGAAGACAATGTATTCCAAGCTTGCGAGTCTATGAAACTGCAATACTTCCATCCCGGTTGGAAGCCGCGTTTCCTGTTTCGGACGAATGGGCTTGAAATGAGAAATATTCTTATCCTTTTGACCTGTCGTCAAATCTATTCTGACGCCCTGAGTCCTTTCTTTCGGGAGAGCCTCTTCCATTTCGACACATGCATGTCGGAAGACACTAACATTAAAGCCATACGCAGTATCAAGGCTGCTCACCTCACTCATATTAGGAGAATCGAGATCAAAACGGGAAGCTTACCCCAACCAGATGCAATAACTTCTGATTCGCTATCGTTTATAGCTAAGGTTGCTGCGCTGCTCCCAGGACTTCTGCACATCAAAATCAGGGCAAGCGGTTGCTGTTATGGGAAAGAACTATCTCCAAATGATTGTATAGAGAGAACGCGTGGAGTGGTAACAGTTCTGAGGGCACATTGGCCGCGGATTACAGTTGACGTCGTTTGGTGTTAGGGAGGTAAATGGGTGTAAGTGACTACAATTAAAAGTGTGTAATAAGGCCAATCGTGTTGTGTATGATGATGCAATGATAGCAGTAGTAATACACGATGTGTGTTGACTGCAAGGGAATGATTTAGTCTTTGCTCAAAGTATACGTGATATATCTGTACGCGAAATCAGGGTGAATACTAAGTCCATTGTTTTATCATCGCATTTTCATGCGGCACTAATCAGGATGTGTAATAGCTACATTGTTATTTTGTGGTGACATCCTGTTTTTCGGTTCCTCTATCGTTGTAACTATCGCTGTGTTTAGGATCGCTCAGACACAAACTTACAAATCGTACTAAGTATATCATGTTCCATCACCTCTCTATGCGGAACAACCCAGGGTGAGTAATGATGCTGCATAAGCACTTGCGTGAAGCATCTGAGTTAGTTATTCGGATAAAACATCGTGACCAGTGAAATTAGCACAGTGTTCTATTCCCTTGATACAATTACATAAGTCGAAGTACGTCATCTATAAAGAAAAGTAAAGAGTGTGAGTTTCAAAGTCCCAATCGTGTCCTGTCTATCGTGCTTCGTAGCGATTTCCAATCGCTCCCGCTCCACTTAGTTGCCCTTCCGCCCCCTAAAGTGTACCAGCTCGGAAATCCCTCTTCACCATGACCCTGATCAGCCCATAACTAGCTTAGTTGTGCAGCATATACAAGGAGAGGCCCACAGCCCCTAGCATGAACTTCCAGGAAGTGGCAGATTGGCTCATTGCATTTGATGTATTTTCGGCCGCAGCAGCTTGGCCAGATGAAGGCTCTCCACCATTCTCCGAATCTTTCGTGTTGGAATCGGATGGTTTGTCATTGGATGGTTTGTCGTTGGATGGCTTGCCATCGGATGACTTTTTGTCACTGGTTTCCGAAGATGTTGCGCTCGAAACCAAAGGTTTTGCGCTCGACCATAGCTGGCTTTGGAATGATGTGAGATGGTTGAAAGTTTCTTCTATCGTTCCTTTGCTGGGCAGTGTAGAGTTGGTTGGGACAGGGCCCATATTTGTAGAAAGTGATTCGCGCAACACTTGAGATAGATCGTCGGCGGCATTATCCACGGCTGCAAGCGCGCGACCGTAAGAGCGCATGGCATTTCCATACGTGTATGTATCATCAACTGGGCTCAGGCATTCTGCGTCATTTTCGCAGAAAGCTTCACGCAAGCCCTGCTGGGTACGGAAAGTAGCTGTAGATTTGGCAAAGCCGGCAACTGCGGTCTCCCATTCCTTCGCCTTGTTTGTCTAAGCGGCGTTAGTAATCAATTTTTGCCCACTAATCACACACGAGGGACAGCGACTTACGATGTTATACATGACTGCAGCCCCTTCGGTGTAAGTGGCGTGACGGTTAATCCATTCCTCCTTGTTAATCGCGAGGCATTCTTGTGTGGCATCGGCTTCGGAAAACACACGGAAAAATTCATCAACCAACTTAGTGCCTTGGGCCCACTTGAACGATTTTTCAGCCCAATCCTGATGTGTCTTGTTGCCTGTGAAGCGAGCAAGTCGTGCAGAGAGTAAGAAGAAGTTTCCGTTCCCGCCACTCTCTTTTACGTCGAATTCCGGAAGTTCAGGGTTCATGACAAGATTCAAGCCGCCTTTGCAGATCTGGGTCCAGCGACTGGCTTGGTCATCGAAAACAAGTTGGGCGAGATCGATCCACTTGCTGATCTTACGACCATCTGAGGAGGTCTCTGGCATCTTCAAATCAATCTCAGCGGCCGTCATAGCAGCGAGACCCCAGGAACTCTGATCCCAGTTCGCGATTTCACCGTCACCATCTTTTGGCAGGAAGGGCGCCACTTTCTCGTCCAGTGGACCTATCAGGGACGATACGACAAGATCATTATGCTTGGTGTCACCAGTCAAGTGACCATCTATACAAATATGTTAGTCCGTATAAGCATAGGGTACGAGTGAGAATATCCGCATAATCAATCGAAGACCCATGTAGAGTGTCGCGAGCAGTTTGGTGATTGCATGGACTTGGAGCTTGTAGGCAGATCACGATGTCGTCGCAATTGTCTTGGGCTGGGTCCATCGATGATCGATCGTAATACTCCACATCGTCGGGTTCTCGCAGCAACTTACATTCAAGCAAAGAGTTCCATATATCTCCAGTTCTTCCAAAGGTCTGTGCAGCCAATGGGAAAATACCTGGTTCCTGATTTTTCGAAGCAGATGTGGTGTAAAACTGTACAAGTATGTCGGCCATTCTAGTGGAAAAAGCAAGTATCTCCTCTGTATTAAATGGTCAGTCTCAAGATATTTTACTTGACCATCAGAAGTTCAAAGCCTACCCTTATCAGCCGACGGAGATGTTTGCGCAAATGTTGACCCGGGAAAGGCGACAAGCGCAAGGGACAAAAATTGAAGTGAAGAATGCATCTTGTCAAAAGATTATTGTAGAAGAGAAAGTAAATATGAGTAGAGAGAAGAAATGTTGAATGCGATCTGCCGAGTTGAGGTTTGCCGTTTGACCATCTAGATATAATGATTAAGTTTGTGTGCTGCCAAGCTGACGCTGTGCGATGGCTGGTGATATTTGAAACGGCCCCCAAGTGCTGGCTGGTAGCAATTGACTATGTCGACACCTGGGTTTAGCAACCGACACCTTCGCTTATACTGAACCACATATACGAGCTGTAGCCAAGCCATATTCTGCCTCAAAACCCTTTGGAAAACCTGGAGTTGAGGCAAGGCAAACGGTTCTTAAACGTTTGCCTCCTACACAATGTTTCGATATAGCCAAGTCGAACATCCCTTTCTGGGCTTTTTTGTTTCTGTTATTGGGAGTTTGAGAGATCGTGACCGGGTTTCTCACACCCGTACATTATGTTTTCACAGCCTGTCTCATACAATCACAGAAATATCATTTACCCAACTGGCCCTCCCAACTCCGAAGGGTATCGTCTGCAATACTGACTTCCGAGGTCAATCCATGAATTTACTTTCCGCACGACGCAAGTTTCAGCGCAGCAACGATCATCTGTTGACAAGTCCTTCGACATATCTTGAGTACAAAATCTGTTTCCGATCATGATTTGACGGGTATACTAACCGTTCCTGAAGGCACAAATGTGACTCCCTGTTGATCCTAATGGGGAAGAAGTCTAGTGCGCAAAAGTACTTCAGATAATTTGGTACTCGGCACTACTACTTTACGCAAACTGCATTCCAGATATTCGTAAATTACATTGCAAAGAGTCTCGGTTTATATTTCATAGAATGGGGTATATAGAATGCGAATGTGAAATAGCCCTTCCACACTCGAATTAAGACGGCTATTCATGGCCATTACCACTTAGGCGATACTTGAAGACGATTCAGGCCGCTACCCCAAGGAGATCAGGACTCGGTATGTATGAGTGACATACGCTGATACAAGTGGCGCAGTACAGCCTGCAGAAAACCCAAACAATAGATATAGAGGGTGTTGAAATATGCTGGTACAATTTCCTTCGAGGATTGTGGTTGTTGAAACATACTATGCAGCTCTCACAATTGTCTATGTGCCTCATGTCTAATTCTCGGCACGCACTCCCTCATTGTCATCGGCAGGTTCAGCATCAGATTTTAATTGGAAGACTGCTATGTCCTACTCACGGATTACACGATCAAAAGTGTCGGTGTCCACGCGGGAAGTCGGACCTCGGACCTCGCCCGTATGTCAAACACTCAAAGGAACGGGCTACGGAAGACGGCACACAGCGCAGCCGTCACTTAGCCCCGACATAGCGTTTCATTGTACCGAACACGCGCAAGGATGCCATCTGGCCCTCCATACAATGGCAGATTAGCGAGCCAATGAAATGAGGACATGGGGGCCAACTTCGGGTAGTATTACCCTTAGTCTATCCGCAAAGATGGCTATTCATGTAGTGTAAGCTCTATGTGCGGAATTTGGCGGCAATGAAAACAGATGAGTTTCATGCAGCCAATGGGCGTACACTGATTTAACACCCCTAAGTAAAGGGCAAATACTAAAAAAGCCGAAAACCACTCGCGGATCCACGGTACAACTACATTCAACAATCTCAACGTTCCAATTAGAATAGGAACGGAGCTCCTGAGACATTGTTTATTACGAATAGATGTGGATAAGTATATGCTCCAATTCGGTGGAAGGCTACCCAGCTCTGGTACACAGAATATTGGCAGGCGAATGGTTTGAAGCCCATTGCCGAACAAAAACGCACGCCCATGTCATGACATTACGTTTAACAAACATATGACTGAATCCATTAAGAAAAACTCATATATTCTGCAACTATTAAAGAATGCTCGTCTTCTGCGTATTGCAACCCATCGCGCTGCTGGTTCGCAACAACTTCCCTCTACCGGCTACTCACGACAAAGCCATGGAATCACCGAAAATCATAGGTGATTTTGAGAATGAACATGGGCGGCTGTAAGTTTGTCGGCCTCAGAAATTTACAATCATAATCTATAGCTAGCTAATCGAAGACAAAGGGCTTCCTGCTTCCGAGGAGAGTTTCCATTATTACAACTGCCGCCCGAAATTCGACAAATGGTATACAGATGGGTATTTCAAATCCCTTGCGGCTACTATCGAGTCGAAGCTACTTATGACCCGGGGCGCAATGGCCTTTTTCCTGATAAGATGTGGGTGCAAGTACCTCCTCATCATCTAGCTCTATTATCCACCTGCCGCCAAATATACGGAGAGGCTCATACAACGCCATTCAAATGCAATGGGTTCCAGTTTTGGCATAATTGGCCCATTCTATCGTGGCTTGAGGCTATTCCGAATGTTCGACAGCGACTTTCCATAATGAAAATCAACATCATCATGAGCGACGATGAAGCTTTGTATTATACAATACCAGAGCTTTGGCCACTATCACGTCATAACCTCAGCAGGATTGCAGAGGTATCCGGGAATATTACTATCAGCCTGTCCTTACATACGATGTCGTCATTTTGTTGCGATTATTCTTCCTGGTCTGGAGATCGAAAAAGTTACGAAACCCAGCTCTGTGAGCATATCGATAACGCATGGTGTAAAAGACTACGGGACACCGTCGAGCTGGCCGCAAGAGCGGATCTTCCGGAAAATAGTCCGAAGATAGTGTTCAACAAGATGTGTAATTCTGTACCAATGGAGACTTGCGCAGCTTACGAATGCTTCCCATCATTCAGCAAATGATTCGGTTGATGCGGCTATTGACAAGAATGGGGTTAAAGTGGTGTCAAAATTTTGTAACTGGCGTATGGCAATTTCCTTAGGAGGAGAATTGATCATGGACTTTCCACACAGGCAATGACTGGGATAGAGGGAATGGCTCTTCACGTAATATCTACAATCGTATCATCGCTCAACAACCGTTTCTGATCAATAAAGTTCTGAACTCCCATGATCACTGAAGTATATTTTGTTCTAGTATCTTCAAGTAGTTGTTCAACTTAGATGCGTCTAACTTTAAGTGCATATATAAATACATTATACTACATTAATAGACATTTGTGATGTTATTTTCCATTCTTCAGTGGCGCAACTGCACTACCAAACCGATTAGATTTTGTGATAGTTAGGCGACCTTCGTTGGTTATTAGAAGTGGCTTGTGTATCTGGTTAGAGGGCAAAGTGCAAGACATGCAAACACAAACAGGGACGACCTTCTCTATACTTAAGGGTCTTCACTCACTCTGCTACCTTTCTCGCACTGAACTTTGCAACCACACAACTCAACCCTTACATAAGCAACTTCACTCGGTCAAACTATGTGAATTACACCTGCAAGCGTCAACAGGAATTGAAATACTGCTCGACTGAAACACCTCAGAAGTTCACTCGAATACCGAGGACTCTGGATCAATACCCAATATCAACCCTGCTCGGCCGCGCTCAAGTGTGCTCACTCCCACGAGCCAAGCTCCCTTCCCTGGATAACACCGATACATTTGACGGTCAACATTCAAAATCCCGCTCACTCAAATTCACAACCTAAGTCAACACAACCGTGTAAACTGCTACCTCTCTGCCTTGGGCCCTTGGAATGTCTGGTTCCTCTGAACAACCCATCGTGATGGATGTGCAGCGAGCTGTACGCACTGAAGATGAGTGTCTTGATATGTAAGCCTCACATTGTTCTATTATTAATTACGACTAGTACTAATGTCTAAAAGCTCCAAGAACAACCAACTCCAATCACCATTACTTCGATTGCCCCCAGAGCTACGCAATCGTATCTACAAATATGCTCTTGGTGGGAAAAAGCTTCGACCCGCTGGCTTCATCCACCGCATCAAATACGAGCAAAACGGACGTGTGACTCCACCGAACTTTGTCGCACTACTATCTGTATGCCGACAGATCTACGCTGAAGCTCGCCTTTACCCTTTCCTTTTGAACACTTTCGAGTTCATCAACACAGAGGTCGAGCACATCGATGAATTTGCGGTTTTTCTCACGACACAACAGCAGCAATCGGTGAAGAGCGTAACCATGGGTATCGTGGAGGAGAATCGAGATGGTGGAGGATCCTGGTGGTATACGGACAACAAGCCCGTATGGTGGGTGGTCGCTCACGGAATTCCTGATGCCCGCAAGGATTTGCGTGACATGTTCCCATGCGTCGAAAAATTGATCATCGAGAATCACTACCTGGTTCCCACCCGCGAAGAGGATAAGAAGATCGACGCGTCAATCTTTCAAAAGATAATCCTGAGGGAGGAGGTCCCATTTGACACCGAATTCGCTATCTGCAATTGCAAGGATACACTGGAAGAGAAGCACCATGCATCGCTTGAAAAGATGCTGAATGCAAAGGATAAGCGACCACTTCATTGCTGTGGGGATATGGAGTAGGACCCTGTTGTTCTACGGGAGGATAAGAGTTGATCGTTAGCATTGGACGGCTTCTGTGACTTTGTTGTTGGATTCCGGCGTTGATATCAGGACATGGCGATCGATGAGATCCGGTATGACATAGCTCAGGAGAAACATCAAATTATTGCCTTAAGTCCAGGAACATTCACAGGAAAATGTGCATCTCTTTCTATGAGCTTAATTCTGGATTTTTTAACAACCTGCGGAAGGTATGTTGATACACTGGTCCACGCCATATTCATGTAGAAAATGTAGTGGATACAAGATATTGGGATGCGCCAGGCCCCATAGTTCACGAATTCTAGAGATAAGACAGATAAGTATGGCATGAATTGTACATAACGACAGCGCATGTGAGAGAGCTGAAATGCGGTGCCAACATTTGTTAGAGTGAATGCGCTTAGTATAGTGGAGCTTTCAGGCGAGCAGAGAGGAAAGACACATGACTCACGTGATGTCACGTGAAGCGGCCAAGCTTCCAAGTGAATGTTTGCGTAATACATAATCACCTGCGCACCTGTCACCCAGCGTGTGCGCGCTGAATATATATACCCTGGTCTACCTCATCAGAGCAATCTACCTTCTTAGAATCAAGGCAGTGGGATCACCGACGGTCGAACACAAAGGTAAATAGATCTGTTCCTATTGAACGACTCTCGCTCTTTCGCGACCTGTCGTCATAGCTGGTATCTGATATGTGTGGAATTCTCTGAGCGCTTTAGCAGACATGAAAATTCCGAAACTCGAGCATCGCGACGGCGAAACGGCCCCTCAAACCGCCCAATCAGCTACAAAACCACCTCTCTTGCGACTACCCCCAGAGATTCGGAATCAAATCTACGAGCTCGTGCTGGGTGGGAACGAATTCTGCTTCGGAAAATCCAGTGATAAATTCCCGCTGCCAGCAAACTTTCTGGCACTGCTGCTAGTAAATCGCCAGATCTGGGCTGAAGCTCGTGACATTCCATTCAAGTCGAACAAGTTCGACTTTCGCGAGGCCGGGCGCAGTGTGTTGTGGCATTTCACTGACGACCTCTCTAGACAACAGCGCATGTGGATCAATGACATCAGAGTGCATCAAAATGTTGACGGTCTATCTTTCAAAAAGCCGAAATATGTCAACTTTAACAACGATGGCACGATGGTAACGGAAGATGGGAAGGGTGTCTGGAACTACTTTACCATACCCGAGTTGTTTCCAGCAGTCAGGACTTGATATTATGCTCTTTTCTGCCAGCCGCAGCTCGAACTGTGGAAGAATGACATCGGGCAGCGCACTTCTAGGCGCTGGCTCCTGTGGAAAGGGACAATGTCTTGGAAGTCAACCACAATCATGTGAGATTAACGGAGGCTCCAAGCCAAATGATATGCACTGCTACAGGATGATTTCTCGGGAGATATGCTACCGCGCAGGCTTAATAAGAGCGGAGAGGGTTCATGAAGGAGGCATTGCGTTCATACGGATGTTTTCACACAGTTGATAGAGCCGGTCTCCGATTAGAGCCATCGTGCATAAGATAGTGAGAAATCAATGTAATGATAATAGACGAATTTTCAGTGACAGTGAAAAATTCGCTAATTGAGCCAATCAAAGTATTCGAACTTGTCGCATCTCACTTGGTCGTTGGAAGTGAGAGCGATCGACCGTTATATACATGTGAGTGAGAGCGATAAGCTTAGGGCTGTTTGTACCCCTACTTTCATCAGCTCGGACGCCTCACCGTGCAAACTAGTGGTAATTCACAGTTACTATATAAATATCGTTCTGCGCATGCCACTTCGTCTTTTACCTTTTGCCCACCGATTTCAACCCTAGGTGCTCTTACAACTTATCCACATGCCAACGAGATCCCCAATCAATTCCTCATCAATAAATCAAACCGCCTTCCAAACAACAAATATGCCCGATCACGGAAAAAATGTGAGAGCATACATGGCCCCGAAGAAATCGGATCCCTACGATATGTCGGATTTGTTGGCTGCACTGCCACAACTGGACATGGTACCATGTCCAAACCACGAAGCCACTACACCCGCACGCGACATCGAACCAGCCCGCCCAAAGCCATTGAGGGGAAGACGACCACAAGAACCCGAGACAGCCGCAGAACCTACCATGGATGAAATGTGGAACGAGATGTTCGACAACCTCGTCGCCAACAACCCATCACCCCTACTCCGCCTCCCGCCAGAAATCCGCACCCTAATCTGGAAATTCGTCGTGGGTGGGAATGTTTTTATACTAAGAGAATCCCGTGAAGAATGCGCCGATCCGCGTCCCGCACGCCAACGCAATATCCGGGCGCTATCTCTCGTTAATCGGCAAGTCCGCGACGAAACACGGGGGATTCCATTCGCGTGTACATCGTACGATTTTACCGGCGCGAGTGTGAGCTGCATTATTCGTTTTGCGGAGTCGTTGTCTGAATTAGGCCGTGCGACTATCACATATCCAAAGGACTTATCTGTGACGGTGGTGCGAGATGATCGGATGAATTGCGAATATTGGGGTAATTTCAGATATTATTATACGATGAAAGGGAGGACTTCTTTTACTGTTGGGGAGTTGTTTTCCATGGTAGAAGAACATGTACGCCGTCATACTCATACGACGATTAGTCATTTGTATGATCCGAACTTTCACGGGTATTTGGAATCTCGGTGGCGTGATAGTTGAGATCGTGGGGAAAAATTCCTAGCTGGTGCAATTGAGGGACAATTCGGGATTTTGATGGGAAGAGAGTAAGCTACAGAATGAAAGGGGAAACAGGAAGATTGTGGACAGGGATCGCGAATCTTCTGACAATGGAATGCTTCAACAGGATGGGCATCCGATGGGATGATGTACGTAATGGCACTTGTGAGTAATTCACGCTAACTTACAGCTTTACAACTTTCTTTTTAGTTTTTAATAATATATCAATACTACCTGTAATATAACACTACTAGTTTTGAGCGTGTTTCTGGTGTTCTTGCATTGAGCTTGCGTGATATTGACTTTATATGTTATTATCCGACTTTTACGTTCCCAGAAGAGCCAGCCTTTCATATATTCAACTGCACACATAGCAGGACTGACTGGGCAGACCGAGTTAAAGCCGGTCATTGCCTTGGTATATTGCCAACTGCGGAAGTGATCTGCTTCTTGTTCTTCTCGCCGTCGCAGAGGATCGTCTCCAGGAAGTTTGAAGATCCTAGGTACACGACACGTAAGGTGAAAGCCCCAGGCCGCTAGTTTCGAGTAGGCTGGGAAATGGGCTGTGGTCTGGTATCATAGTATAATGGACCAGCCTAGCTTTGAGATTGAGAGCCCTACGTCCGATGAATGTCAGTGTTGACAGAATGAGCAATCGTGTGTTTGTGCCGGATCTCATTCATCGACAACGACTAACATCACTAAGTGAATACTTCGCAATACAGCTCTCTGTTGTTTTGCTTTGTAAGATATGTCCATGATGTCAGAGCAATTTAGATCACGTATTTGTTAGATCGTTGATGTCACGCTGAATAGACATTCGGCACTACTCGAGTCTGATTTCCCACAGTTCAGCTCCTTCTAATGTCTCAAGTACATCATATAGCTCTCGTTGACGGGAGTAGACACTGCGCCGGCCACCCTGACTTCGCACCCGGCGTCAGTAGGCCCACCTCAGGCGAGTTAGCGTGTGCATGCAAGCGCGGGCTGCAGATGCCAAGGGCCAGAAGACTGTGAATGCGCTGATTGCTAAGGCGAAGACAAGCAGACGGACAGGCGACCAAGCATTCACTTGTGCTGAATTGGCGCCTGAAACGATGGAAGAGTAAGTAAAGATTGAAGCATCACCTACATCAAACTCTTGAGTCTTGGCCTCGGGACGTTTTGTGTAGATCCTTGGAACACATATTTCTGGGAGGGGAGTATATTTGCTGCTTGAGATGTCTACTTTTGGATGGAGGATCGGGGGTTGAGGGGTTGAATGCGGCTAATCTACGGGTCGCGTCCCATGGGTTTGGTCGCGTCGCGATCATTGGAGGATGTATATAGCAACGGTCTGATATATAATGTGATGGTCGTGTGACCTGTTTCCTTTTATGGGCAGTATGGGAAAAAGAAAGTACGGTAGCTATATGCAGGGAGCTCCAAAAAAGGAACAATGAGGCAGCTGTCGTTGCTTCACGTGAAGCAAAAGCGGTTTGGCACTGTCCCGGAGGCTGAACACCAAACGGATTTCGCGATTGCCCAACGTGGTTGACGCCAGGGCTATCTCCATGTCACCACTGCAAATCTTTACATTTTCGAATCCAGCGACACCTGACGGAAACCGCGATGAAATGCTCGGCGTTGCTTGGTCGGATTGGGTGGGCTGAGGTGGGAATGGAGCTGGGAGCATGTGATTGGCTGTCGGGACGGAGCAATGTTTAACCGAGCCGCCGATCGCAAATCGAAACATCAACGCCGCACGGACAAGCTTGGAACATGGGAATTGAGCCTACACGTGGGATACGCAACAACACTGATAGGTAAGAGGGCATACAGCCTTCTTATACTGCTGGTGTCATCAATGATGGCATTCTCATCGACAAACCCCGAAAGGAGCTGCAGGATCCCGTCCAAAGTGCCGGTATCCGCTGTCGTGTGCCCTCTTGCTAGTTTTTCACTCGTATCGACAGCCAAGCCGTTGCTTGCCAGAGTCGCCCAGAACAAGACCTTGGCGCTCCGCCCCTATGCGATTCCAGACGCAAACCACGTTGTGAAATGCCCGCCTGTGATTCGTTTCAGAATTTGACATCTTTGCCTCCCCAAGCGGTGCCAATACTCCTTAGGCGGAACGTCCAAGCCCCGTGGAAACTCTTCTGTGGGAACATCCAAGCCTGACTCGAACCATCTGGCCAATGGAATATTGTATTTTCTCCTTGGCTTCGGTGGAGATCATCAGGCTCCTGGACCTGGACAGGCGTAGAGAATGGTCGTTGAACGACCAGGCAATGGGAAATATGCGGACCATGGCAGTGGTTAAAGAGACCCAGATCGTCTTGCTTCTGATCAGCCAGTTCCTCCATCCATCGCTTTCTCTGAACTCGTCAGAAATCTGAGGATTCTTCACTTCCTCTTCTCCCATCCTTGCGAGATCTGCCCGTCATGGCTCCGGTACTCCAGAAGTACAGCTGGATTCTTGCAATCACCTCCATCGCCTTCGTCTTCTCCTCCGCTTCCAATGGCGCCAACGATGTCGCAAACTCGTACGCCACCTCCGTCGCGGCCCAGACGTTGAAGATGTGGCAAGCTGGCATCCTTGCCTGCTTCACAGAGTTCATCGGTGCTGTCGCTCTAGGGTCAAAAGTCACTAGCACTATCAAGAGCGGTGTCTTTGGCTTGACCAAGTTCCAACCTGCACCTCCGACATTTATGCTCGTAATGGGATGTGCCGAGGTCGGCAGTGCCGTCTTTCTCACCATCGCTACCATTTACGGTATGCCCGTGAGCACTACCCAGACGGTCGTCGGTGCGCTCGCTGGTGCAGGTATCGCAGCCCAAACACCTCTCAAGTGGGCATGGAGCAGTGGCAGTCTTTCTCAGATTGCTGCCTCTTGGGCTATCGCACCGCTTCTATCCGCCGGTATCTCCGCCGTCCTCTTCCTCACCGTCAAGTATCTTGTATTGGAGAGGAAAGATCCCTTGAAGTGGGGTCTCCGTTTGGTTCCTTGGTATTTCGCTTTCACTGCCGGCACTCTCGTTCTGTTCATCCTCTCTGAATTACCAAATGGCGAATCATTTGAGGAAATGGGCGCGGGTATGGTCACTGGTATCATTCTAGGGTCTGCCGCTGGAGTTCTGGTCATTGGCTACCTCTTCTTCGTTCCCTACTTCCATCGCCGTCTTGTCAAGGGCGACCCTCGGATGCGACCTTGGCACATTCCGCTTGGTGTTCTACTGTACCGAGAAAACCCTCCCGTCTATTACCCCGGCAAGGGCGACCAGATTGTGACCGACTACTATGCGAAGTCTTCGGTTGAAGATACACCCAAAGACCTCGAGAAGTCTCCCGCAAAAGAGGATGCCAAACCAGAGGGCCACAGCGACGGTACCTCTTCTGCCGTCGACACAAACAATGACTCCGTGGAGCGAGCCCCGACTGGTCTTTCGGTACCTGTCATCAACTCAAAGAGAGACAGCCACTCTCGACCTATGTCGCGAAAGCCCGAGCCGAGAGAGCGCTGGTTGACTCCCGTCAGCCATCTACCTTTCTACTCCCCCAAGAAGCTAGTCAACTGGGGAAAGTACATTCTCCTTCAGGGTGTTTGCCGCGATGTTGTCACACAAAAGAGTACGTTGTCACTTCCACTGTAATATCGTGTCATTGCTAACATTCGAGTCAGACCTCGGAGCTGTCCACGCACGCGCAACCGTGTATGACAATCGCGTCGAGCATCTCTGGACCTACCTTCAAATCGCATCCGCCATGATGATGTCCATCGCTCACGGTTCCAACGATGGTAAGTCAACACTTACCTTACAATATCCTCGTCATTTGCTAAGTATTTCCCTACAGTTGCGAACGCCGTCGGCCCCTGGGTTGCCAGTTACAACACATACGTCACCGGCGAAGTCACCGCCAAAGCCGACACCCCCATCTGGATCCTCGTCATCGCCGGTCTCCTCCTCGGTCTCGGCTTCTGGGGTAAGTCTTTCCCACAACTCCATCCTCCAAAAAAGAGACATTATAGCTAACCGCCCCACACAGTCTACGGCTTCAACGTCATGCGCTCCCTGGGCAACAAGATCACCCAAGTCTCTCCTACCCGCGGTTTCGCCATGGAACTCGGCGCCGCCATCACCGTCCTCCTCGCCAGCCATCTCGGGCTCCCCGTCAGCACCACCCAGTGTCTCACCGGCGCCACCATCGGTGTCGCATTGTGCAACTGGGATATCCGCGCCGTCAACTGGAAGCAAATCGCTTTCATCTTCTCGTCGTGGATCATCACCTTGCCTAGCGCTGGGTTGATTTCGGGCTTGCTCATGGGTATGGCGTTGAACACGCCGCACTTCTAGGATACGTGTAGCTTAGCGTTTATGTTTGTTGCTGTTTTTTTTTTCGGTTTAATCTGAAGGTATATACTATCTTTGATTAGAGAAATCATAACCCAGCTTGTTCATCGATACTGATCATCGTGATGTAATTCCCTCGTGGCTCTGTCTCCCACTCTCGACTAACCCCCATCAGTTGCAGTCGCGCTGTTTGTCGCAATCGCTGCCTCGTGCTCCCTGCGTGGCTCTTCCTGAGCTGAGCGCAATCGGCACTACTTAGGTGCATTCAAATGTTCAAATGTGTTGCCATGCGCACGTGCAGCGAGAACGTAATAATAAATCATCCAATCCATCAAGGGATGGACCTACCATTAATACATTCGTCTTTAACAATAGATATATAAAGATTATATGACTGCATGAAGTTTCTGAGTTTTTTTCTCTCGTGATATTGTATTTGTAGCCTGCATATCAGTCTAGACATGCGCGTTAATGTTGGAATATGTAGGCAAGTGTTTCCACTGTAGAACACCCCCTGTCTATACGAGACTCGCGATTAGTGTGGGTGCGCGTGGGAGGAGATGAGATTAATGATGAAGCGTTGGTTCTTCAGTGTTGTTTTTTTAGCTATTGTTTAGTAACGACATCTGGAGGATTTGGAGAGGTTCAACATCCAATCACCATTTTGTCCCAATGCCAAGCCCCGCAATGCTTGGCAGGGTTCGGAATGGTGCACATCGTTTTGTTGATCGCTAACCGGTTTGATTCTTCAGCTGTGCCATCCGGGCAGCAGGACTGTCCTTCATTCAAGTGCTTACACCAAGCAGCATCATTATATCACGTAAGAACCATGCAGTTATGTGGCACCTGGCGGGCGTACGTCGACTCAGCCAAACTCACCAACTGCTGCCTAGTCCGCTACCTTCAACCAACACATAGCACTCATACACTCGACAAACCGTAGCATCACAAAATCGAAGCGAACAAAATATACTATGAGAATCCAACCGCGCATTTCAATCCTCGATTTCCCAGCTGAAATCCGTAATCGGATCTACCACTTCGTGTTCGTGCGCGAAAGCATCAGATTCAGAGTCAAGGGCCCTGCCGTTGGGGAGTGGGATACCGATGAATATGGCGACAAGAGCAATTTCCGAGAAACTGTCAGAACCAACGCGCCGCCGCTATATCTCAGTCTGCTGAGGACATGTCGCCAGATCTACCAGGAAGCGCGCCTCGTGCCTCTCGCGGGGAACGTTTTAGACATCAATGACGCTACCGTGTTGGCTTCGCTGGATCTGCTTTCTCTGGATCAGAAAGCGGCTGTGGCTACGGTTCTTGCGCCTGTTAGTCTCGATGCAGGGACGGGCGATATGATTCCCAATCGCACCGAGCAATCTCTCACGCTCTTGGAACTCGTGAAGCGCTACAGCGCTATCTTTCCCAACCTGCTTAACCTTGTGGTCGAGAGACATTTCAGGGTCGTTTGCTATGACGGTTCTGTAGATGCGTGGGAAGATTACTGCTTAACTAATGGTTTACCGGACTTTGGCTACTCTGCTTCTCCAGAGGATTTCAAAGCTTTTCTCCGAGAGCGTCACGATGCCACGGCTCGGCGAATCACTGAGACTGCGTTTAAGAACAAACCGATGATGATGGAGTGGCCGGACTTGGAGGTCCATTACATGGAGCATTACGACTGGGAAGGTCCAGATCTGGTGGAAGACATCGGGTTTATGGAACGCTTGAAGATGAATCTCGAGACGTGCTTTTGCTATAGATGCCACGTCACGCGGGTGAATTGGCGCGAGGATTACACATATGATGATAAATGCGTGTACACTTCGGAGCCGAGTTCTTATCCTTACTACATTGGCGAGCTTGATTTGGGGTATAAGTGATGGAAGGAAAGCAACCAAAGATATACCTATTTTGTAACCAGGCGCATGCGTCGCTTTTCAGCCTAGCCTTCACTTTGTAGTTGTTGCACCCGTGCCTTGCGCTGAAAGCAAAACAGCTCTTTTAGTAGACCTCAAGCTTATCCGTAACTGCCCGTTCTTATACACTCATTCGTATTATTATTTTTTTCTGAGTGCAGAAAACACTGCAACTTCGAATTTGGAAAACAGTCACATCGGTGAGGCTTCGTGAAGTGATGGACATCTTGAGCTGTTTAGCGTCGACTACCGCGTAGGCGAAGCAATAACATCGAGTAGTACTTACGTCAGTACCTAGTGGTAAATTTAGTTTTACGTGCAGGCACCGTGATTGGAATATACGAAATGCTAGTAAATATGCATTAGGTTACCGCGCTAGCGAGTGCCACCTACTCAGCTATCCAATCAACGCCGGGAACCTGCAAAGAGGAAGAAAAGGGAGAGAGTCCCTCAGGCACAACAACCCACCAGCATGTTAGGACACCGAAACGTCCAACCACAAACACAGCTCAACACGAACCACACGCAAAACCGTTCCCTAACCCATCATTCAAAAAAAAAATTTAATTGTGCCTAACCATACCCGCAAATATATACAAAACCCTCCTTTCTCTCAACCCCTACTACATCGACTCACTCACTCATAAGCCAACCCAAACTCCCTAACCCCACGATAAACCTCCGCCTGACTAGCCCCACTAACCTCCACGACCAAATCCTCGCTCTTAATCTCATAAACACCCGTCAGATTCGACGCCGGCGAAACAGGCTGGCTGACCTCAAACTTTAACCCGCCGTCCTCCGTCCGCGAGACGTCAAACGTGCGCGACGACTGCTCGCAGGGACCCTCTGTGACGGGCGGGAGCTTGCCGTCTGGGCTGGTGAGCGAGAGGGAGCATTTGACTGGGATCGTTTCGCCGGCGTTGGAGCGGACGACTTGGAATTGGTAGCTAGAATGGGTGTTAGCTGTTATGCGGCTTCTTTTTTTGGGATGGATGGATAGGTGGAGTGGGAGGAGTGGGAAGGGGGGGAGGGAAAAACGTACTTGCACATGACGCTGTGCGGGACGCAGTTTGCGTAGAACTCTGTGATGTCGTAGGCGTTTGTGTCGCGGGGCACGGCGGCTGCGGAGGCGGTTGTGGCTGCGAGGAGCGAGGTAGCTGCGAGACTGAAGAACTGCATCTTTTGAAGGATCCTTTGATTCTGGCGATTCAAGAAGTGTTTGTTTGGTAAAACTAATGTTGTTGTTGTTGTTGTTGCTGTGGATGTAGGTTGGAAGAGTTTGAGTGGGTTGATGAGACACCAAGAAACGATTGCCCACGCGCTCTTTATACGAAGTCGCTGCTGCTTGCTGTGCTTGATAGTCGTCATATGATTACCTGCTTGCCCCAGCTTAATGGGAAATGACTAGCGTTCGCCATCGTGCCAGTATTGACGTTTTGGCGTCCGTCGGGCCTATCTTCCTGGCTCTGGTTAGAAGCGCCGAAGCTCGAATTATTGGATCGAACCCTGAAACGGTATTGGATCAGCACACAACACCGCAAACCCGCAAAAAGTCCCTGCATGTCCTCTCTCGTGTTCCTTAGCGTCCAGCGTTTACCTATTTCCCGGTTTTCTTCCGTAGAAACATCGTCTATCTATCGAATATTCTGTTTCCATCCGTTTCTGCGATCCCGTGGTATCCGTTGTGGGGAAAGGAAGAAAAGAAACATTTACCTAACTTGCTCCACATATATACACTCCCACAATTGTAAACAGATCCTCCCTAATTCCCATCAACTAACAACTCACCAAGTCGCCTATCATGATGATGATTCTAGAAAGAAACCCACGCGCACCTCAGGCTACAAAAAAAAGTGTGGGGAATGATAAGTCATGCAATCATCCCATATATCGGGGCCGCAATTCAAGCCTCACCAAGCCCAAGCCAAGCGCGTGACATCATATCCAGCAGCGACCTCGGGAGTTTATTTATGTCTCGGCTAAGCCTAGAAGGGTTAGCTCGCCACGCAGGGTCTCCCGAGAATGTAACATCCTGATGTTGTAGGTCTGCCAGCCTGGCATTAGAACATTAATAGCGGGTATCAATTCGCCCCGAATGAAGAGTTGGATGGACGGGAAGGGTATGCACTGCCACCGTTTCTTGTTGTTGCTCTCTTTGTTGTTGGTACTAGCTGCGAAACGCTAGTTCTATTGCTTCGAGTATTGGATGACGTTGAGTAGATAGGTACAGGGGCGTTGGTTTTGTAGCTCTACAGGGACAGTATGACGGGCAAGTGGCATTGGATATAGGAGGGGCGTTAAGATTACTATTGGTCTTCTGGCGAAAGTATGTATCGAGCTATGCTACGCTAATGGAATCATGTGAAAAGGGAGCACAGCCACACATGTGGTTAGGACAAATGGTATATTACTATACCTCCCAGGGACTAAATTCTTTAATTGAACTAGGGTTACTTGCATTTCGAGACATACACATTACTTTTGCTTGGCTACAAATGGGCGCAATATTAACAATGAAAAGGATACATATTGACAGGAGAACATAGAAGGAAGACAGGAGAAGGGTATAATGCAGAGCAATAATAACACCCCCACACAAAACTAAAGCAGTACGGCCAAGCAAATGGCAAACAAGAAGAAATCCAAGCATCGATGCACCAGAACGCAAGAAACGGCGAGAGAGATCATGCGGCTTTCCCCTTGCCCTTCCCTTTGCCCTTATGTTTCTTCGAGGCCTTTCTCCCTAATCCACTAGCCACCAAACCCTTCTCTTTTCGCAACGTCTTGAGCGCCTCTTCAGTCAAGCCTTGACGGAACATTTGCTCGATGATCAGCTTCTTGCGACTCTTGCGATCGCCGACACTGATGGTGAGGCCGGCTGAGATGTTGCAGCTGATACTGCAGCTCAGGATGACAGCTGTCAGAGCCTTTGGGCGAACCTTGTAGTAGATTCCCCAGGTAGTGCCACCAAGCGCCATCTGGAACAGCGAATGGCAGTCGAGCAAGACCACAATGGCGATGAGGAGACGCACGGAGAAGGCATTGTGGGTGTAGGTTTCGTGGGGCTTATAGAAGGTATGCGAGTCTGCGAGTTTGTTCTGATGGTACTCGAGCTTCTGCTGCTCGGCAGGCCTAAGAACAGGCAGTTCAGTCTCGGGATCCGGGTTTTCATCTTTTTCCCAGGGGTGCGTATCCGAGCGATGTGGCAGCTCGTTGTGATCTTTGAGATCTGGAAGACCGCGTTCGCGACGGACTCGCCATGTCTTGTGCGCGTATTTGGCGACGAAAATCATGTGGTACGTGTCGATGAAACGCCAAGGGGCCATACCGATGCCGACCACGCAGAAGAGGGCTGTAAGAACTTGATCGCAGATCTCAATAAAGTAGGCCTGCCGACCGCCAACACTGACCCAGCCGATGAGGAAAAGCACCCACGCTAGACCGAAGAGAAAGAGGAGAAACGCGTAAAGGGTTACCATGAAGCCCAATGGTTTGCGCACATAACGTCCAAAGCCACGCATGCCACGTTTGAACTTCTCACGGCGCGAATGTAGCAGATGTCGGACGTGGTCGTTGAGCATAGCCTTCTCCTCGGCAGTCCAGCCGGGCAGAGAAGCACCATGTGGGAGGACAGCGTAGTTGTGACCCTGGCCCTCGGACATGCTGGTCATGACAGAGGTGATTGTATTTGTGGTTTGCAGGCGACTGGCAGGCGGGCGCAGTGTCGCAGTACCTTCATTATCACCATCGTTCCCAACGTCGTTGGCGTCGGCGTCGGCTGTGCCTTCGAGCTGCTGTAGCCGATCCTGGGGTGTCATGGCCATTCCCATTCCCATTCCCATTCCTTGCTCCTCGTCGCTCGAGCCCGAGGGCGATGGAGCAAAGTCGTACGTGGGTCGGCGGTTATAGAGCCATCCCAGGTTAGGAATGAAGAGGGAATTCTGCACATTGTTGAGAGTGGTGAGGGTCGAAACCTCGGGATCGATGACATCCAACAGATCCACCAGATCGGTTTCATAATCGCGAGACTCTTGGCCGTTGTGGTGAGGAGCGCGACGAAGATTGAAGGCCGAAGCTTGTCTGGGCATGGTTGGACGTCTTGGGTCCTTCGCAGGCACTACAGGAGGCAAGCGCGAAGCTTGAGGCACATTGCTGCTGGAGCCCTCCTCATGCAAGGTTTGCAAAGGGCGCGGTGTCGCAGTCATCTGGCGACGAATCTCCATATCATCGTGTGGGTTCAGCAGAGCCAGCGGCGGGCGTTGAGGCTCCGAACTGCTCCTCCTGCGACCTCCTCCCCATCCTCCCTCGTCGCTGTCGACATCGGAGGCCGGCGCAGGTGTCGGTGAAGGCGATGCGGCTTGCCGTCGAATGCCAATGGTTGAGGGGCGCGAGACGGGAGCTTGAGGTGGGCGAGCAAAGGGGCTATGGCTGGTAGTCGTCACCGTCGGATGGTGGTGCACGACGGTACCCGATGGCGGCGCATTCGACGTCGTGGTTGTTGAGGCTCTCCGGCCATCCCAGGTGTGACTTGTGGTGGTGGTCAGGGTAGGTCCCTGGTGATGAAATGTGGTGGTCGTGTTGTTATTACGGCTATTACCGTCATCGTTATCAATCGACTGTTGGGGGGAAGCCTGAGGGTTGAAGCCGTTGTTGGGACGCCCCGAGTTCATCGTGTTCACGGGTGGCGTGAATGTGCGAAGATGGAAGATGGGATCATGGTTCACGCGAACAGGTAATCGCTGGACTCTAGTGAATCGAGATGCATGTTCTGGGCGCAGGAGGGAAAAGTTGGTAGAGGCATGTTGGCGGTTGGGTGCAACAGTCCCTCTCCACAGATGACGATGGTTAAGGCGCCCACCGGCCAATAGCAAGCCCGTGCCCGTTGCCGGCTCCCGGCTCAGCTACTTTGGAAGAGATTGTCAATCAATCGTTCCCACGCACATAAGCCTCTATGAAACATGGGAAAACAGACATTCCCCATGCATAAAAATGGTCCCATCATCTGTTTCCCCAGTCTGTGCATGCATTGATCTGATAACTAGTCTCTGCGATTGATGTGATCCGGCACAAATACAATCAATTGATCAATTGATTGCCCATGGACGACTCGAGGTAGTACACCTATCATGAACAAAAGATAATCATTCTCCTGTATCGCCATCATCTCGGATCAACATGGAACATGCCGTTCTGGTCCCCTTTCTCGTGCAGCATCAACATTCGCCGCTAACAATGCCATCTCAGCAAATTTCCTTTCAAATCTTATATGCGGCCCCCTCACTTTTTTTTTGCTTGTGCAATCGCTTGTTTCTTTGATCTTTCTCGATCATATCTTGTGAAATTACCATTCTCTGTAAAATAACAAGGGGGTCACGATCGATAAGGCACCTGGGCTTACACCTCGATCGATCGATGACACGTGCCATCACGTGACATACATGTACGCATCTATTCAAACATTTGAATCCAGTCCTAGGGCGACTCACTTTTGTTTTATACTGTGTTATGTCAGAAATATTTGATTGGCATGACCGCAATTCAATGCATCACTTAGAATTTTCAATGTCATGTCAATCTGCCTCAGCGATCCCTCCCTATTGGCATCGAGCCATAATCATGGTTTCTGTATTGGTACATGGCCCGTCCACCCATTTCATCATATCTGCCTAGGTAGGCACTCATGTACGTTTACATTTCTAACCTACAGTTAATCGCGCATTGGACGACAGAGGAATATACGCATGGTTTCTGAAAAGCTACTATCCAGTGATGAATCAAACCCTCGTTCGTTAGCGTATGCATTGTTCAATTGGCTACATGACGATTTTCTGCGATACGGTCCATCTTAGTAATTGGGATCTGGCACAATACACGTACGGGGACGCTCAAGTTGCCTATAATCTATGAGATACATGTGCATTCTGCTATCTTAGAGTTCAGATATCTAAATACAGGCTTAAGCGAGGCTTATAACAGACATCAATCGATTGCACCACCTGCAATGCCAGGTGTTGATATGATTTTCGATTGGAAGTTGAGAAAGAGCAGCAATTGCTGCTAGGTAGAAACGAAATTCGAGCGGCCGTGATCCAACGCGCGAGATACCGGTCCCATGACACCCCCAAAGCAGGTCGTCTTTCACTGCTCTTGTAAAAAAGTGCGGAGTATAGCATCCAGAGAACGATCCGTTTTGCAGTCGGTCTGGATACTATACATATTGTGCTGCATCTGCCTGGCGATAAGCACTTGCGATGGTGTATTGGAATGCTTGCTGATTGGGACGCACGTACTTCTAGCCGGAAGTTTCCCAGCCCAACCGCCTTCTTCATCTCCCACCACAGTTCGCTAGGGTTGGAAATGCATTTCGCCGGCACAAACCACTTGTTGTGGTTCTCGGCGTCAATACACATTCGAAAAACAGTGCCAGTGTTGAAATTTTGTCGCTATCGCCGCGGCTTGGTCGTACATGGGATGTACAAAAATCGTCGATATAAAACAAAGTGTAGCAGGATGATGTTTGATTTTGTTGGCTCCAAATTGGATAGGAGTAGCGATTGTGTGTGAACCGTATGCGTCGGGCGAAAACAGGAGGTTTTATCGACAGAGCTTTATACATCTAGCATGTGACGAATCACGATGATTTTCGGAAATACTGCCTTCGTACATTGCCGCACATCCAAGGGCAATACAGATTACACCCGGACAGCCACTTCATAATAGATAATAAGGCGGGGGCAGAAGGAAGATCAGCCAATGGAATAGGACAAGGCATACGACGAGGCTAACCAGGCAAAGGGCTTCCTACCGGTCAAGACGTGAACAATGGGCAGATCGCGGAACTTGTAGCCGGTCAAAGTGCTTCCTGCCAGTCAAAGAGTGTACTATCGGTTAAGGAGCCTGTCGCCAGCCAAAGAGCTTCCTACCGGTCTGAAAGTCAGCACATAGAGGCAGAATTTGAAGATCACTGCAGTCCATAGAGCCTGGTTTTCTGCCTTGGGTTCTTTGACTCATTTTATTGTTGTCGTTTCTGAAGTATCCCTGCCACGTCTACTAGTATACTAGTATGAGGTGAGTCACGATCAATATCAAGCCGGTCGCAATACTTTCGCCTAGTCAGGGATATTGGAGTCAGGCTCATCAAGGCAGTGATGTTCAAATGGAAGTCCTCGCCGGTGACGAGTCGTTCCAGCGCGCGTATTGCACTGGTGATTCCGTGAGGTGCTAAGGTCGTTGACATGCGGGGAGGCCTTATGAGGCTTTGCGCGCAAGAGGCTGTGTGAGCCAATGCTTCCCTTTCGCGATAAAAGTATTTATCCCGTTTTGAAGTCCTTTAATTTGCGTTGGTATCTTGATGTGATAAGTGTATTCTATTGCCTATACCAGAAACATTACCCGACAAACAAGAAGGTCTGGAAACTGTGGGTCATAGTCCATGTCCTCCTCACGAATGGTGTTGCTTTTCTAATTTCAATAGGTGTCTATTGAAGGCTGGCCCATTGGGCGCGCCGTTACGCGGACATCTAGCTCTTTCGGAGGGCATGGTGTTATTGACACGGAATCAAGCATGGATGTTCCTCTGAGCTTTTCAACACCGAGGGGATTGGATATGTCGGGCAGCGTAGCTGCCGAGCCGGTTGAAATGGAAGGCACTGAGGATGATCAGCCCGGATCAGGCTCTCAAAATGAGAGAGATCCTCCGGTTCCTCTTGATCAAAGCATAAGGGGCTTCATGGTGAATGTTGGTGGAGAAGACAACTCAAAGTTTCTCCCCGCGAGCGAACTCGAGGAACTGATTACAGCAAAGAATGTCTCGAGAGAGCTCCATCGTATCCAGCTGTCTGGTGATATCCAAACGGTCACAACTAAAGTCCTTGAGGAGGGGCCAGCAGTCAATGGGGAATCGGCAACCCGAAAGAAGATTTTCGCCTTACTTTGTCTCATGGATAAGGTCAGATGGATCGTGAATTTCATCCAAGAGGGCATTTACGACTTTGAACTTCCCTTCCGATTTGAGAATGGCGGAATTTACCGCAAATTTGGGGCCAGAATTTTCCTCTTCGATGAATGGAAGCACCACGATCACTTCACATTCGAACATATGCAGGGACAGGTAATTGCACCATACTTCAAGTTTAACTTAATTACCGGGGATACGTACAGTCAATACTCGCTGCACAAGGATGTTGTACTGCCTTTCATTGAAGAGGCTACTGAACAAAGTGTGTATGGCGATCGTTTGATTGGCGGCACATCCGAAGTTCGCAAGGTCAGAATACATTCGGCGCACTATGAGCATACTGGTTCTGCAGTAAGAATTCCATCTCATATATTCTCACCAGTGTGACTAATAAGCGCAGATACCACAAACAATGGCTTACTTCGCGATCAAAATGATTCATAACATGGAGGCTGCCGAGGGGCCACCCACCCGCGAAATGGATGCGTATCGGCGGCTAAATCCGAAGCAACATCCGCATATCGTGCGTCTACTTGCGTCATATCACCATAAACGTAGGCGTCATTTGATATTCCCCTGGGCCGATGGTAATCTGTTCCATTTCTGGAGAGTCGGATACCCGGAGAGGAACAGTCCTTCCAGAGGGTCAGCTTTGGCGAAATGGCTAATAGGCCAATTCTTAGGCTTGTCGCAGGCTTTGGTCTGTATTCACGATTTGACATCTGAGAATCCTAGCCCCGGAGATTACAATAAAAAACATGGCAGGCATGGGGATCTGAAACCGGAAAATATTCTATGGTTTCGGTCTCCATCTAATCCAAATTCGACTGAGTCCTGGGGAACCCTGCAAATCTCAGACTTAGGTTCAACTGAGTTCCATGATACGATCTCGCAAAATGTCAGAGCCAGCAAAGTCGGTCATCATCCAGAGACTTACAAAGCGCCCGAATTCGACAAGATGCAGGAGGTATCACCAAAAGCTGACATTTGGTCTTTCGGATGCGTCTTATTGGAGTTCATTGTATGGTTCGCAAGCGGATATCAAGGCGTCGAAGACTTCTCTACTGCACGAAAAGACGACAGTAATCTGCTTGTGCCGGGTGATCACTTCTATGACTACCACAAAGCCGACCAAGCAGTCAGTGTGAAAAAGTCCGTCTCAGATGTAAGCAATACGATGGTCACCGCTAGATGTTGCATATGCTTATCTGAACAATAGCAATTCCAAAGCATTCATGATCTAGCTACCAGTGATCTGATAGTTGATCTCGCAGCCTTCATCGAGTCACGCATACTTTTAGCAGATCCGTCAGAACGCGCCACCTGCCAAGAAATCGAAACCAGATTTGCACGATTACAGAGACTCTGCAATGCATCAGACGACTACTGCACCAGGAGAACGATCAGACCGCCTGTCCGCTCATCAACTGGTGGATCCAATAAGGTCCCTGTATCGCTATCGGCAGAGCAGCTTGCAGCCTATGACGAAAATCTCAGAGATTCAGCCTCGCACCGCGCATTGTCGATCACCCCTAGTGCTTATGAGAACGATATGATCTCTGCAAGTGGGGGTACATTTTCCACACACTCAACCCAGCAAATTGTAGAGAAAGACAAGGTGGTGGGGCCATTGCGAGGTGAGCGTCCTACTCTTCGTGCGCGATTCCCAGAGCGGATGCGCAGAATCATCGAATCTTGCTTCAAAGCGGACATATTCTGATAAGACTTCATCTTTTTAATTCACGACCCATACGACCATTTTAATTTTCTTATCTATTCATCAAGTTTCAACGTTCTGTCCACCTCCCGTAATGTTTCATCTGTATTCGTATCTTTTTTCAACGTTACTACTATGGTAGCTATCCGAACTAGATTATTCAGTTTATTGAGATTCGATCTATCACCCCTCTGAGAACATGAACCATTTTGAAATAGTTCACGCGAAATAGTTCACGCTTTGACAATAAGTCCAAGTTGACCCGCTGATGTTCTTGGCTGTAAATCTACTGTACTTCTACTTTTCTCTTTCCCTTTGAAACCGACTTATTGTTGACCAGATCATTTGTAGCGCCAACTTGCATCGTCCCCGAAAACGGAACATGATCGACTGTTGCCCTTTCATTGCTCGACGTCTTGATCGTCTATACATCACAAAGTAATACCACAAACCCAACGTAGTTGCCGTGAATGTTATAGTGATTACCACGTATACCCACAGATGGCTTGAAACATGACTTTCTCCCATCGGATCACTCCAATCAAAAAAGGTCATCGAGAAAACAGTCTACACAATCAAATCAGCCCGATCACCAGGGGATATCAAAGAGATGACTTTCGCTTACAGCAAAAAAGGTACCAGGAAGAAAGATCATGGTGACAAGAGATATAGACTTCATGACACGAGATTCGCGGTTTGTGGCCAAGGCCATCTCAACGGCTGTCTCGCTATGAGACCATTGTGTTGCCATTTCCATCCCATCCAAACGCATCGAGCAATCCCTAATCTTTTCCTCATATTCTTCTTGAATAGCTAACAAGCGATTCCGTATCTTCTCCCCTACCAATTCCAGCGAAGAGGGTGATGCAAGTTTGTCAAAAAGGTCAACAAGCTCATTGCAGCTATCCACTCGCGATTCTCTGACAGCTATCGATGAGTGTGCACGCATTTTCGCAATCTGCATATTCCACGTGATCAACGAGTTCCGTAGATATGAGAGGTCGAGCCATGCCGTGCGTTTCTCTTCTCGGCGATGAATCTGCTGATCCGATGAGATGTCTTGAGTACCACCTTCTTGAATCTCTAATTCGAGAATTTTGTTCTCCACTAAGACAATGTTTGCTTCCACGAGGTTAATGTGCCGAACTAGTTCAATCTCTGCAACGATACCTGGCATCAAAAGTGGATGACATGCTTCTTCCTTGATGGCGCTCAATTGTTCAATGATGATGTGTTCCGCTATTGCAGTGCATCCGTACAAGATCGCGAATGTCAGATTTTGCGCTGGGTAATGTGTAGCCGACAGCGCTATATCTGAGGGCCAAGAGTTTGATGTGCGGCAATTGTAAACTAGCAGAATGGGTTCATTCGGTACTCGTCACTGTGGCGAGATATGACTTACCATATGCTTCTGCGCCCATAAAAACTTGCTCCGAAGCAAAACTTGGTACATCAGCCCGAGATATAGTTTTGACGATGCTAGTGTGAACGTGGAAGGTCTCGCAGATAGATTCGAATATGCCGGGAGAAAATGGTAAAGTCCGAACGCCTCGCTCTCGTGGAACACACTTTTCTTTATCTACGTGGAGGTTTGCACACGTTTTGTCTCTCAAACCGGCGAATGTCTGTGCGCGACGAACCCCGATCTTGGTGCTGTCTGCGTCATCTGTACGTGTAATCTGGAGCCAGTCATCGCAACTCATGCAAGAGGAAGTTGATCCAAGTGCACGTCTCTCACCCCCGCCCGCTTCGCGATTCTAAGACAATTTTGTAAGATTTATGGCTGTTGCAAGCAGGTACGGACAGACATTACATCAGAACCAGTCCGGATTCCGATGTTCTGTTTGGTGCCTCCTGAAAGTCGTGAGAACCTGTCTCTTAGAGGAAAGAGTTTGGCTGCTCACATCTTCCAACCATTGTGGCCAATCATTGTCTGTTTCAAGTGACCATACTTGGGATCGATACTGGCCACTCAAGTTAGACAAGGATTGCATTCAGCCGTGTTAGACACACCCCTTCACTCTTTAGTATCTTCACAACAAGCGTATCTCTACGCTCGTATTGAAATATATGATTGAAGCTGGCTATATTCTCGCCGAGGTAATCGTTATCATGCGCCCAGTTCATTGTTGGAATAATGCGTATGCGTAAAGATTAGGGGATTCTCAGTTGGCGCATAAAAGAGCGTACCAACCACAATACGAGTCCTCTCCCCGAGACCACCCGTACTATATAAATACAACGCTTTTCCACCGGTCAGAGAGCCGTGTGGGCAAGAGATCAGGCTTTATTCCACTTTGCATTGTTGAGGTGCGGGGCTTTGCTGCCAGGCAAACTGACGTGTTGCCCCGCTGCAGCTTGACCATTTGCGCAAACGAAGGAGGAGAGTGCCCATGACACTTCCCACAAGGCACCTTCTGCTTTCTATCATACTACTTATACATTTATTCAAATTTCGTCATCGCTATGATCGTGATTGTTGCCGCAAAATACATTGAAAGAGTTGCCCTGGAAAGCTTCCTGGCGAGCACATTTCCCGAGAAAAGAGTCTCAGTTGAGGTAAGCAGGTCAAAAGCGTATTGCAAAGCCTCTCTAACATGAATATAGTATAAAAGGGGACATTTTGAGTGTTCAATACCGCGGCAACTCAATACTGTATGTCCTTTGAGTTATCGCCGACGAAATTCAACTAAAGCAGGGAAGGATGAATACTGTGCCCTGACCCAGGTCGTCACTTTCAGTCATTATGCCGTGGGATAAGATTGATAGCCGAAGATATCTAGTACATCAGTCGTAAATCACATTGGGAAACATTTAGGTTACGCAAGAGGAATTAGTTGAAATCAAAGACTACGAAACTGTACAGGGAACCGCACACAATGGGCAAAGAAATGCTACATATGTCTTGCTGTGAAATAAATCGCCGAGACCTAACCGCCATTTCTAAGTTGCATTGTCTACGGTTGCAAGTTCCTGGGGGGTTTTCGAGCGTACAGTTGCTCCCTGATATGTGCTCAGACGTGGATTTCGAGAAGATATGATACGCATAGCTTCTCCGTTTAATTTCGCGTCAATCTTTTGTGGGATGGTTGGTTCGCGGCTTTTCGGGCAGGGATACTGGCAATACGAGTTTGTTATGTCGTCGACTTTGTCGCGCATTGCTTCAAGTTTTCGAAGTAGTTCATCAGACCGTATACGCTCCATACCAGCGATCGGAGGAATCACCATTTTGCTTTCGATCAAATCCAGAAGATCGTGGAAAAATTCAGTGCACATGGGTTTTCCGTGGAGTTGCGCGATGCACTGTGAATGGTCAGCCTGACATTTACGTGAGTGCCGATGACGAAACTGCTGACCTTGCTGACCTCGCTCTTCACGCCACATACGTAGCCAGAGCTTGATGCGCTCTTTTCAATCACGAAGAACGTATCAGTTTCCACTCTGTTGATGAAGGGAGTTGTGCGAGAGATCTTGAATTGCTCTCGGAGCTGTTGACCACCCATAGCCCAACAACACATCTCGAGAAGCAGACATCCAAATGTCCAGATATCATATGACCGAGAAATGATTCCACCTTGGAGATCACACTCCGGGCCTCTGTAGCCTGGTGTTACGGGTATTCCCTGACCTGGAATATTGGAGCGGCTTCTTGTCGAGTTGGATGTAGTCAGCCCAAGATCGGCAAGGACCAAAATGCCCTTGTCATCATCTTGAGATTTATACCAAAGAATGTTCTCCGGCTTGATGTCTCCGTGTCGGCCATACTTTTTGTTCGGGTGTAAGCTGGACTGAGAGTTGTGAATGGTGTAAATGGCCCCCGCCAAACCAACTATTTGATTCGCTAACCAACGAGTCGCGGGTATATCGGGATTTACGCCATTGACAGGGGCTGCCGTTTGCTTCCAGTAACGATCGAGATCTGTCTCAGCCCAGGGGAACAAGAGGTAATGGAGATTGTTATAATCCCATGTCATGAGAAGAGTCACAAGATGATCGTGAACTAAGCCACTGTATCTTTTGAGTGCAGTGACTTCCCTCCAGAAAGCTTGATCTTCCTTCGAATCACTATCTTTGCTCAAATGCACCCGCTTGAGAGCAAAATAGTCGTTAGTTAGGATCTGCCGAAGGTCAGCGAAAACAACTCTTCAATCAGTCATGCTGCAGGTCTTACCTTGCCGAGAATACCATGGAACCCGTGACAGTCCCCAGGAATATTAACTTTGAGGACTTCGCCATAACCTCCACTATTAACAGATTTCTCCTCAAGGAAAGGCAGGAACGTAGGTCGGTCGAATCTCTCGTGTCTGACGGCCGAATCAAGTCCCATGGATAGGAAAGGTGGATTGACGTAGCGCTGCCATCGAACAAAATCATCCCGTTTGCAAGGTCTCCATTTACTGAAACATGACAGTACTTGCGATGGCTCTGAAGCCCGTGCCAGAGGATTGCTTCCATTTTCTATCAGTACCAGAGGAAGACTGGCGTCGTCCAAACCCATAGCCTCGAGCTCGTTGAAGCATTTGTCTTTGTCGATGAGTATTAGGATTGCGTAGACCTTCACATGGTTTTTCAAAATCTTATCCGCGAAGGTTTCGATGTTTTTGATACGGGGTACTGATCTTGCAATCCTGCTCATGATGCGCTCTCTGCTCAACGTATCTCTAAGTTTTGTTTCAGACCAGAAAAATTCCTTTACTCCATTCTTGTGCGAATTGTGGCGCAGCAATATGTAAAGATCTTCGCTAGATTGGGGCTCGGACATCGAACGTTCAGTGATCTGAGAGTCATTCATGGCCACCTCAGATGATGATTGTTCCACGCGGATAGATGGCGGGGGCGGATCCTGACTCGGGTCGGGATGTTGTTGGCTCATGGAATAGTTCGAGTTAGATACACGCTCGTCGCTGCGGTTGGAAGGCGTGTTTGATTAGATATTCCCGTACTTTGAGTGTCGGTCTGGATTCAGCATGCGATGGAATTGTGAAGTTTCAAGTAACTCCAATTACTCAGAAATTGTGGTATTTATATAATCCTCCACAGCTGCTTTCGCCGGTCAATCCAGCCGCACGAACTACTGATGGCGAACTGTAGTTTAGGATGGATAACCTCCTCGCAGCCTCAAGATGCGGTGTAGCCTTTTGACGAGAAGAGTGATACAGGTGGGCTGAGGGAAGCAATGGGGAGCTGATCAGGCCAAGAGCCACAACTGCGCCGCGTTTCAATCAAGATGTTCAATCATAAGTCTCCAGTGTCCTCAAAGTGCACTCGGAAATCCGGTCAGCGTATCTATTCTATGCTCAGTACTCGATTTTTCGTATGTTTTGGCTCTCCCAGGCAGACAGGCGGTTCCGAGTTCGAAAAGCGCCGGTCACAGCTCATCCCCAGGCCAATTACAGAAAAAATGCCGTCAACTAGTGGCTCCAGGCAGAAAGATAGATTCTGATAGACCTCCTAGGCTCCGGTCAAGGTCTACCAGCCGGCAAGGCCGGAGCGACTGCGCAGTGCTTGAGTCTTACCGGACCATAGGATCGGGGGCAAATTCAACGGCCATTTCCATACCCGAGCAGGTGTTATCGGACGGATACGAGGAGTGCGAGGCCCTATCATCCACCCATGCGCACTCCAAGCACGACGTACTAGGGGGCTGAATGCCGCTAGATCACAGCTATGTATCGATATCGGAGTGGTTGTGTCGCGTTACACCGCGATGGACATTTCAATATCAGACGCGCAGAGCAAAATGTTCCCTGGCAAAACTAAGATACGTGCAAGACGTTGCGTTATCACCTCCAATAGGAAGTATTTAACAAGAGACAGCAGTTAAACATGTGGATCACGTTTTAGGTTTAGCCCTGAAGAGCCTAAGACCGGGCTGGAGATGATGATAACGGGAGATCGCTCATGGATTTCTCCAGGTAATCCGTGCATACAGGCGCATCGCCGGAAAGGATTAAGCGCCTAGTGTGAATGAAAGTAATCACACGCCAATACTAAGTCAACTATTGGATCATCGCATATTCTAGTATGCTCATGAGCTGCCTACCAATAGCTATCATCAACCCTTGCTCCAGCACCCATCTCCCGGATTAGGCAGGTAGATACTCTGAGATTGCCACCCAGTCCGAGCATAAATAGCCTCCCCCCTTCGGATGATTGCGATGTTTCACGTGCTGAGAATATCCCTTTTCGCTGGACAGCTCCCTCTCGCGCATCTAAGGATGACGCACCGGACATTAGCAACGAATGGCCCCCACCAAACATTGTTTACAGGGAGGTCATCAGTACCTCAGTACCTCCCATATAATGAGAACATGCGCTGCTTTTGATAATCGACGTAGCTGTTTCACCAGTTACTTCCATCGCTGCTTCTTTGATTGAGAGTCACGGTGTTTCGACGATATGAGATCTACAATCACCATCGCAGCTCTAAGCGCTGCTACTCTTGCGGTAATCATGCGCCCCTGCCCAGATACGGAGCTCTTAGCACTTTACAACCCAAGACCAGTTCTAGATGTAGTTTATCATTGCTCACAAAACTAATTTACAGACCGGAAAACCCGTCTCCTCTACCTCGTCCCTCAATCCCGGCAAATCCCTCATAGCGCGAACTGCAGATGGCATCTCCTCGTGCGGACCCGACTGGATGGCCATCGACAACGTAAAAACGAACAACAACGCCATAGAACGAAGAGGATACAATGGAGCCGTCGATCTTTTCTGTGCCAAAGCCGCTGGCCAAAATGTCGGAAAGGACAAGTTCCTTTCCATGGCGTCGCGTGTTTGGCTTGATTACGGTGGAAATCCGAGCACGACGGGGATCAACGGATATGTGTATTTTGAGATTCACAATAAGAAGGAAGAGGGTGGACATGTGGTGAATGGTATGATGACCTCCTTGCTGCGCGTTCTTTTCTTTCCTCCCACAATCGATCTACCTTATATCAATCCTCCCCTGTTATTATTCTCACCCTCCAGAAAGAAGAAGCACTGGTATAGAAAGACTCTCCGTAAGCTCGCTAACCCAGTAAACAATACTCTAGAAAACGATTGCAAAAAATACCTCACCACCCTCTCCGCCCCCAACTCCAAATGCTACGGCAAAGACAACGCAGACACAAAAGGCGGAACCTACCAAGTCGGCCCAGAATCAATCTCGTACCACGCGCTCGCCCAAAAATTCCCTCCATCCCCTCTATCCGCCCTCGACGCCCCCGTCCTCCTCGACACCGCAATCTCCGAACTCCCGAAATCACCATCCGGAAATACCTTCACCTCCTTCCCAACAAACGTCTTCAACGACATCACCCCGCTGAAATGCCACTCACACAACGACTACGAGCGCCCGCGCGCCCTCTACACCGCGCTAAGCACCGGCTGCATCTCCGTCGAAGCAGACGTCTGGGTGCAGAACAACAACATCCTCACTATATCGCATTCGTCGGACCCGGGCCCCAACGCGCAGTCCCTAACCGATCTATACATCGCGCCGCTCGTCAAACTCCTCGAAGCGAACAATGGCGCCGTGTTTCCGAAATCTCCAGACACGGGGTTGTACTTGCTCGTTGATTTCAAGTCGAGCGACGGCGCGAAGACGTTTGCGGCGCTGGTGGATAATCTGGCGCCGTTGAGGGAGAAGGGGTGGTTGTCGCACTTCGATTCTGTGTCCGGGAAGTTGGTGAAGAGGCAGGTTACGGTTATTGTGTCTGGGAATGCGCGGACGGGGATTTCGGGGGATGTGCCGGCGCCGATTGAGCAGGTTGAAGGGGAATCGACGAATCCGGGTCATGCTATTTTCGCGGACGCGGTGCTCGATCGGGATTTGAAGAATTTCAATGCGGGGAATGCGTTTTATGCGTCTGCTAAGTTTGCCGGGAAGGTGCCGTTGGAGCAAGGGACGTTGGATAAGATGAAGGAGGCGAAGGCGAAAGGGTTGTTGGTGAGGTATTGGGATATCCCTGGTGGGCGGGACAAGTGGCAGAAATTGGTTGATCAGGGGGTGGATTTGTTGGATGTCAGCGATTTGGAAGAGGTTGCGGGGGTGGATTTTCATTTGTGAGATATGATGAGATGGATTTTGAATTGTGTGATGGATGGAGAATTGGCTACGGTGGACACGCCATCTTTGGGCAGTCACCCCTGGAAAGGCATGAGGTTGATGAGGATCATGTAAAATGTTGACAAGTAGAGATATAAGTACCTAGCGAATAAAAGTAACGTGAACAAGCCAACAAATGGCTGATGAAGACAAAGTAAGTCTCTATGCACAGATCGGACAAGTGAACTTCACCCCACCGTGTCCATGTCTTATCCCGTCATCAACATCATGCCTAGAACTAGATGTCACTTCCCCTTCTATGGACCCAGCTCCAGCACCACCTCCTTTCTCCAGACACGCCCTGTGCCAAACATGCCGACAGGCAAACACAACCAAAGACATTGTCTTCTCTTTCCCCTCCCCACCATCATCTCCCTCCTCGATCTTTACACTTTTCCCCTTTCCCTTCCCACCGCTCTCCTCCTCCCTCCCTTCAGCTTTCTTGAGTGCATTCTCGCCCTCTCTCCGCCTCCACGCCTCCCAAACAGCACCACCGGTACCGGGCCCCCAACAGCGCTTCTTGCACCCCTCGCATACCTGTCCTCTAGGACGCCAGCCTTGTTGACGTAGCTGATGTAATTCTGCGACATTGACGAAGCCCTCTTTGTCGAGGAAGCGGTTTGCAAGGCTGAGGATGGTTTCTTCGAACGTATAAGCCGCGAAGATTTCGGCGAGGACGGTGCGCAGGTGTGAAAGGGAGGGGGAAGTGTGAGTTGCGCGAGTGAGGAAGGCGCGGAGAATGCGAAGGAAAGAGGGGTTTGTTTGGGGGTTATTTGTGCGGGAGCGGGGGTGAAGGGGCGGCCTTGCGTTGGCAGAGAGGGCCTGTGACTGTTTTTGTTGCTTTGGGGGTATAGTGGTCGAGGCGAGGAGGGCGGAAAATGTTTGTTGGACGGCGGAACGTAGAGTGGTGGTAATCTCGCCTGTATCAATGGGTTGCTGTAGTGTAGGTACGGCACCGCTCGTCGTGGCGTCTTGAAGGGTAGTCGTGGCTATAGAGACGTTCTTGATGAGCATGACCACGGTGTCGACAAGGTCTAGCCAAAGTATTTCATCGAGAGCGAGGTCTTCTTCGCGTACATCGCCATACGCGGATTTGCGTCTATCGGCAAGAGACTCTACAGGGCGTTCCATGGACCGCGTTTGGCCCTGGCAGAGCCATATTCCCACTTTGACGTACTTTTGTATGTCTTCCAAGAGATCATGTATAGCTTCTTCGGTATTGCTCACGTCCGGTGTCTCCGCGGCTGCACCGACCAGACCTGTCAGCGCAGTTTCTAGTGTGCCCAGGTGTTTCACAAGTCTGTCCATTGCTTCCTTCACGAGCCCGTCTCGAGCCATGAGAACAACAGCCGCATCGATGACTCCACTCTTCTCGAGCGAAGGCAATACTGGATCCAATTTCAGATCGCCAGATTCGAGGAGACTAACAAAGTCTGCGACGTGAGTGCTGTTGTATCTGCACATGAGCTGTACATATTGCTCGATGAATCCCGGAGGCAGGCCTTCGCTAGCTGCTCGAGGCACACTTGTAGTAGCCTCCCCGGGCTCAATAAGCGCTTGCAGATATTTGAACTGGCTATCAGGTTCGTCTTCGAGAGCATCGAGAACGGGCTGTAGGACATCAGACGCATACTGTTTTAAAGTTACTGCTGTACGCGTAGCATCAATTTTGACTAGTTCGGTGGCACGGCCCACAATCACGGATTTTATCTCATTGACCTGTTTCTTCATGAGGCCTTTGCTTGGCCGCAGACAATCACTAATGCATCCAAATACATCTGTTTGGTCGTCGTCGTCGTCCAGGTAGGTCTGCACCAGCTTCGCCCACTGTTGCGCTCCACGGTATACAGATTTGAGTACTCGATAGAACTCGGCCTGTTCGAACAGTGGCACTAGACTTTGGAGGTTTGGGGGATGGTAGATAGAGAGAAGATATTCGGCAGATAGTTGACAGTCCTCTTTAATCATATCAGGGGGGTGGTTACACAAGCCGACCAGGATTTGGTGAAGAGAAGTACCGGGCAGCATGATATGTTGGGGATACTTTGGCAAGTTGCGTGCGATGAACATATAGAAGTACACCACATCTTCTGCATCAAACTTGTCCGGAGTGATGATACCAAGGAGGATATTGATAATATACTGCCGAGTAGGGGTCAACGCCGAGCCGCGCTGTGCACCGTTCGTATGACTACCGTTCGTGGCTTCTTGGTCTCCGTTGAGAAAGCTGTCCTCGAATGCTTCGTTGAGTACGCTCATAAAACTAGAGGCATCGAAGTCGAGGATCAAGCACAAGTATGGGAAAGCAGGTTCCGGGCTCTTATCCGTCCGTGTGGTTATCACGTTGCCTGAGCCTGGAGGCCATGCCAGGTTTTTACCCGAGAACAAGAAGCGATACATGTCCTTTTTGGCGCTGTATGCCTCGTCGTCGTCGAGTGGGGCTCCGCCTGGATATACTTTCCCGGTGAAAGTGTATGCCAGGTAGGGAAATATTTTCATCGCAGAAGCCATGTAGATATTCTCTGTCTCATCGGCTCCCAGGTCTACTATGCTCATGAGAGATAGAATGTTCACCAGCGGGGTGATGAAGTCACCAATAGCTCGCGTCCAAACATATATGAGTGCATCATAAAGATTGTACTGCTGGCAGAGAGTGGTCACTTGGTTGATGTCGAGTGTGTCGGTGCTCAGCCGACATATCATCTCCTCCAAACGGGATGCCCGACCAGAAGAGACATAAAAGGTAATCAGGTCCTTGAGTACGTTGGGTGGCACAGCTGTGACCTCTTCCTCTACGATGTAGGGCTCCAGCGTCTCAAAGAAGACTTTCTCCGAGGATGCCTCCTCAAATGCGTCGTAGACATCTTCGAACAAGAAATCTAATTCACGCATGCTAAGTAGGCCAGTAAAACATGCTGCGGCGAGATCCCTCAACTGCTTCTCACGTGAGTCGTCCGCTTCATCTTGGTGAGAAAATGTGTATTTCAAGGATGCAGATATCATCTCCAGAAGCTTCTCTTGCACCATGGCGTGGCGCGCGGTGTCGACATCCGGTAGGCCGACCGTCAGTTTGTCAGCATCGCCCACGTAGTACGACGTAGCTAGCGCAATAGCAGATATGAAATCACCATCCTCCATGAGCGCCATCAAACGATCAGCCCAGTTGGACAGAGTGCCGATGGAGACATCATTCACGCCCAAGAGAAACAACCGTCCCTTGTAAGCCCTAAAACTCATATAGAAAGCATCAGCGATAACGCCATGCATCGATGTGTCCGCTTCATTGAGTTGTTCCACGACGGGTGTAAGTTGGTGAGAAAATAAATCATGATGATAGATTTGTTTGTGCAACAGATCGAATGCGTCCGTCATCCGAAGGGTATTGTCTTCAAGAATTAAGAGCCGCTGGCTGATGGTCAGAACGCCTAGTACCGATCGACTCAGCCACTGCACTCCGACAATAGCTTCTTCGCAAGTCCAGCGACTTCGTGGCTTGAATTTGAGCTCCGTGGGTTTTTCACGTTCTGTGGGGGCAGCAACAATAGCGTCCACATCCAAAATAGTCAGAATGTTGGACCAGCAGTATACGAGTTTAGTCTTGGAGACAGGTGAACTGGAATCTCCAGAAGAGTTCTTCAGCTTGACAGCAGGGAACCACGCAAGACAGCCGCTCAAGGCACTGTGAGGGGCAATCTCTTTGGGGCGCGAGGCTTTGTGCTGAGTCTGTGCGATGGGAGTTGTGGAGACGATGACGAGGAGGTAAGGAGTCAACAATGCGGTCAAACCCATCGAGTCGGTCGGCTGCTCCACGTTGCCAAGGGGCAGGGGAGAAAAGGCAAGAACGGAGCTCGGCTTGCGCGGTCGTTCCATGGACTTATCAGACAGTGGGTACCTTCCGAGGATGCGAGTGATCTTGACCGACCTCGCAATAGCTCCGAGACCACGAGTAGCCAAGTGGGAAAAGGCCATTCCTCCGTCATCTGCGGAAACGAGAGCAGTATGGCGGGTTCCGAGAAAACCCAGGTGCAGGATGGCCACGCCTGAAATGTGGCCGTCCGATTTTCTTTCGTCCAACGCATTGCGATCCAGAGGTGAAATGTGCAGGAAGGGTTTCGCAGGTCGCGCCAACTCCCAGGTAAAGATATGGCCAGTCGTGTGACCTCCGGCGACGGTTGAGTGATCGGCAGAAATGGCCAGAGCGGTGATGGAGCCACATTCAATGGCCTTTGTGCCCGGGCCTATGATGGATTTCAAAACCTGCTGGTAGTCGAAGACGAGAATAAAGCCTTTGGATGTCCCAATGACAAGAGACGCGGTCACGGCCAGACAGGTCGGGCGGCCAAAGTTGCGCTTGCCCACCTCGGAGAAGACCTGGCCAGTGATCTTCTTGAGCTTAGTCCAGCGCACCACTTCCCAGGGCGCCTGCGGTGTATCTGCCTCGTCGGGCTGCTGCTGGAAGAAGACATTACTTGATATAGAGGACTGGCGTGAATGCGGCGACAGGAAGGCGGGGCTGGCTATGGCGCGCGGGGAGGCAGAGGGCGAAGGGGAGAGGCGGGCGGAGAAGCGGCGCTCGAAGGGCTGGAGGGAGGTGGGACGGTGAGGCCGCGAAGAGGCATACGAGAGAGGTAGACTGCTTCCGGGGGAGGAGAGGCCCGAGTCCTGGATGGAGGGGGTGTCGTCGGGGGTTGAGATGGATTGGGGGCTTTTGGGGCGCAAAGGCAGAGGTGAAGCTACGTCTACCTCAACGCTCGGTGATGGAACGTCGACGGCATCGTCTTCCACGTCGTTGGTGTCGCCATGATTATCGGGGTGGACGATATTGTTAGGGTAGTGGTGGTTTCGAGCGCTGGATTGGCTCTCTTCCGAATCTGAGCTCATGAGGCTCGCAGACCGCAAAGCATCGCTCCGCCTGTTGTCTATGTATTCTGCCTGCTCTTGATTGGGGGGTCGGGATCAATTGAAAGAGGCGCCCCGGATAGGTAAGCAGGTAGGTGGGGAAAGGGGTTGCGCTTGTAGGAGGTGGTGAGGTACGAGAGGTGGAGGCCTGATTGAGGATGTCACGATGTTGACTGCGGTGGTGGGTGCCGGGGTTCGCGGAGGAGACGTCTGCTTGGCACATGATTGGTCGACTCAGGTCTGTATAAACGGTGGTCCTAGCTCCCGCACGTGGGCGCCTGGCGTCATTCGTCCCCTACTCTATTCCTCCTATCACAACAATACATATCAATTGATTCAACGGCCACATTATGGAACATTCTGCAGTCGAAAAAACCATCTCAAACTATCATTGATCCAAACCGAATACGTCTGAATGGAACACACCTATGAGACGGATTCAGAAATCACCTTGATACTCTGCAAGTGTCTGGGACCGGGCCCGGCATCGAGTTGGCAGATAAAGAACCCGGATATACAGTTTTCAGTTTAGTGAAATCGCTGGAGACTCTTCAACTAGAGTATCATATGGGAAGTATTCAAGCTGATATCACTTGCTAGACAGGACATTAGCTATGCAATAAACACGGTATCCAGAGCGAACTTCGTCAGTTCATCATATATAGTATTGGAGACCTGAACTCAAGAGCGCTAAAGTAATGGCAGTTGAGCACCAGTGACATTAATACATTATTACTTCATATGTAACTAAATAAAAGAGGAAGAAAGATGGAGAAGAACAGGTCCGGTCGGGGTCAGAAGGAAGATTGGAATACCCGAGGTGGTCCCGTGACTGCGCATCGATCAACCACCATCTGCGACCGACCAATCCAACCCGATACCTTCACGTCTACACAAACCACATCCTCATCCATCCGACATGCCCATCGGCCCCTCACTACCGCCTCACCTCTCCAAGCGAAGTCGCGAAGACGACGACCATGACGCCAACGGCTTCTCCTCCGACGGCGGCGAGAAGCGGCGCAAAGTTATAGGCCCCGCTGCTCCTCCGCCTTCGAAACCCTCTCCCCCACGCGTTCTTGGGCCTTCCCTCCCTCCTCAATCCGCATCGAGATCTAGCAGTCCCGACAGTGATGTAGGCCCGGCGCCTCCTCCAGCGTCATCAAAGCCCACCCGCGTCCTCGGTCCAGCACCTCCGCCCGCTCCGCTAGACCAACGACCGCCCAACCCTCCCTCGGACCATGACGATTCGGATAGTAGCAGCGACGACGATTTCGGTCCCGCTCCGCCGCCTGTCGGTGCTACATACGATACTTACGGGGGCTCCTCGGCGGCTAAGTCAGCTTTCGACACGGAACCCCAGTATACAGATGCGCCCAAAAAGGTCCAACGAGACGATTGGATGACCATGCCTCCTACTCACGACGGCTTATCGCGCATCGATCCTACGAAGATGCGCGCGCGCAAATTCAACACGGGGAAGAACGCTGGCGCTGGGAGCGGCGGCGATGGGATGGGCATCTGGACAGAGACTCCCGAGCAGAAGCTGAAGCGATTGCAGGACGAGGCCATGGGCATCACTGCGCCTGCCAACACATCATCCTCCAAGAAGGAATCCAAACGGACCAGGGAAGAAGACGAACTCAATCGCAAAAGACGAGAACAAATCGAAGCATCACGAGGAAAGAGCTTGGTCGATCAGCACAAGGACAAGTCGGTCAAGAGCAAAGAGCCAGAAGACGACCCTAGCAAGCGTGGCTTCGACTATGAAAAAGACATGGCGGTGACCGGCAACTTGTCGCATAAGCAGAAAAGAGAATTAATGAACAAGGCAAAGGGCTTCGGAGACCGCTTTTCTGGTGGCAACTTCCTGTGAGCCGGCATCTACCTAGCTTCGTGTTTCCTTCTCCCATATACCCAGGCCTGTCTCATTATCGTCATACATTTTCCCAACCAGCCGACATCAATAGAATGTGACCGGAACCCTGGCATCGTCTTGCCTCATTCTTTCAAAGCTTCGATAGGCTTCTCTCATGCAACCAAGTCCGATACTCTACATAATCAACGAACGTCTCCATATCGAAGCAAACACATAACCCAGCAAACGCTCAACGCCTCCTCCTCCCTCCCCCGAACATGCTATCCCTAAGCACATCCAGCACGATCCAAAACCACAGCGCTTTGATATGCGACCACGCCCATTCCTTCGTAGACCTCGGCGTAATCGACCATCCCACAACCCACAATCCACCCAGAACCCCACAAACAATCACCCTTCTCAATAGCTCAAACCCGGCAAACTCCGCGAATAGCAACACCAGCACCTCGCCCCCGGTATACAACAGGTAGTCGCCCGGGTGGTATATAAACTCGTACATGGTGGTTGCGGCGGTGGGCGTCGCTCCCACTCTCCCGTTGCGGATGTAATTCGAGCTGTCCTGCGCCAAAGGGTTCGAGATGGTGATGAAGGTCGGGTACGCGATCCCCGAGATCTTCCATTGGAAATAACATCCACAGAGCAAGACGATGCCCGCGACGAACCGGTCAACGAGGTATGCGCCTTCGACCCCGTTGACCAGCCAGGCCACGGGCGTGAAGGGGACTGCGGCGGTGTAGAGCAGGATGATAATGGGCATGCAGAGGAATTGCCGGCGCGTCAGCTGCGATGCCGTCGGTGGAGGACGAGGTTGGCGCGTCATCTTTTTTGTTTTTTTGGGCTCTGCCTTTTTGGAATCTGTGCCGGCCAAAATGAAACAAGAGAATTCAAGATGTAGTTGCTGGACTCCCTGATAATAAAAAAGTGTGTAGGTGATCAACGGTGAATCTAAATCCTTTTTCTTTTTGTTTTTTTCAACTGCTAGTGAGATGGGTGCCTAGAAGTACTCAGTTATCTCGCCCCCTCATTTCGGGGCCATCCCGCCTCAAACCAAAAACCCTAAATATAATCTCGTGTTCGCTGTGTCTCGGACTTTGCGCGATATTCTCCCGAGTTGTCCTATCTGCATCACTCGCATGCCCGTTTTCAGGCTGCTACGCCCCGAATTAGGACACGGGGATTTAGGCAACAAGGCAGTACTTGTGTTGTGGCTGGCTTAACTTGGCTAGCTACGACGATTGAAAATCGGACAGCTTGCCTGTTCGTATTATGAACCACCAGGATGGGGGCGGAATCGAGTAAGCTTGTAATTAGGTGGATATGAAGAGGGGCGTGACTGAGTCCATTTTATATTTTATTAGACCGCGTCTGCTTAGGTACTTCTTAGTGTTTGTACGACAATAATAGTTGATTTGCGATAGAACTTTGTGGAATGTGTAGCAGAGATGTGTTCACTGAGTTGGAACGTCGTTCATTTAATTTTCAGGGAGTTGGTGTAGATGTGGATGTCTTCATAACAACCTGTTCGAGAGCGTTATGTTGGTTGGCATTGTCAAATGTACCTTTTTTGAACATTTTTTTTTCCAATTTTTTTCCATCTTTTCTTAAATAAAAAGTTCCCTCTCATGAATTCAAGTGAAACATCATTTACCACAACCCTTTTACACCATGAAATTTGACCGCGTCTTCACCCCACGAAACTGCCAACAAATCAACCACCCACCACTCTCCACACGCCATCCCCTCACGGAACCAAAAACGCATCGAAGTCGAAATTCATCAAATCCGCCTTCTCAACACTCGGTTCCACCCACACAATCTCAAACCTCTCATCCTTAAACAGCTTCTCATCCATCCACGTGACTACCCTCTCTTGACAACGCTTCACGTCTTCCTCCCACCCAGCCACAGAACAAATATCAATCCCAGGCGCCAGCGCAGTGCGGATGCGAAGATCAGTATGCATTTCATCGACCACAACCACCCTCTTCACAAACAATGTCCGCACGTTTGGGAACGCGGCGCTGCATTGCCGCGCTGCTTCGTATACAGCGAAGGGAATGGTGTTGGGATGCAGATCGTGCGCGGACGATATCTCCGCTGAAGGACACGAGCGCTCATACCGCGTTGCCGTATCAGGGTAAACATCAACTTTTGTGGATTTCAACGACACTTCGAGAGACAGCGATACTACCGCTCTGCGCTGCTCGAGCGAAAACAACGACGTCAGCGCTGGGATGGGACTGGATGCGATGTCGAGGACGTTTAGCGAGAACGGGAGACGGTGTGCTTCGGTGTGGATTTGGCGGTTGGTTAGGAGGATGCTGAGGTAGTTGCTCTGCACGTTCGCTGAGACATCCGTTGTGTCTTTGCGAGGGGAGACGGCGCGGAGGTTGGATTCGTCGCCGATTGGGGGCCGGATTTTGATGGATGCGCGTTGGAGGACGAAGGTGTAGATTCGGTTGCGGATTTCGCCGGGGATTTGGAGGAACACAGGGATTGTTTTACTATCCATGGCGATGTTAGATGTAGTGTTTTGCAAAATGCTGTAGTTTTAGTTTTGAGGTGTTATTCAAGGGTGACGTTTAACAACTGCGGGGGATGTAGTCAGGCCTCCCTCCTATGACGGTGTCTGGTTTGTGGCTGAGTCGCACATCTATTCGGGACAAATAATCGACTAATTGATAGCACATAATCCAAGATTCGCATATATCTTTTATACTTGTCGATATGTGGTTATTTTGCTGGTGGTGTTACTTCAGCATTCTCCTGCGTGTTAGTAGTGCGATGATGATAACGAGGAACCTGGAACATATCTCACGAATTCTGATCTGTGGCGAAGAACCGCAACTACAACTTGATATCAACGCTAGTGCTATGATGATATGCGTTATTCCGAATGTCAGTAAGTTCACCGACATTAGTTGCGGAGGTATATTGAAGACAACCTATCGCGACTGGTATGGACTTACATCTTATGGTCGATCCAGATCGCAAGTATGCACAAGAGCCTTATTGCTCATCCTCCTGTACCTTGAATGATGCCAGGAGCGATCCATTGCTTATAAAAAGCCAGGAATAGTTGTTGAGCAAGAAGTTTGGAAAGACCAGTGAATCAATCTACATTACATCATGGGAGATGCGATCAGTGTGAGGCGTAACTCTACAAGCAGGTCAGAAAATCAGAAGTGGGATCAATCAAGTAGAGAGAATGTTTCAGTATATGCTGTCACGATAGCGAGATGATCATGCTTTAGATCAATATGTCTTAACGACAGGAAGAAGTAATTGTGGAATAGCGCTTACTTTCCAAACGCCGCATAGAGGATAAGAAGGAAATATTGACTGTACTAGATATCGTACAAAAAAGCTGCGTAGAGGATACGAAGAAAATATTAGCCATGCTAGATATCGTACAAAGAGACCATCTTAACCAATCAAATTCACGGAGGATAAAAACCTTCCATCCTCCGTCAACAATACCCTACTGTGCCATCTCACTGCGTCGATTACTATTCAATGCTTGCGTGGCCCGGATTTGTTTCATGCCATGCAATTCAAATAGTGCTCCCTTCTGCTACTTTTTGTTGCCACTTCCTAACTCACGCTTCATTCGAGATTCTTGTTCATCATGTCGCAACCTACCATTGTGTTGATTCCCGGTGCCTGGCACGGTCCCCAGCACTTCACAACTTTGATCAACAGCCTCAAGGATCTAAAGTTTGATGTCATCACTCAGGCACTCCCTAGTCTGAACCCCCAGAAACCTCACGAACAATCCGTCGCCAATGATGCGAAATTCATCAGGCAAGAGCTGCTTCTTCCCGTGCTCGGAGAGGGGAAAAACGTCATACTTTTGATGCACTCATATGGAGGCATTCCAGGAGCAGATGCCGCTAAAGGACTCAGCAAGACAGAGCGTCAGTCGTCCGGAGAGAAGGGAGGCATTGTGGAGCTGATATTCATCTGTGCTTTCCTTACGGGGGAAGGCGAGTCACTGAGCAGCAAGATTCCAGAGGGACAAGGGGACAGTTGGGCTGTCCCGATTGTAAGTTCTGTTCTGGATCCTCTTGATTTTGCATTTTCAGATCTAACATTCTCTGTAGAAGGACACAGCCCTACTGACTGTCAATGGACCTAAAGCGATCTTCTACAACGATGTAGATGACGAAACTGCGGAATGGGCTGTCTCTCTTCTTCTTCCGCAGGCTGCGTCGAGTCTGGATACGCCAAGTGGACCTCCTGCGTGGCAGGACTCTGCGTATGACTGCAGACGGACGTATATTCAAACAACCATGGACAAAGCATTTCCCTTTGTTGGCCAAGATGCTATGGTGAAATACAGTGGGGTTGAATGGGATGTCGTGAAGTTGGAGTCAGGTCATAGCCCTTTCCTCAATCATTCGAAAGAGCTCGTGGATGTTGTGTCCGCCAAAGTCAAGGCCCACGCCAGTTAGAGTGAGATTATCGTCAATCTGGATCGAGCCAGCGAGAGCAGTCGAACATGAATTTGCATGTGGACTGCGAATTAAATCAATTGATTTTCTGGTTCGGATGTTCCGCATCGCAACGAAACTTTATTTAATCGATCATCTGGGCTACATTGCCAGGCGAAACTCATATTGATCGCATGCCAATGACATAGTCTCCATCATCGACCTAACTGCAGCAGCACAACCGAGGCTCCCCAATTCGGTAGAACGATCGAGGAAATGGGGCCCCCAACTTCTGTATACCACCAAGAATATCTTTACCCGCGGATTGGTATAAGTTCAGCACAGCTGCTCGAGTTGATTGGTTCGGCAGATGTGATACGAGGCGTTGGCGACCTTGGCTGCATGTTCCAGGGCGTATAGCCCTGCATTGCACGCGTGATCTACTATGCACCGCGAGACATACATGTGCAGACCAGATTCCCCCCCAATTTGTACGTCACGTCGACAATGGAGGGCGAATTCAACATGTTCGATCCTGTCGTCGTCTCCTGTGTTCTATTCGCCGTATACTTCGTTGCTCGCTGCGTGCATCGTCTCTATTTACATCCACTCGCGAATGTACCAGGTCCCAAAATTGCAGCTCTGACATCATTTCATGAGCTATGGTACGATTGTTTCCAGGGAGGGGGTGGGCAGCATGCATTCAAGATCCGCGAGATGCATGATATCCATGGTATGTGAGCAATTCTGGTGGTGTCAGCATGCACAGCAATCTGATAAGGTAGCAGGTCCCATAATCCGAATCAACCCTTGGGAAGTCCATATAGATGGAAGTGCAGACCCAGCGTTCTGGCATGTCCTATACTCGCAATCGAACAAGCTGGATAAAGATGGCTGGTACTACAGTGGGAGCTCCTACCTTTCGCTCCTCTGTGCTACATTTGACAATTATCAATTATAGGCGGCTTTGGTGTGAGCACTGTTAGTACTCCATCAAGCGATGTTCATCGTATGCGACGAGGCGCACTCTCGAACTATTTTTCACTGAGTCATGTGCGCAAATACGAACCCATGGTCCAAGCACAAGTCTCCAAGCTCATTGCCAGACTGGAAAAGTGCAGCAGTAATAACGAAGTGATTGATCTCGCAAATGCCTACCGGTGCTTGACAATCGATGTAGTCACTTCTTTTGCGGTGCCCGAGCCACGAAAGATGCTCGAGCTAGAAGATTTCGGGAAAGGATTCAATGGCACGATGCGAGATTTCTCCAAGCTCCTCACACTCCACAGACATTTCAAAGTAGTTATGCCTCTTGTCAAAGCCGTTCCAGACTGGCTATTGCTCGCCATGGACTCGTCGGGTACCGCTTTACAGGCCGTCGAATTTGCGCGAAGCTTCGAAAATCAAGCTCGCCTGACCGTGGAGCGTGAGGGGAAACCACCATCTGGACAGGCGCCATCGATTCTCGATACGATCTACGGTGCACCCGAACTGGCACAAAATGACAAGATGAGCTCGTACATGGTTCAAGAATCCCAGAATGTTGTCGGCGCGGGGACGGAAACCACCGCTGCGACTTTGACGACGCTCACTTACCATCTTCTCTACAATCGCGATATCTTGAACAGATTATTGAAAGAATTATCTGCCCACGCAGACATCTCCACTGGGAGTTTTCAGTTGCGCACGACAGAACAACTCCCATATCTACAAGCATGTATCAACGAAGCGCTACGCATATCCAACCCCGTCACAGGACGCCTTCCGCGATTAAATCCGCGTGCACCAACAACGTACACCACCCTAGATGGTAAAACAACATACACGCTACCTCCCAACACGGTCATGTCCATGTCCATGGCTGACCTCCACTTCAATGCCTCCATCTTTCCCTCGCCACGTACCTTCAATCCATCTCGCTGGCTCGATAGCCCACCCGAGCACCTCAAAGCAATGCACCGCTGTTTTGTTCCTTTTTCCAAGGGGAGTCGGTCTTGCCTGGGTATGGAGGTGGCGAAGATGGAGATGACGCTGACGGTCGCGAACGTGTTCCACCGGCTGGGGAGCCGCATGCAGTTGTGGGAGACGACGGAGAGGGATGTGAAATGGGCGCATGATTATTTCGCGCCGTATATTCCAGTTGATTCGAAAGGGTTGAGAGTGAAGATTGGAAATACCGCTTAACTCGGTAGGTCGGAGAAGGATGTATATAGGTAGATATGATTTGATTGATGGTGGTTGGAAAGAGTGTACATGGCGCGATATCCTTTGTACAGTAGCGTGCTGCTCATGTCTGGCCGCTGCTTCTTAGTCTTCCCGCACAGCATTGGATGATATATAATGTCGTAATATAGGCTCGAAATGTAGTTTGCATTCCCTATCTACGACATAGCGTATTCTCCCGCCATCCAGCCATTCAGTGAGTAGCATCCCGACTAATCAAGTCCACATGTTTGGGGTGGTTGCGCCGTATATGTTTGTACATGTTATCCCTCCTGCCCTTGAAAGTCCTTGTGCACCCGGTGATGAGACAAGGGATGTCTTGAACAGAGACCTCATGCACGTTCTTCAAGTGTCGTTGCAAATCTGTCCCGTCCCGAAACCTCTTCTCGCACCCGCCGTGCGAGCAGCGGTGCCGTCGGTCGTGGCGTCTCGTGTGCTTGCTGCAGTTCGGGTAAGTGGAATATCCTTAGATAAAGAGGGTCCCTTTGACTTACTTTTGCTGAGCGAAGTTTCTGAACTTTTTTTTGCAGTGAGGACAGGTGAATACAGGGTCGCAGTCTTGTGTTGTGTCTGACGCAGGAGTCAATTCGTCAGGTGCTTCTGTTGGCGCCGACATCGAAGTTGCCGGCGAACTGATTTCTCCATTATGTCCTGGCGTGCTTGTTGGGTCTAGTGGCGTACCATCACTGGGTGCATTTGAATCCAGTTGGGGATGACTGGAAGCGCTTCTGTGGTCTAAAAGTGGTAGTTGGAGAAGTGAAGGCTCGATAGTGTCGTCGAACGGAGTCGCAGTCCATTCGTGGCTTATATTCCCTGAATCGCTGAAAGGGAAGGTAGAAGAAGAGAACCAAAAGGAATCGCCGCATAAATCCTCGTAACCAAAATCGTGTTGCTCTTGCAGTAACCTTAACGTATAAAATGTGTCATCGGAATAAGAAATGGTGCTGGCGCGAAGACTGGGAGCCTTCGCAAGGTCAAACTTTCAAAAGAAAGAGGGTTGAATAGTCCCGCGAGGTCCTCGAGGACGTGAGCGAGGTATAGTGGGCAGCAAGCATTGAACGGTTCAGGGACGAACCCGGCCGCCAGGCCGCTGTTGGGACTCAAATCAGAAGCGATCAAAGGGTATGTGATAGCGAAGCCAAAAGAGTTGGGCCCCTAGCCGGCAGCTGCTGAGCAGCGCTGGGGAGCGTGTGTGGTTGCAGAATTTGAGAGTCGAAGCTTTGTGCCGGCCTTTTGAGCTTCTGGAGGCGGGCCTTGGAGGCGGGCTTTGGAGGCGGGCTTTGGAGGCGGGCTTTGGAGGCGGGTCTTGGAGGCGGGTCTTACCGATCACAGCACTTACATGCATGCATGGATTTGATGTATGTACTTCGTATCGCCTAACCAATCAACCTCATATAACGTACGAAGTCGCGAGCTCGGCTCAGGTCTTATCGCTAAGCCTCTCTGCTGCGCCACATTGCATTCGAGTCGAAACCAAATTTCAAACTGTATGTCTCTCAGTTTTACGACGCTCATGTTTTGCTAGCATTGCGAAATATATACAAACCGTCCATTGTTCCTGTCGGACCTGCTGGAGCTATTCATACGCTTCTATATTATGACTACAGCCGCTCTTGTCAGATTGAGCGCATTTGACGTAGTGACGTATACGACGTCCCAACGATCCAGTGGAGATCTTGTCAGATGCTATAGTGTGATAGCCTTGTTTGGCATCGCACTAGAAAACGAGTGATGTCTCTCTCGTCCCATGCATCGCGAACGAGGAGAATGGAGGCGGGCTACCCTTCCCGCCTCCTAGCACTCAAATACCCAAAGGAACGTCCGTGAATTAATTTTGATCACACAAAGGTCAGTAATTAGAACAATTCAAGTAAGAAGTTACTATGCCTGCACTTTCATTCTTCAACTCCACAATCCCTCTTCTTCCCGAGCGTTCTCAACTGCCTATCGATATTCGAACGAACGAACAGACGCCGAGTTTTGGGTCACTCACGATTAGTGTTGTATCAGTGTCACTTGCTGCAGCTACGCTGGTACTCACTTATCTTCACTTCCGTCTTCAGATCCGTGAGCCAACTCCAACGTCTATCGAAGATGATGCGGGGGCACAAGGGTCTGTTACATTGGAGGACATCATCGCATCTCCTGGTGGGGACTTCGATCTTGAATATGGACAGTATCATCTGACTTACTATAGCCGGATCTGAATCCATCGAAGAGGAGTCAGTGTCGGAGTCTTCAATGGCTCCGGTTGAAGATGAATTATAAGCTCCAGCTGGATATGGGCTTATGTAAGTCCATTCCAATTGAACTCCCATCCGTCACTGACGAGGCGCAGACTCATCGGGAAGATCCATGACAATATAACTGCGTGTTGCTCACGCCTAGCTAACAGTGTAACATTGGAGGGTTTTGAACTTATGATAATGGGACGTGGAGGCATTGGAACTCCTCAGATATTGTGGGTGTCTACGTGCGAGCGAGTGTAACGTGAGTTCTTAGTCTACAATACATTTTTTGCCCTTATTTTCAAATGCATTGCGTAACCTATCCGTGAAATTCATCCAATGTTTGCATATCCGATAGTCACGTGTAATTTCGTGAGGTCGCGCTTTTATTCGGTCATGGCAAGCTGTTTAGTTCTCTACCCTGTCAGTGTACCGTCCGCCAATGTGCTAGCTAATGTCAACTTTCAAACTTCTGTTGAAAGCTGGAATAAAGCTATCCTGTGAACTTCAAAGCGACGAAAGCTTGATCATGGGAATTCCCAATGGTCTAAAGAAGAACCTTGTGGCTAAAACATGTATTATGACATTTCTATTTTACAGATGATTCTGGGGATTGTTTAGGAGGTCATGTGGCAGAAGGTAGAAACAAACATCTGGACCCTTGGAACATTCTTGATAGCCGCACGTAGCCCGCATCTCCCGTTTACATTTACCTCCGCCCTCCGACAATATCAACGGTTTGTCGCGAGTCAGTAACCGGACCATGAAGTCCACCATGCTTCATATCCCGCGCATTCCAAAGCCTCGCTTCATCGTCCACGTGCCCATGCTTGATCTCTTCCTCGGACAGGTCGTCCCTCGAGTGCAACTCATACGCGTTTTTGTTCGACTTCCTCGTTCTCTGCTGGCTGATTGTTTGTAGCACGTGAATGCCCGATGGATTGGACTTTCCACCATACGATTTAGGATCGTGGGAGCTTCCCCAGCGCGAGGACAGGAGTCCAGGAACGTATTTGACGAAGAAGGGTTTTAGGGCTGGGGCGGACGCGCATACGATGGCGACGTCGACTTCGGCGAAGCACCAGTGGAACTGTTCAACGGCGTCCCAGGTATAGTCCGCCGAGGCCATGAGCGGCTTGAGGAGAATGGTGCGGCGGATGGCTATTATGCAAACCCTGAATCCGTTAGTACACGTAGATGAATGATTCACAGATTTTTGGAGTACTTACAGACCACCCGTCATGAAGACGAGGATGATGCTGAGTTTCTGGCGCAGCGACATCTGGAGTTTCCAAACGACAGGGATGGGAAGGATGAGGGTGAGAACATCGATGACGATGTTGAGAATCGACAGGGCCATGTATTTTGGGAGAACGCCGACGCATTCTGCTTGCGGCATGAGCGCTAGGTTCCAGGTTGCTGCGATAGGCTTGCAGGCGAAGATGCTGAGCAGGTTGTACATCAAGCCATAGCAAGAGGTGATTCCGATGAGAATCCAAACGGCGACGCGGAACCACAGCTGCGGTGATAGGCGCAGGTAGAAAAGAAGGATAGATATCTTGGTGAAAATGAGGCTGGTCGCGTAAACGATTGTGCTGCAGAGAGTGTACTGTTTTTGTGTGAGTGCAAGTATTCGAAATCGCAGTCCACACCGAGTGGCAGCAACTTACTACTTGGAAGGGCAGGACGAAGTCTACCGTCTTCACATCCCAGAAATGATACCCGAGACCAACCTTCATGTGCTCAAAGTTTAGGCCCAGCAAGGTGATGGCAAGAACCAATGCGATGATAACCATGTCTTTGTGTTGATGGTATCAGTAAACTAGCTTAACAGCGGCGCAATGTATACTCACAATCATCCATAGAGATTCCAGCCTGTGTCACGCTGGCCCTCGTGAAGATTCGCATTGCAACTGAAATGGTTGCAATCACCGTAAGAGTGACAGCGCTGGCAGTCAGTTCCCCATGAAGTGTGGGAGGGTTGGGCTGTCGAGGTGCCTCATTTGGCGGCTCCGCCATGTACATTGACATGATGACCGGTTGCTTGGTTCTGTCTCTGACAGCGGTGGAAACTGATATAGTGTACAGGTCGTCCTGTCCAGACCGTTGGGAAAGCGGGTATTCAACAGTGGGGTAGAAAGAACATAGTTATATGACCAAAGACTTGTTTTCAGTCTCCTGGTCCTCCAACTCGGGGGACCATTGTTTGAGGACGATTGTTCCCCTATGAGTGTAGATCGACAGTGATGTGTCTCTACAAGGTATGCTCTCAGCGTGGCCCAGGCGGGACATACGGGAGGTGCGGCACGTGCGAATGAGGCCACCAGCTCAATGATAGCTTAAGCCAAGCACGAGCGCATAACGGTTATGAGCGAGGTTTAGTGGTATACCTAGTAGGTGAGGCGAGGTGTTATAGGGCACCATCAGAGACTGCTAGCCAATCATATAAACGTTTCTCAACGGTCCTCTCGGCATATACATCATAGGCGAGATATGCAGCGTATTGCTCGTGGGGGTTTATGGAGCCGCAGCCGCAACCGCAGCCGACATATCACTGTCAGCAACTGGTACATACGACTGAGGTCCAGCGCCGCTGAACCCATTGTCTGTCTTGAGGGATGGAGGAGTGTTTCAACCGCCGTCCACTGCAACGTCAGCTTTCTGCAACGGCAGGCTGTCGTTCTAGTAGAAAAATATAGCTGTAGGATCAGTCAATCTAAGAGACGAGTCATGTACCGTCTACTGCGGCATTCTGATTGGCTGGTCCCCATGTGCTTTTCTTACAAAGGATCTAAAGAGGGTCCGCCAAGCGCGCGCTCATTGGTCGGCAATAACGTACTACGCGCTAGCCGCCTCCGCCCCCGTTCCCTCCCGCCCGTTGCGATCAGCAATACGTATTGGGCCAATCGTCCGAGACGCCCCTCGAAGTCTACGCGAGTACCAAAAACAAGGCTTTGGGGATGACGAGGAATTGTGAGATTCCAATTGCAGTTGAGTTGCTGGAATCAAGAAAACAGCCTTTACGATGACAAGTACCTAAACGCCGGTACAACTTGAGCCTTGAGCCAGGAACGTGCCATGTAGCAATGCCATGCACAAGGAATTCATGAATAGACAAGACTTGCCGACCTGACCATGAACGCTCTTTGCTCTGCCGCCACCAACCTCTTGCCAACAGACCGCCTCATCCTGATAATGTCATGCATCATGCCTCGAACTTGACACCTTACCTACCATGGCTGCAAGCGGCTTGTGCAGTCTCCACCTCCACTCCTTGTGGATAAGAGCACATAAGCCGCCATCTGCCCTGCCCATTCTCCCACGTCCTCCAGTCTTCTCCAATCCTGCATTGCCAACTCGTGTACGTAACAATGGCTTCTTCCACCCCCGCCCACAACCCCTACGCTGTGAACCCCCAGCCATTCGCTGGCAAGGTCATCACCGTGACGGGTGCCAGCCGAGGCACTGGTCTCGCATTAAGCAAGTATCTGCTTGCTCGAGGTGCCAAGGTTTCCATGTGTGCGACCACAGCAGAGAACCTCGAAAAGGCCTCCAAAGAGATCGATGAACTATTCCCCGACGCCAAGTCGCGGTACTGGACCAAGGTTGTAGATATTGGTGTACCCGAAAACGTGAAGTCGTGGATTGAAGAGACGGTGCAGAAGTTCGGGCCTTTGGACGGCTGCGCCAACGTCGCTGGTGAGTGCTTGATGGCCTGATCTACAGTTTTTGACTCGTAGGATTCGCTGACCGCCTTTGTAGCTGTGGAACAGCGCGACATCTACCCAATCACCACGCTCGACGTCGAGTATTTCACTAAACTCCTAAACGTCAATGTGGTTGGAACTTTCAACTGCCTCCAGGCACAGATGGCAAACATCAAGGATGGCGGCGCAATCGTGAACTGCGGTAGTATCACAAGCAACTATGCTTCCCAAGGTGTGGCGGCATATGTCGCATCAAAGCATGCTATCATTGGACTTTCCAAGGTTGCTGCATTCGAAGGGGCCCCGAGAAACGTCAGAGTGAATGTATTGAATCCGTAAGTCCTTCACATTCTATCCTTCAAGCCTACCATTGGCGTTAACGTTCTAACAGGGGGTGCATCAACACTGAAATGATGGAGAAGCCCTTCAATCTGCCTGATGGAAGCACATTCAACCTGAGCAAAGACAACATCCCGTGTCTGCTAAAGCGGCCCCTGGCTGAGCCTTGGGAGATCGCCGCCTCGATTGCCTTTTTGTTGGGTGATGAAAGTACGTATGTGACCAAGGCTTCCTGGGCCCATGATGGCGGATGGACAGAAGGAACCTACAGCTCCGGTTAGAGAATCTAGCTTGGATCTGTTTATGTGTGTGAGCTCCGACATGAATTTACCAGTATCTATGCTTGTTTGTACGTGAAAACATCTTGGTTCAGATACCACTGTACATGTCAAGAAGAATTGATGTGTATAAAGAGAGGTATATGTGTTACTGTTTGTATTCGCGGTGGTAAATTCACGCGAGACAGAGTCGCTGAAGGCGGGTTTACGTGACCTCTGAATCATGAAATCTTCCAATCCTGCCCACCCTAGTCTCAACATTCTCAAATAGAACCAATCCGGCCAATCATCCTGTTATGTTTCTGTTGTGCCAAATCTCATCAACAGCGATGACCCTATATCACACGAGATTTATATGAGCGGCTCCCGAGGGCAACAAGAATGTTATGATCCAAGTTAAAAGGATGTATGTTCTGGAACCATCATGATGATTCCGGACAACTTGATGATGCGATGTCATCGCAATCAATTAAAGCCGCTACGAAAAGTTGGATGACAACTGAGTACAACACAGAAGAAGGATATCCCCAGAGGATTGCCAGGAAAAACGAGGTGGGGGGAGAACGGAATTAGGTAGCAGAACAAAACCGCTGGTTCAAAGCCATAATAGCTGCTACAACTCTGAGTGAGTGGTTCGCGTTTGGTTTTCGTCGGGTTGGCACCACACACCGCCTGAATTAAAGTGTCACCGCCCCTATTGAATGCACTTATTGTGTGTTTGGTTATTGTTTTTGGTATGTTTATCGCTATTAGCCCATCGTCGTGTGTGGGATCACTCAAATTTCAACTTAGAATTCATTGAATAGATTTAACCTGCTCCCAACTCCACCCAAAAATTACAATTACATATCCCACTGGCCTGGTATCGAGTCGAGAATCAAGTCGTATTCTGCTACTAGAACTTGACGGATCGTCGCTCTCAGCTGCCAAAACGCGTCTTGCGATGTTATCGGTTTTTACGTGCTGGGTGAGCACTGAAGTAAAAACTAACGTTTCATGGATGGTGCTTGAAAGAGGCGGGTCAACCTGAAGACCAAAAAATCCCGAAGTTCTTGCGAAGTACCAGTGCTCTGGTTTGATTATCCGTTCTACTGCAGCGAAAGGGCCTGGAGAACGTCAGAAAATGGACTATGGCGTGCAATCCGAGCCCATCCGATCGTTGACCATCTCTCAAATAGACCTAGCGTGAAGCCGATGAGCTGGCACTGATCTTCATTCATAATAAGACGTGCAGCGTGACGTACCATGGTCACGGGTCGCATGCATCGAACTCAAAACAGGCTTAAACCATACATATGTATGTTGGAACATGATCGACACGTGGATATCTGCGAGCTGATCGTTGGATTTTTTTACCATGTCACGCTAGAGATTCCGATACGACGGATACTTTGGGCGCCTAAATAATTGGGAACACGTGTTTTCCAAAATCTGATGATGAAGACGGGCGGCGACTGGCGCAATCACTGATTGTGATGTGCAGGTCTCGTCTGTGGTCATACTTTCACGTCATCAAGAGACAGTTATTGATACTCGCGATCGCGAGCTGGGATATGATTGAATTCTGCTACAGATTTGAAGCTCTTGGTTCGATCTTTGTTCGTCAGTCAATGTACCTTGCTGGATTGGAATATATTATTGCGTGGTTGACTATGTGGATGTGTCCTACCTAAGTTATTTAGGCAGATTCGTAGGCTTCTCTTCAATATCAGAGAGAAGTTGAAAACAAGTATCTAAGCGTCAAAAGTACTATAGTTACAGTATTTCTATGGTATGTATGCGTGATTTGATGCTTTGGATTTCACAAGCAAAGCTCTGTCTTGGGCCAGACCCAGTGTTTTAGACAAGTATGATATTGTGTAATACTTCGTGAAAATAGGTTATATATATTGCTAGGTAGAGTAACTGCATATTGTTTACCAGAATGCTGGAAAGATACCTATCTCTTGTCTTACCACGATTCAGCGGCATCGCGCTTAGAGCCTTAGAAGCTCTTGCTACCAACTGGAGGGCCCCTAGTGCGGCTCGAATAAAATTAAACAACTGTGATATATATCACAAGTTCCTCAAATAACTGAATCGATGTTTTACGTCTGGTGATATCCTCTTTACTATCGTTCATCTCATCTCGTCCCGTTTTAAAATCTTTCGCGAATATTACAACTGTTCACGAGATAATGGATGGCTGGAAATTCTAAGTCAAAAGATGCATGACCTTACATGAGCTGCATGTTATGCTATCATGCGCTGTGGCGCTAGTTTAGCCTTTTTCGGGTATTGCATCCCTGGCCTCTAGTGCTGAAAGCAAAACTCCTTTTTTTAAAGATTTTTGTACCTGCCTACTTTTTGTTAAATCATTTTTATCAGCCTTTTTAAGTGTAGGAAACACTGTAACTTCCAATCAAAAAAAAAAAAAAACTGTTATGCTATCAACTCTAGGCGCATTCTATACATTCATCGCACACATAATAGAGGACGGGATAATTTTGCCGGTTAACGGACGTACCCAAAGATTTCACAAATTTTTTTTGTAGTCCACTTTTCTGAGTACAGACCCACCTTCCTTCCGTTCTGAATCATACTTTCAAGATTTGCTAAACCCAATCATATGCCATTCGTGAATCGATAGATCTGTATTCACCCCAAAATGATAATGTACGTATATGGGCTAGTACTGTTAGGCTAGCTAAATGTCCTCTAGCGATTATGTTATCTCGTGCCCCTGTCAACTTCGGCTTTGAACTTGCTGGTTCTCGTCTTACACCGACATAGATCTCCGAAATCTATGAACACCGCCCCTCACATGCATATTCAAGATAGGCTTGGCTCCTTAGTACTAGGACGCCTCACGTCCCTCAGTTCAAGAGCCACACATAAAGCGGCTACCATCCTCGAGTGGATCGCTCATCTATAGTGCTTCGAAACAATGCCGAACACACTACAAGAACAGATCGGACTGCAGCAGCAAGACTCATATACGTACACAGCAAGCTACGAGAAGGAATGGCTCATAGGTCCCGGTACGTTCTGCATGCTCACAGTATTACACGGCCCATGACTGAATTGTCTGCCAATTTAGTACTCCTCGGAGGTTGTGTAGCTGCCATGATCTACTCAGCGGCTGAGAAGCATTTCACCACGACAATCGCGAGCTTGCAACAGCCTGATGTTCTCACCCTGCACATTGAGTTTTTGAGACCATGTATGGCGCTGCCATCTGCCATCAAAATTACCGATCTCAAATTAGGTAAAGGATCGAGCTTCATCCAGCTTGACCTTTATCAAACACAGAACGGCGGCGAGCTGAAATGTTGCACAGCTTTGGCTACATCCACCAACTTCGCCATCCAGGTAGGACCATCGGCTAAGACTGATGTCCTTCTCTCACCAGTGCCTCCACCCCTCCCCGACTTCAAGAAAGTCGAGGCTGATCAACCGGAAGACCACTGGATCCCATCAAAAACGATAGGAGAGCTACTTCCAATGTTGAAGCGCATGACATTTCTGTACCCCTCGAAGGGACAGCCAACACCAGGAGTGATAGATTACTGGTGTGCTTTTGATAAACCTGAGACCTTCAGTGGCGCGCATTTGGCGGTTCTTTCAGATGTTGCTCCTTCAGCGTCCGATACTCTACTCCGAACTGAAGGCATATTTGATGCGCATAAGATATATCGCCTCAAGAAAGAGGCAGCAAAAAGAACACCAGGGAAGCCAGCGGTCTTGCAGAACACACTGAAGGAAGCAGCGCAAGCACGTATTTGGAATACCACGCTGAATCTGAACCTGCAGTTCAAGAGACGGGTATCGGATGAGATGATGTGGACTTTTACGAGGGTGACTACAAGAATGCTGGAAGGAGGTAGGATGGATTTGGATCTTGTCATTCACGATGAGAAAATGGCGCCCCTGTGTTTTGCGCGGCAAGTTATGCTGGTTATTGATGCAGGGAGACGATTCAAAAAGGATAGCCAAAATAAGGCACCGAAGCTTTGAACGTATTGATCATCTATGTATGTTACTTTCGCATGCTAATTGGTCTAACTCTCGCATGTAACGTGAGGCGGCCGTGAGGATCTATCGAAGCAACCCGAGGAAGCATTTTCAGCCTTTGAACGAATGGCCGACATCCCACTTTTTAGATGTTTCCGAATTCAGGAAGCGTCTGCAATGAATTATATCAACACAGCTTAAAAAAACACCACCATTTCCCCATGACTCAAACGAAACAGATGACTGAATTCGATTTCATCCGCAGATGGAAGGCTGTATGAACGTTCCCACCTGTACGGTTATCACAGTGTTACGAGGTGATTGCCACAAAGACTTAGGTACTTCTGGAAGTCGTTTCCCAACACGTGATCGGCTGTTCCAAGGCTCTTGCATCCTGCTTGATGATGTGGAATCATCGCGATCAATAGTCTAGCGTAACATTGAAGTAGCCTGCAATCCTGGTCTTGACGAGGTTTAGTCGCTTGTGTATATGCGACACCTCGGCCCGTTCCATGCATGAAAATACTGATGTCTCGCTCCACTATCATCACACATGCATATGCTGGCGCTGTGATTTCCGGGACCGAACTGGAAAGATGCGGTGTGTAACGGGACTCAGATTCGGGTCTCATTTTCGATCCTTGGAGCGTTCTTGCAAATCCTCTAGAGTAAGACATACGTATGGTGAATCTGCCGCCGGTTCGTGGGATCGGTTCTTGCAATCTTTTGTGAGGGTAATATCACGTAGTGTACATACTAAACTAGCATTATCCGACTAAGAGTATATAAGAACGCTGCAATGAGTTGATATGTCCATGTTTCTTGAAGATAATCTTTACTCGGAACAAAGAACCAAAAAGTTAAACGCTCCTACCACTTTCTCAATGACACAGACTATCGGGATTGAGAACGACTGTTCGATGACAGATCGTGCATCTCTAGTCAGGAACGATCGATGCCACAGCACGGAGTCATGCGACAAAGGAGACACCGGCGATCACAGCCCTACCAACCTTAAGGATACTCAAAAGCATGACTCCCCAACTGAGGAGCTCCCCGAGTATTTATCGGTGAATGGCATTCCTACAAAGGTCCCATCAGAGTCTCCAGACACCACGGAAACCGATTCGCAATTTTGGAAGGCTGAATTAGCCAGTGTCCATGATCAGCCCCATTGCAGCTTCGCCAGATCCGTCACGAAGGGAGGTAACGCCGATTCACCTCGACATACTGTCACCTCGACCCTCGGAAAGGAGTTGAGTAGTGATATCCGTCACCTTAGTCTCGAGTTGGGAGTGCCCGCTTCCACCTTTCTGCTCGGTGCGTTCAGCATCTTGCTATCGCGCACACTGGATACGGAGAACGATTTTTGCATTGCTTTGGCCGTACACGAAGAGCCCTCTCGTGCGAAACTGGGAACCTCTTTCTTGCCTTTGAAAATTACGCCCCGTACGGAAGAATCAGCCAAGGATGTCATCACAAAGGTGTTCGCCAAGCAGATCCTAGTCGCCAAGCATGCAGGCATTGACTCGACAGCCATCCTTGCCCAAACCCCTGGGAAAGCTGCGGAGTGGACGGAATTCATCCCCGCCTCTTTTGATCACCGAGTGCTCGAGCAGAATCACGCCACGCATTTGGTTTCCTGCAATGTGACGCCCACAATCAATCTCTTGGACGCCCGCCAATCACTGCTTGGCTTGTCTCTCAAGGTTAGCGAAGCTTACGATGCTTCGTACTTCCACGTCGAATTGACTGCCTCGAGCGCGCTGTACACCCCCCGAGAGGCAGAGCTGTTTCTGCAGAGTTACACCCATGTCGTACGCTCCGTTACCCATGACCCCACTGCCCGGAGGACCAACTATTCTCTGTTTGATGCCGGACAAGGCATGCGTGACGTCAGTGTGGGAAAGGGACAAACCGCACTTTCTGATTGGCCACACACCCTTCTACACAAGATCGATGAAGTCGCTCTCGACAACCCAAGCGGTGTAGCTCTGAAGGACAGCTCAGAGAACGAGCTCACATATCATGAGCTCATACTACGCGTATCCACAATCGCCAGTTCCTTGCTTCCTCACAAGCTTAGTAGGGGTGATAGAGTAGCTGTGTATTGCGAAGCCAGCATCGATTCCGTCTGTGCCCTTCTTGCCATCACTAGAATTGGGTGCATCTACGTTCCTTTGGATATTCGGAATCCCCCAGAGAGAATATTGTCGATTGTTCACGACTGCGATCCCCGTGTTGTGATTTATCATGATCCGACCGAACATCTCACCCGTATAGTGAGCGATTGTAATGCACACCTGGTAAATGTCACGGCTAATTTACCGGCCACCGCAACTCATGATATTCCAGCCATCGAAAGCAGACCGGAAGATCCTGCTTTCGTGTTGTATACGAGTGGCTCTACAGGGAAGCCGAAAGGCGTCATATTGAGCCATGAAAACTTCTTTGGTCAGATTACAGCATTCCATGCAAAGTATAGCCTCGGCCAGGAACGTGTTTTGCAGCAAAGCTCACTGGGCTTCGATACCTCCCTTCACCAAACCTTCATTGCGCTTACGACTGGCGGGACTCTTGTAATTGCAAAACAAGATATCCGCGGCGATCCAGATGAGCTTTCCAAGCTGATGTTGAATGAGCGCATTACATTCACTCTCGGTGTGGTATCAGAATACCTTATGCTCTTGCGACACGGTACTGCAAGGCTCCAGAAGTACGATGACTGGAAGTATGCCGTATGCGGTGGTGAACGAATGACTGCTTCGTTGAAACAGAATTTCCGCGCGTTGGAAAAGAGTGGATTAACCTTGATAAACGTCTACGGCCCGACAGAGGTAGCATTGGCAGCAACCTCTTGCGTAGTTCCGTATATGCAGTCCGACACCGACCTAGAATATGACGATGGAGTAGTTGGTTCTCCTTATTCCAACTACAGTGTTTACGTTCTCGACGAACAATTCCGTCCGGCTCCTCATGGATTTTCGGGCGAGGTCTTCATTGGTGGTGTCGGTGTGGCGTGCGGCTACCTGGGTAACACAAAGTTATCAGAGGAACGATTCTTACAAAACCCTTTTGTCGATGACGATTATAAAAGAAACGGTTGGACTCGAATGTACAAGACTGGTGACAAGGGGCGCCTGCTCCCTGATGGCAGTCTGACATTTCTGGGTCGAATAGACGGTGATTCTCAAGTGAAACTTCGGGGTATTCGCATCGAGTTGGAGGAGATAGCTGGTGTTATATTGGAGACATCCAAAGGGACTCTTCACCAAGCAGCAGTCGTTGTCAAAGGGCCGGCGGGGCATGAGCACATGATTGCATTTGTGACCTTCTCACCAGGCCAACAACCCCAGGATCCAATCTCTTATTTACAGAGTCTCCTCAAATCTCTTCCTCTTCCCATTTACATGAGGCCGGCTTCGTTGATCCCACAAGAGCGTATGCCCACCAATATCAACGGAAAACTGGATCGAAAGCGGCTACATGAGATAGCAGCCACAACAGCCTCCGAAGCCAAGGGAGATCATCGCGCTCTCGATGTGACCGAAAAGAAGCTTGCCGATATATGGACTGAGGTTCTCGAGCTACAAAGCCGCAACGTAGCAGAGTTTCAGATCTCCCCAGACTCGGATTTTTTCCAAGTTGGCGGAAATTCGTTACTTCTCATCGAGATCAAAAAGCGGATATTTGAAATTTTCGGGGTCTCCATTCGACTACCAGATCTCTTCTCTGCAAGTATTCTTGGTGAAATGGCCGCGAAGATCAATCGAACAAATGGCAAGACCTCGCCCACGGTCATCGACTGGGCGACTGAAATTCAAAATTTCTTAGATCGAGCAAGAATGCCAATCGAAGATTCCGCCAACGCCCCCAAGGAAGTGCTTTTGACTGGCTCTACAGGATTTCTCGGCAGTCATCTTCTGCGGAGTCTGATCGAAGATCCAGCCGTAGCCAAGATCCATGCAGTTGCAGTGCGGAGTCATCATCTCCGCGAACAGCCGAGTGGACAAGGTCACGTGCTATCTCGCTTCTCATCCCCCAAACTGCGAATATGGCATGGCGATCTCCAGAATTCGAACCTCGGGCTTTCAGATGTTGAAGTAGCCGAATTAGCTGACAGAGTGGATATCATCATCCACAACGGAGCCGATGTCTCCTTCCTCAAATCCTATCAGTCTCTTCGCGCCCCAAATGTCGGTTCAACAGTTGAGCTGTGCCGCATCGCTGCCAAGCGAAAAATTCCTTTCCATTTCGTCTCGTCGGCAGGAGTTTTACGGCTTACCAATGATATGGGCAAGCTCGACACGTTCTCAATGGCCGCCTTTTGCCCGCCCACTGACGGTTCCGATGGCTACATTGCTTCCAAATGGATGGCTGAGCAGATTCTAGAGCACTTTGCCAAGAGCGAGGGGATTCCTGTACATATCCACCGACCCACAAGTATTACAGGGGACGGGACAACTGATACCGATCTGATGGCCAATATCTTGCATTACTCGCGGCTCATGCAGGCCGTTCCTGAGTTTCCAGATGCGACAGGCGTTTGCGACTTGGTCCCGGTGGAGGAGGTTGCCGAAGGCATCCTGACGCAGGCATTGGGTCTCGGCAGTGATCAAGTGGAACGACTGCGTGGGGCAGACCGGGCGGATGTTGCCGTAAAGGCTAGCCAAATCCATCTCCACAGTGGAAAAACACAAATCCCGGTCGATGCTCTGGACAGCTATGTCAAAGAAGTAGGTGGTCTGCAGCACTTGCCACAAAAAGTCCACTTGAGCGACTGGATAACGCAAGCTGTGGAGCGGGGACTGACAGAGAGTGTGGCTTCGCTACTGAGCACACCTGAAGCTGCTCGTGGGCACGGGATGACCATCCCTCGACTACATAAGTAGATAATATCAAGATATTTGGTGATTGCGCACGGTATGAATACAATCGGGTTTCGTTGTTTATCTCGGGCTTATGCGCACCAACGATATCTTCTGCCACGAAAATTCTGTCGCAAAGCTAATCGGACGGCGACTTAAACATTGAACTTCTACGCCATAATCTATGAGAGATGGAGGGGAAGATCATCCACGCTTCGAGAGGCTCCTTCTAACGAACTCATGCAAAGCGTTTGCAGTGATCTGGGCGACATTGTTCTCGTAATTCTTCCACGCAAGACTCCCAACCCAATTGATACTCCCAACACCGAATACAGCGCCCCCACTCCCTGTGTCAAAGTAGACCAAATCACTTCTTACCTTATCCGAGGTCGTGCCCAGCGTATTGACCATGGGGAACATGATTTCCTCATTGAACAATCCGTAGTTGTCTGAATGTCCGCCTGCAAGCTTCGATGTAGCAATGATCACCGCATTCTCAGGGGTTCCGAGCGAGTAATCGAGTCGATCAATCTCATCTCCAGATGCAGCACCCTGCACAAGACCAAAATCCCCTATTATGTCTGCGTGTTCTAGGCCGGACCCTTTGAATAGAAATTGAAGCTTTGGATCTTCTCTTGCCTCTGGAGTGATGCCGTATGGTGCGCCTTGTCCCATCCCACAAGCATCGCAGCCCAGGCCACAAATTCGATTGGGAGTTCTCCCGCGACTACGCCAAAGACCCCCTTGCTCACCAGTCAATGCAAGAAACCAATCGCCGGGCGGAAGGCTGAACACTCTGCACCCTTGATCCGCTCGCCGCACTTCAATGCGATGATTCTGTTCAGGTTTCTGAGAGTGGCCTGTCACCCAATAGTACCCGTTCCCACCAAGATACATAAAGAATCGGCCTGCTGCAAGAAAAGCTTCGTAGGCATCTAGCATAGCATATGTAGGGTATTCCGGGTGACTGCCACTCAGGACCACATCATAACGGAGTAGCAGCGACGTCCCGAAGCGCGATAAATCGTGATCAGTCAGGATGTCGTAATTCCCTGAGCCGAGTTCTTTGTCAAGAAAGCCGATGAACCAAAGATCGGCTGGTAGCTCGCGCGGGCCACCAAATCCCCAGTGAAAATAGCTACGCATAATCATTAGATTTGAAGCACGACTCGGAGGTGAGGAAGAAAACTTACTCTGGTCTCATGTTGAGTACTACTCGTTTGAGAGAGGAGTGAGTGGTACCGGAGCCGTCGTTGTGGCTATCGTAAAGTGAAACACCGAGGTCGGGGCGTGATTCCAAAATGTGGGTATGGCGACTACGACGTACTGAGTCTGATCCGGGAATATCGATGTGAACATCTCGAGTTGTGTCGTACATTCTATCATTTGCATATGCTGCGTAAGTGAATGTTGGGAAGATGAAGGCGACCTTATTTGTCGCCTTCTCGTCTAGATCTGGTCGCACGAAAAATGGAATCGTGTCTTTAGATTTCCCGTCATCGATCTCGATACCGTAGCATCCAGACGGAAGGTCTTTGGGCAAAGACAGTTCAAAATCTTGATCCCATGCTGCATCGTCTACATCATCATCATGAAAGTGTATCGCGCCATAACCATAAGAGGCACGATTCCAAGCAGTCTCAGACGCGTCCCAGTCATGTCCAGTGACACCTCTTGCAGGGCAATTGACAACCTTCCCGCGAATGGCATTACCCGACACGTCGGGAAACTCCTCTGAAGAGATATCTTTGGAGAAATCGAGCTGGAGAAGAGTATTGCAGTCTTCGCCAGCGAGATAGTCAACCTTGAAGCTATCGATTTTGCCATTGAATGTGGTAGAGTCGACGGGTAAATTGCTCACTCGCTCATTGGTTGAATGGCTGGCGATGGTTAATGGCTGCGAGGAAGCAAGGGCAAATCCATTCGCCAATGTAACCGCTCCTTGCTGAGTTGTTTGAGCAACAATATGTGTTGCCTTACTCCTTGCAGACACGGTAACGACTCGTGAGGTCGCGTCGAATCTGAAGTTCATAAAGTACCAGCCGTGTCGTAGCATTGATATCTGCACGGTGGCGGCTTGTTGGCCTTGCTCGCCACCCACGGCGACTGTTAGGTTTCCATCCTTCGCGATGTAAGATGCGAAACCGAGGCGACCACCGGGCTCGAGCGTAGAAAATAGATATTGTTCATGGCCGGCATCCCGTGGTAGGAATGGCTGGACCCAAAATGAAACTTCCAGAGTTGGTTCAGCGTCGAGCGCAGCAGAGCTGGAGTTTAAGAACCAGGGTACTGTAGCGAACGAGCCGGGACGTGAATATTGGGGTCTGCCGGGATGGCTAGAAGATTGCACGTTCGCGACAGGGTGATGACTTGGGGGCGGCGCATTGGCGTCATAGTGACCGGGGCCCATTCGTACGAGCCGGTTGGTGTATGAGGGTTGGTGACAGGACACATGGACCCCAACACGCTCGCCCGGCGAGACGACGAGGGGATCCGCGTATCCAATGATGTGCTGAGCGGCGTCTACAGGATACGACATTGAGATGAAGTTGGTGGCACTCCCAGGCGTGTGAGCGGGAATGTCATTGCTTAAATACACGACGCCACAAAGTAGCAGACTAATTCAGGCCCATAATTCTATACTTATATCGGTGCTTTGGAGGTAATAGGCAGCTGCCGCGCGACTGCATACGTTCTTTGCTGTGTAACTGTACATATTAGCCGGCTTGCACTCCTCACCCCCAACCAGAAACCCCACCCAGCCTCTCTCTTACCACATCCTCCATAGCGAACTTCGACGCGCTGTTGCGACAACCGACAAGATGGTCATGGCAAAGTTGAAAAGGTAGGATTTCTTTCCCATACAGGCCTGTTGGCTTAGTTGTACACATGCTAACCACAGTATTAGCCCGTTCATGCAGAATCTGCTTGCATCGATTATTGTTGCTCTCCTGCCTGGAATCTAGTATGACTTTTTTCACCCCTCTACAAAAAAAGCAAAATGTCTGACAACACAAAGTGTCGCCCTCACTGTTCTTGGAGCCGGAGGCGGACCTGCGAATGCGACGCGCATGGCCAACATATCCAATTCTGTCCTTTACGCCGTATATTTCGTCTTTGGCCTTTTCAGCGGCTCAGTCGTCTCGACTATCGGTCCGCGCTACACTTTCCTTCTTGGCTCCTTCGGATACCCCGTATATGTGGGAAGCATGTGGTATTGTGAGACAACCCTATGTCAACATGTTTCTGTCACATCGCTGAGTACATACAGTTAGCAACACTGGTAAGATATGGTATCCGATCTTCGGAGGCGCATTGCTGGGCATGACCGCTGTTTTGCTCTGGACTGCGGCCGGATTCATCGCCTTTTCATACTCAACGGAGCAGAAAAAAGGCGCCTACATCTCAATGCAATGGGGTTTGCTCAGTGTTGGGAGTAAGTTGGAATCCCCAGACACATTTTACTCCTTTGCATTCAGCTGACGATGCGACAGGTACATTAGCATCTCTGGTCGCGTTTGGAATCAACTACAACGCCTCTGTTGTCAGCTGCCCTGACTCAGTATACATCGTTTTCATCGTTTTGATGTGTCTGTCCTTCTTCGTCGCGTTTTTCGGCATAGTCAAGCCTTCGGAGGTGAGGCGAGAGGACGGCTCGGCCATAACGCATCATCAGCACAACGGATGGCTCGCGGAACTCAAAGGCCAGCGGAAGATCTTCACAGACTGGCGTATGCTCGTCCTCATTCTGCCTATGTTCGGCTCTGAAATTGCCATCATCATTTTCTCGACACTGAACTGTAAGTAGAGTAGCCGTTGAATACTTCCTCGCAGTACATACTGACCTTCTAAGCCTTATACTTCGATGTCCGCGCTCGCAGCCTCAATTCTTTGATGTTTGTGATCATGCAAGCTGTGGGTGCATTGGCCATAACACCTCTGCTTGATAGCGCAAAGATTGGCTCCAGAAGGATGAGAGGTCTGATCACCACGACCGCAATGGGCATTCTGACAATCGTCACATGGATTGGCTTGTTGGTTTGGCTTGACAAGAATCCACTGGATCCCTTGAACCCACCTCTCTGGTCATGGAGTCAAGGTCCTTATGGCGGATTTCTTGTCTTGACCTTGCTGCTTGGAATCAACATGGTTATCGTAAGTGCCTATTCTGATCACACAAGACGCTCTTGCTGACCAACGCAGTATCAAGTCGTGGTGCAATGGATTGTTGCGGCCCTGACCAACGATCCAAAAACCCTTGCTCGTTACGCTGGCTTTGCCAAAGGATGCCTTGCAGGTGGGCTTTGCGCAACCTTTGGCACAGAAGCTGCCGGGACTCTCACGCAGATGGATGTTACAGCTTTCTGTCTTTGTCTACAAGGGGTGGGGCTAATCTGCATGTTTGTCGTATGCTGGTTCGGCGTCAAGGATACCAACTATGGACTGGAAGAAGGGTCTGTTCTCCCTGACGGCCACGATTTGGACAAGAAAGGGGACACTGCCGGTTCTTCGCCTACCCTGTAAATAATTGTCCCCGGGACTCCCGTCAGAGAGATTCCCGCAGTGGCGTTGATCTTGGCGTGATTTCTTCGCGGCTTGTGCAGGGCCATGGAATCCTATGATCCATCATTTCTCAATTTGGAGACTTGCAGCGGTGTGATTTGAAATGCCATATGTGCGGAAATAACACCATAGAAAGATAGCTCCCCAACACTTATTTAATGCTAGCTAGTTTGCTCCATATGCCGCTTACGGTACACTCCGTGCTAATCCTTCTGTCAGCTTACGTCGGCTCGAAGCGAGTGCAGGTCCTTACCATATGCGTACCATGCCAATGGGAATTTCACACCACATCCGTTGGGGAGGGTAGCCCTGTGAAACCCTTTGATGCAACCCACCCCACGTTAAAATATTCAACCGCACAGAGGTTCTTTCCGGGCAGTCCCTAGACACTGGGAAAAGCAATCCGTTCGTATCGAAAAGTGCGTGCATCAGTTGCGGGGATTCCGCCTTGCCTTGAAACAATGTTAGATGATAAGAAGCCGAGTGCCGAGGCTTGGATTGGAGGACTAATTCCCTGCGGCCTGCATGGGGCGAACCTTTTGGCAAGGATAATACGAGCTTCAAGGGACGGCTCCACGGAACCTGTTCCCCCCGCCTATAGACTTCAAGCCGTACCCAGGAACGGCCCGCGAGCTAGGTACTGCTTCGGGATTTATCAGCTATGTACAGGAAAGAGCGCTTCTACGCGAAAATGGAAGGGAATAGATTCCTTTGCACACCCTGGTAAATACCATGGGCATCTATACGAAAGTTGGTGGGATGGCGAACGTCCCAGCGCACCTGTTGGCTTCCATTCACTCGCTGAAGGGCTAGAGACGAATCCCAAAGATGAATCTAGGGCACGCCACACTGGCAAAATCACACGGAAAATCGGCTGGAGATGATGACCAGCTTTTAGAGTAAACATACCGTGTGCGTTCCAGTGGCCATGGCATGATTTTACGTCCCGTCATGCCCCAGCGGGCCAAAAATATCATCCGTATAGGGAGCAAGTAGGAATAAAGTAGCGAATGCACTCCACGGTTGTCCCTTTGACACCAATCGGGCTGTGATGCCAAGCGACGCAGTTTGCCCTCCCCGAAACATGCATGCGGCCTGCAGAATGTCTCACGGTTGTCTGGAGAATCTATGCGCAAACTCCAATCTGCCCATATGTCACCCACGACTCGCGCGAATCCTATCACAGCTGTTGCCCCCCCAGAATATGCGCAATGCACGTGCTGTGGTTCGATTGAGTCCTCATATGTTGCACGTCGAGCGTCTCCACCACGTCCCTGAATCTCCAGCCTTTCTTGCAGCAGCCAAAAATACAAGTGGTTCGCATATCCTTTCCTTCTGCACTTAGCTGTGCCAAAGCTGTTCTTCAGGTCACTGCGCACTTGTGTATCGTTCCCTCTGCTTCAAATGGCTCCTCCAAAGATGTATGATCTCCACGCCGATCGCGGTCCGATTCTATATGCCAGTGTTTGGTCGGTCGCGCTCGTCGCCATCCTCACTCTTGTTGGCCGTTTCGCTTCCAGGAAGATGAAGGGCCAGAGATGGCTCGCTGACGACTGGGCTGCGCTTGTTGCTCTGGTAATTTCTCCTCTCGTGGTGGACCCTTATTCCACTCATCGCTTACGTGGGCGTAGATACTGGCGCTTGGGTGTTGCATATGCGCGACTCTTTGTACGTCAACTCGAGGGGACTGCGTATAGTAGTGGAGCTTGCTAACGAGAGACCAGCGGTGAAGTACGGCATAGGCCGACATTGGGACGCAATCAAGGACGGATTTTCCCCGGTTCCTTTCTGGAAACTGCTATTCGCGTTCAACCAAATCTATGTCATGACCGGCCCTGTCAACAAAGTGGCAATGCTGCTTATGTACCGCCGCATATTCATTACACCCTTCTTTCGCAACGTTGTAACGTGGGGACTGTGGATTAACTTGGCCTGGTGGATCGCTATGTGCGTTTCGGGAATCTTAACTTGCATTCCCGTACAGGCGTACTGGTACACGGACACACCGGGCAAGAAGTGCTTTGATCTCCTGCCTTACGATCTCGGATACGCGGTCGTGAACATATCACTCGATGTCTTCATCTTGGTTCTTCCCATTCGCGAGATCTGGAAACTACAGCTCAACAGAAGTCAGAAGATAGCGCTGAGCTTGATGTTCCTGATAGGAGCTTTGTGAGTTGCTCAAAGTACACAACTTGAACAGAACCCGATGGCTAATTTTCCCAGTGCGTGCGTGACAGCTCTCATCCGCCTTCTATCCGCGATTCTCTACCTATCTGACCCTGACTTCACCTGTAAGTCCCCTTACTCTGAAGAGCCGAGTCACACATGCTGATGTTGCCATAGGGGTGTATTTGGACGCTTTGATCTGGACAGCCGTCGAGCCTCTCGTAGCAGTCATCTGCATTTGTCTTCCAATGCTGCGACCCATTCTATCATCCATTCTTCCCCGTCAATTCCGATTGACCTCCAATTCGAAGACAGGACAGAGCAGTACTTCGAAGCAACAAAACACTCTCGTCACGATTGGATCGCATACGAAGTCAAGGCGCATCAACAAGCTGGGCATGGGATACACAGAGTTTGATGAAGCAGAGGAAGGATCACAGAAAGGGCTCAATACTGGTGGCCAAGATCTGACATTCGCGGAGGATCATCCGGGGTATGCAAATGGTATTGTAGTTCGGCAAAGCATTGAGCTGTCTCACTATCCTGCGTAGGCACAGAAGAACACCCCATTTAGACTATTGTTGTTTAGATAGTTGAGCAAGAAAATTCAACATCTCATTCTTCTGCCAAGTTTCATTCTTGTGTCATAGGTCAAACTTCGATCATTGAAGTACCGCTATGAGGTACTCCTATAAGGCTAACTGAGAAAGATCCATTGAAGTTGATCTATAAGAATCAAGAACTACTGTAATTGAGTGGAAAGTAAACGCTTCAACCCGTTTCTGTCCCAATCAGCGTATTCCGTCTTCCTCGGCAATCTGATCGTCCGTCAAACCACCTCTCAGCTTCTCCGAGTAGTCGTTGAATTTGGCCGCCACCTCCAAAGCCGTCGTCAGATGTTCAAAATTCATGACTTTGCCTTTCCATTCAGCGTACTGACGAGCGGTCGTGATGGCATTTCGTATTTGGCGTCCATTGATTTCGATGGCTTGAAGTTCCTCGAGATGATCGCGAAGCTCATTTACATCAACAGTCCCGTCCTGGAACGATTCAAGTCTATCAAAAAAGTTCTTCCAGATCTGCAGACGTTGGTAGGCACGCAAAGGTGGATAGTGAACGGCGATCTGGATTCGCGATCGGAATGCTTCGTCGAAGGTTCCTACCCGATTGCTAGTAAGAATCAAGATTCCTTCGTGATACTCAATGACGCGAAGAAATACTGAGACCAGTGCGTTTCGCTGGAGATCATCGAGACTTCTTCGCTCAAGGAAGACCTCAGCTTCATCTAGCAAGACCACACAGTCCCACAGCTTCCCAAGATGAAGCACAGACTCGAGGTACTTCTCAACGTCTTCTGCTTTGGTACCAACATCCCCACATGTCACCTAGTTGACTAGTTCAGCAAGGGAATCAATGAAATGCAGGAGAAACGTACTCGGTATAGGGGTTTCTTCGCGATCTCTGCCACACCCTCAGCAGTCAGCGTTTTGCCTGTACCTGGTCCTCCGTGTAGCAGCAAAATCAGTCCATTGCCTTTCCCAGCAACAACGTCAGTTGATTTAGCTGCTAAGATTTGCTTGCTCACTAAAGCCGTAATGAGCTCTTTTGTTTTCCTTTCGAGGACTAGAGAGTCAAAGGCTTTTCGGTTCCACGCCACGTGCTGGACTTGTTCCATGTTAAGGTCGTGCCACTTCTTGGTCCTTAGATTGAATCCCTTAGTCTGTGGGGGAGCCAAGTAGAAAAAGGACTCATGAGGAGGGTTGTCTTGGGACATCTCGCTCTCAGCCATGGTCTCGACAGGTCTGAATATCATGTGGCTCGTGTTGCTCGTATGGAGCTTTCCGAAGGTCAAGAAGTCGACCATAAATCGCTCGTCGGACTAGACGCACGTTAGCATTGATGCCAAGAAAGGGCCCATCAACTCTCTTATGAGGTGCACCCACTTCGTTCTCTGCGTCCTTGTCGGTTTCATGGTAGGAAACAAGACATCTTTTGCGGCACTCCCAAAACATTTTTCCGCGCTGATATAGTCGGGCAGAGACATCTTCTGGAGCATATTCCAGGGGGTAGACATCCAGGTCTCGTATGTCGCACTCTGTAGATCCACTTGGACCGTCCGATGCTTTAGAAGATAGCTGAAAGGTAAACACGTCTGGCACTCTTTTGAACTGTCCGTCAAAAGACCAGTTAAAGACATTAACTCTAAAGCTATGACTTGTTGTTTTCTTGGTGCTGGGCTCTTTCGTGTGCGCTTTCGCTTTCGCAGAGCTAGCCCGCGGACCAGCACTGCGGGCCGCGCGCTTGCCGCCGCCGACATGCAAATGAGATGTGAGAGTAGCCAACTCAGCGAACATACTGGCAGCATCCGATTCATCCTCTCCATCGTTATCGGATGCTGATGAAGGCCATGGTAGAACGTCTGGAACGTAGTCCGCGTTGGGAAGGTCTTGTGAGCTTTTGCCAGCTAGGTTTTCCTCCACCTGTTCTGGCCACGATGACGCCACAAGCCCTCTATATTGGCCGTCTGTCTTTGTAATCATGATATCCCCAGGCTGGAATAAGTATTTCACGAATTCTGCCGACACTTTTCCTCGAGCTAGAAGTGCATCGGCAGCTGCATACTCTGCACCGTAGTTTCTTGATACATACGACGCGAAGAGATTGAGACGATCGCGCGAATCTCTGGGACAGTGAGATAGAATGCTTTTCCAATGTCTCCTGTGATGATAGATGAACAGATAAGGTGAGGACACTTCCCCCGTGCGCTGTAGAGTCTTAACTGCATCTTCGTACCGCCAGTCCCGTTTCAACAAAACCTCGATGATCTTGCGGAGTCGTTTGTCGACAAGGTATAGACTTTCTGCAATATGCTTGGGAGGTGAAATGTCTCCCGCCGGAGGTTTCACTGTCTCCGAGTTAAAATTGCGGAAGACGATGAATTGAATGCCTTTATTTCTCTCTAGGAACAAGTCGAAATTGGCAAGAGGAATGCGACAGATGATAGAGGTCTGCCCTTCAGTCCACTGGGGATGATCAAGGTAATGGGTCCCGTTGAGTCGATAGATGACTTGATACCGTGTTCGTGAAGTTCCTTTTTTCTGAGTCGAAAGATCACGAAGTTGCCTCTGCATTTGCGCAATCTTGTTCTGGAGCGTTTCAATCTCACGGAATCTATCGCTTGGTTCAATCTCATCGAGGCCCTCTGTCCAGTCCCGGCTGTCCGCGGTATTTGCCTTTCCACTGGGTCTGTCCGGAATATTCAAGGTAGAGGCACCGCCCTCCCCAGTCTCGTTATCAGCATCATAGGACTCAGAAAATGACGCATTGCCAAGCTTCTTCCCTCCAACCGGGGGTAATCGACCAAATCTTTGTTGCATTCGTGTTTGCTGCAGTCTTGCTCGCTGATCCGGAGGTGAGGGCCTCGATGTTCTAAGGATGCGCTCCCTTGACCGTATCCGCCGCCGAATTGGATCTTCATAGGGGTAGTCTTCCTCGATAACCTCAACAATGTCGTCACCAATACGGTCATTCTTGTGAGTTGGGTAGGGAGAGTATGCATCATATTTTGACGCTGGATGGCTCTCAGCTCGATCCTGAAGCGCCGCTAGGTTCCTCACTTCGAGATTGCTTCCAGCGCTGCGATCATCCGAGATTGTTAGGTGCTCAGAAGCTGGCTCTTTTCCTCGGACCCGCGGCTCCAGCGGCTCCCGCCGACGCTCCTCGACCACAATAGACCGCTCAGCGCGTCTCCGCCGTCGATTACTGACGAACTCGTCTGAGCTCGCAGCAGACGTATAGCCTGAAGTACTCATTGTAGATGATTTCGTCTAAATTCCCATGGATATATCGAGAGGTGTTCGTGGATCATGGAACACGGGGAAAGTGGTTTATCAGCGGGAAGTGATAGCCTCAGCTATGCTTGGCGCGGGGTTGCAATCGCCAATCGGCGATCAAGTACATCTTCAGGCTGCAATCTGAGGAGGACAGGGGGCATTTTTCGCTTACGTCGTCGTACGGTAGGTGATGGTGGGGTTGCTGGTAAGCTACCACCACCATAATATCCACCATCTTCAAGGAGGAGTACAAGATTCTGCACGCCAAGTGCCTGCAAAAGCCCGACTTGGGCAGTTCCCGTCGAAAAATGCTCGCTCCGCACGCCAGCGCCGCCCGGCCAACGACTACCACGTCGTCATGGTATCTAGCCTCGTGAGTGAACCAAACTCATCCGAAACAGCGCTGATTAGTTTACAGATCGAATCCTTCTGTTTCAGCACAGACTGCATTCGAAAAGAGCTTTGCAAACTTCAAATTGAAGTTGGCGTTGCACCCAAAGAAGCGAGTTTGGTTCAACAACAGTCAGGCCACTAAGCTACAAGATGTCCTTGACGAGGCCAACAAAGCCCAAAAGAACTACGACGATAAGCATCGTGATTCGAAGCTGCACAAGTATATCTTGGCTTTTTCGAAGAGGGTAGCATACTACGGAAAAGTGTTGGATGTCATGGTACAGCACCACCCAGAGTACGTGTCGCTGGCATGGGGAGCATTGAAGTTCATCTTTGGCGTATGTATCCCCTCTGGAGTCTGGAGTTTAATTCACATACTGATTCGATGCCAGGTTATTATTGAGCACGATAAAATTGGCACGACAATCGTGACTGCACTAAACGATATTGGTGATGCATTGTCACGCATTGATCTCGCCGAGTCAATGTACCCGACGGAGAAGATGAAGGAAACTATTGTCATTTTGAATTGCCATATCATGGAATTCATCTGTAGAGCGATTGAATGGTTCGACTCTAGCCCTTGGTTGAGAGTCATCAAGTCCATCGCCAAACCTGTAGCGTTACATTACGACGACCTGATCAAAGACATCAATAGGACAATAGGCACGGTAACCGATCTTTCAGTCGCCGGGAGTCAGGCTGAACAACGAGACATGCATCTGGAGATGCTCAGAGAGCACCAGGCCGAACACGATTTTCGCTCGGTTGTCCAAGCCAGGCTAGACGAGATGCAGCACCAGTTGAATACAGTTGTCCAACAAAAGTTCTCCGACGGTGATTTGAAAGCCGTTTATTCAAAACTACATGAAGTCACGGCACTAGTACAAGGGTTGAGCAAGGACCAAGTGTCGTCTGAGAAGACACTGCTACAAGAGCTAGTTGTGATGAAACAGGATATTCAATCCACCCAAGCAGATATCCGACATCAGCTCTCAGAGGTCCAGCTTGATCAGGCCATCTCATACATGTCTACCAAATGTGTTATTGAGCACAAAGTGGCATACGAGCATGCCATCCTGTTACGAAAAGTGCATCGAGTCAGTTTAGACAGATGTGCGCCTTTCTGGGACTCGCAGCAACTCCAAACATGGGATCGAGCACCCTCACACTCCTCAATCGTGGTTTCGTCAACGTTCCGCGACCGACTCAACATCCGCGACTTTTACGTGGGGGTTATCGAGCAGTTGCTCGATACTCGTAGCCCAGTGCTCTGGATCATCCAGCAAAAGGACAAAAAGGGCGAGAAGCATAACATATTTGACATCCTCAGGAGCCTGATTGTCCAAGCGCTCAACCAAGCGCGTTCCACACAAACCGACGTCGGTATTTCTTCTCGCATACGGGGCTTGGAAGCCGCTACCTCCGTATCAGACTACACGTGGCTGCTGGTGGACGTTCTCTCTCAGCTTCAAGTAGTATATATCATCGTCGACGTGAACGCTATTTTGCCCGATTCAATCCAAGAATGCCGCGAAGTCTTTCAAAATGCTGTTCGTCTGATGGAAGAGCATCAAAAGCATACAGTACTCAAGACTATGTTCGTGGGGTATGTTTCCTTGAAAGATTTGCTAGGCAAGGACCGACGGCAACAGGCGGTTGTCAGAGTACCAGAAACATCAAAGAAGAAAGGGAAGAGAGTCCCACATGCTCCATTAAAGGGAAAGTCAAAGAATATAAGAAATCCGCGTTAGCGCTGTTGTATTAAGATATGTGAAGCACTGAGAAGAGAGTAAAAGGTTTTATTCATTCCCATTGTAACGATCTGTAATCTCGTGTGCGACACACGGGCGACTCAAGACAAAATAGAATGATTGATCAGCGTTGGTAGTGGATTAATGTAATGCCGGTTGAGATTGAAGCCTGGTTGAAGCCAGATAACTGGAAGTCTAGTCCACAAGTGTTGATCTGTAGGATGATTTTCGGGTCACCGTGAAGTTGTTCCAACCCGCTGAAAAAGCACCACTGGCCCTGAATTCCTGGATGAACTCGAATAGTCTATAGTCGAAGAGTTTTATGGATGGAGAATTTGCCAGCTCGAATATGCAATTTTGCTCAGGGCTAAAGGCCTCCCTAGTGTGTGTTGAATGCTCCAGATGTTTTGTAAGCAGGCCAGACGGGAAAGCGACCGTTGAGAGTGTCGGGATTATTCAGGTTTTAGGTTTTGACAGAGCTCGTGCAATGGGTCATCATGAATTCGGCCATTCTTTCACCATTCAGGCCCGGCTGCAATTCTGGAGACGGAGGACCGAAAGATTTGAGAGTGCCGAAGTCGTATGGCATGTCCAGCCCGTACCCTGGCGTTGGGCCGAAGGCGGGAGTGAAATTGAACAGGTATAGCCGGATTGGTTGACCAATTGACTTCTCGTGGAGATGGACCGCTTCCCAAGTCTACTGTCGTATAACTAAGTCTATGATCTAATCATCACATTTCCATGCGGCACATGCACTTAAGCAGGACGTTCAAATGTTGGGTCAATTATCCACGTGACTACATCAACGGCCATGGGTGGAATTATCGGTCACGTGATGATAGTCACGTGATAACGTATCGCACCTACACCCTTATATTGAAGCCCGCAGAAGGAAGAACACCCCCACAGGCATGAGAACCTGGATGCCGACATCCTCCAGAAGTATGGGTGACGGTATCGTTGGAGAAGCTTCTCACAATTCATTACCAACCTTCTTCCTGACGAACACATGGATATTTCAGCGGCCATGCGATTCTTCGTTCGACAGTAATTTGAGCGCGAGGCTCATAGAGCACTATATTGCGCGGACATCGCACGATCTCGTCCCTGCAGCGGATTCCAGGTCTCGAAGATCCACCCCTTTCTCCGACATGCCCTTGCCGCAATCTCTGGCTTGCATCTATGTCGGACGAGCTCCGTGAATCGCCAAGACTACTACAACACAGCCTGCTACCATTCCGTACAGGCTTCTCGTTCGTTTTGCTCGGGAGTGAGTAAAATGAGTGCGCAAAACTGGACTGCGGTTGCTGCGTAACCGTTCATCATTAGTTTCTTCACCGCACACCAACGCACAAATATACATCTGCAGCTAGCCCCCTTTTCCTGCGATAAATAGAGAGTGTACCTCAGCTCTGATGCAGCTTATAATGGATGAACACAATCGGAGCTGACTGCTAGAGTGAGGCGTTGGTGTTGGCCCCCTACTATGCCCCTCCTTCGTGTAACAGTAATATCTTTGGGGGCAAGATCTTAGCTAGCGCGCTAAATCATCTACTGTCTTTGCGTATTCAAAGGAGTTCATCTGATAATACACAAAATAAGAATCAGGCTCGCCCAAAACACGATATTTGAGCAAAAGGCTCTGACATGGCGGTTCGAAGATGGCGACACCCAGTTGAGAGTCGGAGTGAGCCACAAGGCAGCTTGTCAAGGCTGTAGCGCTAATACCACGAATGAACTTGCTTCAATAGAACTTGGCCGGTCATACAGTTTCGGCCTAACCCCTGAGTATCGAATTTCGAATGTATACTTAAGGGGATACTTTCCCAGCACACGTGTTGAGTCACACAGGGTGCATTTCGACATTCCTTCTTTATTAGCAGCTTATTTCCCAGCTCGCATCGAACATGGAGCCGACGGCAATCCTTACGGCGAGTGTCGCTGTTACCAAATTGGCTTTTTTTACATGTACTGAGATTCAAAACACCATCAAAACACTCAGAGACGTCCCTGAAGTCGTTAGGTCTCTGCATAGTTACCTACGCTTGACTGAAAAGGCCAACGAGAAACTAAGCGAATACATTGGGAAGAATCCCGGTTCATTATCCGAAGAGAACTCTAATGCACTTACCATTTCCCTTACGGGGTGTCAAAGCCTGTTAAACCGCATCCGTCGGCATGTTGACTACTCAACAGGTCCTCGTACCATATTCCCGCGCAGGATGAGTCATGTGTACAACGAAGCGCAGCTGAAGGAGGATCTCGTCCATCTGAAGACCCAATATCAAGCTCAGCAACACCTTTTCCGGGCTGTAGGAGTGTGAGTTAGGTCGAAACTCCTTTCTTGAACTAAAGACTGATACCTTCTTTCCCCAGGGTTCCGCCGTCGAGATCCGAGTCTTCACATACCTTCCTGAGATTAGATCCGGTTTCTGAAAGTGGCATATCGAGTCTTTCGTCACGCAATATTTTATCGGATATGGATGATGGTGTCGTATCGAGTATTTCGTCACACGGAATGGTATCAGATGTAGGGAATGGTGTCGTATCGAACCTTTCGCCACCCGATATTGAATCTGGTACAGGTAATAGTGTCGGATCGAGCAACTCGACACTCAATATTGGATCCGAGATGGGAGCTAGTACCGTCGTAGGATCTCGATCTAGTGTGATATATCAAAATACAATTCATACGGCGTCAACATCGACTCTGCGTTCAATATTGAGTAAGTTAGCAGCCTGATCCTTCTGAAAAGTCCCGTTCGGATCATGAACTGATAAGACGAAGGTTTGCCAAATCGAACTCTTCGAAAGTTTTCCTTCTCCGCAAGAGACACCAGGAAGCTATCCCAACAGTTGATCGCTACGGCCTTCCGCGGTGACGATGATCGCGTTTATGAACTACTTGAAGCTGGCGCGGATGTCAACTACAAAGAAAATCAGCGCAGAGTAGCCATCTGCAGCGCAGCCTCGCGCGGCCATACCAGCACAGTGAGGGTTCTGCTCGAGAATCATGCACGTGTCGACTCGGTGGATGGCCAAGGCATGACTCCATTGATGTGGGCTGTGACCACGGAAACCGAAGACCTAGTTGAGCTTCTTTGTAGCTATCACGCGAAGCTTAACAAAAAGGACAAGAAAGGCTCTACAGCTTTGCACAAGGCCGCTTCCGGGAGACCACGAATGACTGAGTTGTTGTTGTCCAAAAACGTCGACTACAATGTACCAGACCAGGATTCGATGCGACCCATCAACTTTGCTTGTGAAAAGGGGGACGACAGTTCTCTTCGGCTCCTTGTACAAGCAGGTGCAGATGTGTCAGCCAAATACAGTCCGCCAATCAGAAATTGCATATGGAACCTCCATGTCGGCACTGTAAAGACTCTCATAGACATTGGAGTGTCGCTGTCCGTCCGTTATCACATTAGGGAAACCGACAAGGGCAAGGTGTCGGCGCTTAGTCACGCCGCGTGCATCGCCCTTGACGAATCAGTCAAGAATTACTGGGCGAAAGACACCCTTCATGATTGGACTCGTTATGATAAGGCGATCGAAATAATCGGAATTCTCCGGAACGCGGGCGCGATTGCGCGCGGATCGCTCACCCATGTTTATGGAAGCGATGGCGAGCAATCCGCATCCTTCTACTACGGCGGCATGTTGCCTGACCTTATTGCGTTTAAGTGGAACCAAAAATTAGCATGTATTGGGCATCCTTACTATTATGGGGCGACCCCTGAAATGAGAGCCAATATATTGAATGAACAACGACGGTTAGAACGCTTGGAGCAACAAACCGCACTATCAATCCGACAACCCGCTTCGCAGCCTTCGACAGTGGAGTACCCTAATGCAACACTGCAACCATCGCCTTCCTTGTTCCCAACGTCCCATTACTCACTGAACGATCAATCTGCACTGTTTACTGGTCACTTCCCGGGGTCTTCCAATAACTTACAGTCTCCCCTCAATTATTTGTTGTGGATAGGGAAAGCCGAGCAGCCCCAGCCCGCTCACGACAACCAGCGTATTTCAGAACCTGCCAGGGGGTCTGCTCGGTCTATATATTCGGAACGAGGAGCTGGCGCGCTGGATATAGAATGTTAATTATAGTAGTAGGTAAGAAGTTCTAGGTCTAGGTAGAGAAGCGTAGAACTTAGTGACCAGAAAGCGAACGCTATTCTGCCGCACCAGAACATACTTGGTACAACTGGCCCACCTACAAATACTAGATTACAGTCTTTTTAAGCACGCTTCTACACTGGAACCCGCATCTAACCTACACCCGATCATAAGCGAGATGCCTAGATCCCCACTAAGAGCAATGCAGGTGACAGCTGCCTTACGAATACGAGGCGCGATAGCGCGCATCCTCAGCTCACCGCAAGAACCTGTATCTCCGCATCTGCTACGCTATGATCTCTGCGGCTAAGCGCACTATGCACCCGTGTAATTGCTTATAAGCACGACAAAGAAGGAATTCTGCTTTGCTTGTACAGCTGAATACTGCCAACTATTTATCTTATACCAACAATCTAATCATGGTTACCTTCGCCGCAAGTATGCTCGGGCTACTCCTCCTCTGGCCTCCAAGCGCCACTGCTTATGATTTCGATGCATTCTCTGGAGAGATATTAAGTCGCGATGTTTGTGTCATTGGTGGAGGGTCAAGTGGAACCTATACCGCCATCCGGGTACAGGAGATGGGAAAAAGTGTGATGCTCATCGAAAAGAGAGATGTGCTGAGCGGGGACACAAACACTTACAGTGATCCCAGAACACACAACACCATCGATTATGGCGTCGCGCTCTGCCATAACATCGATATCGTGAGAAGCTACTTCGAAAAATTCAATATCCCTCTCACTGTCACATTTCCAGGAGGCGCTGGGGGGTTATGCCGTGCATCTCTCCAGATTTCCTTACGTGTATCTGAGCTAAGGTCAGATTCTGAAAATCGGGTTTCACTGCATCCAAAATGCTAGCCAGGGTATGTCAGGTAGTACAAGAGACCGTTCTCCTTCAGCCTAGCCTAATGATGACTGCAGCCTGTCGTATGCATCCTTACTTGCTAGTATCCCGGGTAAATGATGTTGGCGTCATACGACATCTACATTACACCGTGTGGCTCCTGCTAAGATTTGCCTTCTTTAAGGCAAACCCCACCGTATAATAGGGTTCCGCCAATATAAGGTGGCATTAGCTTCTATCTGGTTTGCAAGCCAATACGAGATCTATCTGTAATTATGATTGATCCTACTGCCCAAAAGTTATATGCCGAACAAGGACGCATGTATCAACCCGTGCAATATTGGTCACAGACTTACGCCTCATTCAATTTGGCAAATCTCTCATTAATCTTGAAGGTATGACATCCGATCAGCCGACCGTTTTCCTAGTCTAAACGGCTTTTAGTAGAGGGTTGCCCGTCATGGCTTTCTACCATGCAGTCCGATAGTATTATTGTGGAGCGCCGTCAGCATGGTGCCGATGAAATTAATATAACCCTAACCCTGGAATGCTAATAAATATCCGGGCGTTCTTCTTGTACAGGAAGAAAAATGCTCCTATCAGTTTCGAGGCGCACCAATCCGCTTCATACCATACCCATGAGAAAATGCTGCCGGCCATAATTTGAATGGCAAATAATTCTCCAACCCACTAATGATCCTCGTCATCAAAGCTCCTTCCCCGACCCAGACGGTATCCCTGCGACTGTTGAGGGTCTGATCGGCGAGCTGTACCGCAAAGGCTGCTGGAGCCATTCCCGTTGTCGCAGCCTTTTCTTGTTCTTTTTCGTAGTTCTCCTTGACAGGGTACCATAGACTCCCCTCTTCTAAGTGATATTTGACATTGACGGTGTTGGTTTTAACATTACCCGTCATTACATAGACAGCTCGTACGCCGAGCGGGGCGAGCTCAACACGCATGCACTCGGAGTATGCATGAAGCGCTGCCTTTGAGGCACAATAGTTGGACATGAAGGGTAAAGGCAGATGTCCGGCAACAGATCCAACGTTGACTATGACCCCTTTGGCGGCGAGCAACGAGGGAAGAAATGTTTGGCACATGTCGATGACTCCGAACACATTGGCACCAAACATAGTCTTGCAAACGCCGAGATCGCTCTCGGTTGCCGGACGAAATGCAGCTGTCCAAAACAAAATTAATGATGTTTTTGCAGACAATCGAAGAGTATCGGTACATACCCATTCCGGCGTTGTTGAAGAGATAATCGAGTCCCTGCCCACCCAGGAGCTTGACAACTTCCTCACGAAAGGCCGCGACGGATGCCGGTTCATCGACGGTTAGAGAAAGGCATTCAATCCCCGATTTCTTCAAGTCTGAAATCTTTTCCAAAGATCGGCCAGTGGCAAAAACTCGCAATCCGCGGTGTTTGAGCTCTAGCGCAAGAGCATGGCCGATGCCCCCGGGGCTGCATCTGTCATCAAATGTTATTCTAGTCTCGCTTGTGGATAGAAAGAGGTAGTACACCTACCCTGTGATAATCGCCGTCTTCATCTTCGACCTAATGCTTCTGGCGTCCGCACTCTTGTGTCAATGTTGTCGCGTCTGTATAGTTTGCTTGAAGCAGCGAACATATCAAGCTGAATTGTACGAAGATAAGAGGTCGTTTCCAGCACGTTGCCCTACCAGATGCTTACCGTTCGTGGCCATCTGCACAGGGGCTAGCCCTGCCCCGCATGTTGTGTAACCTGCCGCTAGGCAGCAGTCACAGGTTACGAGATGCCCATTGTTAACATGGTTGAGATAGTGAAGGTGTTGTACTGCAGTTTAGTAAGGACATCTTTTATAGCATTTTCCCGTAATCTTTTAGTTATTAGGTTAACCTGCCTTCTTAAAACACCATTTTTTAAACAACTGTTTTTGCTTTAGTGCTCACTCAGCCTGCAAAAAAATCGATAGCATGTTGTTTAAGACCTCTGCTCCAACCAATATCCTTGTCATTACTTTATCTGGGACCTGGACAGAGCTAGGCTAACCCTGGGGATAATTGTGTACTACGCCTCCAGAGATGCGAATAAGGCTGTTTCAACCATTAGTATCTTGACAGAACATCTAGATGTTCGGATTCAAGTCTTGTAAAGAGGGGGATTTTAATGTGCTAAACTTTATTGCATTAGGGAGATAAGACGACGGGAAAAGGCTACTTCATAACGCGGGTCTATGAGTGAGACGGCTTCGGCCGTAGAATCATCGACCATTCAAGGCCCACTACCTTCTGCAGTGTCAAATAAGATTAGAGCATTACAGTGGAGATAAATAGAAATATTTGAAACAGATTAAAGACCTCAACGCTTGCTTCCAAACTCCACTTCCTTTGTCGGATGCCCCAAATCTCTTGTTCTCGCTTCCTCGACTACCTTGCCAACACTAACACTACTATCAACTCCCAATTCCCCAAGTATCGACTCCACGAGACACACGTGCCTCATGATTTCCTCTCGGGTAAACATCTCGTCGCTGTATTCGACCCTTAACATTAAAAGTTCTTCTGTCAACGTGAACTCGAACATGAGCGGAAACTTTGCGCCTTCACTCCATGTATTTAATTCGTCGAATCCTTCAAGACCTAGACGGTTGCGTCTGTGCTCTCGTTCGTCATGGAACGTGACCATGACTTCGGGAAGCGGATAAGTAGTGTTCGAGGTCGCCTGAGGCGAAGAAGAATGAGCTAAACATCCAAGGATAGCATCCCATGGAATGGCGTTGGCAAGCGCCGATTGACTGGATGCACGAAGTGAAGCCAGAAACTGATGCACAGGTGTGTCTTTCGGCGTCTGGGGTATGCAGATTGGCAGTGGTTGCAGAAAGAGGCCAATCGTGTTTTCGTCATCTTCAGAGCGACACATGAAAGGGCCGCCGTAGACGATATCAGAGGTGAAGACTGAGCCTAAGGCAAGCGACACTATGGCAAGAGAGACTTGGTGGTGCGTCAGGTTGTACGTCTCGAGCAGTGAAGCTAGAATTCTTTGCGAAGATGGAACAAGGACGCGGACGTAGGAGGTTCCATGGAACGTGTGCCGCGTGCGTCCGGTCATCAATGTAGAAGGCTCGTGTGTTCTGGGGAGATAACCCCTCCAGAAATCTCGAATGGTGTCATCCGTTTTTCTAGCCCAGTATGTATTGTCATATTGTTGCTTTGGAGCAGGCGGCGAGAACCCGTAGTAGAAAGCGGAAAATTCGTCAAGGAGGGAACGCAGGGTCGTCAGGTCGCAGATGATATGACTGATGCATATAACAAGATAGCGCGGCGAGACTGTTATGCGGACAGGACATTCAAGCTCAAGCTCGAACTCATGGTTGATGAGTTTCCGAGCATCTAGGCCTTTCACGAACTCTGTCCGGGGTGCGTGATCCTGATATATCCTGACTCCACCTGCATGGCTGATGAACCTGGAGCGCAGAATTTTGTGCCTTGCCAGCACTTTATCCCATGAATCGCAAAGTCTGCTATAGTCTACTGCAGCGGCATTCAGCTCGTAGACATGTGAGACGTTAAATGCCGAAGTGCCCAATCGTGCTTCATATTTTGCGAGCCAGTCGCGTTCGATAGGAGAAACACCATGAGGCCCAAGGGGCGAGCCGTTCACGGCGTTGAAAGCTTCCCTTGTGTCGGCGATTGCATCAATGGCCACTGACAGAGACTGGATGCGGGAATTCTCGATGATGGTTTTCATCGAAATGTGGCGATTGAATTTGCGGGACAGCATATTGGCTAATTTGATCTGTAGCAATGAGTGACCTCCAAGGGCCAGAAAGTCGGTATCAGAAGATATGTCAGTCTCCGGCCCAAGTTGTAATACCTCTCTCCAAGATTGTGCGATGGATTGCTCTGTGCCTTTCAATGTATGGGTTGCTGGATCCGCAACATCATCAGGCTTCATGGTCTCTAAGGCCTTGTAATCGAGCTTTCCAGCGGCCGTGAGTGGAAAGTCGTCCACTATAATGATCCGTCTTGGAGTGGCATATCCCGGAACCTCTTTCAGAATTCTCGCACGCACTGATGTGACATCAAGTGAAGCCGGTTGCAAGACAGCTATTAGAATATCCTCTTTACGATATACGGCAACATTCGTGCTCTCCGGAATAGCGCGAGCTATCCGGACTTCCAAGTCCTGCAAGTCGAGGCGGAATCCCCGAAGTTTTATCTGTCGATCCATGCGGCCTTTGCAGTGGAGCTCTTGTGTGACAACATCCCAGTGTCCAAGATCGCCCGTCTGATACATCATCTCGGTGGGTTCCAACAACACGCTGTCCGCGGAGAACTTGCGAGCTGTCTCTTTCGGCTGCCCAAGATAGCCTTGGGAGACTTGCACACCGGCAGTATAGATCTCCCCGATTGTCCCAGCCGGCATGAGTTGCTTGTTGCGATCGAGAACATAGACGCGACTGCTTGGATTGGGGTACCCAATGCTAACCTTTTCTCCGTAAGACAGTCGCTTTAATGTTGCGCCGCAAGTTGACTCCGTTGGACCGTACATATTGTATAAGCTCTTGTTGTTGGCCCACTTGTCACATACGGACTGAGGCACGGGCTCGCCAACCATGTAAACCTATCAAGTATTAGTCTCCTCAGAATAGCAGTATAAGGAAGCAGGAAACGAACATGTTTCAGATTATTGTAGTCCTGGGGGTCCAACACCTTCCCCACAGATGGTGTAAACAGCGCTACGTCGCATTCTTTGACATGCTCGAACGGATGCTCTGCGTTTTCTTCCGGTAGATGAATCGTGGCGCCGTAGCATAGCGCAGAGAAGATCTCCAGAATAGATCCGTCAAACACAGGTGACATTGTCTGGGCGATATGTGTGCCATGCTTTGCGTGCAATCGAATTTCTTCAGATGCAAGAAACGCAGCTAAGCCCCTGTGCGTGCATTGGACAGCTTTAGGCTTTCCAGTTGAGCCAGATGTGAAACAAATATATGCTGCATCCTCGGGGAACGGGTGGGCTCGATTTGAATTCCGTTGTTCGTGTTCTTGTTGTTGTGGTGCACCAGTGATGTCCTCGACGACGAGTCGCTCAGACGCACCTTGCGGGCTTGATGAAATCGTTTGGTGCGTTGTGGCAACAAATGTCCGAGCGCGACACCGTTCGAAGTTCTCGTTCCGTACATTGGAAGGAACTTTGGGGTCCAGTGGTACGTAAACTCCTCTGGCTTTAAGAATTCCAAAAGCGGCGACTAGCCAGTTGATCGATCGATCCGCAATAACACATACAGCTTCCCCTGGCCGAATATGACCAAGAGCCCGTGCGACAGAACTTGCGGCACAGTTGAGTGTATGATACGATACAGCTTGCTTGCCTCTGACTGCTGCAATGCTCTCTGGAAACCGATCACAGGTTTTCTCAAACAGTGTTACTATGTCGTCTTCCTTGCTGGCGTTCTTGCCGAACGTTGACATTGTGTTGCAGTTGCTTGTATGAAGTATCTGTGCCTTCTCCGTAGTCGATATGAGCTGGTCCAGGCATACCAGCAGCGAGCTTTTACACTCGAGCAAAACTTCCATAGCATTTTGAAATAGCTTTCCGAGGATCTCCATTTCGCCTGTGTTGTAGCGAGCTTGATTGAATCGAACTTGAATAGCACCGTTGTCTAAGATGATGACACTGATCGGGATGTCAGACTCCATGGTGAAAGATGACTGCCCGATAGGTCGAATATCGTACGAGGGGTCACAGTCTTTTGAGCTCATATCATATTGAAATGCCAGCACAGATGAGTACTGTCTGGTAATCCCATCTCCAGGTTGCGCCAGTTGGAAATCGGAGTATTCGCTCAGGGTCCGGAAAACGCTCTGTATATAGGCTGGACTGTCCAGGGCGTCGGACTTTGCGGATGATATGAACAAAGGCAACGTGTTGATACATGGCCCAATGGTCTCGTGTATATTTGCAACAGGTAGATCGCGCCCCGAGAAGACTATTCCGAACGCTACCTGGTCGTTGTTCATCAGCTTGCTTAGAGCAAGGCCCCAGGCGGAGCAGTAAAACGCGGCCGGAGTCACTCCAATGGCAGCGGAAAAACCAGCTATCCGATCATGAGGAAAGTCGAAGGTCAAGGTGGATTCTCCATGAGCATCAATTTCCGAAGGCAGGCGAGGGGATGGGAAGTCAATCTCCCATGCAGCCGAGTGGAACATGGCATACTGTGATGTCCAGTACTCTCGTGTTGCTGTTCGCCGAGCTAGTTTCAGTTCTTTGAGTTCTGATGCGACAGCCCAGAAGGAAGGCCCCGGAGAAGTAATGTGCCCGTTCGCCACGTCGATCATCTTTTGATGAAGTAGGCGTGCTGAATATCCGTCAATAAATGCGTGATGCACACACCAGACCACGGTACTGATAGAATCGGCGCTTTGCGACTTTTCCAAAGTCACGGCCTTGAAACACGACAGTCTGGTTCGCGTCTGATTTGCCTTGATCAATTGTGTTCGGTAATCTTGCTCGCTGTCCACCTTGACCTCTGTCCATTGATGGTGAGAATTGCCATCTCTACAAGAAGTCCCGGGAGTGTGAAAAACCGCCTCTTGATCTATAACATGATTCCAGGCCTGGCGAACACTGGGAAGTGCAGAGGCTGGGTAGGTCTCGGAGAAGCGTATGATATTTGAACCTGGTGAAACCTCGTTCTCGTGTATGAAGGCCAATTGCGTCTCGGTCAGTGCTTCCTCGTCTTGTAAAAGTCCAACACTGGCCTCATTCTGGATTGGCTCGGATCGGAAAGCAGAGGCCAAAATGCTTGACTTCGGATCCTTTGAACAGTGACTGTGTGTCGTTAGAGACTTTGTCAATCTGATTCTAAAGAATGTGTACCTTGTAGTATTTTCCCCAAGATCGTGGATACGACTGCTTCTAAGAATATCGCGTACTGTAACAGAGAGATGTCGTTCTGTACAGTAGGTCGCGAGTCGCACCGCCGCTAGAGAGTCACCACCAAGCGTAATAAAGCTTTGAGAGCCGTCGATATCCTCTGCACCAATGTTGAGAACAAATTGAAGACCTTCAAACACAATTGGATGGATGCTCTGAGCTCGATGCATCGTGGCGACCGGTGGTGTTCCTGCTACCGGGAGCTAGTTCCCAATATTGCTTTACCCAGGAAACTTTTTTCCACTTCACCTAATCAAGATTTCGTTACCAGTACTGTGCCGCAGTCTCACTCGCATTTGCTGCCAAGATCAGGGATCGGCGACCGATCCCTGTAGTTCGTCCACCGGAAGACTGTCAGCCCGCCGAAACACTGCCCAGGCAGACCAGTGTTACTCACATTGCCTAGGTCCATGAAAATAATGATACTAATCGACTCGGAACATTGCTAATATATCGTGGCAAAATGCAGCCTCTACTTCGAGTTGCAATTATCGGAGGTGTGTCCATGCGGATCCCACGTGCAGCTGTATACTAAACCCAGGGTAGGGGGACCAGGCGGTCTGACACTAGCGCGGCTTTTACAGAAGCACAGTGTGGCTTGCACTGTCTTCGAAAAAGACAAAGATCGGAATTCTCGCCAGCGCGGTGGCTCGCTCGACCTTCATCCACAGTCCGGACAACGTGCGCTCCGCGAAGCTGGTCTCTGGGAGCACTTCAACCAACACGCGCGAAGAGAAGCAGAGACACTGCGAATTTTTAGCCCCCAAGGCGAGAAGCTACTTGACGAGAGCAGTGGAGAGGGTGGGCGACCGGAAGACTTCAACGACAGACCAGAGATAGACAGAAGGGATCTTCGGCGCATCCTTTTGGATTCTTTGAAAGAAGGCACCGTGAAATGGAATTCAAGGCTGAGTGGGATTGGGGAAGCCGCGGATGGGAAACTGCATTTGGAATTCGCAGATCGCACAGAGAAGGGATTTGAAGTGGCTATCGGCGCCGATGGGGCTTGGTCGAGCGTCCGATCGAGAGTGACGGAGCAAAAGCCCTTGTACTCGGGCATTGGTGGTCTTGAATGCTTCATCTCAGCGGCAGACTCCAGGAAACCTTACCTGGCCGAGCGAGTCGGCAAGGGGATGTGTTTGACACTAGGAAAGGAGCGCGGCATCATGGCCCAGACCAACAGCAACGGTATACAAATCTATGCCTTCGCTCGTATACCAGAAGCATGGCACACAGATGGCGGCATCGACCTGACGGCTCCAGAAGCCAAGCAGCATGTAATTGATGCTCTGTATCCAGACTGGGAGACTACCTGCCAGCGTTTGGTGCTTGAAAGCGATATAGAGACGAAGGCCCGGCCGCTCTATATGCTGCCTGTCGATTTCGAGTGGTCGCACAACCCTCGGTAAGTGTGTCGAGTCGCATGAAGGTGCCTTTGGGCTGACAGAGCAAAAGGATCACGCTCATGGGGGATGCTGCTCACCTGATGACACCCTTCGCGGGCGTGGGGGTTAATGTAGCCATGGAGGACGCCATGGAGCTTTGTGCGGCTATAATTGAAGCCAGGGACAAGGGCACGCCGGTAGCTGGGGCGTTGCGGGAATACGAGGTCAAGATGTGGAAGAGAGCACACGAAACAGCTGAACTGAACATGATGTACCAAGGGCTATTTTTCCATGAGCGAGGCGGGGTTGCGATGGTGGAGCACTTTGAGGAACAGAAGCGGGCAGAGGCACATGTGTGATGTTCACGCATCATGTGATTAGATAATATCGAGCACGTGATGAAACCACGTGCTCTCAGGCAGTCTCTGAATCTTTGGGTACATGTACATACGTAAGTACTTGAGTAGAGTTGGGTAGTTCATAATACTTTTAGTATTAATATCTAAACTAGTTGGACATGACAGGCGCTGTGCCATTCCAGTCGTCCTTCTCTACCGCGTCCAACAGAAAGGTCGCCACACTATCCCTGGTGGCCGTCTTGAGGGAGCCGATACCTTCGCCCGTGTTGCCGTAGAAGTGAAGCGGTGACGACGGGCCGGGGACAAAACGGGCCGGGCGCGCGAGCACGTAGGAGAGGCCGCTCTGCTTGATGATGTGTTCAACTTGCTCGTGGTCTTTGTAGCCAACGCCCATGTTGGAGTAGCGGACCAGCATCTTGACGGGCAGGAACAGGGTCGCGAACGAGTCGCCAACGCCGTGGGCCTGGAGGGTGACGATCTTGGGCGTGCCGTGCGTCTTCATAGCGGCGAGGACGTTGACGTGGGCGTCGTGCATGAGCGTGGGCGGCGACAGCTGCTTTGCAAAGGGGTTGTCGCTGGTGCGCGCGCTGTTGAGCGTCACAACGACGGCCTGGGGCGCATCGTTGGGCACAGCGACGAAGGCGCGCTCGACGTCGGCCTGGTCCTGCGGCTGGCCCTTGACGACGGTGAGGGCGCCGTTTGCATTGGAAACGGCGGCAAGCGATGCCTCGTCTCGCACCAGCGCCGTCACCGTGTGGCCTGGGCACTGTCTGTCAGCACCTGTACATAGTATACTGTAGCGATGGAGCACAGGGCGGGCCGAGCCGGCGCCGTCTCAGCTAGCTTCTGGTGTTGAACTCACCTCGCGCGAGCGCGCCTTGGACAACCAACTTGCCCACACGCCCCGAGCCACCGAGAATGAGGATGCGCATGCTGGGAGCGAGTTGCTGAAGTCGAGAATGGGTGGCGGATGGGCTGAGGACGAGCAGTCGGCGCCTGGAAGTGTCTTCTAGGCACATGCACATGATGTGTGCACCTACCCGCAGCCTGCCTTGTCACGTGCAAGTGGCACAGCACCGACCGCGCCGCCGACCTCGCCGAGACGTCGTCACCGACCTGCACACTTCTATACCTACATGTAGGTAATCATCCATCGTCACCGACGGCTATGTAGCTATGTAGCCATGTAGGCCGAGCCAGACAGCTTCCCTCGCCTCGCCGACATGGCCCTCTCCGTCGTCGCCCTCAGCATTGGGACCCCCGCGCTGCACACCATCCACGGCCACGACACCCTGACCTCCATTGTGCGCACCCCTTTCGACGGGCCTCTCACCCTGGACCCAGACCAAGGCATCGCTCACCACCGCTCCGCCATCCACAACGCCCATGTCTACGCCTTCTTCTCCCACCACTACGACTTCTGGACCGCCCGCCTGGGCATTGCCCGCGCCTCCTGGGATTGGTGCCACTGGGGCGAGAACCTGACTCTCGCTGCACAAGACACTTCGCTCAACGAGACGGCTGTCTTCGTTGGCGATGTCTGGGAGTTCCAGGACGGTCCTGTCCTGCAAGTTGCTGGCACTCGTGTGCCCTGCAGTCGGCTCGCATGGCGATGCGGCCAGACGGGCGACTGGCTGTCCGACGTGGCCAAGTTGGGCTTTTGCGGTGTTTACCTGCGCGTGCTGCGACGAGGACAGCTACACGCCGGTCAAAAAGCACGCATCGTGCCGTCTGCTGGTCCCCTAAGAGTGCCTGTTTCCGACATCCCGTCGTCCATGTTTGCTCCTGTCTCGGACCCGGCCACCCGTGATCGTGTTCAGCGCATCTTGCAGCATCCAGATCTGGAAGACATGAATCGGCAGTCCCTGACACGCAAGCTCTCCATGATACAGGACCAAACTCTTGCTGGGAGAAATGCCTGGAAAGGCTGGCGGAAACTGCGCATAACAAGCGTGGTGCAAGAGTCTGCCGATGTTAATTCGTTCTATCTCGAGGCAGCAGATGAATTGCCGTTGGCTAGCTTTGTGCCTGGTCAATTCCTGACCATACGTCTTCCCTCAGGTCTCGTGCGATGCTGGTCACTCTCTTCATGGTCTGGATCACAAGCAGACCCCCGTTTCTACCGCATTAGCGTCAAGAAAGGACCCAACGCGTCTCGGTGGCTCCATGACTCGGGTCTTGAAAACGTGTCTCTAGACGTTCGCAGCCCAGCTGGCTTTTTCACTCTCGACCTCAAACCGCAGTATCCCCCACGTCAAATCTACATCTCTGCTGGCATCGGCATCACAGCCCTGCTACCTATGGTCCAAGCCCACTTTGATCACGAAACGTTCCGCCGCACGCCCGCCCTCTGGGTCCGTGTCGCCCGCGACGGATCCACGTCGGGCCTCTTATCAAGTGACATGCCCAGAAACGAATACACCAAAGAGTTTTTGGTATGCAAAACCTTCTTCACGCATCCTCGATTATCCATGGACACCATAGGTCAGAACCATGACTATGTCGGCAGACCAACTCAAGATGCAATCTCCGAGCTATTGCGCGATCCCTACTTTATTGATCCAATGCGCATCACCCCCATTCAGATACCGGGAACTGTGGGTACCGCCTATATCTGCGGACCCCCTTCGTTTTGCGAAGATATGCGCTCCCTTCTATTGCTGGCAAAGTTTCCCGCACACTCAATTCACACGGAATCATTCTCGGTGCAAACACCTTCTTTGTCATCCCTTTCCAGCATTGTCCCAGAAAAAGCAGTCGTGAATTTCACACGCTCAGACACAGAATCTGTATGGAGAGAAGGAACCCATTCCATTCTTGAGTTAGCCGAGAATCAGGGGCTTCAACCTGAGTACGGATGCAGGTCCGGATCCTGTGGCAGCTGTGAGGTGAAATTGAAAAAGGGAACGGTGCGATCATGGAGTGGGCAGGCCGAGAACGATCAGTCTGATGGTATGGTAAGAATCTGCTCAGCAGTACCAACGAGTCGTCTTGTAGAATTAGAGTTTTAGGAGCTCAATCACTACTTTCATTATTATTCACACACTTGATCTCCATCGCTGGATGATTGATCCAGCACTCTTCATCCCATCTCCACTCGTCGTTCTCGCCCACCACCAACTCAGACCGCTGCACCAACTCATATATAAGCGCCTTAATCATGACATCCGCTACGTGTTTCCCCAGACACAGCCTTGGGCCAAATCCAAATCGCCAATAGCGGTACCGCGACTCCTTGCCACTTATGCCCCTCCATCGCTCTGGTCGAAAACACGTATTGTCAGGCCCCCATGCCGGATCCCTTATATTAAGCGCATGCGTATCGACGATGAAATTCGTACCGGCCGGAACTTTGTAACCTGATACAAGGCGAGGCGTCGGGCATGACTGTGGAATGGAGAAAGGAACGAGGGGGCGTAGACGGGCCGCTTCCAGGATCACGTGATGAAGGTATGTGTCCTGTGACAGGATATACCGCTCCATCTCGCCTTCTGTCTCTGGGGATATGGATGCAATTTCACGCCGGAGCGTGTTCTGCACATCCATGTGCGCGGCGAGAAAGATCAGTGGCCACGATATGCCTCCCATGGTAACGTCGAGATTTGCGAACAGCATCTCGTCAAGCGTCTGAAGAATGTGTTCCTGGGTGGCAAGTCCCTCCGCGACTGACTTGTACATGTCCAGGATGGCTGGTCTGAGTTGTGTCATTTCAGTTTTCGAGGCCTTCCCGTCGTGTTGTTGCTGCGACAGAATTGCGGCAGCATGGGCGTCGTCGTTCCAGCGCGCCCACTCAACTTTGAACGCATCTATTTCACGGTGGATCCGGAGTGGCAGAGCTCGCGACGCTTGGAAACGCGATATTCCTCCCTGGATGACCTGATTAAACACCTTGACTCGTCCCGGTATGAGAGCAATGAGCCTTCGCTGAAGATCGTCCGACAAAGGTCCGTAGAGCACCTCTGCCACCACGAGAAAGGGGTAGTTTTTCAGGTCGACTACGGGGTGAAGATTCCATTCTCTACCCGGACGTTCATCTGTACTCTTCTCCCACTTCTCATTTGTTCGGTCCGAGTACATTGTAGATATGTAGGTTTTGGCATTCGCGAGCACCCGAGGGATGAGCGCTTTAGCACTTGGACGGAGAAAGTGTTGCTCCGTGGCTCGTCTAACATTTTGCCATTCTGAACCGCTGATTAAGCCTACACAGGATCCGAGAAGTAGATTCATAAGATGTCCGCTGTTGTTCGAAGGCGCTTTCTGGTGACTGTGAGAGTCGCGGAAGACGACTTCAATATCACTTGGCCTAGTAAGAACTCTGCATTCAAACGTAAGCGTAGTCTTCATCTTCATCCTCAGCGAATATCCCTTGATATCTGGGCTTACATCTCAGGATGTACTTACACTTCACCTTGAAAGCCAGACCAGATTCGGTACACTGGCCCGAACTGCGAACCCCATTTCACGCTATTCTCTTGGCCGTTCAGGAACTTTTCAACATTGCCCTGACCATTTGGTAGGATGAATGGAGTGGTAGGTAAATCTTCGTTTGATGAAGCGTGGTGAATGGGGTACTTCCGCCGTAGGATTGACTGCACATGTGCGTAAGCGTGGGATAATCATTCCTGTCCCGACGATCTGTCTGCGACCAGAGACTTACATCAACGACTCGCGAAGCAACTTGAAAATATCGAAATGCGACTATGCTTGCAACAAGAGTGAAACCAGCCCAAATGGGTGATCTGAAGCCTGTCGAGAGATCGAAATCCATCATATTATGCCATGTATCATACGACCGGCGAAAGTCTTGAAGGCTGCCCGGTGCGGAGACACTCCCATTGTATCGACTTCATGGTTATCAAGAGGCACGAGACGGGAAGGATACTCAGACTTGATTATGATAATCTCAATCACTACGAAGACCAAATGCCTTTCGGTGTCTTACGATGTGCGCCGCATATCTTCCCGGGTTCGGCGAGCAGTTCCAGGGATCGGTGAGGCACAGCAACAGGCTTGGCGCATTTTCAGGGATCGGTGTGTTACACAAGAACTTTTGCCTGATACTGTGCCCCATAGTCGATGATAAGACACTGAGTCTATTATTTTATTATCGCATATTGCATGCGGCACAAACACTGGGCATTGTCAATCTGCCTTTGAGCTCCCTATGATGAGGCACAGCAAAGGGCTTGGCAGGTGTGCCAGGGATCGGTGCGCCGAGCGAGGCGAACTCTGCATACGGAAAGAAGTCGACAATCCAATCTATTGGATATGCACCCCTTATGTTATGTGTAGCATGTCTTATATCGCTGCAGGTGTAGCATGTTATCAATTTAAAATCGGCCACCGAAATGCTGACTTTTCGGTTTTGCCCTTGCACACGAATACATTCACCGGTCATCAAATAAGCAGGTCACACTGAGCTTTTACACGTGCAAAGAGCACACAGAACCTCTGAGAACTGCAAGACATTGCAAGACATTCGATGGAATCTTGATTCTACGCCTTTATGTGGTATAAGCGTAAGATGCTAGTCCTCCGGTTGTTTCTCTCTGCCATATGGTATGGCGGAACAAGTTTCGCTGCCGTGGTCCCACGGGCATCATACTTCTCACCAAACGGCCTCCCTGCATGTGCCTTTGGATCTCCGGAGCCATGTCGATGTCCAGAAAATACCACCTTCCAAAATAGCACAACAACCGTGACCATCGGTGCCAACGCAAAAGATATAGCAGCTATCTTGTACAGCTGTAAGAACTCTTCCCCCGCTCACAGCCCTAAATTTACGAAAATTGCGAGATCAAATTCTTACAATGGTTGCAATGAAGTTTTTGATGTTCCATGGATCGGCGTCGACCCTGTCGAAACGAGTGGCGAAGATCTCACCGTCGGGTCTACGCGCACGATGCCCCTGGACGGGCTTTACCTCGTAGAAGAGCTTTTAGAGGCGTGGAAGACGCAAAACGGGTCGTACAAAATCGTTCTCGGCCAGAAAAATGGTGAGTGTTCCGATCAAAAGCGGTATCAAAATGTCTAATATGCTAGTGCAGTGCCAATCGTCCTGAATGAAACGTATTACTTCAGCGGGTATTGGGATGATTCAGAAACGACCTATCTGAATGACACACATACAGAGCTTTTATGGCATGCACACGGGTGTATCACGCTCCCTGCTGGTTAGTGCTTCTTTCTCCCGTTCCTTGCGCGCAGGCAGGGTCTATACCCCCAAGTTCATGGAACAAAGCTTTCACAAGCTGACAAGCACGTGGCAGGATTCGATACGTTCCAGCGGGATGCGATCAGCAACACGTTCAAGTACCTAAAAGACAGGGACCAGCTTGTTGGAAACTCGACACTTCCATTAACGGTCGTCTTTCCGCCCGAGATGGCAGGAAGCACAACCCTTTGAGCATCAGGGGCACCGTGCAAAGACCGCAGAAAGCTTGTCTATGAACGCTATCATCTCATCAACTATTTCTTGATTCTCTCAATTCTTGCGAAGGATGTAACAAGTACTTTTGAACGAACAAGTTCATAACGCATCCTGCGCTTCGAACCCGAGTTCTTCAATGAATGTACATATGTGCACGCACGCACGCAGATGACCAAGTGAAACTCCGATCTATGCATTCTTTACGATTTGAGCTAGAAACTGTACACGCTTCCGAACATCTGTCAAAAGAGTACGATACGTTTGATTTTGCGATCCCACAGCGACGGGCTGCTGTTGCAGGGCACGGCCAAGGCCACCAGCCACAGCGAGGATCCTCGTGAGCTCTTTCAGAACAATCTTGATACGTATCTGACGCTGAGATTCTACGTCGACCTGGAAGCTTCCAAGCAGAAGTATTGGACCATTCGTCATGTCGAATAGGGCTGTTTCGGTGCCGCGACCGACGCATTCCTCAAAAAGCGCGAGGACCTGCGTTAAACAAATTATCATCATGAGAATTGTCGACATGCGTGAGGGATCTGTGGAAAGATCCATGAGGCTAGACTCTATTATCTGAAGGTAGAAGGTATTTGTACTGAGCACTTCGTCGAGGGCAAGCGGCGACTGCAATAACTTCTGGCTCAATTCGTTGATTCGCAAAGTCAGCTCTGCGGTGCTTCCTTGATCGGTCGAAATCGAGCTGAAGGTAGATGCGGTTGTCGACACGGACCCGGTTCTAGGTTGGGAGGGTACTTGAGAGTGAATGGGCGTCTGCAAGGGAACGCCCGGTTGTGATTCTGGTGTCGCTAGAAAGTCCATTTCGGAGAGCTCTTCCGTGTTCGGAAAACCATCCATCACACAGATAGCATCATCGAGCGGCCCAGTATCTTTCGTGGTACTAACAGAGTTGTCCAAGTTCAGGTCTTGAGTATCTTCGCTGTGCATTAGCGTCCAGAAGTCGAGATTGTGGGCCAGGGATGGTGATTCTGTGACGAGCGGCTCATTATCTTTCATGCTACTAACAGAGTTGTCCAAAGTCTGGTCTTGAGCATCTTCGCTGTGCATTGGTGTCCAGAGGTCGAGATTGTGGGCCAGGGATGGTGATCCTGAGACGAGCTGCTCAAAAGCCCTTGCGTCTCTGAATGAGGCGACCTGGATCTCGGAAGTCGTACTCATTTGCTTGTGGACTCTATTTCCAGGTGTCTTTCCGACGTTCGAGGCACTGTAATGGCATTTCCGTCTGCCGTGTTTGCATCGTCGACATCCTGATTGTTCTCCTGTGCAGCGAACCTTTGCTTGTATATTAGCCGTCAAGGTTCCGGAGATCATGTTGCAATAATACCTTGGAGTAATGGCAATGGTCGCAAGCACTTCGGAGTTTGGATAATGCGTTTGTATTAGACCTCGCCATGCGATGAACTGCGTGAGGTGGCCCCGGTCAGGGCGCCACCTGTGTATGGTGTATACAGATCATATAGATAGTGCTGTAAGGTACCTGCGCCGTAATAGTTTTGTGTCTACCCCTCCCCAGCGTCTTATTGCTCGGAATCCGAAGGTAGATTAATATGAACGCACCAGTGCATAAGATCGACAAAGAAAACAGGCAGGAGGCAGGGTTTAGCAGCATCTCGTACAGAACCTGTCTTTTTTTCTCTAAAAAGATACTGGTCTCGGTGTGTGGCGTAGCGGGAACGGCACGCCCCGGCACCAGCCGTGCCTCAACCCAACCGGCGTGCAGCGGCCGCCCCCAAACAATTCAAGGATGCGCCGCGCCAAGCTTCTTGCTCCCCGAAACCCGGTCTTCAGCTGTTACACTGCATTGACCTCGTATAGACTCCCTATCAGCATGCATGTGGCTACAAAAGATTGATATGAGACCATCGCTGCCTTCGATCCCGGATTCCTTCCAGTCTCTATCACAGCTCACTAGCGTATCCATATGCTTGCTGACCGTCCACAATGATCGAGATAACTATTCGGCAGGATTCTACGGTTGCCATCAACCTTATAGCTGTAGTCTCCCTATTCTTGGTTTTGGCCACCGTCGCTGCCTTGTTACGTATCCCCGCTCGACGCTATACACGGCAGAAGTTCAACTTGAGCGATTACACAGCCTTCCTGGCTCTGGTACGGACGCCGCTCGTTTTTTTACTCGAGAGTCCATTGCTAAAAGTACCCAGTTTTGTGTAGCTGGACTAGCTGCCACTCAGTATGTCTGTAAGTCTCCCCAACATCCCCGCCTGAAGGCTAGTTCTGATGCATGTGCAGCCAGCATCAGCGGTGGCATTGGACGCCCAATGTCAGATCTCAAAAGTAGAAAGTATATCCAGACTACGATCGAGGTCAGTATGATGCAGCCTCCGAGGATATGCGAACAGAGACTCACCTCCCTTTGCCCAGGCATTGAAATTTGGCTGGCTGATGTGGGCATCCGCCAACACTTGCGTCCGTCTTTCGATGCTGCATCTCCTGCACACGATATTCTGGGCAAGCGACTTCACTAGACGAGCTACATATGTTCTCGGCACCGCTAATATTATGTTCTTCATTGCGTGCCTTGTCGACTGGGCAGTCATTTGCCGGCCCTTCAATTTCTATTGGCGCAACGACATCGAAGGTGTATGCGGCAATATCCAGCAGAGTATGCTCCTTGTTGCTATCTTTAATCTCATACTGGACTTTCTCCTGATCCTACTACCTTTGCCATGCCTGTGGAAACTCAAGATGCCGACGCATCGCAAGATTGGTGTGTCAATCATCTTCAGCATGGGTGCTGTGTACGTTCTCTTCTTTCCCCTCACTGTTCTTTGAGGAACCCACGATTAGATCATGCTGACAGTGGCCAAAGCATTTGCGCCATCACCGTGGTCCGTATCTTCACGATCCGGGAATTTGCAAAACCAAGCGCGAAGAAACATTGGAGCACGACCATCTTCCCCGATGCCGTCTTAACGTCCATCGAGCCCTCTCTTGGTGTCATCAATGCCTCGATTCCTCTGTTCCCCGCCGTATATCGAATGTTGACCGGCACACCCTTCTGGCGGCGCTCGACTTCATACTTTTCAACGTTCAGAAGCAGGTCAAGCATCAGCAACTCTTCGAAGAACACAGTGTCACAGGGAAATGGGAAAGATGGGTCATTTCTCAAACAACAAAGGCTACACAAGGTCGATAGCGGTCTCACTCAGGACAAACACTCCGACACGTTTTCTGAGAAGACTATGAAGAAGTCCAGTGATGTCGAATCAGCTTCATCTGCTGATAGGTTTCTGGATAACGAACTGACGGGAATAGACATGCAAGGGATGGCATTTCAACAACCAAGTCCCAATGCAGAGGGGAAGAACTCTCGTCTGCAAACTCAACAGTAAGGGGATCTCTGTCCTGGACTCAATAGAGGATGTGGATTTTGTTTCCGAATGCTAAGGCCTGCTATTTCAGACAAAAGTCGGAAAGCATACGCGATTTTCACCTCACGGATGTCGATTGCGGGCATGGCTTTTACTTGAATCCAGAGATGTATGCAAAGCGAGGGTTCTAAAGTAATTTGTATGACACACTGTACTTCAGGACTGAGTAGTAGTGTTTCTTGATGTTTACTCTCTCTCTCATTGCATGAAGGCTCACTGCTGTAATAATATCCTTCGGACATGCAGACCTTAGAAGTGGGAGGTCAATCCTTGATATCGTTGTCAGAAATCCACGCGTTCACCTCTTGCAGGAGATCTAGGGTATAAAGCCACGACAGCTGCTTTCCGTCCCCTCTGGTTGCTCCTTCATCAGACCAAATCGTGTCTTTGGGCAACTTTGCCTTCTCCGAAGCAGGCAACCGTTTTGCGTTCATCTGCCTTGTCAGATCCATAACTTTGTCCACCCGCGCTTGGCGGTATTTTTGCCACCAGCAAAGGGCCCTTTCTAATGTGATGTTGGCGGATAGCTTTCCTAATAGAGTCGCTAAGGTTGCTGCATCCTCGAAGGCCTGGTTCACCCCCTGTCCAGCAGTAGGAGGGATTGCATGTGCCGCATCGCCGATCAGCACGACCAATGAGGTCTCCGACGCCCAGCGCGGCAAAGCAGGAACGGTAAAGAAAGGCCAGATTCCCATGTTATCCACCGGTGCAGCTTCGAGTGCCGATTGGACGATGTCGGGCCACTGATCCTTCGTTTCGTTGAGGGTGTCCAGCAAACCCTGCTTGTCAGCGCGAAGCGCTGCCCAGCCTTCCCGGGTCCGCTCTTGCATACGCATCTGCGAACCAATGAGAAGCTCACTGCCATCTTGCTTCTGGGGGACCAGCAGGAAAGCACCAGGTGGGGCCATCACAGTTGCAGGAAGGTCGTAGCCCTCGGGAATGCGCAGTGCTGACCGAGGCACTGTACAGTTGATTGCTGTGAACCCAGAGTACACCGGCATGTACGAAGGAAAGATTTGTTCGCGTACTTGTGAATGAATACCATCAGCGCCGATAAGAAGCGAACATGTGCGAGTGGAGCCGTCATCCAATTCGAACGTAACAGTTTGGTCTTTGGAGGACTCGCTGATGATGCGCACGAAGCCTTTCGAATACTCAATGTCGACCTTTCGCTCCCTGACCATCATTGTCAATGTACTCAGCAAGATCTTTCTTTCTACTCGAAGTGCGGGGTAACCGTATTGTTCCGTAGAACCGAAGTAGTAGACGTCGGTTGTTTCACCTGTCGCATTCTTGAAAACGAAGGTATCGAACTCGTAACTGCTGGCTCGGATCTTCTGGAAAGCGCCTAGTGAGTCAAGAACTCGTAAGGCATTAGGGGATAGCATAATTCCTCCACCGATGTCATGGCTTGCTGGGCGGGCTTCGAACACAGAGACTGCGATAGAGGCTTGGGACAGAGCAAGGGCAAGAGATAGACCCTAAACGAATAGTCAACCACGCCGCGACGTTGAAGCGATCCAAATATGTCTAGGCATGTTGCAGAACTTACTGAGACGCCTGATCCAATAATAGCGACATGATTCAGGCGCGAAGAGAAGCTCATGCTTGCGTATAAGTGCGGCTTTAGTGTTAGCTTGCTAGCTACTATTCTAGAGCAGAAGTATACTGGACTTCTTACTTTTATACTTTATATTAGGTAAAGGAGAAGAGCGTGTACAGTCTTCTAGAAGTATATTCTATATAAAAGTTTAACGTATATAGTTTTATTAACAAAAAACTCTTAAAGCAGAATTAAAAAATAAAATAATAAATTTTTTTTATAAAAGTTATAAATAGTTTTTAAAATATTAAAAAAGGTATAGTGAATGGAAAAAGTAGAATAAGTTAATTAGTAGTTTTTTTAAGAGTTAATTAGTTTTTAAGGCTAGATTTGTAGAAGTATACGCAGTCTATCTATATATAGATTTTAGGCAATGTGGAGAGACAAGTAAAAAAAGCAGGGAAGAAGGAGAAGATGCAACACTAGATAGTAGCTTGTTTTTCAAGTGAATAACATTGCTGTCAAGACTCTTAATCTAGAAAAGAAAGTTAGCAGACACCTAGAAGCGCACATATATATGCTACTTACAACAATAGCATTAATTTTCTCCCTACAAGGGATAACGAAAGCAGAGTTGGCAGATGCACTGCTTGAAATGTCTGTATGCAAAGCGTTGACGTTATTTAGTGCAGGCATTTTTGGTTTCTGCTCGAGCATTCTGAACATGCTGTTGTTTCGGTTGCATCGCACTTAAGTTTTCGCTCCTGGCAGAAATAGCAGGGGGGGTCTTTTTGTCGTTGGCGGTACGTGGGGTCTTGGCTGGTATTAGGTTCAGCGGGGGATACGTGCGGTGGTGGGATGTTGGTCCGGGACGGAGTGTCATCGTGGATTTGTAGAGCTGATGCATTGTTGCGTGTAGCTGCTGCTGCCCTTCTCCGCGGTTCTCTATATTCAGACTGATTGATGACTTCCTCTTCTTGACTATCTTCATCCTCCAGGTCAGGAGGTTCCATCCACATGCCGTATATCTTGTAGGCTTCACTTCCAGGAACTTCGCTGGGGTCTCCGCTATCACGAAGATCGGGGTTTCTCCTCGCTTCTTCCCGAAGGCGACGCGTATGCTCAAATAGAGCCTGAGTTTCGTCGTAACTCATGTCACGGAAAATGATGAAATAGTCAGAGTTATCCTATGGTATGTAAGTAGCTGAGATGATACGATTATATGTTGACAAACTTACAGAATCAAACTCGAAGGGGATTTCATAGTGTTGCAAGGTAGTAATGTTGATGTGTTTCCTATGAACCTTGGTATACGCGGCGCGTTTAGAGGGTATGGAGCTGGGTTCTTCCCGTTCCTCGTTGGTATCCAAGGCTGCTGCGGATGCATTGGAATCCCGCTCGGGATTTTTAGTGGCTTCAATATTGGCATTCCACTCTGATGATATCTCTTCGCCCTTAGGCAATCGTGCTCTTTCGCGAGCTTTTAGTATTTTGTCTGCATTGTATATTTTGAATCCATCTGCGGCCCGGGCCAATTGCTCTTCACGGTCGCGACGATCAGCTGCTTCGCGCTCACGCTGCCGTTGCGCAATGTCATTCTGTCGTAGTCTTTCAATGACTTCTCTTTCCTCCCGAGACATGGGGGAAGATCGCCTCTGGCGTCGTGTATAGCCCAGACTATCAGGTGGCCTAGTCTTTGTCCGCTCAGGTTCTCTTGCGGGCTGCTTCCCGCTATTTTGCCGTTGTTCTTCTTCCTTTTGTCCAGCTACAGCCCTTCCTCGAGCTCTTTGCTTTTCATACTCTTCATACGCCGCTGCTCCATACTCTCCATACACTGCTGCTCCATAATCCTCAACGTCTGTTTCGTAATTGGCACCAATATCTCCTGATTGTGTTTGTCCGAGATCTTCCGCAGATGGAACATCTCTTTTTTCTTGGTTTCTCCTGATGGCTTCGCGTTGCTCTGAGCTTAACTCTCCAGCTGCAGCTCTTTCTCGGCTCAACTGGGTAAGTCGATCCTGGTGGACCAGCGTCCATTTCTTTGAAACGTCGTATGCCTTCATCCGCTGAAGAGCCTGCTCAGGCATCTTGTTCCACTCTCTCCTTTCTATCAGATTCAGGAATTCCTGTTCGATGATATCATCGGGAGGTCTTTGAATACCGGCACCACTTTGCTCACGCGACAACGTGAACGCCATGGCGGAGACTGACTGGTCTTGCTCATTTGGCTCTTCTCGCCTCTCAATATTCATCGTCCCTGGATCTTGACCAGCCCTTTTGCGTTCTCCAGGCCGCACGAACTCTCCTTTTTCTCTTTCTAACGAGCTATCTCCATGCTTTCCGCTGTCCTCTACATCGGTCCTGTTCTTGGGTGTCGCCGAAGAAATGCGCATAGGCTGGTCACCGCAAATCATGCCTTGCATTTCAGTTATAGCCCTTTGTTGTTCCTCCTCACTAGTAAACCGGACGAAGCCATAGCCGCGGGATATCCTAGAGATGGGGTCATACATGACTTTCGCGGAGTCGCACGATGTGTACCTGCTTTGGAAGAGTTTTATAAGAGTAAGCTCGTCGACGTTTGGGCTGAGATTCCCGACGAAAATGCTGAATAAGAGACTTGGGTCGGCTCGGCGCCAGCCTTGCAGAGGTAACCATTCTTCAACAGTCAACCTCTGGCTTTGAGAAGGGATTTTTTCGCTTGGAGACTCTCTTGCATTACGGTTCTGTTCGGGGTTCCGTGATACGGTTACTGTATGCTCGCGCTGCTGATTCCCCATAGCTTCAATATGTTCAACTTCCCTCTCGAGAACTTTTAATCGTTCCATTTCGAGCTTCACAGCTTCGCTGATTCCGCCGTTATCTCGACGGCTTCTCCAATCCTCCAATTCTTTCATCACGCGTTGTATTTCGCGCCTGGTGTGACCAACGTCTGTCTCGTCTTCGCCGTTTCGCCACTCTTTCATTTGCTTGCGAATAGCTTCGTCTAAATTGCGAATAGCTTCGTCTAAAATTTCTTGGATTCTTGCTTCTTCTTGTAATGCCTGATCTGTTTCGTCTGAAGGATAATGGCGGGGCGCATGACTAGGACTATCTCTGTCGTCCACGATGTCATCTAGCAAATCTTTCTCGGGCGTTCGGGAACGATTGCTAGCATCGGAACCTGTGTTTTCAGGCTGATCATTATAGGTAGCGTCCAGATCCGTCTGATCTACGTCGCTGATCTCAGAACCTTCTTCATCTTGCCAATTGTTCACGTCAACAGAAGCATGCTCGTCAGATCCTGTATCCTCTTCATCAAGAGTATCATCAAGATTCGAAGGAAGGGCAAAGAGAGCGAGCTGTTCTTGATGTCTTCCAACATGTCGCTGCAATCCACGCAGTGATATTTGTATGCTGCAAAATGGGCAACGGACCTGAGTTGATAGATCTGCGCTTCTCATTGACGTACGCTTGAGAGCGGAAAGCATTGGCGGCGATGCCAAATCCGGATGGCTTGCAGAGACGTGACTTTCAAAAGAATCTTTTCCGTCAAATCTTCTATCGCAACCTTCAATGCATTGCCACGAAGTTCTGTGGGCTTCAAGTTCATGTTTGAACCATTCGCGACGCGAAGTGTATAGACGATCTGCTGTAACGCACCCCTCGAATGTACAGCAGTAAGGGTGTAAGTCACGATAGACGTGATTTCTATGGTTGTTAGCTTGGGAGCCTGACATGTGGAAAATTTGCTTACCTCCAAGCTGATTTGGTATGTATAGAGACAATCATGAAGCAAAAAGGGCACTCATAATGCTCTTGCTCGTGTGATACTTTTGGCAACCGCGGTACGCGAAATGTATCGTTTTCTGAAGCTGCGTACGATGTCTGCGAGGCAGCATCATTATCATCTAATGGTTGCTCGAAGCTGTTGACGCGATCGACAACAGGAAGCGGTGTTGCTTCTGTACTGTTGCTCGTATATTGAGTCTTGGGAGCTTCGATCCCAATCAACTCTACGTTCTTGCCAAGCTTTTGATGATGTTCCTCCCGGTAGCTTAGCCAATTCCTCCGACCGGATATCGCTTGTCCTAGTCGTTCCTGTAGATACTGCGCGCAGTCAGGAAACTTGGATTTCGTATGCGTGATGTCCCAGCCTTCAAAATGCGACTTGTCGATTGTGATGGTATTGCGATGTTGCGTTTCCGGTGCTGGATCTCTTATGGCCATTGAAAGCCTAAAGAGACAGGTCACCGTGGTCTTTATGCTGTTGAATATCTGCTCTAGCTCGCTTTTGGCTTGCTCGTTGTCGTTGTCGGGAAGGTCGTAGTCTGATTCAGAGTCGCTATCTGAATCTGAAAACTCATCCCAAGGTTTTCTCTCGCCTTTCACAATCGATAGCGCATTGTGGATGGAGTCTCGGAGCGCCGTGAGTAGGCTGTGGGTTTCCGTTTTCAGATGTTCTGAATCACGAAGCCGATATTCCAGAGAGCGCCGACCCTTCAGATGGGCGGCGATGTTGCCTGCCCAAATTCTAAATCGATCGAATTCGTCCCTTACAGAGTCTGGAGGGAGCTGAGCTGTATAATGAGGACGCTCGGTCTGACGCAAGGCTGCTTCGAGCGCTACAAAGCCTGAGCCAGCGTTGTGAGCGCTCGTGTGGATCGGTGGTATCGCGCTCATTGTAGTCTGTTAGGGCGAAACATCGACACTTAGCATCGCGAAACACCAAAGACATCGGCGGAGCTTTGTGGTGATGACTAGTAGAAGATCGTGGTTCAGAGCTCAATGTTGGGGGCCGTATTGGAATACCCCGCCTCGTGACACGTCATCTGACTACTCGAGATAGACAATCTCAGCCTTGTCACACTCTTCTTCAACAACCTCACTTCATCACATCGTAAAATGGTGACCGGCGTGGAGATAGCAGGCCTTGTCCTAGGTTCAATTCCCTTGATCATGAAGAGCCTAGAGTTCTACACGCAAGGCATCGCTACTACTAAACGCTTCTTCAGATACCACGAGCAGTTCCAGAATTTAATACGAGAGCTGAGTACCGAGAATGCTGTATACATCAATACTTTGAATATACTGCTCGTTGGGGTTGTGAAGAACAAAGATATGCCCGAGTTTCTATCAGACCCGTGCGGCAAGCGCTGGAAAGACGACAAGTTCGATCAGAAGCTGAAGCAGCGATTGGGAGCCAGCCACGACCCTTTTATGAGGACTCTCGGCGACTTGGTACAGACGATCGAGAAATTCAAACAAATGCTCAAGTTAGATCCCGGTGGCAATGTAAGCCCATCTCTCGCGAACTTGTGATGCAGTTCTAAAAATATATATTGCAGCCTCGATTCAACGACAAGAATTCATTCAAGAAATACTACAAAGCCTTAGCTTTCAGCTTGCAGAAGTCTGATTACGACAGCCTTATGAATTCAGTCCGTCGGTCTACCGAGTCCCTTGAACGAATCACGAAACAAACCAAGACACTTGAGTCGCTTCAGCTATCGAGCAAGGACAATAAGCGACAAGCGCCGAACTTCAAGAAGATCAAAACTCGTGCGCAAGCTCTCCATTCATCTCTTTGTGCAGGATGGAATTGTAAATGCCACTCAACAGCACATGTCACCAATCTTCGATTAGAGCCCAGAATCAACGTGGACGACACCGATGACAGCGATGCTAGTGATGATGATGGAAGATCAATGAGCGACCCCTTCCATGTGGTATTTCGCAACCATAAACAACAGCTCACACCTTCCGCCGCCATAGTAGCTTCTTTGGAAGAATGGGCGTGGGAGGAGGCGGACGTGCACATCACTTTTGAGAAACAGACCACAAAATCGGCTACCCAGAACAGTAAGAAGGGCGTTCATTTCACCAAAGAGGCAAAGAAATCGGTGTCTGTCATGTCATACACAGAGTCTGAGACGCAACGAATACAAAGTCTCTGTACAGCTATCAGAACATTACAACAGTCTCAGCGAGCAACCTGCCTGTCCCTTAGTGGACTTTACGAGAGAGAGTGCGGAATACTTTTGTATCCGGTAAAAAAGGCTCTGGTGCAAACAGAGGCTTGGTCGATGCCAACACTCCAAGCTGTGCTGAAGGATCCAGCTTTCAGCAGAAAGGATCGCATACAACTGGCAGTAACACTGGCATCTAGCACCTTGCAATTACACGACTCCCCATGGTTAGATGATTCCTGGACAAAGGACGACATAATGTTCATCAAGCGATCAGATAAAACAGTTTATGATCACGCATTCATCCCTCATCGATTAGCGACGGAGGCATCACCTGCTGGTAGCCTTCCGCCTGCAATACGTAGCATAATACGCAACCAGACGCTCTACCGATTGGGCGTCACACTTATCGAGTTGTGGTACGGAAAGTCAATCTCAGAGCTCGAAGCGCCTGGAGACGATTCGCAGATGTCGTCATTTCTAACCGAATTTAACACTGCCGACAGGTTGGTGTCTAATCTTTACAATGACGCTGGAAAAAAATATGCCAATGCTGTGCGAAGATGTATCAGGTGTGAGTTTGATCATCATGTTACGACCTTGGAGAACACGGCTTTTCAGCAGGCAGTGTACCAAGGTGTGGTGGCTCAATTAAAGGAGAATTTCGATTTCCTACATTCATGAATGCCCAAAAGAAGCGGGTGAACAACAGCAGTCAGAATGTTGCTTAGTATGGTGTGCCACCGCTTTGTGGGGGGCACATATGTATCACGAGACAGAAGTGAAAGGGTTGGTGAAATAAAACGATAGGATTTAGGATGTGTACTGATGTATACAACCTCGTGTCAAAGAGTGTCAAAATTGATGCGAAGTTCGAGAAGAATTCCTTGAGTTAATATCCCAATGCTTATAACTAGAAGCCTCCGAATAGGCCAGCATACTGCAACGAGAACGAAAGAACTTGAATCTTCTTAGAGGGAAAACCGAACGTGCTAGGTAAAAACACTCAATATTTTTCCATAATGGTTGCATATCCAAATCCTTCAAGCGTTCACTGCCTAAGTAATAATACTTATAATGTATTAACTGCGCAATACATTTTCGCCTATTAGCCTACAAAATGAGACGCTAGCCGCAATACCACATCGTATTACTCAGCCTACCGAGCGGGGCAGACAATGTCAAAACAAATGTTCTCTTCCATTTCCTTCAAGTAATATATGATGGATTCCGATAATGAGACGCTTGAAGTCGAAGATCTCTCAATAACGCAGGACGTACCCGACAAGACAGCACATAACAACTCTATTCCCTATCAAGCCTTGCAGGGAGACGAGATCCGGATCCTCATTCTCGAACCCGGCGAACTGGGCACAAAACTTCATGGCCGTCTGATCCATGTATCATTACAAGCTGCGCGCAAAAAGTACGCAGCGTGCTCCTATGTCTGGGGACAGCAAAATACCGACCGCGTCCAACTGCGCGTGGAATATGGAGACGTGCACAACACCACCGTCGGTCACAATCTGGGACAATTTCTGCATAATATCCGCCGTCCCGCTGGGGAATCACTGGCCCTATGGGCGGACGCATTATGTATTAACCAAGATGATAACGCGGAGAAGTCACGCCAGGTAGCAAGAATGGTCGATATATATAAAGAGTGTCAAGCAGTGTTTGCCTGGCTCGGATCAGCCAACGAATCCACGCAACGACTGTTACGCGGGATCCTCAATCTTTCAAAAAGTATTCAGGGCGTCGTAGCGTCGTCGGACTTTTTTCCAGCACTGATGGATCGCGGAGTTCTGCAAAGATATCTACTGCAAAGATGGCAGAGCATTTGGGATCCGCAAGGCCTCACCCTCGTAGAAAAACTTGCAATCCATGTAAAACAAGAATGGATGAAAGACCCTGACCCAGGTGACGCGCATTACATGCTCCTTTTAAACGTTCTCATCGACGATTCGGGACTTTTCTACAAGGACGTCGATGAGTCGGACCAACCAATCACCATGCTGAAAGGAATCCACAGCATATGCGGCATGGAGTGGTGGAACAGAATGTGGACAGCTCAAGAGTTCATCCTGGCTCCTGACGCATACTTCGTACTCGGAAGGGCCTTCATCCCGCAGCAACAGCTCTTATCGGTCTTCCAGCTCTGCGAAGCTGCCACTGATTTCATTGGCATGCATCGAGCCCACACGGTGCATCTCCCGTGGCTTGAGGAAGCTTACATGGCAAATGTCGGAGGATACCCGAATTTTTGGACCGTCAACCAATTCTGCCGTTTACGCACCGTACTGAAAGACGCAGCCAAGGAAGACTCCATAATCGATCCACTGTTAATACTCGCGTTCCTAAACAACGTGCCTGTCAAAAACCGGTCCGGTTGGCATATCAAAGGAGCGACTGATCCTCGAGACCGCATCTACGCGCTTCTTGGGATGGTGGCAGATGATCAATCGTCCATCGTGCCCGATTACACAAAAACAACGGAAGAAGTATATACAGAGTTCTCCGAGTCCTTCCTCAGCCAAGGCCACCTCCCTCTACTATGGATCCTGCATCCTACCCAAAACAAGTTCTCTTTACCATCATGGTGTGTAGACTGGTCCGCCATCGCACCCAAAACCCATTTCTCCGCACTCATAACCCAAGAACACATGGGCAAGCGATGCGACATCACACCATCATTCACCACCCATCCATTAGGAAGAGCCATGACCATTCAAGCTCACGCCCTCGGCCGCATCGCTCGCATGTACCCTGCAACCTCCTCATACCGAGCCCATCCGAACTGCCAGGGCAGACCCAGCGAGGACAACCAGAAAAACCCCGATGACCACTTCTCCAACTGCACCGGCCTATTCGATCTCTACGAAGCCATCAAGTCTCGCGCTACCTCCGAAGAAAACGCTCTCTACGAGCTCCTCCGCTTCGCATCAGAACCCCGCGCGGACCGCACCCCAACGCCCGGAATCGAGCCTCACACCGCGACAACATACTGCTTTGGCCTCCTGCGATCGTTATCAATGCGCGCCGATCTATCATTGTTCGATTCTTCTTTGGTGAAATCCCTTTCCGGTATCGCGGATTCTTTTGAGAGGATCCCGGAGCGGAATTGTACTGCGCTCACGGCGGAGGGACATGTAGGCTGTGCGATGGAGGAGGCGCGGTGCGGGGATATGCTGGTTGCGGTTGGGGAGTATAAGGCGCCGTTGATTGTGCGAGAAGTTGAGGGGGATGAGGGGTACTGGAGGATTATTGGGTGTGGTTGGTTTCCGTCGTCGAGGGATAGCTTAGATCGGGATGGGGCGGTATTGCTGAGGGAGTTTAGGATTGTGTGAAGGGTTGTGGCTGAGACTAGGTGGGAGTTAGTGTCATGATGTTAGTTTGCAACTATGAGGCTGCATATGCTGGCACTGTTGTGTCTTGGAAGTCTTCACGATTGTAGCGCATTGCGTGCCACGGGTTAGTCCGATGATATTGTTGACAAGGTATGTATTACGTGGAATTAGATAGATGTCAGTGTAAGCATGTGGTGTACACATGAACGACGCGATAATTGTTGACTATTGAAGAATTCATTGAGCTAGATATGTGAAGTGCCAATTAATGGGTGCAGGAACGAAGTTGCACCTCGAGACGCCTTTATCTTTGCAGTCAGGGTCTCATTTGCGAAAGGCAAAAATAGTTACCTAGGTACGTGAGATCAGATCACGTGTGCACTAGCTGACGCCACCTACGAAAAAGATCACACTACCAGCACTCTAGTAAAGGGGACAACAAGATTCAAGATTGTACGGGCAAGAAAATCAGTCGGACGGGTGCGTAATCTCACGCGTTGGGTGGTCGCGCGTCGAGTGCGGCATCTGGCCTTGAGACATGCTTTAATAGTGATCTACAGGGGCGCGCACCTAGCTTCACGAAGACGCGAGGCACTCTTCTCTTTCGGGGTTGAAGAATTGATGCAGCACGAATCTCTGGAGAAGCAATGCCTGCCCTTGAAACACTCATGTTTAATCCCTCCCTCGCCTCATTATGTATGGACTTGATCAATCTATCACGTCAGTGTTACAAATGCGCAAGAGGGGAGAGAATAGGTACGCCGCTAATCGGAGCGCTTCGCACCCGCTCCACAGAAGCTCGGTCTGATAGATCTCACTAGCAAACACACTCCAGATCTTCAATTTTGATTGGATACATCCCACTCAGTCACTCAGGAGCCGAGCAGTCACCAAATTGAAGTCACCAGTGATGGTGAGCGATTGCAGGGATAAACGAGCGATCAACCCACAGGCTGGGCGATCCTAAACCCCCAAATGCGGGCCGGATGGTACATTTCCATAAAGAGAAATGGATCGCTGCATCAACGCCAACGAACCAAGGAGCCGGCGTGCAAGTTCGCCATGATATATCCACAATTACCCCCCCCCCCCAAGACTGACATTCCCATCGACATCATCGGATTTTCACATCCCACACTGCGCTTACATCCAGAAATCCTATCGCAGCTCTCCCCCCATGCCCCATAAACCCATAGGCTCCATTTATCCAGCACCACCATTCGGCGACTGTGAATTCCCTCCGCGGATATCGTCACTACTCAGCGACAGCTATGAAGACTTATTCAAAGGCCTGGACACGCAACTCGTGCTGACCGGGCCTTTGCAACACCCAGGCACAGGTGAAGCCCTAACACCTACTTCCTCTATACCAAGCCGCTGTCCGACCTTCCGACACCAACCTCCACGATCACCAGGCAAACCTCCCTCGTCTTCCCAATCCACGACTCTACCCCCGCGGTCACCACAACCCATCACGTCTTCCTCTCCCCATGGCGCACTGAAACCGTCCTATTCAACATCAGCCATAACAACCACATCCCTCCACGGATCCATCTACAGCCCGTCCCGCTCGTTCTCCACAAAATCAAACCTCACATCCCTCACCTCAAGCACAGCTTCCCGCTCCGACTCAGGCGCCAGCAGACGTTCCCCGCGCCCCGAGCCCTGCGCTCTCCCACCACAACCAGGCCGGCACAATTCCCTAGCGGAGTTACACGCACGACAGGCCAACATACCCCACGTACAGCAGCCTATCAGTCCGTATGCGGAGGTGTTGAACCCGCTGGAGAAGATAGGGTATGCGGTGAGTGGGATAGCGAGGAGGAAGAGCAGCGGGGTCGAGTTGAGGGACAGGAATGAGGCAGAGAGGGGGTTGAAGAAAAAGAAGAGTTTTGCGAGGTTGGGGTGGGGACACAAGAGCGGGAATCTAGGGGATAGCAGAAGGGGGAGTGAGCCAGCAGTAGATGTAAGTAAAAACTTTTAAGGGGGCTAGAGAAACAAGTAAAATAATACAGATTGTATCTAGTTTTACAATCTAATATATATGATATATTATAGTAAATGGCCTGTTTAGAAGCTAAAATAATATAAAATACTAGATAAAATTTATGTAAATTTACGTAAACTTAAATTTTTTAAGCGCTCTATATATAGATAATATTTTTTATATTTAATATTCTAAATTATACTTTATTTATTACTTTTTTAAGTAGTAGTTTATAACCTTTATAATAGTTATAAGCTTAGCGCTATAGTTTAATATTAATTTTACTATATAATTATACTATAAGTAAATATAATTTAGCTACTTCATTAAAACTCTTTAAAGTGTTATATATATTTACTTTTTATAAATACTAATTTACTAGTATTTTATTTTTCTATTATAGATTTTACGCTTTTAATTATAAGTTTTTTAGTAATTTTATTTTAAACTTAAAAGCTTAAGTTTTAAATTAACTAGCTATAATAGTTTATAAGCATTTTTTAGTAAGCTAAAATTATAGAGCTGAGTGTTTCCGCTCGAGTATGTATGCGTTCTATGACTCGGTTCTCGCTGTGACCTGCGCCCCCAAAAGCAATCCACAATCGGTGCAGCCGACTAGGGACCATGGTCGGAACCTCAGAGTGCTCAAAAACGTTCAATGCAGCAGAACTGAGTTGGAAAACCCCATCTAAAGACGTAGGGTGTATGACATGCGGAGAGCATGGTGCGACATGTGGTTCGAGCAAGGCAACAGACTGACCAGTTTCAGGCACAACAATGTCCTGTAAAGGTTGAAAGGCGGGCCCATATTCAAGACAAGCCTTTTCCGACATGTGCTTGTAGAAATCGTTCCTTGAGAAACTGGTCCCACCAAGCTGCAATGCCCGGTTGAGGTCAGTCCGGCTTGTCTCTAAGGGTGCAGCACATTCGCGGTCATGGTCAACTTCAGAGACTGTTCTCTCGGAACTTCCTCTGATCTTGCCACGGCAGACCTCCTCCCAGCTACCCTTAGCTTTGACCATAAAGATGCGGAATTTGAAGTCAGTGTTTGTTCGTCCTTCAGCACCAGATGAGGCTGCTAGTGTGATTTGAGCCTCGACAGAATTGCTTGTATCTTCAGAAGTATGACGATCGGGGCATGAATTCAACGTCTTCCAGTGTGAATGAAGCAGGCAATCTATCGTATAGATGATGCTGGATACGACATGGCTCCGTTAACTTTAGGGTCCCTAATCCATGGCAAATTATCTTCTGTGATAATGAGACGCCATCTGGGTTCGAGAGGGTTTTGGTCGACTTGGGTGCCAATCAGATCGTGCGGGTAGCCTAGCAACGACAGCGTATGACTTCCAGGTGAGATTTGAACGGCGGCAGTTGCGAGTATTATAACCTCTTTGCTCGTATAGTGAACGTGGAACAGGGAATGAAAGACATAGGTACCGTGTGCCTCAAAATAAGCAGTGCAATCTAAATCTAAAGCCGCCTTCTTGTATGCCTCACGAATCATGCGAATCTGCATTTCTTTACTGGGCTGCGTGATTCCACCTTGCGTTCGCCCATCTTTATTGGTCGCAGTTGATTGTATGAGCGCTCGAACTGGATCGCACAGACTGACATCCGACTGACGCTTCAAGACTAGCACAGCAAACCCCTCACCGCGGGCATATCCATTCGCTCTATGGTCGAAACTAAAACACTTCCCATCTGGCGAGAGGAAACATATATTCGACAAGGCGATATTGAGTCCTGGAGAAAAAATGAGGTTGGCGCTACACACAATGGCCAGGTTAGATGTTTCGTTCCACAGGCCTTTACAAGCCAAGTTTAAAGCAACCATGCTGCTTGAACAGGCAGTATTAATAGTTATGCTGCTGCCGCTTAAATTAAAAAACTAACTTGATTAGTTAGACAGGAGATATGAAGAATAGTCTGTAGTGAAGCATCCGACGTGGACCAAGGTGTTGGATCCAGCTACGTCCTCGAGGGTTATGCCAGCTGCTAGAGGTTGCGTAAGTGGTCATATCATAGCTAAACAAAACGCATGTGCACTAATCATTTTCTAGTGCATTACAGGTAGTCTCAAGCAGAATTCGATGCTGCGGATCCATGGTCTTGTTTTAAAACGCTGAAGAAACCGGCATCAAATTGGCTGATATCCTTTTTCAGGAAGTTTGCTTTTTCAGTCGTGATACTGTTTTGTTTCCCTCGATCAGTGCTGTACAAAGCATGAATGTTGATGCGGTCTTTGGGAAACTCAGTAGCGGCATTCCTTTTCTCCATCAACATTTCCCAGAAAATATCATCAGAAGAAGCTCCAAGTGGAAAAACATACGTATGACATGCCAACAATGGAGATTTGCTCCGGTGGATGGTAGTTTGCACTAGGCCTTGCCATGGTGATAGATCGTACTGAATATGAGTATCGTGTACGTGGTACTTCAGCGAACAGTATAGACAATCAGTGATTTTAAAGATGGGCCTTTTGCTTTGCTGATGATAGAAACACATCATTTACCCACGATATCGAATAGTAACTGAACAAAACTGACGTTTACTTGACGCATAAGCACACCAATCACATAAATCACAGCACTTTGTATTGAAATGAAAATAAAAGGCGCATGCATGACACTAGACCCTGCCCAGTTCAACAGCCGAAGCAAGGCTTTATTGATACGCATTCTGTCTCATCCCGTTCGATTCAGGTAAACAGTATTTAGCCGTTGCCAAGGTTCCCCATAGGTTGGTAACGCCCGTGTTGTTCGCAAGGGTTTCTTTGATACGCCGGCTATACGCGTGCAGAACTTGGCATGCGTGAAACCGCCTTCTTTTTCATCTTCTCACGGCGAAATTCATTTTCTCAGTGCGTTATCAGGGTGGGGCATGTCAATCCCCGGCCAGGCAGTGTGCTCCGTGAATGAGTGAGACCGGCGTGGCAGAGGTCGAGTACGATCCCTGCAGCTCAGCTGTACAATCATAAGAGGAGAAGAGTTGGATGGCTGGGCACAGTTACCCCATGTACCTACATATAGCACCGAAATTATGTTAGTTGAGGTGGGGGGACAGCATAAAAAGCAAAGTCGAAACTTGATGTGCCGTGTCTTTACTTGCACCTCAACTAGTGATTTGTGCTCTGCCTCTCTTCCAATATGGCTAGTCGCGACAGGAACAGCTTCCCGAATGAACCTCAGGAGAGAGAAAGTAAACACTCTTCAACGGTTGGCACAGAAGAGCAAGGTGTTCACCCATCATATATCACCGGATGGCGACTGAATATGATCTGGGCAGCGTGGGTGCCATTCGGACTCTTACAACAGTAAAAAAACCTAAAGAGGATATGCAGGATCATGCTAGCACTTTTTATCAGCCAAATGGAGTCCTCGGTGACTAGTACAGCTGTACTGGCCATCACAAACGATCTTGGAGGGTACGAACACAGCCCCTGGATTTTTGCCGCCTATCTCCTCACTTACAGCGGATTTTCAATTATCTGGGCCAAATTGTCAGATATCGTTGGCTGAAAGCCCTGCCTTCTATCCGCCTTGATCATTTTTCTAGGGTTCCCGGGTGCTCGCGGGGGAGCCCAATCAATGATACAACTATATGTCACACATCCTGGCATATACTGCTGCACGTTGGATAATACATGATGCTATTTAAATCAGAGGCGCAGGATTATGTTTCGATAGGTGAAAGGAATCGGGGGATCAGGAGTCTATTCCATCGGATCACTGGTTTTTGGGGAACTTTTACCACCTGAACAATGGTCTTCCAATACGAGCATCGTCACCGGGGTATTGGCGATATCTCTGGTGGTAGGGCCGCTGATCGGCGGAGCGATAACCGGCAACGAGCAGTGGCGATGGATCTTCTTAATTAAGTAAGTGATACAACGGCTAAAAGGACGTACATAAAACATGCATAACATCGCTTACGCTAGGCGGCAGTATTCCCTTCATTTCCGTCTCTTCTGTATTGCTTGCGTGCAAACTGGCATCTCGTCGCTGCTAGGTTGCCGTCCCTATTAACTTAGTGTTGCTAAATGTTCTAGTTACACACGCTAATCTTTCTCTACTATTCTTTCTCTACTATTGCTGCTATCCTTGCTATTCTTAATAAATTATTACTATGTTTTTTTTAAGTATATATAGATATTATTTATATAAGACTTATAGCGTAATGTACCTAGTCTACTGTCTTCTTATCTTATCTTTCCTTACCTCCCTAGGCGCTAGGTATTTATGTTTTAATTTTAGCCTCTACCCTTTACTACTCTCCTGCATCGCGCTAGGTATAATAGTAGATAAGCTAAATGCTATATAGATCTTTACTAAAAGGCAATTGTTAAAGAAGTTTACATAATAGCCAAGATTTTCTACAGGTTAGAGCAGAAATGGGCGCATTAGCCTGTACAACCTAAGAATAGCCTAGGGCATTATGGCTGCCTACATAGTAGCTAAGGTACTACGCCTCCTGCCTAATATCTCGCCCCCACACCCTGTTGGATATTAAAAAGGTGGACACAGGAGAAGCTTCACAAGAATAGGTAACATAAATTCCTTCCTGTGTCTTCGCAGGGCACAGTTAATACATCTGAAATTTTCAACATGGCTTCAAACGATCCGATTCAAGCTGGCCGCGCGTCAAACAGCTCTTCTAGGGACCAAGAGGACGCTAACTCTATGGCATCAATCAACGGAGAAGGCGAAGACACGCATCATGATATGGGTTTGGGTTCCTCACAAGTTTCAAATATGCAGCGCAGGATGGATGAGATCAGATTGAAAAGTTCTGATGTAATGAACAGGATGAAGCAAAGAGCTGGTATGCGGTCGAAAAAGCTCTGCTCAATCTGCAAAAAGATACCATTCGAAGATTGCCTGCCAGGCGATGCTGAGACAAATGAGGAGGGAGCCGACGGCAGTAGCGCAGCAGAAGATGCGCTTATATACTACATAAGCCTCTCGCACATTCTACAAAATCGCAAGCCTTGCAAATTCTGTGGTCTACTTTTTCGGACCGTTTGCGAACCAGAATACGATTTGCTGAAGGCACAACATATCAAACAGTATCTACCGGACCGCGACAAGAACCATATAAGCTTCTCAGAATGGGCCGAGAAAAACACGTCCTGGATAGGAAAATGGGTGGGAGGTGCCGGGCTGTGGCCATTTGGATATGCTGTCGACCGACAACAAGCTGCCAAGTCGACACTGCAGCAAGCGCAGACGCTCTTTCTAAAGGCGGAAGACCGCGACATTAACACCAAGAGCCTCAACATGAAGGAACTTGAGGATATGTATGAGTCTAGAGACACGGTAGCCGATACGATGGCCGCAGCCAACACAAGCCTCGCTTTCATCAATCTCGTCACGAACCAGAAAAGCGAGCAGTTGCAGAAGGGAATGGCGAGCGCTCAGTTCGTAATGGGTCAACTGGCCCTATTACAGAGCAAAAAGAGGAAGCGGCTGCCCTGCATCTTCATGCTCAGAGCGTACCGGAAACACGACGCAAAAAAAGGAGCCTTGAGCGTACGTGTCTATGGGCACGGACGAGCACCGCTCGCCCCCTTGAAGGAAATCTGCCATTTCAGCCTGCGATTCGAAAACTCCAGCAGCCCACGGATAGAAAAGCAGCAGATCTGGTATGGGCAAAGGATTGGTCCTCGAATTGATGTCCCGTTCTTCAAGCATTGCGTTCAGGCATGCACGTCGAAGCACGATTGTGGAAACTTGTTGAGTGGTGCAGCGAATGGGCCTGACTCAGATCTGGAGTTGGGGAGGACCGACATATTTCGATTGATTGACGTGCATGAGATGTGTATTAAGGAAATGCAGTTCTCTAACATGATACGCTCAAAGTACGTAGCTTTGAGCTATAGATGGGGAAATCCACTACTACTGAATGGCTGGAAAATGTACAAAGGAGATCAAGACCGGCCTTACTACCACCACGAGGCGACAGGGACATCAACATGGACTTACCCAATCCATACGCGCCTGACTTCAGAGAACAAATTCAAGTTGTTGAAAGAGTATGGTCTTGAGGCCGAAGATGTGCATATCCCAAAAACGATCAAAGACGCCATACAGGTCGTTCAAGAAATCGGCGAAAGATTCTTATGGGTCGATCAGCTCTGCGTTCCTCAAGAGGGTGATAGTCATGTTCTGCGCGCCAACATCCAGCGCATGGGACATATATACAACCGCGCCCTTTTTACCATCGTTGCTGGAGACAGCTTACACGCTGATGAAGGGTTAAGAGGACTCAATGGCCATCACAGCCGGGGGAAACAGCTCGTGGAAGACGGCATCATCGAAAATACCCGGATGGTGCTGCCCACACGCTTGGAGCTTGACTGTGAAGCTTGGGAAGAGCGGGCGTGGTGTTTACAAGAGAAACTATTGTCTCGAAGGATTCTCATCTTTGCAGGCGGGTTTGCATTATGGCATTGTCGGGGAGGAACATGGAGGGAGGATGTCAACGCCTTGGATGGGGATAGGTCGTTGATCTCGTTCCCATGGCTTAGACTCACACCCTTGCCGCCTCCTAGCCATGATATCTCGCCAGAAGGATTGCAGATTACACAAGAGGATGGGAGCGTGAGACTGATGAGACTTCCGTCGATGCAACAGTATATAGAGGCAGTAGAAGATCTGAGTAGAAGGGATATAGGGAATAGTTGCGACATCCTTAGTGCGTTTGAGGGTCTCGGAAACATTCTTGGTGGCGAAGGTTTCCTCAACTCGCCATTTCGAAACGGATTGCCATGCCACTTTCTGGATGTCTCGCTCTTATGGCAATCAGATGAGCCAATGCGCCGCCGCAAAGACGACCCCCCAAGAAAATGTCCGCCGAGTTGGACGTGGGCAGGCTGGGAAGCTGCACAGGAACCAAAAGGATATGGCACTAGAGGCCCACGAGTTCATTATGACCAGCCGTTCGACGTCTTGATGTTGAACTCCCAGATCGTTCGACGGTACCGTAAATACGGTGAAGAGCGCATTCGTCCTCGCAAGGGCACATTATACGGTGTTCGGGAAGGCCTCGGTCGTTTTTCTCTGCAAGAACTGGGGCTCTTCGGTATGCCCAACATGGGTGCAAGAGGATTCAAAGATTGGGACTCAGCGGGCCTCCTACCAGCACCAAGACCAAGATTACCACCGCAAATAATACGCGAGTTGAACGAGCGGCATCTCATCATGTACACCGAGTTAGCGAACCTAGAGTTGGGTAGCGATTGTTGGAAAGTCCGAACAGTGACCAAAAGTGCTGATCATGAGCACTGCATCATCAATTTCCACGACACTAAACCGATCGAAACAGAATTGAAAGCCGAGGAGGTAACTCAACCAGATCTATGGACCCAAACAGTCGTGTCCAGAGAACATTGGATCGACACCGCAACGCATGTTAGAGTCGGTACTGTGAAGTTTGACACTGACGAGGTTGCAAAGCGCGGAGACTCCGTAACCGCGATCCTATTGTCGGAAGCCCAGTACCTAGGTAACGAGACAAGGCCAGACATTCTAGGCTATCCACTCTACAATATTATGCTTGTGAGACCAGCAAGGGATAATGTTATGGAGCGCATAGGTCTTGGTCGGATATATAAATATGCATGGAGAGAATTAGAAGCGAAAAGGGAAGCAGTCGTGTTAGAGTAACGCAAATAATTGTTATTTTTGTAGGTGTTGAATAGACTCTATACTAGCTAGCGCGTTGGCATTAAGGCTTGCACAATGTGTAGGTGTAGTTGTGTTAGTAGTAAAGTCTGCGTGTGTAAGGCCTATATTTCTCTCTTTGTAGAATGTCTGCTGCAAGCAGACATTTAGTTCTTTCTTTTTCCCTTTCTAGAGCTACATGTGTAATTGCACCTAGCCCTTATTTTATTTTCTTAGCAGCAAGCAAGAACCTTGTAATGTACATCTAATTAGATAGATGCAGACTTGTAAGCTGCTTTTCTATTAGCTTGTTGCTATACGCATCTCAAAGAAATATAGTAAGCTTAGAAAAGAATACCTTAATATAAATAATAATATACTTTAGATAGGTAAGAGAGTGTTTTAAATAGAAAATACCCTACTTTAGAATAATAACTTATACTATCTACTGTCTTCAGCTTCTATGCATTCTATTTAGACGACACATGTATTAGCACGCACCATTACGCTATTTATACATACACGATTCACATCTATACTACAGCTACGCCCAATATTACGTGTGCACTAACTAGAAGCCTGCCTCGCTGCCTTAACGCTGCATGCATTAATATTTATATTACGCTATTTGCCCCCACTAGAACCTTAATAATGAGTGACATAGAGCACCGCAATAAGATGCAGCATAATACTTATACCCAACGCTCTTGTCCCGAAACGCTGTAGGTAAGGCCACAACCACAGCAGCAAGAGGAAATGCGGCTATTGCAGACAGAATTAGGTGTAATCAATTTCAAACAGTTTGGTATGATGGAGTAATGTTGTACGCATTGAAAAGTCAACTGGCGCGAAAAGTTCATGTCCAGGAGTTCGGATGCAGCCTATCGCGATGATATAATGTCACGTAATATATTCTACACTAATACTTACCTCATTGCGATAATTCACACACACAAATGACGAGTGCGCTGTGATTGGATGCATTACATCATGACTCACTCTATTACCCTAACCCGGGTATTGTCTCGGAGCAGAAAATTGGAAAGTTGAGAGCCGAAAGAATATAAGTAAAGCTTTAGTCCCCCTAGAACTCAGTATGAATCGTCCAACCCAGTTCTGTAACTCCAATAACCACTACAACTTTTTTGACTTCGTTTATCTCATATCCTGTGCAGATCACGTGTTCCGTTATTCTTTTAAGAGCTTTTCTAGGAACACAGTTCCGTTCTTCAATAGGCAAAACTAGAAGCAAGATGTCGCACCCAACAGTTTCCGCAAGACCTTGGGCGGATCCAACAGCCAAGAATCAGAACGGCAAGAAGATCACAGATCTACCTCTGACAGGAAGCAACCCAGTTGGACGCATCAAGGACGGTAAACCATTCAACGCGCATGGAGATGACCGCCCGATCCGCTCAATCGAGATTGGCCGGGAGGGGAAGAGCCTGACTGCTATCAAGCTAGGATTTCCCAACAAGAAGGGCGAAGAAACCTATGGAGACTTTTCCAAGAGCGTGGAAACCCAATCAATCGAGATTCGTTCCAGGGAAAGAGTGATCCGGTTGCTTGTGTGGCCAACGAGCAAAGATTCTGCTGTTGCTCGGGTAGAACTACTTACCAACCGAGGTCGAGAGCTGAAGATCGGAGACAAACCTTCAGATACAACTCCCGTAGCTCAAGAGCTTGGCTCCGGACACCTTGCTGTCGTGGTGGGTTCTGTCTTGGATCGCCTCGCGTCGGTTGGCTTTCGATTCGTTGCCGGCAAATTCAGCGGCAATGTCCCCAGTCACATTTACAATATCAGGTTCCCGAGAGAGCCCGGCTTGACGGATATCACATCGGCTGTGTTCTATAGGCAGAACTATTCCAACGAAACGTCGAAACAAGACAATTGGTTGTTCGATCGATCCGAGGATGTCGTGTCCGAACAGCACTGGATGGAGAGTAGCACCGAGCATTTCGAGGTCAGTGTCACTGTTAGCGGCGGCTTTTTTGGTATTGACGTAAGTGAATCAACAGGCTGGTCGCTCGACAATACTGTAGAGCACGGTACATCCGAAAGTGTAACAAATGGGCTTCGCTGGGGAATGAGCGGTGAGACTGACGCTGGGGAAACTATTCATGTTGAGAGCTAAGCCATCTCTAGCAAGTTCTCAAGCACTTATCTTTATAACATAGAATAGTATGTCGATGACAGTAGATGGTTTTCCACAGATCTAACAGGCTAGTACTTAGAAGAGCTATATAGTAATAGGACCTTGCGAGTTACAGAAAATTAACCTATAGTATACTTTATTACAGTAGAATATGCAGAGAAGTCTTAAAAAATTTAAAAGATAGAACTTATATTTTTAAGTTTTAAAATAGTGTAATTATGTAGATTTAATATATAATGTTAATTGCTTTTACGCATTTTAGCGTACAGCTTATTTTTTTTCTTTTTAGATAAAGTGTTTATTATTGCAGCAAGCTGCAGCACAATACTTAAAATAAAACACTTAATAATGCTCTAAAATACTTAAAGGCAACTAATCTAATTATAGTTTATTACTATAAAACGTCTTAAGTTAAAAGTTATTGTTTTTTTAGCAATTTATCTGCTGTAAGTGCTTAAGAAAACACGCTACTAGAAAATTGTCTAGTTTTTTACTAACAGCAAAAACACGTTTTCTGTAAGACTTACTTTTATTATAACTATAGTTTAACTTTTCTAGCAGTTTATAATAGTAAATAGCAAGTCTGCTATAGCTGTAAGTGTCTACCTGCTATTATTTAGAGCTATAATACTTATAGAAGCTAGCGCAGCTGTATTAATAATAGACTAGTTCTAGGCTTTTTTTACTTACTTATACATACTAGGCTCTGCTTTACTAATTATTAAGCTTATCTTTTTATTTAGAGTTTTAAGATTTATAGACATTGCACCTTTCTAAAATAAATTTTAAATTATAGCAGACTATAGAAGTAGGCTAATTATAATAGCTATTATTTTTTAAATCTTCTATATTTTTAAGCTCTAAGATTTAGCTGTTGCAAATGCTACTATTATCTAGTTTAGAATCTTAAAGAAGAGCAATTAATATTGCTGTAAGCACTATAGCTTTTATGCCTCTAGTTTAAAATAAACTATTAAAGTTTTTTACTACTAATTAGAAGCTTTTACTTCTAGATTATATAAGTGCAATTAGGTCTCGACTTGTTCGTGTGCCTTTTGCTTCTTCTTTAATACCCCAATTACGTGTTGCTTTATTGTTTTTTCCTTTTAACTATTAAACATTATGCTAGTGAGTCGCTCTTAAACATTAATTGCTGATTACACTAAGCCTGTGCAGGTGTTAGCTGCTAGGCAAGGTGCTTTACAGTAATACGCAGTGCTTTACAACAACAATTATTCTTTGCTTACTATTTATTGCCGTTTATTGCCTTTACCTTTTAATATTCATCCTTTGCTTGCCGTTTATTGCCTTCGTCTTCTAATATCTTGTCTTTATCTCGATTGATCTCGCCCTCGCTCGTCCTTTGACATCTTCCGCTGCTTTCGCCCTCGCCCTTTATTGTCCTTTATCGCCTAGACCTCGTTTTATTGCGAAACCTGATTTCTAGCACCCTCTGCGCCTACTTTAGCCCTTTTGTTTTTACCCTCTGCTAGAAAGCTAGTCTTAGATAGGGGTTAGAAATTATGCGCCTGATCCTCTCCCTCTCCCTTACGCCATTTGGGTGCGCGGCGCCTACCTAAGTCTATTCCTGCAGGTATAATTGCAAGACCTTAACCTTAGTTAGGTCTAAGGTGAGGTTTCCTTTAACTCTGCTAACCAGCTTCTGCACCTTAGGTGATATTATTAAAGATCTAGTCGCGTTAGAGAGGTGTGGCTGTTTTGCTTGGCCCTTAGTTATAACAGGCACTGGGTAAAGGGGGACATTAAAAAAGTCTAGTTAGATAGGGATCGCCATTTTGATGGATTTAGTGGATTTAATTTGGGTTTTGATGGATTTAATTTGGGTTTTGATGGATTTAATTTAGGTTTTAATAGTTGTAGTTCTGTATAGTATTAGCTGTAGCATAGAGACGGGGGGGATTTTGCGTGTCTCTTATATGTGAGGGTGCAGCGGGCAGCTGGCGCTGCTATAGGTTTCTGTTGTCTCTTTAGTATTCTTATGCTATTATGGACTGTAAATTTTTTTATTACTAGAATAAATAATAGTTGTAGTCTTTGTTACTTTTGGAGATGACTCCTGTGGTGGAAAAAATTCTAGTTTTTAGCGCTAGTGCCTGATTGGGACAAGCTTTAAGCTATTTTAGTTTGGACTAGTGCTAAGGGGTGCCTTTTAATCTCTCCTTTAGGTGAAGGCAAAAATTGCTTAGTCTTTTTAGTTATTACTTGTTTTTTTTAGCAAATTTCTTATTGCAAACTATTGCTGTGTGTAGAATTACTTTAACTCTAACTTAAAAAAAAAATAAGTGCAATTAGAGGACTGCGCCTAAAAAAATAGAATCTTATTAAATATATTTTTATAAATAGATTTAACTTATAAATGTAGATTTTAATTAAAATAGCAGCAAGCTATATAGTAGCTATAGTACTAATATAAACTAAAACACCTATATAGATTAATAAGCAAGGTCTGCTTTAAGAAAGATACTATATTAGATTACATTAATTATTTATACTTTAAGTGTGTGTAGTAAAGGTAATTACAATTAACATTATATATTAAATACTTTAAGAGGTCTAGTTAAGGCTAGCAATTGCAAACGTTAAAATATAGTATTTACTAGTTAATATAAAGAGCTTTAACTAGTTAGTGCTTAGTGCTTGTATAGTAACACTAGATATAATAAAGTATAATTATTAATAAATAGTATTAAATATAAAACATTGCAATTAAATACAGCACTATATATATTAATAAAATATAATAAAAGGCCTTTAAAGCAGAGTATAATTTTATTATACTAAAATATTAGCGTGCTCTATACGCATTACTAGCTATAATAATTATATAAGTAATTATTTTTACTATACTAAGTACTAATTCTTTAACACTTAGCTTTAAAACATTGTGCTCTTTAGCATATCTTACTATAAATACTCTACTTTTTACGCATAGCTTAATAACACTTTTAGCTTAGTTCTTTTATACGTCTACTTTTTTGTAAATTATAGCTATAGAAACTATTATAAAGTATAACTTATACGCTTATATATTAAAAAGCTGCACTGCTTCTTGTTTTTATTAAGCTATAAAATTATAAATATAGTTAGGTAACAGTAGTACTGCGCATTAGAAAAGTAAAGCTTTACTTTTTAAATAGCTGCGCACTATATATATAATAGTAAAGCTAGCTTTATATAAAAATGCTATAATACTATTAAATAGACTTTTAGTAGTAATATAGTTGTTAAGCTAGCTTAGTGCTTAGATAAATTTAGATAGTAAGTTTAGATTATAATAGTAATAGTGCTAAGCATTAGAGTTAAAGATAGCTTTTAAACTAAGTGCTATTTTAGCTAAAATTAAGCTTTATATAAAGTAATAGCTATAATCTTTGCCTAATTTAAAGCAAATAGTTATAGTTTATGTTTTAAAAACTATAGCGCTTATACTATAGCTGTAGAGATATAAGAAGTGCATGTTAATAGTAGGTTATTAAAAAGTTTAAAAATATATATAAGTTAAATATCTCTTACAGCGTATAATAAATACAGCTAGCTTATTTATATTTATTAAAATAGAGAGTTTATAAGTTTAAAGTAGTTTACATTAAATTAGTTTTATCTTTATATATAACATTATGTATAGTTATTACATTAAATTAATAAAAATAACTTTTTATATAAGCAACTTTTTTTAAAACTATAAGGGTTAGGGTTAGGGTTAGGGTTAGGGTTAGGGTTAGGGTTAGGGTTAGGGTTAGGGTTAGGGTTAGGGTTAGGGTTAGGGTTAGGGTTAGGGTTAGGGTTAGGGTTAGGGTTAGGGTTAGGGTTAGGGTTAGGGTTAGG